CAGCTTGGTTCGAATTGGTGTGAGCTGGAGTTGTCGCTGCATCCTTACTTGTTGACTTGATGACTGCAGTCTTTCGCCGAGTCTCTACCCCTGCTGCCTTCTTGTTGACCACAGCCTTTAGCTGAGCCTCCGATCCGTTCGCAACCGCGCTAGCCGCCACAGCTTGGTTCGAAGTAGTAATAGCAGGAGACGCCGCGTCATCCTCACTCGTAGACTGGTTGACCGAAGCCTTCCGCTGAGTCTTTCCTCCTTTGGTCTTCTTGTTGACTACAGCCATTCGCTGAGCCTCGGATCCGTTCGCAACCTCGCTAGCCACCACAGCTTGGTTCGAAGTAGTAATAGCAGAAGACGCCGCGTCATCCTCGCTTTTAGGCTGGTTGACCGTCGCCTTCTGCCGAGTCTTTCCGCCTTTGGTCTTCTTGTTGACTACAGCCTTTCGCTGAGCCTCGGATCCGTTCGCAACCGCGCTAGCCGCCACAGCTTGGTTCGAATTGCTGAGAGTTGGTGTTATCGCTGTATCCTCACTCGTAGACTGGTTGACCGAAGCCTTCCGCTGAGTCTTTCCTCCTTTGGTCTTCTTGTTGACTACAGCCTTTCGCTGAGCCTCCGATCCGTTCGCAACCGCGCTAGCCGCCACAGCTTGGTTCGAATTGCTGAGAGTTGGTGTTATCGCTATATCCTTACTTGTTGACTTGATGACTGCAGCCTTTCGCCGAGTCTCTGCTCCTGCCGCGTTCTTGTTGACCACGGCCTTTAGCTGAGCCTCTGGTACTGTCATAACCTCGCTAGCCGCCACAGCTTGGTTCGAATTAGTGTGAGCTGGAGTTGCCCCCATATCCTTGCTCGTTGACTTGATGACTGCAGCCTTTCGCTGAGTCTCTACCCCTACCGCCTTCTTGTTGACCACAGCCTTTAGCTGGGCCTCAGATCCTTTCGCAACCTTGCTAACCGCCGCAGCTTGGTTCGAGATGGTTAGAGTAGGAGGCGTTGCCCCATCCTTACTCGTTGTTGTGTCTGTGCTGGTAGTCGATTGTCCAACATTGGTATCTGATGTGTTGAGCGCAGTATTGACTCCGCCGACTCTGGCAATTGCCTTGTCTTTGGCTGCTCTCTTCCTGGGTGACCGAGGCGGAAGTTTGTCTGGGATCTTCTTGGGTGCCATAGTTTTCTAATGTAGGGCACAAACTACGCTGAGTATGAAGTGCTGAACTTTAATCGAGCTGTAGTGAGCGAGGAGTGCGTTAGCAGACTGCATAGAAGTGGAATAGTTGGATGAGAAGATTGTATGTTGCTGATCATAGAAGAATTGTGAAGGAAGGGGTGAAGATAACTTACAATGTAGCAGAGCGAAAGCTTTGATCTTAGATGCAAATTATTCGTAGATGCAAATGATTTGTGGTTGCAAATGCTTCGTGGATATCCAAACAATGTCGAGCTACAGTGAGTGAAGAATGTAATTAGTGGACTGTAGAAACATATAAGTGGATCACCCAGTGAGGAATATTGTATGTTGTTGATGGTGATGGACGAATTGTGATGGAATGGGGGTGAGAATAACTTAAAAAGTCGCAGAGCGAACGCTTTGGCTGTAGATGCAAATGCTTCGTGGATATGCTAGAAGTTGTCGAGCTATAGTTAGTGAAGAATGTAATTAGTAGACTGTAGAAACATAGAAGTGGAACACCCAGCCGGGAGTATTGTATGTTGTTGATGATGATAGATGAATTGTGAAGGAAAGAGGGAGAGGATAACTTACAAAGTCGCAGAGCGAAAGCTTTGATTGTAGATGCTTGGATGCTACAAATGGTTGAGGATGTAAGAGGAAGGAGGAAGGAGGAAGGCGGAAGGAAGGAAGGAAGGAAGCAGAGGGGTAGAGGAAGGAGACTGAGGATTGTTTCTGGGCCCGATGCCAAGACAGTAAAGTGGTGGGTGAGTAGGGCTTGTTTTTAGGGTAGGGCTGGTGATAAAGGGTATGGCTAGTGATAAAGGGCTAGTGATGAGCGCCTCGTGAAAACGTTGGGTGGAGCGGCGAAATTGAAGGCATATCGCCTAGTCACATATCACTCGACTACTCCTAACCATACGGCGTGTTCACCAGACAGCGATGTCGCTACACCCTTTGTGTGCAATGCGGTACCTCAGTGCTTCGTCAGGACGATGCTCCGCCACAGCGAAAATTGAAATATTTAGAGATATCGAGTCATGGGTTGTGCACGAATGCACGTCATGTCGAGTGCGACACCGCAACACATATTCTCGCAGCAGCGAATGGTCACCCGAGCACTCTTTCCTGAAGATTGTCGTGAATCCGATCCCCGAATTCCCGGCCGCCCTGGCCGCATGCAGTACTGGTCAGTACCGCTCCCGGCGGTGGGGCGATTGCGATATCACTCGGTACAAAGCAGTACTGAGCGCTACCTGACTGTACCACTCACATGTTTGCTGACAGTCACGGCCGCAAGTAACACACGGCGATAGTCCTCTACTGTGTGTCCGGTACCAGACAGTACGGTTGTCTAACAGCAGAAATGCAGCGGTACCGGCCAGTACTACCTATCAATACAGCGCAGTAAGATGTGAGCAGGGCGCGGCCTTGCTGATTAGGACCTGATAAGGTCCAGGGTGCGTGTTCGCGCCCTGCACCTAACCAGGTCGTGAATACGCCCGCCATAGGTGGCCTGCTCTCCGACGTGACTTTTTGTGCAAATCGATCAGCCAGCCAAGGGACTTCTATTGAACCGCAGCAAAAGAGCGTCCTCCCCAAGGTTGTAGCCTTGTACAGCCGATAGACCTTATCACCACCTGGGAAATTCGCTACCACTGAGCCATGACCACTGCCTGGTGTTTTTGCTGATGGCAAAAATATGAACCCGCGAGGCATGCACCGATAACCCACCACACGTGAACAATGTAATTACATAACTCAAAAGATTGCATATACATGGCGATTTCTGCTTGCCTTGCCTGGAAAAGCTACTTGTCTTAGATATATCCGAATACTTGTCAAGTGGTCCTGGCCAGGACAAAAGCCGAGGAGAACCGCTTTACAAGTTACAACTACCTATGGAGCTCGCCGCCGGGTTCGCCGGCATAGTTAGGTAGATATACTCGAAACTCACCGACACCTACAAAGCTGCACCTGCCGCCATCGTTGGGATCTGAGACGCTCTCGCTCTCTCTCTCAAACCGATTGTCACTCGCCGAGCCGAGCCGCGAGCACAATACCTAACTCTGGATGCTCCGTGCGGCCAACAGGTGCCGCTGCGTGGACCCTGGATGCGGGATATGTGCGGATGGAGTGTGAATGGGTCAAACGCGAGCACTACGAGCACTACGAGGTAGTCAGATGCGGAAGACGACGAGGACGAGGAACAAGATTTGCAGGATACGTTGGAAGAGTTCTAGTCTGTCATCTTGGGTCTACGACTCTATGGTCTGCTGGTGGACATTCTCGTTGAAACATTTCATGTGTTGATGCTGGCCGAGGGAGATCGTGGGGGAAGGGAGGGAGGTCGAGGGATTGTGAAGTGTGAAGGCTCTGGGAATGAAAATGTATGGTGGAAAAGTGGGGCAGGAGCAGTACCTACAGGAGGGGGTCGTCGGCGGGGATATAGGGCCAGGTGTAATAGGCCTTCTTGCTTACCATTCCCCTCATCGCTCCAATTGGTATTCACAAGAACGAAGATAGAAATAAACTCCAACTGCACAGCCAGCCACTCCGCCGAATCGTTCAATCGTATTCCGTAATGGTGCCCGATTTCTGCATCTCACACCCTCATTCCACCGTACCCCCTTCCATACTGTCTCCAAGCTGGACGGGCACAGCAGCTCGCGCCGGTATACCCGAAATCCGTCAGCAAACCGGACATTTCAGCGACCGTCGAGGACCATATCAGCTGGCCTGGTTCACCACGACTTGTCGATGACTGCTTTTGACGGAGAACAGTGCACGCAACGAACATTGGCGACTGCTGAAGTCTGAGTGTCCGTTGGGTGAATTCTGGCGGTTCTTCGGAGTATAGTAGCATGTAACCGCTGGGCCTATGTGGCAGTCTGGACAGCCATCACTTTCGGATGCGTATCTACTGGACGGTCGTCGGCCGGCTTGCATCCATGAGCATCGAGAACCATTCCAGCAGGCCGTCCTCAAGAAAAGTCGAATCCGGAAGGGTCGAGACGGACTACTGAGAAGTCTGGTTGAGCTGTTCAACTTCGATGTGAGTGTTGCCTCACTGGGGAGACTTCCTCTGAAACAAAACAGGTGTTGTCCCGGTAGTTCGCTGGTTACCGATCGGACGAAGGAAATAATCCGCCGGCACTTCAACAGATGAAACAGAGTGAGCGATGGTGGGGATTTCTCCGAATCGATCTTGAGATGGGGGGGCACCGAGTGATGCCGGACATTTCATATTCTGGAGTGTTTTGGTCGACCGAGTGCTTGGCTGGAGATGCAGTGCTCAGAACCCGCTTTACGATCTGCGCCCGGTGCGAGGAAGTAGGAGATGAGGATATGCGGTGATATCTTCTTGGAGACGAAAGACGGAAGACGGGGGGAAGAGGCGAGGGGCAGCAGGAGGAGCGGGCATGTAGGCCCATACCGGTCTTTCCTGTCAATCTGCTTTCTACTTTTTGCTTGTGTCGGCCCGAGGCGGATGGGCGGGGGGGGAAATGGGGCGCCGCATCGAGCTGGCCGGCACCGGAACTTTCACCTCGACCGGCCAGGGTGGGCAGGCAAAGGGGTTTTTTGGTTCGCCATAGTCTAGATAGGCTGCATGCGAAATAAACTGGAGACCTTTCTCTCTCTCTCTGAACCCGCTTCACGAATCGCCTCTCTGTGCTGGAGTGCGGCTAATCGGTGCTGTGGATAACTAGCGCATATTAAACGCTGGGACTCACATCTACGCAGCGCTCATCACTCTCCAGACCACCCCTCCGCCAAGCCTGGTCCCACTTCTGATCCCTGTTGGCTTGGTCAAAATCTTTCTCAACTTCTTTCCGCAGCTCCCGTTCTCCTCCCGCTGTTTCGCATCACCAATCCCGCCTCAGTATCCACGAACAATGGCTTCCTGGAGGTCCTCCTTCGCGCCTCTGGTGCGGAGTCTCGTCCGACTTCCCGAGACATGCATCGCAAAACAGACAAACCTCAAAGCCGCTTGGGCTCTCCCATGCCGGTCCACTACGCCTTCGATCCGGTCGATGGCAACCTACGAACGGAAAAAGCCCCATGTGAACATCGGTATGCCCGTCCCGATCCTGCAGTCGCGGAATTGAGTTCTGATTGCTTTCCGCAGGAACCATTGGCCACGTTGATCACGGAAAGGTTCACCTGGACATCCCTTCCGCCGGAGTTGTGGATCATCCGGGAGTTATATTGTGTACTAACAACCGTGATAGACTACACTGACTGCAGCTATCACCAAGAACCAGGCCAAGAAGGGTTTTGCCAACTTTGTCGACTACTCGTCCATCGACAAGGCTCCCGAGGAGAAGGCCCGTGGTATCACCATCTCGACCGCCCATATTGAATATGAAACCGAAAACCGTCACTACTCCCACGTCGATTGTCCTGGTCACGCCGATTACATCAAGAACATGATTACTGGTGCCGCCTCCATGGATGGTGCTATCATTGTCGTTGCTGCTTCCGATGGTCAAATGTTGGACCCCGCCGATCGACACCCCCGCACCGGTAGCGATATGCTAACTTGGCGACCACCAGGCCCCAAACCCGTGAACATCTGCTCCTTGCCCGTCAAGTCGGTGTCGACCGCATCGTCGTCTTCATCAACAAGGTTGATGCTATCGATGACCCCGAGATGTTGGAACTCGTTGAGATGGAAATGCGCGACCTCCTGACCCACTACGGTTTCGACGGTGACAACACCCCGATCATCATGGGATCTGCTCTCTGTGGTCTTGAGGACCGCCGTCCCGAGCTCGGTTCCCAGAAGATTGACGAACTCCTCCTCGCCGTTGACGAATGGATTCCTACCCCCGCCCGTGACCTCGAGAAGCCTTTCCTGATGCCCATTGAAGGTTTGTTTCCGATCCCAACTCACATTCCCCCCAACTTTTGCTAACGGAGGAATCGAAAAGACGTTTTCTCTATCGCTGGTCGTGGTACCGTCGCTACCGGACGTGTCGAGCGTGGACTCCTCAAGAAGGGAGATGAGATCGAGCTTGTCGGATTCAACAAGGAGCCCATCAAGACCATCGTGACCGGTATCGAGACCTTCAAGAAGGACCTCGACTCCGCCCAGGCCGGAGACAACTGCGGTATCCTCCTCCGCAGTGTCAAGCGCGAGCAGGTTCGCCGCGGCATGGTCATGGTCCGCCCCGGTACTACGCGCGCGCACACCAAGTTCCTCGTCTCCACTTACATCCTCACCAAGGAGGAGGGTGGACGTCATACCGGATTCCACGGCAACTACCGCCCCCAGATGTTCCTGCGCACTTCGGATGTCTCTTGCACGCTTAACTTTGTCGAGGGAACCGAGGACGCTAGCTCCAAGATCGTCATGCCCGGTGACAACATCGAGATGGAGGCGTCCATCCTGCACCCCATGGCCGTCGAGCAGGGACAGCGCTTCAACCTCCGTGAGGGTGGCCGCACCGTCGCTACTGGTCTTGTCACCCGTATCATCGAGTAAACTCTGTTTTTTTTAATACGGTACGAGAGAATCATAAGAATAATCTGTTTATGATGTTTGTAGGTGAACGAATCTTGTACGATTAGGAAATGCTTGATTGAGGCGTATCTGGATGGGAAGAAAGAAGAAAAAAAAACGCATGGAAATGCGAAGGGAAGGATGAGGGGATTGTATATTGTTCAGCATTGAAAATATGGTTCTCTCCCATCAAGCTAATTAATCGTTCATATCACAGGCAGTCCGATGCTTTGCAGTGCAGTGACACCTGCCGTGTCCACTCCACTTACTCCGTAGAGTACAGACATATAAACGGTCGCCCCATCGCGGAACGTCCAATTTCCGCCCGTGCCCGTCGTGTGCACTGTGCATCCCAGCCATTCCATTCCGTATGATATCTGCCATTCATGCGGACTATCTAACCACCCGGCTTTGTAAGCAGCAGGGACAACGTGATTTCCGAGCTCGATTACGTGTGTAATCACTGTATGTACAAGTTTTCGTACAAAGTTTTCTCCCTCCGCGGACTGCGGCGGCGGCGGCGGGTGACAAATATTTTTCGCCGGTTATCGAGGCCCCGCCCACCCACCCCCCGCATTCGGGTGCGGGGGAGAGAGCGGCGGGCGGGGACGAGGGGAGGGGGGATCTAACGCGCACCGCTATCTTCGTTCGTTCGTGGCTTGTGAATTTAATTTCGACATATCTAGCGACACGACACGACGGGCGGTTGATGGGGGGCAGGTTATCTGGAGATTGTAAATATATAGAGCGTGAGGTGGCCTGGTGGGACGGGATTGCGCTGCGCTGCTGGTGACATGAGCGGAACCTCGATTCTGACAGCCTGACAGACGGCGCGGCAACGGTTCCGCTCTCGAGTCTCGAGTCTCTCTCTTCCGCCGTTCCCTTCGCTCCCCCGGCTGACTGGGTTTTTGGTTCTAAAAAAAAAGAAAATAACTTTTTTCCATCCTACTCTAGTCCCTAGTGTTTACCCCACCATGCATGCGCCCGCCTTGTCCTGTCTTGTCTTGTCTTGATCACCAATCATGAAACCACGCACGGCAGGCTGGTTATCGCCGTGAGATGGATGGATGGATGGGCCAGTTCATGCGAAGCAGAGGCGAGAAGAATATCTACCACTTAACTTAACTACCCTCGCACTCCTCGCACTCCCCTCCCCCCCCTTCCTCCCGTCAACTTGAAGAGTCTCTGCACCATCGAGCTTTTCTACATATCGTCTACCTACTGAATCCGGAGGTCCGCGCCGTCACACCCACCACCACTCCCTCCCTCCCTCCTGAAAAACTTCGACTCCCCCGGGACATATACATACATACCACGCACCCACTCCTCCGGCCTTGCTCGCGACATACCCACAACCCCCCGCCAACATGACGTCCACACAATGCATCCTATCGACAGGCAACATCATGACCTCGGCATCAGAGATCCTCCGCTCCTCAGCGATGTCCTCGTCGAGCACGGAGCTCATCACCTCTTTACGCAGCCACATCCGGTCGTCGCCTTTATCCCCTCCGCCCTCACCCTCTCTCCCGCCGAACCCCGCGCCGCTCTACATCCCACTCCCCCCGACACCGGAGCCGCTCTCGGAAGACCGGGCGGAATACGACGTGACAGTGAAGCTCTTCCTGAGCACCACTTCAGCAACGCCGTCTCACATCCGCGACGCGGTGAAGCGGGTGCTGCGCACGCTCGCCACTGACCGTATCGACCTGCTGATCCTATCGCTGCCGGGGATCTCGTTCGACGCGGAGGACGCGGCGTCGTCTGCCGCCGAGGTGGACTTGTGGGCGCGCACGTGGGCGGTGCTGGAGTCGTTCCCGTCGATTGCCCGGCTGGGGATCAGCGAGTTCGGTACTGCGAGGCTGGCGCAGCTGCTACCGCGCACGAGGGTTAAGCCGGGGGTCGATCAGATCAATGTAAGGGATTGCTGTGTTGTGCCAAAGGAGCTTATACTGTATGCGAAGAAGGAGGGCATAGAGTTGCTCACGCATAATGACTGCTCCGATATTCTGCCGAAGGAACGGCTTAGGGAGGTCCTCGTGGATGAGTTCGCGCTCGTCGCGGCGGGGAAACAGGTTGATCCCACTTGGGTCGTCAAGTACACCGCCGTCATTAGGTCTCGCGGCGTCGTGGAGAATAAGGGGTGCGCGTTCACCCCCCGACCCCCTACCTACCCACTGGTTCTGCACTCGTACTGACATTGATATTGACACGCAGATACATCGCAATGGCGGAGATTCACTAGAGCTTTGCTACACCTACCTACCTACCTACCTACCTACCTACCTACACTGTTTCACGAGGGAGGGAGGAGACGGATTTTTTTGGTTTACCGGATCGGATCGGATGGCGTTACTGTTACTGTTTTGAAATACTTCTTGCCGATGTTAGTTATTCGATTGTTTATTTTTTCCTTTCTCCAGGGCAGCGATGGATCGATTGGGTTGTTGCGGTTGGGTTGTTGCGGCGAGCGCGAGCGGACTGGGGACTGGATGAGTGCGATGGGTGCCGTGAATTTTGTTTGTATTGTACTTGCTGTTTTTCGATCGAACGAATTCATAGAGTTTGGCTATCTACATACATCCTACTTACACAGAATTCCGGTGGTCGGCGATGACGGTGGGGGAGGGGCGGCTGTCGTGATTTCACGACTTGCTGGTGGTACATGGTGTCCCACTGGCCAGTCGATCCGCTGCAACTGTCTCGGGTATATGTAGGAGGCACCTTGTACCTGTGCATGTTCATACATAGCTTGGCTTGATCCCTAACTAGACGTCATTCGACGCCGACGCCGATGTCGACATCGCGAAGCTGCACGTAGGTACCCGACACAACCGTACATACATACCATGGAACCCCCCTCCCCCCTCACTCGGAACCTCACACGCCCAACGATGCCTGGTGCTACCCACACACGAGTCAGGCTGCGGGCTGCGGACACCCGTCGGCACCGGAGCAGGAGCCGACGCCTGCCTGACTGCACTGACTGGCTGCACGCAATTGGGACTGGGACTGGGACTGGGAACCGCTGCTGCTGCGAGCGCTAGATTCAACCTTCAACCTCCGATCGCACGTACCGTATGTATGCACACAGCGCCGACGATGAGGGAGCCGTGACTCGTGAGCGGTAAACACCCGTTCGTTGCACCAGAGTACCTACGGGCAACCCGCAACTCGTAACTCGCAACCCGCAAACTGCAAACTGCAAACCGCAATACTTCAGCCTGTTTAAAATTATTTTATGTATGATACCTAGTACAATGAACGCAGCGATCTAGTAACACCGCCGTAATCTCCACAAGTACCGTACTCTGTTATACACGACCGCATCGTCGTCGTCGTCGTCTAATCACTCAGTAAATCTCTTATATCATCCACGCGTTGCTATCGGTACCGTCAGCCAATCCAATCTCCACATCCGGCAGCACCGGGAAAATCTCCCCAAGGGGGGTCGACAAACCCGTTTCTTCTCCTCATCCGTCATCATGCCGAGCGAGCTAGCAATAAACTTCTTCTTCGCCTGAATCTTATTGACCATTCTCTCCTCGACGCTATTCTCGACGACGAAGCGGTGTACCGTGACGGGCTGTGTCTGTCCCATCCGATGAACACGATCAATCGCCTGCGCCTCTATGGCAAAGCTCCACCACGGATCCATCATGAACACCGTCTTCGCCTCTGTAAGGTTCAGTCCGACGCCGCCGGCCTTGAGCGAGAGCAGCAGCACCATCTCGCCCTCGTGCTTGCGGAACGTCTCGATCACGTGTTTGCGCGCGAGCTGCGACATCGAGCCGTCGAAGCGGACGAATGGTATGTGCTCGCGCGCGAGCATCGGCTCGATCAGGTCTAGGAAGCTGGTGAATTGCGAGAATACCGTGCATTTGCCCGCCGGGTCCGTTTTGCGCAGGTGCTTGAGCTTGTCGAGGAGCGCAGTGATCTTGGCCGATGAGTGCGCGCTGTTGACGCGGCGGAGGAAGATCTGCGGGTCTGACTCCGAGGAGGAGGGCGGCGGTCGGATCACTTCGAAGATGTCGCGTTCGTTGATGGGTGCGCGGCATGTGGGACATAGCGGGAGTTTCTCTTGTGCGCGTTCATGCTCAATGAAGGACAGGAGACAGTCCCGGCATGCGGCATGGAAGCAGTCGGTTACGGCTTCGTTTTCTAGTGGTTCCGAACAGCAGATCGGACATTCATGGCCAACTTCTTCTTTGATCTGCTGAAGGATGTGTGCGCCATAGGAGCTGGCGTTGGTCTCGCTTTCAGTTGCTTCGGCCGTGAAGCGGTCGAGGAGGGCGTTGAGGTCCATGTCGTCCGCCAGACCGTTGGCGGCATCGTAAGCGGCTTCGGCTTCGAGTTCGTCTTCTACCACATCTTTTCGACGGATCAAGCTGGGGTGACAGCAGGATTGCCGGAGACGTAGAATTTGAGCCAGGATGGTGGTGTAGGACTTCATCACCGTTCCGGCCTATCAGGGTCAGCGACGAAGGTATCAATATGGATGAGGGACACATGCCTCTAGGTTATGTTTAAACACCCTCTTCACGCGGTCCTGAATGTGATCATAAACTTCCCTCTCCTTCTTCGACAGCTTGACTGTCTCAATCACAACGGACTTGGGCGGCAAAGGAACCAACGGATCTCCGTTTGGCAGCTTCATGTCCTTAGTCCGCCGAAGAACCAGTGGTTCCAAGACTGTTTGCACCACATCCAAAGCCTTCACGAATTCCTTGTTCTCGAAGGGAGTTGTGATGAATGTCTTCCAGAAAGAGAAGCTCTGCCAAGGGTCCACACGCAGGAATCGCACAAGACTGAACAAGTCTTCCAACCGGTTCACAATCGGAGTTCCAGTCAAGGCCCATCGGTGCTCAGCATGCAGCTCGTAGCAGGCTTTGGCGGTCTTGCTCAACCGATTCTTGATGTGATGTGCCTCGTCAAGAATAATCCTGTAGAAGCAAACCGAGAAAAGGCCACCACCCGAACTCCCGTTGCTCCCGGCTCTGGTAAGCTGTGTGTATTCCGAGAGCACCGTACCGTAACTGGTGATAACCACATCCGGGCCGCCGTCTGAACCCAGCAGCGTTTGCAGATTTGCCTTTTTCTCATTGCCGTAGTACACATACGGTTTCAAGGTCCCTTCTTTAGAGGCAGCTTCGGTTTCAAGTTCCCATTGTGATAGCAAACTCATCGGTGCCACAACCAGGGTTGTAGAAATGCCGCCCAGGATGCCGTGTACGGACTTTCTCGGTTTGATGTCCTTGTCCAGTTGGTTGGTGTGAATCAGACTCAGCATCTCAACTAAAATCGGGTCAGTCATTGAAAATCGAAGTCGGACGGGAGACAAACTAGTCTTTCCTAGACCCATCTCATCAGCTAGAATGCCGCCGAGACAGTTCTGCTCTTGTCGTGGGAACTCTATCGACAGTTCACCGGAGTATGGGTTCACGTAAAACACATTGAATCCCTCAACCGGTGGGATGTCTTGCTCGTCCTGGTCCTTGACAGGCCAGAGATACTCTTCCCAGAGTGGATGCATCGTGGCGTTTTCCCGGTCGGAGTGGTTCTTCTCCTTGTTCACCAACCAGTGGAGGGCTTGCTTCTGGTAGGGGCGGAGGTCCAGCGCGAACGTATCTGCCGGATCGGCCTTGGGGGAGTCGAAATCGAAAGATTGCGCCTTTTCTACACACACGAGAACAGTCAGCACTCATCCATAGCTTGATGCAGAGTAGAGACTTACTATACAGGGCATCCAACTGATCTTGCTCGAGTTCTTTACCCTCCTCGGTCTCATTCGATTCGGATTGTGTTCCTTGCTCGGCCTGTGCCTTATCACCCCCACTCTCCACGAGCTCAGCAGACTGAAGGATAGCAGACCTTTTGTGTTTCTGATCGATCCCAACGCTCTTGACAGGTTCTAATCCGAGCTCAGCGAAAAGCTTTACCAACCCCACCTGTCTCAACCGAATCGCCTTCTCATCTTCTGTTTCTTTGGGGGCAAAGAACTCCACAGGGCTATCGCTATCTACCGGCGGCAACTTCCTTACGAACGCTTCACGCAGCATGTAGCACCGCACCTGGAGGTAGACAGTATCATTTGTACGTAGTTTCTCGGGCGCATAAACACACGTGCCCTCAAATGTGCAAATCTTCTGATCGATCAGCGTCGACACGAATTCCGCCGTCTCCTGCGGAAGCCGCCCGACTTCCTGTCCCTGCGGATTGTTGAAGCGCACGACGATGTCTTGCGTCTTGCGGCGGGCCATCGTCGGCTTTTTTACTCCCTGCGGCTTGCCCGTGAGTTTCTGCCGCTCGATCATCACGTTTTGCCCGTGCAGGAGCAGGTTGCTTCCGCTTCGTGTGGCCCAGCCTCCTACGCCAAATACGCCAAGGTATCGCTTTGTCGGCTGTCCGTCCAAGCCAGCGGTAGAGACCTCCACTTTCCGGGGGCCAGTGATACTGCTACCACTATCGCTTTTCGTTGCTGGGGAGACGTTTATTGCGGACGAGACACGTTTTCTGGATGAAGATTCCGATGCCAGCATAGGTTGCAGTGATCCATATGCACTCGATTGTGCGGGAGCTCGAACGGCGTTCCACGAGCCATCGAAGTACCTGCGATAGTAAGCGGATCCGAAAGGCATATGAAGCGTCAACGAAGGTGAGGTATTACATGTTGATAGCTAGGACACCACCGTTAGCGCACAACAACAACGCTGAGCATCACCGGCACCCATACCTCTCTCCATATTCCCACCAGAGACGTCCTTCAAACGCTTCAAATCCTTAGCTGGAAGCTGTTCTCCAATTATCGCGGATATCATCGCAGGATCAAAGTCGCCTCCGGTTGCGTGGCCATTGCCGTGCACTGCAGCCGGCGCAGCCGCAGGACCTGGATTTCCGTTTGGAAGATATGTCTTATTCGCCGAATCGTGCTGATCCCGCTGAACTCGTCTCTTCTTTGCGGGCGGCGTATCGGACATTATCGTGGGGAACGTGAAGGTGCGGGTGTGGTTTGCGGAGCTCGCGGATTGAGTGGTGGCTGACGCGACTTTCGTCGGTTGCGAGGCAACGCGTTTATGGGTTTTTTTTTAGCGTGGGCATCCATGCGCATTACGGCATGGTCTGGTCGTTTCATTGCTTGGCGCGTTGGGTCTCGGGAGTCGGGGCAGCAGCAACTCTCCGACTTTCACCCCGCTACCAACGGCTCTCCCGTATGTACACCCCAGAGTCCAGATCGGCCGGAGCATTCTGTTCTATTCGCTTCCTGCAAATAACACGGCAGAGGACGACGTTATCGACAGATGGAGATGCAGAGGACGACAATGCCTGTCGACGGATGGAGACACAGCGGTCGGCATGTCGACTGGTGCAAATATCGCCGGCAGATGCGATATCTGCATCTACAATGCGAACATATGTAGCCCGTTGCGGCGCTTGGACTTTGGAGGCCTGAATTCTTAGCAGCGTTGCGGAGGATAACTAGCCTTTATCGTCAATCAGGCACCAATGAGGCTACTTTCTGCGTGACAAGGGCGGCACGACGGTTCGGAGAGAGATCACCGTTCACTTCAAAGTTCAGCCTGGCAATCGGTATATCTGGACCCGTGGTGGGTGCCTGGTGTTTCATGCTTATATCTACGCATTGTTAAACTGCCGCTGATTAACTCAATGGATCTCGTCAAGCCAATACCAGGTATGGAGCATTGCTTGGTTTGTTCGATCTCATTATCTATGTACTGGCACCCGCGTCCCATCGGTTCGTGGGTCATCCGTGAGTGCAATCTTTGATGCCTTGTATCAGCACTAGAAGCTTCGTGATGATCCGCGCCAGCCGCTCAATCGGCTCTTGCGTTAACACCTCAGGCAGGCAGTGCTAGCGAACACGAAGGGAGCTGGTGAGTTCGGTTTCAAGACCGATTTCCGCCTGGGCAAGACATGATCGATGGGATTATGGGCGGCCTAAAGGCTGGACAACGGATGGAGCTTGGCCGGTTCAGTCGCTTGGCTGTGGGGTTACTATTGGAACTGTGATTGTTTTCGTTTGCTTTCCCTTTGGCCTTTAGGTAGAGGGGCGATGGTGTTGAGTTCCGGTTATCAAATCTTCTATGCTTGACTGTTGGCAAACAATCCAATTGAAGTTTTTTTGAGCGAACAAAGGCATGCTGTTTCAAAGCCCGCTTTCTCTCCCATTGCGCCAATTGCTATTGCGGTAGAGGTTTGTTTGTTCTTGTAATTGCATAAGCGATTGCTTCAAGCGCGGGACCGTCTGCCAGGCGAGATCCGGCCGCGGGGAGAGAAGGAGTTATAGGTCGTGACGTATATCAGTACCTTATGTAGGTAGTCACCAGACATCAGAGGTCTCCTGAAGATTTTCAGTTGGTGACGATAGAAAAGCGAGACTGACTGCGGTCATTTGTGTGTAAGAAGGCCAAGTAGGCAGAGTGAGTCTGTGGTCCGATGCATAGCCCGGAACGGGTCACTGCTACTAGGAAGCTGCAGTGGTGCTCACAGCTCCACTCCAGCTTTGAGTCACCATCGAATTCCAACTCAGTCACCGCCCCCCTCCCATCTCTTCTCATCGTCGCTGTTATATAAACGCAATCCCTCCTCGCGCCCCAGTTACTTCGAAATCCTCCCACCATAGCCTCCCTACCGAGATCTACCTCCTGCAGCATCTTCCAATTGCTACGCGTCGATTACCTACCCCGCAGAGTGACATCAATCCACTCAGCTGGGCGTCTGCAACTCCATTCCTCCACTCCCGAATACTAACTTTTACCTCCGGCAAATGTCTAAATTCGTGGACAAAGCGATTGCCCACGAGCGGCGGCGCGCCGGCGAGACGGCATTGAGCGACTTCGCCGAGTACGTTGAGAAGCAGCAGCAGCAGCAACAGCGACGCCGGCAGCCTAGTATAACGACCGGCGGCGAACCATCGAAAACAGCGGCGAATGACGATCACGATGAGCTCGACATCCTCGAGACGCTAGGGCTGTCGGACGAGTCGGAGCAGGTGAAGCTCAAGGGCCTGCTGCTCGATGCTACGGACGAGAGCCGAAAACGACTGAAAGAGCTGCTTGATACTCGGATTAACGAGGGACGGGGGGAGACGCTGTTCGATATTGGCCACGAGAATGATGGAGAGTCGATGGGGTTCACGAAGGAGGACTACGAGGTGGCGCTTGCGTCGATGAAGGCGGCGGCCAAGGAACTCGGCGCGGGGGTCACTGTGCTGCTCACAAAGAATACCGGCGCTCCAACGGATGTGGAGTCCACGTCGAAAGATGTCTGCGCCAAAGCCATGGTACGGCGGCAGCCGCATAGCATAGACGAGCTTCTTGAGATCCGGGTGGCAGTGGTCGGAAACGTGGACGCTGGCAAATCCACTCTGTTGGGTGTACTGACGAAAGGAACCCTCGATGACGGCCGAGGGCGGACACGAGTGAATCTTTTCAGGCACAAGCACGAGATTGAGTCCGGCCGGACTAGCTCTGTTGGCATGGAGATTCTGGGTTACGATGTGGATTCGAATATCGTGGTGAGTGGCGATCCTGGCCGCAAGCTCAAGTGGGAGGAGATTGGCCATCGCTCTGCCAAAGTCATCGGCTTCACCGACCTCGCTGGACACGAGCGATATCTACGGACTACGGTCTTCGGCCTGCTCGGAACGTCGCCGGACTATGTCATGCTCATGGTCGCGGCCAACAATGGTCTCATCGGCATGTCCAAGGAGCACTTGGGCATCGCAATGGCCCTCAACGTTCCAGTACTAGTGGTCATCACCAAAATCGACATCTGCCCGCCCCAGATTCTGCAGCAGACCATAACACAACTGACCAAAATTCTGAAATCCCCCGGCGCAAGAAAGATTCCGATCTTCATCAAGAGCAAAGAGGAAGTGATCAACACGGCAACGCAATTCGTCAGTGAGCGCATCTGCCCTATCTTCCAGGTCTCAAATGTCACCGGAGAGGGCCTAGACTATGTCCGAACCTTCCTCAACATCCTGCCTTTCCACGGGAAGTTCGATTCAGACGCGTCCTTCGAGTTCCACGTCAACGACTGCTTCTCGGTGCCGTTCGTCGGAACTGTGGTCTCCGGCGTGGTCAAGAGCGGCGTCATTCACGCCGGAGACAACGTCCTCGTTGGACCCGACAGCCTAGGCAACTTCATGTCGACCACGGTCAGATCTATTGAGAGGAAACGTCTGCCGGTGCCGGTCTGCTCGGCGGGTCAGAGTGCATCTTTCGCGCTTAAACGAGTGCGCCGGAAAGACGTACGCAAGGGAATGGTGGTCTTGCCGAAGATTGAGGGCGTCACTCCGAAAGCGTATTGGCAATTCACTGCCGAAGGTTTGTTCCCACAAGACCCGCCACGCCTCCATTGAATTGTGACTAACGTAGAGTGTAGTGTTGATTCTGTCGCACGCAACAACCATCAAGCCCAAGTACCAGGCGATGCTGCATGTCGGGCCAGTCAGCCAGACCTGTAGAATCGTCGCCATCGACCGCGACCTTATGCGAACAGGTGACCGGGCATCTGTAGTCTTTGAGTTCTGCCAGCGCCCGTGAGTACAATCCCACCCCAGCAACCCGTAGGCAGCAGCTGACGTGAGCACTAGTGAATTCCTCTGCACCGGCGACAAGCTACTATTTCGTGAGGGCCGAACCAAAGGTCTGGGCATAGTGACGGCCACCGGCTTTGACAAGCAGAAGTTCCCGAATGCAATAATGGACGAGCGTGACGGCAAGGAGGAGAAGGCCGCGCTTAAGGCGGAGACCCGTACTGCCGCCTCGAAGGCCGAAGCATATGCCAAGGGTGCCGCTGCGAAGGCTGAGGCCCAAGCCAAGGGTGCCGCTGGGAAGCCTGAAGGCCATGCCAAGGGTACTACGAAACATGAGGTACGGAAAGAGGTCGGGAAAACATGATGTGATGTGGCCTGTTTCTTGAGTTCTTTGGAATTTTGGTTTGCGTTGTTTTGCGTTGTTTTTGCATTGTTTTTCTTATGTTAGCAATTTGTACTTTACTGTAGGTGCGAGCATTGTGGTGGCGCGAATCTATGTTATGTTCTACAGGGGACGAATGGGTGGAGTCAATTGATGTTGGCGGTGTCCAACGTATTCTGCAATGTCCTTCACGAATGAAGCCCAAAGCTGAAGCCTTCTCATGATTCCTCACCAAATATGACTCCCACCGCGCCAAGTCCATCCACCGCATACAGCCTAGCTTACTCTTACAAAGACGCATTACCGCTACCATTTCGTCATACCTCATCTCTCCCCCAGCACACCCACCGTCTCCCACCCCACCCCACCGCACGCGATGATACTCCGACACTTCCTACGGCGCTCGTTCAACTCCAGCAGTACCTCACCCACGATCACCAACCTCTCCGCCACGAGATCACTCCTGCACCTGCACGGCCCCGACGCCGCGAAGTTCCTACAGGGCATAACCACCTCGCAACTCCTGACGCCTCCACCCACCGGTGCAGTCTACAGCGGGCTCCTGACCGCACAAGGGCGGGTGCTATTTGACACGTTCATCTACCCAGCGAACACCTCTGCCGCGTGGCGCGCAAGCCTATCACAGAATGAGGACCCGCAGGATCCTGCATTCTTCATCGAGGCGGATGCGGCAGAGGTGCTGAAGCTCAAGGCGCACCTGCGACGGTACAAGCTGCGGAGCAAGGTTGCCATCCGCGAGGTCGAGGACTGGGGTGCCTGGAGTGTGTGGGACGGCTCCGCCGCCGCCGGGGATCTGGGCGGTGTTGATCCGCGCGCGCCCGGCTTCGGCGCGAGGGTGGTGCTGCCGGCCGGCGCAAGGCCGCAGGGGGAGGAGGTCGGCGCCACGGAGTATATGCTCAGGCGAATCATGTACGGAGTTGCCGAGGGCGCGAGGGAGATTGTCCCCGGCACCGCGCTGCCGCTGGAGAGTAATATGGATCTGGCCCATGGCGTGGATTTCCGCAAAGGTTGCTATGTCGGCCAGGAGCTTACGATACGCACGAAGCACACGGGTATCGTAAGGAAGCGCATACTGCCGGTGGCGCTGTACGCTGCTAGTGAGGCGCCGCCAACGACATTGGAGTATACAGGAGGCGCGCCGCAACCGGAAGTGGGCGCGGATATTCGAAATATTGGAGGGCGCAGGGGGAGGCCCGTCGGGAAGTGGTTGGATGGGCTTGGGAATGTCGGCTTTGCGCTGTGTCGGTTGGAGCCTATGGCGGGGGTTGTGCTGGAGGACGGTGTAAAAATCGAGGGCGAGCATGCGGAGAGCGAGGAGGTGGGCGAGTTTAGGGTCGGTGAGGAAGGGGAGAGCGAGATAAGGGTCAAGGCTTTTGTCCCGGCTTGGATGGGGCTTCAGACGCGGTGATGCCTTTTAAAAATGGAGGAGGAGGAGGAGGAGGAGGAGGAATCATGGTTTTGTGTACCAGTTACCCATTCTATGACGCTACTAGTAATCATGGAATAAATCATGTTGCATCACTCGGTTAGCGAGTGATTGTCAGTGACAAAAAGCCAGTACCTAGATCAACAGTCCATGAGGCGAGCTTTATTACTTCTGATCCGAAAACTCCTTACGGCGAACAAATGTAGAAAGTTTTTGCGAAGAGGAAGAGATGGTAACCTGATAGGTATGTATCGATTGCGGTTGCAAGTAAATGTGTGATGTTGAGTCATTGTTGACTCAGAGGTACGAATGGCAAATTCTTGATTGGTGAGTCAGTAGATTGAGCGGTAATGCGATCCATGTGCTGATACGGGATGTTACTGTGTGATTTATGTGATCGGTAACCCCAAGAGCTCAAGACGGTGACTTATGAATAGATGATTCAACGCCGAGTCGGAGAATTTTAAGCCAAGGGTATGACACCAACGTTCCCACTCTACATAGTATAATAGCACAGATTATAGTAGATAGACACAATAGAACCCACCGTGTGAGAAGAAATTGAATTAGTACATGGAATTGTGGTCTACAGTTGATCTGGTCGATGGTATATACTTAGCGAGTCGCGCTCGGTAATGAGGCCATCCGTGTACAAAAAAAACACCATGATTTATTCAATCGTCTCAATCTACTGTAAGACAAGAAAAACTAATGCCGCCACCCGCTGTAGTTCCATCCCATGTACTTTCAAACGTAAGCAGAAACACAATTCGTTCAAATCTCAAACTAAAAGCAAACACGATCGTATGAAGCCCCAATTGATCGAAACCCACCCTAAAATATCGCCCTCAGAATTCAAACGTAGAAATGCATCAGCCAAACCATTCAAACGCCATCAAGAAATGCAAGAAGGATATGAACTATGTAGGCCCGCGAGCAAACTTCCGGATTTCAGTCAAGTCCGCCCAAAGAAAAGCTAGGATCAGTTAGGATCCCATGGCCCAGTCTACCGTCGGTTGGATTCGTAGCCCCTGCTGCGCTCACGTCTCGCCGTGTAGTCTCCTCTGGTGGCCATTCCCCAGTCTGGATGGGTTCTGTCCGAATAGATTCCGTCTCGACCAATTCTCTCGGGAGGAATTGCCTCTCGACCAATCCTCTCGGGAGGAATTCCGTTTTGACGAGATCTGTCTGGGTGAAAACTATCGAAGGATCCTCTTTCACGACGGGGTTCAAAGGTCCCTAGGTAGCCGTCGCGGCTATCAGTTCGGCTCAAGCGTTGGTCTACCAAGCGCCTGCCATCCTCTAGCCTGTCACGTCCTTCACCGCCCAACCATCCCTCGTGGCGACCCATAGTATGCCTTCCCTCGGGTCTTCTATCATCCCCGACACGCCGGTCCTCAGGACGGCGGTCATGTCTGTCCGCTGGACGCCTCTCATCTTCGAAAGGTCTCCCCGTACCTCTGTAATGTTCAGCCCAATTCGTCCTATGGCGCCTCGTATCTCCAGGACTGTAGGGAGGCCTCCTAGCTTCTACTCGCATAGCTCCCGCGCTATTAGGACGGTGCACAGGAACGGGGGCCTGATGGGATGCGCGGGGGCGCCTCCGAGAGGATGATGGAAGCTCCGGTCTGCTGAGCGGCTTATACAAGTTCGACAACGCATTTGGCGGCAGTTGCTGTGGTGGTAGCGGTGATCTAGCACTAGGCGATTCCAGCCGGGGGATTTCACCAGCACTCCGTAGAGGAACAGTGAGTGGTTCCTTGATGATAGGTTTGGGGCTGTTGGGGATTGGGTCCTTGACGATGGCGTTGGAGCTGTGGATCTTTAGCTTATTTGCCAACCTTTCCGCGACATCCTCTGTGTGGTCTGCGAGTGGTTCCTTGATGATAGGTTCGGGGCTGTTGGGGATTGGGTCCTTGACGATGACGTTAGAGCTGTAGATCTTTAGTTTATTTGCCAACCTATCCACGACATCCTCTGTGTGGTCAGCGAGTGGTTCCTTGATGATAGGTTTGGGGCTGTTGGGAATTGGTTCCTTGATGATATGTTTGAGGTTGTTGGGGATTGGGTCCTTGACGACGGCGTTGGAGCTGTAGATCTTTAGCTTATTTGCCAACCTATCCGTGACATCCTCTCCGTAGTCCAAGAGCGGGTCGGTATGGGCGTATGAGACCGTGGGTGGGCGAGTGCGTTGCAAGGTGATGGGCTCTTCCTTCTTCCGATCTTCCCTTGGACGCTCTGGCACTGTGTACTCCTTCATCGGTCGACCCTCTCTTGTGCGGTCATCCCGTAAGAGATCCTTCTCTGGTCGATTTTCTCTCGTACGTTCCTCCCTTGTGCGCTCGTTCTTTGTCCACTCTCCTTTTGTGTGGCCCTCCACACGGTCACCCTCAGTATCCCTCTTGCCAGATGACCCTTCTGTATCGAGCGTTTCATGTTTGTGACTCGCCGATTCAAACCGAAATCGCTTGCCGCTCGTCTCACATCCCGGCGACGGGCTCCTGGCTTGTGGTGCCTTCGAGTTATGTTTCTTCGAGACATCATTCAACTTCTCGAGCAAGGAGCTGAAAGAATCAGGAGCTTCTTTGGGCTCTAGCTTTTCCTTCGGAGATGAAGACGAGCTTTTCTTGTATACCGCGGCGGTTAGGTGGTATGAGGGCTTCTTGAAGTTTTTGCCTCGCTGCTTAATCGCGGGTCTGTTGAGTCGGTGGGCCACTGTAGACTTCGCAGATGCTAGTACAGGCACAGGAGAAGTTCGGGACGGAGCAGTTGCCTTTTTTACACTTTCCGGTGCTTCATTGATAGCCTTCTGGGCCTTGGGCTTTGGTTCCTTCGTCTCAACCTGCTGTTCGACGTCGGCATTGTGCGGTGCTTTTCTCTTCTGGGGAATAACTTGAGAAACGACCGGTTTGTCCGAAATAACCTTTTTCGGAGGAACGACCTTCTTTGGAGGAATAGCCTTCTTTGGAGGAAGGGTCTTCTTGGGAGGATGGGCCTTCTTGGGAGCTGTGACAACCGGCTCCACATAATCACTATCCTCTCGATTTTCATCCGCCTCAATGGTAACCTTCTTCGCCTTCTTGGGTAAAGCCGGTGGCCCCATGTTCGTGTTCCCATTTCTACTTTCACCTCCTCCTAACTTCTTCTTCTTCAGTATCCCTTGAAGGGGAGCCTTGTTCGCGGTCTTCTTATCACCGGTCTTCTTAGCAACTGCCCTCTTCTTCGTCGCCGGCTGCTCGTTCATCAACTGCGCTTCGCCGACAATGTCTTCAGCACGAATCGATCTCCTGCCACTCCTCATATCCAGACTCGGCTGCACCTGACGCCCGCGCTGCTCCGATTCCTTGACGGACCGTAGCAGTGCATTGCTCAGCCCCTTACGCTGCGTCGAAGGTGTGGTGACAAAACCGAGATCCGTTGCGTCGGTGCTGGCGGGGAAAACTCCGATGTCCTTGAGCGGGTTGTATTGCACTACATTGGGAACGCATTCGGTGCGGCCGTTCTGTTAAAAGGTGTCAATAGAGCTCGAGACTGCAAAGGAGGAGGGACGGCCTTACACTCGTGAGGGCTTTGTGGGCGAGGAATTCCTTGAGCGTACTTGGCTGGACTAAAGGTGAGACCGGAGTAGGAAGACGACTGTCGATATCCATGACGGCACGAGATTGAAGTGGGTCCAGGTCCGGAGATCCGGCCTTCATGATGGCTGCAGATGGTGGGGGTTGACGGGGGTTGGTTATGTCTGGGAGTCTTGCTTCAGTGGTGAGTAGTGAGGTGTCCAGACCCGAAGATTCGGCCTCCATGATGGCTGTAGATGGTGGGGGTGGAGATGCCTGGAAGTCTTGCTTCAGTGGTGAGATGGGAGGTAAGAAGGGAGGTGAAAAGGAAGGTGAGAAGGGGGGTGAGAAGGCTCGGAGATTTGGCCTCGATGATGGCGATAGTTGTGGTGGTTTGTAGGAGTTTATTGGGGGTTAGTGATGTCGGAGAGTCTCGTTTCGGTGGTGCGCAGGAAGGAGGTAGGGCTTGAGATTGGGGTCGCAGTAACCAGAAAACAGGACTGGGGCAGGTCGAGCAAGAGGTTTCTAGAATAACAAATTATGAATTCATACATCGGTGACCCTAGCCGGGAAGATATACAATTGCCGCCAATCATAATCCACAACCAAAGATATTCATAAATCAGAAATCCTGAGAGTCCGGAACGACGTCGAGTGATGGGCGAGGTGTTACACAGTCTTCTCTCCTCTCGGCTACAGTATTCAGCAGTGCTAGCAGTAGTAGCAGGGTATCACCACTCTGCCTACGAGATGAGAGAAGTTAATCGAATTTGGAGGAACTTCTGGCTCACCAGTGCGCTCCTGACCCAGATTTTACGCTCCCCCCGCATAGTGAGTGATATCATGTGAGTATTAGCTGAGAGATCTTGATCATCGATGAAGAATATCAACCCGATATCCACTAATAGGATGGGTAGGAGCAAGCCCTCTGATCTTACTTGATGTCTAGTCTATTGTGGGAAGCTGCTTCGTCCAAATGGCGTTCAATTGATTCCACTTGCACTCTCTCCCAGCTTTATTTTTGTGGCGTTCGACCAAAGCCGGTCGCACCGGGTATGCTACTTACAATCGGCTGACGATAGGCGACAGTAACGGAAAACTTAGTACACCGGTGTTGTAGGTGACAGTTATTTACGGTGAATCCTGGGAGTTTTCCCGATGTCTGAACGTTCAATCGTCGATGAGCCCCTCCCCCTTGAACCCGTCAGCCCAGTTCTCAGGTGGACTAAATATGGTGCATCCTCTTGTAAGACTTTCCGGGTGATCTAAAAGTGACAGACGTGAGCGCTGTTGCTAGCTGTAGGGCAGATCCATAGCTTGCGTAGGGGAAGAGCAGACTCCGGGCCAATGTATTACGTATCCCCCCTACAATACAGTGAATCATCCTCCCGGTGCAGCCTCCGTCTTGCATCTCATCTCCCTCCTAGTCATCATCTCCTTGCTTCTCCTCCCCTCATCCCTGCTCTTGGTGGATCTATCATTCGCCGTTCCGCCTCCACATACACTGGCGAAAAGTGGGAGCTTTGAGTGTGGTCCTGCCTGATCAAAAAGCGGATGCCACCAAGGGGTGATAGTGGAGTTTCGTGGAAGTTTTATCGTCCTTGTGTTTGGGGAAGCAAAGCGATATGGCTGAAGAGTGATGAGAAAGGATTCTATTAGAATCATAAGCGTAGTCTCTCGACTCCCTGCATAATCAGGCACGAGTGCATCACAATATCTCACACGGCCTCAATGCACCCCGCCAACGCCAAGCCGTTCCACAATGACCAAGGCGAATTCCGGTTCCGCGGTATGTACCAGCACCTCAACCACCCCGCCATGCCTCCACGATTACCACTCCCGCTTCCGCGGGTCCTTTCCACCGCGCTCCGGCAATACCTGCGACACACACCGCCACCCACGCCGCGATGCGTCCTCCCCGTCCTCTTCACGCGCACGTATGCGGGCGGCCGCGGCCGCGGCGGCAGTAAAACGAAAGCGGCGCCGGTTACGCCGAACCCGAAGCTGACGCGCGTTGCGGACGAGGCGATCGGCGCGCTGACGGTCAACTACGTTGACGCGGACGGTCAATTCCACGAGGACGTGAACCTGCGGAAGATACTCGCGTCGATCGACCGCGAGGTGTACACGCTAGTCTGCGTGAACCCGCAGGCCGACGCCGACCAGCCGCGGCTCTGCAAAGTCCTCACCAAGGCGTCGATCGAGGAGTACGATAAGAATAGCTTCAAGGCGGATAGAGAGAAGAGGAAGTTGAAGCGAGAGACGAGCCCCCAGAATGTGCTCAAGGAGGTCGAGTTCTCTTGGGCGATCAGTGAGCATGATCTCGGGCATCGCATGAGGAAGGTCCAGGAGTTCATGGAGAAAGGGTTTAGAGTGGCTATCTCGTTGGGCACGAAGAGGGGGATGATGAAGCAGCCGCTGGGGACGATGGTGGAGCTGCTAAGTAAAATTAGGGAGACGTGTGAGCAGTGGGGGAAGGAGTGTAAGGCGCCTGAGGGGGCCATCGGAATGAGGTACACCATGTTGTTTGAGGGGAGGAAGCTGCAGAAGGAGGAAACCGTCGAAGGCGAAGATGGGGTTGTGGAGGAGGGGAGCGTCGAAGGCAACAGAGATCAGGTTGTGGATGAGGTTGTGGATGAGGTTTTCAAAGACGAGCAGGAGGCGGATTCTCGAGATGGGGAGGAATGGGCGAACGATCAGTCGCCAGGAAAGTACAATCCAAGCGGTTAGACAACGATATCACGCATGTAAATACTCTCGAATGCTGTATACTACAATCACACGGTCTCACTTGGCTGCCTCAGCCACACTACTATAGAGTAGAGCACCAGCCTCCCAAACCCAGCCACGTTTTACGCGAAGGTGTAGAGTACAACACGTCCTCCCTCGCGCGCGTCGTCCTCCCATCGCCCTCCCACCGCCTACCCATCGCCACCACCACCACCACCACCATCCAACCCTCCCATCCACAATGTCAGACCAAAACATACGAATCAACGCCCCCCTACTCGACAAGTTCGTGAGCCACACGGTCCGAATAGTCGGCAAAGTCACCGATGTGCGGGGCGACACAGCAGTTATCGACGCCAAAGGGCCGATCACGCTCATTCTCGGCCGTGTACTCTCCCCCTACCCCTCCTCCTGCTCCGTGGATGTGTTGGTGGATGTATAGATACAGCTGCTGATGAGAGAAAAAACAGGACGATAACTTAACCGTCGGCAATGGCGTCGAGTTGATCGGACGGGTGCAGCAGGGGCTCGAGGTGAAGGTGCTCACCAGTTGGGATTTGGGTGATGGAGTCGGTACGTTCCCCCCTCTCTCCCTCCCCCCGATCTCCCGCCTTTGGTTGACTGGAGGGGAAAACAGATTACAACCTCCAAGACGCGGTGGTCGACGTTGCGCATCGGCACAAGACGCTGTTCTACGATGCCAATTAGACGGCGGCGACTACTATACCTACCATAATGACTTGCTGCTACACCCAACTGTCCTCTGCGGTGTGGGGTGTGGATGTGATGTGAAGAATAAAAACCTATCTACATATCGCTGCGCACAAAATCTAGACTTTGATTTGTTTCAATGTGCAATTGTCCTGTCAGCCAGTCTTGTCAGCCAGTGCTATCAGCGAAAAAACAATCCATCTGGCATCTGCCATTCCTCTCGTGAAAAAGGGGTTTGTAGCTGTATAAAGGAGAAGCAAGCAACGCCTCGAAAAGCGCCCCATATGTAGAGTACAAACACAACCATCAAACACAGTCTCAGCCCGTCATCTCATCAGCCCGTCAGCAGCATGGCCACGACCGCAGCCACAGACGTCCACTATACACTGTCTATTGTGGCGTCGTGTCGCATCAGAGCGTTCCAGACTCCAGAGCAATCTAGATTCCAGAACAAACCGCGGTATGTACCGTAGTCAGAGCAGACAGCAGACAGCAGCAGACAGCAGCAGACAGCAGCAGACAGCAGCAGACAGCAGCAGACAGCAGACAGCAGCAGCGGCCACACTGCGCCACAATTCCACTGCGCCACGTTCCACCGGAGGAGCGCCACCTTTTTCTTGAGAGTCTCGGTGATATGCACATGTAGAGAGAGAGAGAGAGAACATCAATTTATTTCGCATGCAGCCTATCGGCGAGCGTACATGCATAGAGTACATGTCTACCGGAGGAGTTCCGTGAGTCGGTGACAACCGATGATCCGCATCCTCCCACTTCGCGCCAACGCCTCGCCAACGTCTCGCCTCGCCTCCAACCCAGCGATTCGGCCGAACAACGCCGACGCCGAAATCGACTCCTCCACATCTCCTCCTCCGGTCAGTGGCCTCCTCCTCTAGTTACCTGCAACACAAAAAAAAAGTCTGTACTGGTAGTCTGTAGTCTGTAGGTAGTCTGTAGTCTCTACCGGTAATCACCCCCACCACCCCATATGGGTACACACGCCTCCCCTCCCATCCCCCTCCCCACTTCCCCGCCTCATGTCTCCTCACCCCTCCCCCACAGTCGACCACCACCGCATCAACCGGCAAAAAGGCACCCCTCCACCGTAGTTACCTTTCCGCCCCCACATTCCCCTGTCGGCGTACTCCGCAACCCCACCTTCACAATCACCCTGCCAGCTACACATCAACCGCGGAGCATGAAAATGAACGAACGATAAAGGGGAGAGTAAAGCGGACAATAGAGCGGAGAGGATAGGTTATATCAGCCTAATATATAGTAGCCTCCTCCTCCTCCTGATCCGGCCTATCCGATAGATGAATCCCATCCCATCCAATCCATCCATGATCCAGCTCTGTATGTAGTATGTACAAGACCCCTCCAGAATACCAGACCTCCAGAATGTCAGAATACCAGCGGTATGTAGAGTATGCGCCTTGCGCCAAAAAAAAAGTATGTAGAACAAGAAAGAGACAAAAGAGACAAAGGAAAGCCAGCAGAAGTGCCAATGTGTGTGTGAGTGTGTGATGTGTGTGTTGTGTGTCGTCCCATCAATTCCATGATCCCGTCCATCTATCCCGTCCATCCCGTGCGTCCATCCCGTCCATCCCGTGCGTCCATCCCGTCCATCCCGTCCATCATCCCATCATCCAGTTCTTGCGCCTGTAAATGAGTACCCAGTATGTAACGATAACTAATCCCCAGAGCAGAACACTCCTTCCTCCCCATCTCAAATGCTATACACAGAAGCAAAAAAAAAAAAAAAAAAAAAGGAGCAAAGAGCAAACAAAACCCCCACGCTTCCCAAATCAAAGAAAAAGACCCCTCCTGCCCCCAATGCCATGCTCGCTCGCTCGATTGCTCCCCATCCCACCTGATTCTAGTATGTGCACCAAACCCGAACGCCATGAAAAACACAAAACAAAAAAGAAAACAGCGCCGCATGTAGTGAGTGGGTTTGTCGTCCTCGTAAATCAATCAATCAGACCGCTATCCCCACGCCGACGCGGATGCCCATTCCCATCTCACCAAAGACCTCCTCATACCTCGGCAGCTTCGAGAGGTCCTCGATAGTGATGCCATTGGCGCCCTTCATTGTCGGCGGGCGATCGTTGGCATCATCGACGGGAGCGTCAGCCTCCGCTTCTGCGGGGACCATCTTTTTCGTTTCCCACATGATGCGGTAGCGCTTTCCCTTTACCACGACGAACTCGCTCTGCCTGGGTGAGTCGGCGCATAGCACGGCCATGCACCGCCGTGCGAACCGCATATTCGCCTCCCGAGTGATCCTGCTCTGCGGCGCCCATTTCCCCGCTTCGTCGAACGCGTGTTCCTCCGGCTCCGCCGCCGTCGAGCGCACCGCTGGCTGTGTCGTCCCAGCCGCCGCCGGCGTTACCCCCCTATTCGGAGTGAGCTGGAGGCTGTTGGCGATGTTGTCGAGTTGCTGTTGCGCGGCGTCGGCGCTCGCCGTAGCCCCCGTCGTCGTCGTGGTGAGAGGGGCGGCGGTGTCGGCCGTAACGACGACACGTCTTCTGCGTCGGCGGGGGAGCGTCTGGTATCGGGGCAACGAACGCTCTTCCAATGAAGGCGACACATCGATCGCGGCCGATAACGCTTCCAGCCAGTCAAGATACGACTCCAATGTGCGACACGAGATCAAGAATTGTACCGCTTGCACGCGTAATCTGATCGCAAAGTGCCTCCTACATTCCAGCACGTCAGTATTATAATCTACACCGCCCGCCATACACGCGTAAACCCAGGGAGTGGTCACAAACTTTTTGTAGTCAGTGGCCGTGCCAACTTCGCCGAGTTGGAGAGTGTAGCTCTCCAACAGCGGACCCGCCCGCCAGCCAGCTGGTTTGGAGGGGTCGGCCTTCTTAAGACCCCGGGCGAACCATGGGATCTTTCTTGCCTTGTGGACCTCGAGCTTCGTGCCGTGGAGGACCAGGTAGCACTTCTTCCAGCGGCGTTTGTGAGCTCTTTCAAAAGCTATAGGATGTCGCATTAGCATACTTCTTCCGCTTCCTCCTCCTGCTCCTCTCCACCGAATGCCACTTACGACTCTGCAGCTCCATCTTGCGCTCAAACATTGCCTCGCGGTGAAGCGAGCACGTATACGGCGGCAATTCTTCCCTTCCCTCCTCCTCTCTGGGCAGGATCTTGAATCTCGAAGGCGGCAGGTCATCGTTCTCGCCGCCGTAAAGCGGAGACGGGGAAGGAATTGCGGGTGTGGAAGCGTTCGGGAAAGAGTTTCTGTAGGTCGGTGTATCGGACCGAGGATCGGCGGTTATGGATCGGCGCAGCGGATTCGAGAAGACGGAGTGTGTATGTGATTCCACCTCAACCTCCTCCTGCGGCCTCCTCGTCCGGCTAAGCCGACTCATCGGAATATGTGTCTCCAACGAACTGCTCCCACGAAACATTGGCGGCATCGAAGCTCCTCAACGGCGGTTTGGTGGTCAATTTAAGCTTAAAGCTAGTCGCTGGTAGTCTCTCTCTCTCTGTCTCTGAGTCTGTCTCTTGATTTCCTCCTCGTCCAATTCGCTCGAGAGGTATCGTATGTAGTGGTCGACAGCGTGGTGGATGTAGTTGCGAGTGAGGTGAACGATGAACAATGGCTCGAGCTGTGACGTCTTTGCTTCTCGATTCTGTGTTTGAGTTCCGACAGCCAGGTATGTATTTAAAGCAAGCAAGCAGAGCAAGAGAGACTCGGGAATCGGTGCGGCTCCCCCCAGTCCTTTAAGTAAACAAAACCTCCCGATGCTGTCGATCCCTGACCCTCGGCCAGCAGCCGGGGGGTTGGTTGGCTGGTTGTCTGGTTGGCTGTTGGGTTACGTGATTTGCAAGGCAGGCAGAGTAGAGTAGTTACTGCAGTTGTCGGGGGTGTGTGGGTTGTGAGGTTGCAGGAATAATGCCAACGATGACACCGCCCTGATCGAGCTTGGGAGCCCCGAGGGGGGAGGGGGTGGGGGGGGGGGGGGGGGGGGGGGGTGACGGGGGGTGAGGTGTGATGTGATGTGGAGAGCTAGGAGGTATATTCCCACTATGTAGTAGAGTGGGTAGATCTAAAACCACGCCAGAGCGATGCAGGCTGCGCTGCCGTACCACCGAACCGGGAGAAGATCCGGCTTATACGTAAATTGGAGGGTTGGCGTTTCCGAGGCGAGGTGAGGCAGATGAGAGGAGGTTTGGGGATTGGAGGATTGGGATGGGGGGAGGAATCGAATTGACGGGAAGGGCACTTGGAGTTGGTTGCAAGGGCCGGGTTTGTTTGTTTCTTTCTTTCCCGTGGGCCAACAGCCGTGTAGAGGGTATATGGTATGTAGTAGAGTAGCGTTGTGGTATGGTATGTACGGTACGTCCCCCGAAGATGGATACAGCCAACAAACAGAGCTGATTTTTCTTTCTTTTATTTCTTCTTTCTCCTTCCCGCTCTCCTTCCCACGTGTGGACCTGCCCTTATGTTTGTGCGCTTCGCGAGTGGGGGTTCAAGCGTAAGTCAGTATGTAAGGCCTTCTCTTGGGCTTCTCTCTCGAATTCGTGGCTGGATTTCAATCTGACGTGGTGGTGGGCAGTGGGTGAATTGGCGAAGCTGCTGCGGGAGAAGTGCTGATATGTGCCGGGGGGAGGGGGGAGTGCCACGGCTTGGGATGGGGGCGTTTTCCTTCGAAGGTTCCTTTGTGCTTCGATCTGTGGGTTTTCAGATGGCCGATGCCGGAGTCGACAGGGCAAGGTGCTTGGGTAGAGTGGGTGAGTAAGTGAGAAAAAGTACTCTGCGTATGGATGGACGGACGTCGCCAACGACTACTACTGGCCCTATGCGCGATATCCGAAACGCTGCGAAGGGATAAAGGAACCGACGGGTGTGCTGTGTTGTGTCGCCATGTAAGTAACGACTCTAGAGTCTAGGAGAGGTACGGTATGTAGAGTACACTTGCGCTCTCTTGCTCCGCTGCTGCTGAGATGGAGAGAAAGGATTCGCTGCCGACAACGTGGGGCAGAGGAGGGTGCGTGTGTTTGCTTACTACTTCCTACTTGCTCCACGTTGTTGCTCGTCGCAGGAATCGCCAGTCGTCGTCGTCGCCGTCGTCACCGCCCAGACGGTTATGCTATGTCTTGGGGCGGGGCGGGACCCGTCGCAGTCGACACCGCCTGCCAAGACAGTTATATCCATCTACCTGACTCGTCGTCGTCGACGCTGCGGTGAGCTTGTTTGTCTGGGACTCGGGATACCTGGCTATCGATATCGATGCGTTGTTCCTGAGAGCCCGAAAGCCTGAAAAGGCGGTCGGGCCAACTAGCAGTCTCAGATGGCCCACAAGGAGTCGGGGCCTACTTGCACACCGTACGGCGTCCCTACTATAGATTGCCACAAGGAGGAGGAGCCTGGAGCGCTGCGAATATGCCATCAGAAAAACATGGAGGAATATCTACCCCATCTACCGGTAGTCTGATAAAGCCCCAGTCCGCAGCCGTCCTGGACCAGATTGAAGCCCCGACGCAAGCGCGCAGCAAAGGGCACAACTACCATTCCCGAGTACCTACCCACCTCCATACCCATCCATATCCCCCTTCTCCTACCCTTCTCCCCCTTCTCCCCCTTCTCCCCCTTCTCCCCCTCTCCCTTTCCCCTCCAACACGACGACCATCGACCATCAGCCACCATCGCCAGCCTGCCTGCAATTGGCCAAGCTCGATCCTCGGCGTGGGGAGGATCTATGTCGACTGTCCAGCTGAACCCTAGCACGTGTTCCGTTGCGTTGCGATGCGTTGCGATGCGTTGCGTTGCACCCCACCGCGGTGGCTTGCTCACATGGAGACCAAAGTTCAAAGTTCAAACAATTCGCCAGTCAGTCGCCAGCCTGGGCCTGGACAGTCTGCCTGCATTCTGCCTGCCTGCCTGCATGAGCGGATGGTGGTTGGCGGTAGTAACTGGTTGGTCGGCCGTGAGCCCTACATAAGAGGAGCGACAGAGGGTGTGCGCGAACAAAGATTTGTATGATAGATGCTCTAGCACCGGGACTGGTGCATGCCATGCCATTAGAATCGGCGGTTCGGACGATCCGAGAGTAGCGCGGGTGCGCGGGGGCGCGGGGGGAGGAGAGGGAGGAGGAGGAGGAGATGCGGGGCTGAGGGCTACCTAGAGCATACCGTACTCTGCTCTAGTCGCCCCGGAACGAGCTTGGTTGGTTGGTTGGTTGGTCGTCGGACATCTCTCGACATCTCTGCTCGCTGCTTGTTGCTTGTTGCTCGCCTCCGACCAATGCTCGCGGAAACACAGCCTAGTAACTACTACTACTGCTAGTAGATACTAGCAGTCGGGCACAGCTCAGTGAGCTCACCAGCTAGCAACTACCGAGTACTCGTTCCATGGCACGCCGCCTTCGCCGCCGCCTTCGCTCTTCCCCGTTCCCATCCCCGTCCCCGCCCCGTCGCGAACGAAAGCCGCCTTGCTTTCTGCCCGACCGGCCTTCCTTAGAGTACTCTAGCATCGATCTGCCCGCCAGCGCCGCCAGCGCCGCCAGCACCGCCAGCACCGCCAGCAAAGAAGCAGTCGTCTCATCCCATCAGCCACCCCCCCCTCCTCCTCTCCTTCTTCTTCCACTTCTTATGTACATATTCTTCTTCACCTGCCTGCATGCACACTGCACTGCACACTGCACAGATGATAGCTGCGGCGGCGGCATATGCAACCCATGCGCACGAACGCCGGGTGTGGATGCCCCATTCTGCCTGTTTTGCCGCCGCACCTCGGGGCTTGAAGAATAAACGAAAAGCATAAGTAAGTCCTAGTAAGCAGTTGCTACAGTTACCCCTCTGGCGAGGCTTTGTGCAACGATCCGACGAGTCCTGTGGGGGCCAGGAGGGAGGGCGAGTGAGTGAGGGAGCGAGTGGGTGGGTGGGTGAGTGGGTGGGGTGAGGCGGTCGCTGTCGATCCTCGTGAGTTGTAGTTATCTAGATAGCTGTAGCGGACTCCAACTCTCTCTCCACTTCTGCGTCTCGTGCGCACGGTATCTAGTAGTGTCCACGAGCCACTCGACGATAAGGATTGTGACCTTTGCATCTTTCACGTCTCGTGGACGAAATCAAATGCATCAGGTTCCCCGAGACACACGACTCGGATGGCGGGGCGCGATCGCAAGAGCAGATGATGATGCTGGTGATTCCGTCCATTTGCAGACGTGCGGAGTGCGGAGTGGGGAGGGAGGGAGGGAGGAGTTCACACCAACCGCAGCTCTGAGCTCAGAACTCTGTCGTGACTCGTCTCCGTGATCGACAAGACAGGACAGGGCAGGGCAGGACAGAACGAGACCGGATAAGACAGGATAAGACATGACAAGACAAGTCGTCGCGTCCGCCCTGCGCGTCGGTCGGTGATCGCCGCGGCATACCGCTACACATCATACTAGGTTTACACCTGTATGTACAGTACTTTGTGTGTACGGACGGACGTCTGCTCTGGACCTCTGTGGCTTCACCGACGATCACCCTGCCCGCCCGCCTGTCTGCCTGCCATGGCCAGTCAGCCCGTGACGACTCGCTCTCCCGCCACATACCTGGGTAGAGCACACGCCCGGGTACATCCTCATTCACTTCCTTGGCAGTCGCCCTCGAGGCTGCTGCTGCTACTTCTGCTGCACGGTTACGTACCATACCACATATCTAGTACCGTGTCTCGCTCCTCATCGCCCCTCCTCCGACGTACCTTCCTATGATATGTACATACGGAAGCCCTTCCCCAAACCGCCCTGCAGACCCGAGCCGATCTCGGATCGGAACGGGAATACGGCGGCGATCTGGGATGTGCTCCGAGGGCTAGTATGGAGTACATACATGCATTAGTGAAGCGTATGTGTAGAGTAATAAGTGCATGTGTGAACTTTGAAGACATCCGGGTCTCAACTCGCACCTGCGGGTTTGCGCTGGGTGAAGGATCGGCGCCGTGTGCTAGAGTGTGCCAGAGTTGAGTGCAAAGTCAAACTTCAAACAGGGCGACGCGAACAGAGAGAGATGTCATCGGTCGGCCGGTCGAGACGCGGCGCACGTGATAAGGCGTGCAGCGAAAGGTGGAGTGATACCGTGCACTAGTTGACTGCTGATAAATCATGAATCGTGGTGCACATGCTTCACGCTCTCGCTCACGCTCACGAGCACGTTCACGAGCTCGAGTTGGACTGTTGGACTGCTGGACTTTTGGAGATGTGAGAAGTGATCTGTCTACTCTACTCCACATACACAGACTCTATGATCACTCCATCACTCCATCCCGGAACACGCCAGAGGGTCGGTAGATAGCGGTACTAGTAGAGTAATAGTCATCACGGGCTTGAGCTCGGGCTCGTTAATCGAGAATCGAGATCGCGAGCTTCAGTTCTCCGCGCGCACGCTCGCTCGTTTGAAAGTTGAAATCCGTAAAACCCAGCGTCGACTGACGTATCTACAGGCTACTCCACCGTAGATACCGTATGCATAATGCATTCAGTCATCGGAGGGCCTCGAATAGTCCTCTAGAATAGTCCTCTAGAATAGTCCTCTAGAGTACTCTACACTGGCCGGCTCTCCCAGACAAAGCCAGCCCAGGCAAACTCGCGAGTTGCGGGTGACAGCTGCGATCGACATAACCTACCTCCTACCAGCACCTACCGGTAGGATACCGCCAGCAACCGCATGCCGACTCCATCTACCACTACAGCCGTTGCAGCCACTGCAGCCAAAACGAAAAACGAAAAACGAAAAACGAAAAACGAAAAACGAAGAACAATCCCCGGTCACGACCATGGCTCACGATGCATCTGTAGCCGTCTATCCGTCAAGTCGTCGGCAACAGTGGCATGTCCATCGTCCATTTCATCATCCGCCAGTTCCGCACGATCCGCCCAGCCCGGTTCGGTCCGGTCCGGTTCGGATGTGGCTGGTTCGAGATGGAGCGAGCTCGGGTTCGGGTTCGGTTCAGGGTTAGGGATTGGGTTCGGGTTCGGACTCGGATTCGGGCTCAGATGCTACATCACGGCGTTCAAGCTTGTGACATTCCGCTTGTGCCGTATGCATGCAAGCATAGGGTACCGTATGATCCGTAATTGCCCCGGACCTGCTCCTCCTCACTCGACAGGAGATAGGAGGTAGGAGGCAGGGGAAAGGAGATAGGACTCGGGAGACAGGGCTCGGGATACACGGCAAGTATCCTTTCCTTTCCTGTCCTGTCTTTGATTATGAATTTGTGGATTTGCGACTGCAAGCCAACACGGCGAATTGCACTCGACCGCACGAGGAACTCGATCACCTACCAGCCTGCCTACTAGTAGGTAAGTCACTCTACGGACTTGGCTAGGTTGTATGGGCTGTCAAATCCGACCTCCTCGACCCTGATCATGGAGACGATCGGTATCATCCAGAGTTCATCCAAAGTAGAGTAGAGTATAGTACCACAGCGATTGGAACGAAGCACTCGTTTTTTTCCCTTCTTTTTTCCCCCCGGGTATCGACCCTCCGCCACACCTTCCTCACTGTAAATCACTCGCCTCGCCTCGTCGTCGTCGTCGTCCTCGTCGTCGTCGTCGTCCTCGTCGTCGTCGTCGTCCTCGTCGTCGAGAGGACAATATCCGGATTCCGGACCTCGTTCTGGCCCCAGGACCCGGGTAGGAATCGAGTTCAAGGGCATTGTGCTCGTGACATGATATACCTAGTATTTACCGTGAGCTCGGCGGGCAGAAAAGTGTAAAAACTGAGAGAAATGCTGGAGGCCGAAAACCATGGTCGTTCTCCCTATGCCCCCTCTGCATCGACATCGACATCTAGTCGTGGAACGGGTCCACACTACTACTTACCCACGTACGTCTTGCTCTCTGGAGTCTGCCTGGCCGTTCACCATATCTTCCCGTAGTAGGTAATAGTGGGTGGTAGTAGTGGTGGTGGTATCCTATTCTCCAGCCTCCAGCCTCCAGCCTCCAGAAACCAACTTACTCAACCAAAGGACCTTTTAACTTCAATTTCAACTCCAACCTCAACGTGAGCGCTGCCCGACAGGCCCAAAAGTGTGAAAACGGAAATAAACGTTCCTCGGCCGAAAACCATGGCACGACTCCGAAGTCTGAACGAGGACCGAAAATACACCCTGGCTGCCAGGCTGCTAGCACTGGCCGGGGGGGAGGCGCTACCGTAACCCATCTAGCAAGTATTATGAGGTAGATAGGTAATGCAGTAGGTGGGTACCGCAGAAAACAAAAACAAAAAGATAAAACCCGAACCACGGTTTCCACCTCGAAAAGAGCGTCCTCCCCAACTTCCAAGGTTTTAGCCTTGTACAGCCTCCATCGATGGACCTTGGGCGTACCTAGCTAACATCCTCACCACCTAGGCACCTGGGAAATTCGCTACCACTGCTCGAGGCATGAGCCATGAGCCATGATCACTGAGCAATGGTCACTGAGCAATGGTCACTCAGTGGCCTGGTGGTTTCGCTGGTAGCAAAATGATGAACCCGCGACTCGCGAGGCGTCGATATCCCATGGGACTAGGTACACGTAAAAAATGTAATTGATTGGACACGACACGTTGAGCAACCCACCACGGTTATGCGCTGAGAACCCACGGATTGGTGGAAGATTGCTAAATGCTGCTTTCCCCGTGCGAACGTGGTGAAGATGTGTGGATATGTGACAGACAACTACCACACCACAGCACTGAGCACACTCTCTCATTCTCCATATCTTGAGCCCCGGAATCTCAAAATCGAAATCTCTAACTCGAGTGATCTCCTGTGAAGACATATATCCACCATGGGCGTGAGATCTCGAGACTTCACTCGACCGACTCTCGACTGACTCCCAAGATATCACATCCTCTCTGGCGTCGACGCGCGCACGTATGATCGAAAGCTCGTGTATGTATCCATCTACTATCCATCTACACACTGCAGCGCTTCACTACTTGGCACCAGCTGGCACGTGTATGCCGAAGTATGCTGAACCGTGCTGAACTGTGCTGCATCGTGTTGAATCGTCCTTTTGTAGCCATTACATTAAATTCCCATCCCCGATTCCCATCCCCGAATCCCATCCCCATCTCCACAGCTCAGCTCACTTGCACCATTTACACCATTTATACTACGTCTAGACTATGTAGGTACAATGTAACATGTAACTACCCTCTATTTTCTCACTCGCAGTACAATAGTACAAACACCGACTACAAACACCGACACCGACGACGATCATTACAGACAGATGCCATATACCCTATTCCTCTCATCTCCCATCCCAACCATATTCCCCATCCCCCCACCCCCCGTTACCATTCCATCCCATCCCCCAGTTCCCATTCCATCACGCAGACACATCAACAGAAGCCAGAGGCAAGTACGTTGTAATTGTAAAATCAAAAAGTCAAAAAAATCAAAACACCCCAACAAAAGCACGAAATCAGAATCAGAACCAGAATCAGAACCAGAATCAGAACCAGAATCAGAACCAGAATCAGAATCAGAATCGGAAGCGAGAAGGAAGGGAAGAAAAGCACGACACAAGCACGCAAACCGAACGGAAGGTAATGGTACATGTACAATCGAACGAAGCAAAAAAAAAAAGAAGGATCCCATGATGAGAACGCGAAGAAAAAAAGTAAAGGTGAAAATGTAAAAAGGGAAACACCCCCAGGAAAAAAAAAGTAAAAGTACAGGCCGGCGCGGGAAAAAAAAGAACACAGCCAGCAAAGAAACACAGCCAGCAAAAAGACACAGCCAGCCAGCAAAAAAAAAAGGAAAACCCCAACTCAGGGAAACCAATTAACCCCCCCCCCCGCCCCCGCCCCCGCCCCCCCGCCCCCCGCCTCCCCAGCTCACCCAGCACAAGAACAAGACCAACCCAGGAGAACATCCTCACATATTGCCGTCGATCATGTTGAGACGCTCCTGGGTGGTCTTCTTCTTGTTGGTCTTGCCCTTGGCCCGCTTCTTGCTTGCGCCAGAAGCAGGACCAGGGGTTTCGGCCTCGCTGGGCTTGCCAGAATCGTCAAAGCGGCCTTCTCCCTCGTGGTACCTGTAGAAAATCCTGTCAGCAAACCGAATGATATTGTACGAGTAGTAAAGGAAACTCACATGTCCTCGATGTCCACGGCCGGGACCGGAGCCGAAGGAGCCGCAGCAACCTTCTTCTTCTTCGCCTTGGTCTTCGGCTGGGCCTTGGCCTTCTGCTCCTCGAGCTCCTTCTCCTTGGCTGCGAGGGCCGTCTCCAGCGCCTCCGCCTCGTCCTTGTCGAACAACCAGGTTGCCACCTCCCTGGTGCCCTTGAAGTCGACGCTCTTCTTGGCGCCGGGGTCCCCTCCCTGGATGACCACTCGCTGGACCTCCTCCTTCTGCTGAGCACGCTGCCGGATCCGCTCCTCGATGGTTCCTCTCGTAATGAGACGGAACACCCGCACCTGTCTGGTCTGTCCCAGACGGTGCGCACGGTCCATCGCCTGACTGTCGATGGTGGGATTCCAATCGCTGTCGTAGAAAATGACCGTGTCGGCAGCGGTAAGGTTGATTCCCAACCCTCCGGCACGCGTACTCAGGATGAACACGAAGATATCTGGGTTGGTCTGCCAGGCATCGACCATATCGCGACGGTCCTCCAACTTGGAGGAACCGTCCAGGCGCAAGTATCTGTGATGGCGGTATGTGAGGTATTCCTCACACAGATCCATCATCCGTGTCATCTGGAAGTACAGAAGTACTCGGTGACCACCGACTTTCAGCTCCGTGAGGAGACGGTCAAGCTCGGCGAGCTTGCCCGAATCGCTCACGAAGCGTCCCATCGATGGCACCTGGACATGGCTGACAGCCAGTCTCTCCAGCGAAGGTCTCGGGAGCATGGGCGGCGGCAAAAAGTCCGCAGGATCGACCTTGTTCTCCAACAACTGCTCATCCTCGAGCGAGTTGGGACCGAACAGGAATCTCCTGGTCCTCTCGTTGAACAAGAGGTTCTCCTGCTCGTGGACAACGCCCTGGTTGTTGCAGAGCAAGTTAATCGGCGGAGCCGAAACTGCCCTGAACGTCAGGGGGTCCATGCAGTTGAACCTCTCGTCAACCCACACCTTCTCCGAGATCTTCAGGAGCGACGCCATAACGCCCTCCTTCGTTGCCGTAGCAACCGGCTCAGTGGCCGCAAAGTCGGTCACCAGCAGACGCGCATACCACGGCTCCCACGACTCGTCCTCGTCGTAAACGACAGAGAAACGCGCAGTCTGCTTCTGTCGAAGGGACTCGAACTTGTCGAGGAGCGTGTGGTGGAATGCTTTCGAAGCTTCCCCAACACTGGTGTCACTGAACCGAAGCCAGGAAAACACACCGTCGCGGTCCTTGTTGATCGACTCCTTGATGCAATCCGGTCTCCAGATATTGAATCGGGTGGCCAGAAGGTGGTTTCTCGAACCGTGGTTGGAGTCGGAGCCGGGCAGATCCAATCGTCCACCGTACCTGTACACGAGACAAGGTACTCGGTAATTGATCAAACTTCTAGCCGTATACGGAACTTGCAAAAGGGGACCTTCGCGCAGGAAAGAACCCGTCTCCGAATATGACGTCAATGCAAGCGGCGATCGAACGTCGGCTCTCTCGAAGAGATCTGGATGGTTGCAGACCTTGCGGAACTGCATGACGAGATTCATGAGGGTCTGGTTGTTATCATCACCAGCCGCAGCCTTCTCGATCAGATCCATGAAACTGATCTTGTCACGAAGACCTCTGTATAGAGCACGCTGTCTGTAAGTAAGCTCACAGAACACGTCCTTCTCGATCTTGTCTCCAAGTTCCTTCTGCACATGCTTCTTCACACGTCGCAACATGAACGGTTTAAGGATCATGTGCAGTCTCTCGAGTTGCTTCTCGTTCAACTGGGTGTTACTCTGCGCGTGGCTTTCGATGTCCTTGGAGAACCATTCGCTGAACTCGTCATGGGAATCGAACAAACTCGGCATGATGAAATGTAACAGGGCCCATAGCTCCTGCATAGAATTCTGAATCGGCGTACCGGTCAAAAGAAGCCTGTTGCGACAATGGAATCCGAGCAATGCCTTCCATCTGGTACTGGAGGAACTCTTGATGGCCTGAGCCTCGTCGAGAATCATGTATTGCCACTTCATCTGCGAAAAGTTGGCGGCGTCCTGAACGACCAGTTGGTAGGAGGTGATCAAAACGTGAAACGGAGAATCCTTGGTGTAAACGGGTGTCTTCCTGTCCCAGAACTTGCGTAGAATCTTCCTGTCCTTGGCTCCACCCCAGTAGGGAATGACCTTGAAATCGGGTACGAAACGACTGATCTCCTGCTGCCAGTTGTGCAACGTCGAGGAAGGCGCGATAACTAGGAATGGACCCCAAATGTTGTGGCGCTCGGCAAGGTAAGCCATCACCGAAATCGACTGCACCGTCTTTCCCAGACCCATCTCGTCCGCAAGGATACCGTTGATACCCTGCTCGTAAAGATTGGAAAGCCAGTTCAGACCCTTCAGCTGGTACTCCTTCAGTGTACAGTTGAGCATTTTCGGCTGCTCGATCTCGACATCGTCCATTCCCGCAGGATTCTGAAAGTCCATCTCCTCGTCGGGATCCATAGTACCACCTTCGGATCCGCCGGGCTGGTTGAATGCGCGAGCTGCGTTCTTCGTAGCTTGGAAATGATGGTGAGCGTTGGCAGCCGCCGCCTGCTTCAGTGCTTCTTCGTCGTCAAAGTCCAGATCCTCGAAATTGACTGCACTTCCCGACTGTTTTCCTTCCATCGCTAGCATCTGCTGAGCCATGTCTTGTTTCGATGAGGTGGCAGCAGGTACAGCAACCGCGTCGCTACCGGTCGACTTCTCGATGGCGTCGGTTCTGATCTTGTTACCCACAAAGTGAGAGTAGAGCTCGGTCTGCGTAAGAAGGAAATTAAGCTTCCTAGCCTGTCTCATGGACTCTCTCGCCTCCTCCTCCTTCTTGGCCCTCTCCATCGCCTCCTTCTCAGCACGACGGCGCATATCTCTCTCTTCACGCTCGTTCCGCTTCCAGAAACTCAACATCTCACGCATACTCCTCTTGGCTCGCGCCTGAGTGTCCTTGATGTTCTTGGTGGTCCGAAGTTTCCATCTCTGAGCTTCCTTGGCAGCGAGCTGGGCCGTCTTGCGATGGTTCGCCTGCTTGGTAGCGAGGGAAGCTTGCTGGGTGCGGTGGAGCTTGGGAATTTCCTTGCGGGCAATGTCCTTCCAGATCTGTTCGTACAGCTGGGTGTAAGTCTTCGATGTATGTGGCACATACTCCTCTTTGGGAATAGGCTCTGGCGCTTTCGCAACGATCACGGGCTCCTCGACCGGTACGGATGGTGATGGCGGAGGCAGCTTCTTCTTTGGTCCGGGCTTCTTGCGAATCCTCCTGGTGATGGTTTCCTCCTCGACCGGAACACCACTGACGTCGGAGTCTGGACCCTCCACGCTGAGGTCCATAATGTTCTCTTCGAATACTGGAGGCTTCTCGACCTTGCGGATTTTAAGAGGCGGTTGTTCGTCTCGGTCGTGCCGTCCGGGAGCTTGAGCAGCGACCTCCTTAGCAGCTTTCACAGCCATCTCGGCCTTGAGCTTCTTCTCCACTTCCGCCTTTTCTCTCCGACGCTTGCGCTGTTGCTCTTTCTTGCGCTCCTTCTCATCTTCGTCTTCTTTCGCCATGACTTCAGCCATTGCACCCTCGTGAAACTTCCTTCGACCCCGTTCGCGACCGTTCTTAGCAACCGTCTCGAGGTGTCCACGAAGTTGCTCCTGATAAAGCTTGAAGCGACGCTGTGGGTTCGTCTCATCAGCAGCTGCACAACGGGAGAAGGTTAACATCGCATCGGAACAGCTTTACCTCTCTGTTGCTGGTCTCAGCCTCATTTAAATCAAGCTGTCGCTTGCGGCTCTTGGTCATGTAGGTTTGACGCTGGTTCGTAAACTCATCGCTATCTTCGGTGCTGTCGGTAGCCTCTATGTCCTGGTCGATGTCCATGGCGTCGTGATACTTGAAGTCGCGAGAAGCCATTGCTTTTTTAGTCGCAGCCTGATATGCTGGTTCGTTGTCGCTGTCAGTCGCGTCCGCGTCGTAAGGGTGAGGGTACTGCGCGATCGTCGCTCTCGAATTAGCAGTGGCGTGTTGTTTTAATTGCTGTCGTGGGTGTTCCTGGTTTCGGTGGTGATGAGGTTGGTGTTTCTCGATCAGGTTGGAACGATGACTTGAGGTTGGTGTTGTCGTAACAGCAGTGGTGTGAAGGGAAGAAGGAAGGGAGGAGAGAAGGGAGGAAGAAATAGAAGTAATAGTTGTGGTGTGGTTGGTGTGTGTGTTGTTGTCGTGTTTGTTTTGAGGGTTTGTCGCGAGAGGCAAGTGTGGTGGTGGTAGTGATTGCGGCGGGTGTGCGGTTGGATTAGGGTGAGGTGGGTCCTCGGCGGTGCTGAGGAGAGCGGATATTGACATCGCGCCGCCGCGTCTTGCTGTCTGAGTGATCGTTAGCAAAGCTAGCCTTGAACAGCAGAGCACAGAACTTCAAGGTTCTGACAATATTTCACGAGGGCACCGAAAGGGGAAAGCCGTAGCTCGTCTCCCTCTCAACGTCACTCTCTCACTCTGTCACTCACCGAAGGAGTAGAAGCAATCGGCGAAGGCGGCTCCGCCTTTACCGCGCCGTAGCCCGACTGCTGCTGCTGCTGCTGTTGCTGATGTACGAGATTCATGTCGAGCGGCGATCTTTGATCGGTCGGCAGGTATGATGATACTCCGGAGCTTCGTCGTCGGCCTACGATCGCGATCGGTGAAGGCATTGGGTACACCGCTCCCTTTGAGTTCTGGTGTTCTAGCGATGACTGGTATACACCACCAGCAGCACCACCGGCTCCACCCACAACACCTCCCGCGCCACCCGCAATTCCGCCGATGACACCTCCGCCAACAATGCCACCACCGCCGCCGCTGCTGCCAACAACCGTCGCTGCTGGTAGTGGAGGTGGTTCGTAACCGTACCGACTATCTCTTGTACCCTAGATCCAGCATGTCAGCATAAAAAAAATGCCCAGAAAATGTGTCACCTCTCTCCACGCGTAAGGGATGCGCGTTCGACAACGAGGGAGGTAGGTGGTTACGTACTACAGGTAGTTGCTGGCGAGAAATCGACTCCGTCGGTAGTGGTGGAGGTGACGGCGAGCGCGCTGAGCGTCCCCCCCAACTCGACCTTACTTTCCCTGGACGATCGACTGGATCGTAATACTGGGATCGCGACGGGGTACCATACACGGTGGCCGCGGGTAAGGGATGCGCGGAATGACCGTTCGACGACGCGGAATGGTAGGTAGGATGGCTCGGATGCGGTGGAGGAGGATTCGAGGAGCTATGGTACTGCTGGTCGTGGCGGTCGGTCGGCGAAAAGGAGGAGCGGTGATGGAAATTGGGGGATTGCTGGTGCTGTGGATGCTGTGGGTGCTGCTGCTGTGGTTGCTGCTGTGGTTGCTGCTGTGGTGGTTGCTGGTGGTGCGGATGCCCATGATGCTGGTGGTGCTGACCGCCCGACATGGTTGCCAGTGGCTGCTTGCTACTGCCCTTTTTTAAATGAAAAAAACCTCTCGTTTCGAACAAGATCGAGAACGGCTATACAACAACGAACTCGCAACAATCACCGCAGCAAGTAGGAACGCGGTCGCAGCGGTATCGGCGGAACGTATGGCAGCGGCAGCGGCAATGCGGTAGTAGTAGTAGTCGGGCGGGCGAGAGGACGGACGGACGACGACGGCGGCGCAGAGAGCAACCGCGTGTGCCAACTACAGCGACGAGCGCGCGATATCACAAAGCAGCAGCAGCGGTAGAAATAGCAGCAACAGAAAAAATTCGAATGGAGCAGCAACGGCAGCAATTCCTGCTTGGAAAGACCACCGGGGAGAGAGAGAGAGACAGCTGACTAGCCTGCTAGTTTTTGGGCGGGTGTGTCGGTCGTCTCGTCTGGCGGGATAGCTGGTGGCGGACGAAAGGGGCGGTGAAGGCGGAGAGTTGGAGGGAGGGAGGGGCGATGATGTAACTTTTTTTTTCTTCTATGTATGTGTGGATAAAGATAGTGGGTTTTGGAGATGGTCTATGGGAGTGGGTTTTTGGGTGGGAGGGGTGTGTGTGTGTGTGATTGTCGATATCTCGACGGCGGCGCGGGCGTGTTCGCTGGGTGCGGGATATGATCGTCTTTTCGTTTCGAGCTGGGAGGGGAGGAGAGGTGAGGAGGAGTCGGGAGGAAGAGTGATGGGAGGGAATGAACGGAATGTGTGGGAGTCGGGAGAAAGATGACGATACGAAGGAACGAGGGGACGGATACGGATTGGGGGGGGGGGAGGAAAGCAGAGTAGGGAAGAGGTGGGAAGAGGAAGAAGAGGCAGGGGACGGGGCGCGGATGGAGGTGAGGAAGTAAAAGTAAGAGAGTGTTGAGGTGTGAGTGTATCGTTAGCAGAAAAGGCTGCTCGACTGCATGTTCGTGGGGAGTGTCTACGGACGAGGGCCAGTCTGGCTGCTGAAGGTGGCCTTTTCCGTCTCGTCTCGTCTCTCTCTGTCTGTCTCTCTCTGTGTGTATTTCTGTGGCTCTGTGTCTCTTTCGCACGGCCAGCCTTATCCCCTTCTTGCTGCTATCTCCCCTTCTCGGTCTCTACGATGGATGGTGTTTGGTCGCGTCGTAGAGTACTGCGGTAGCAACAGAGCAGTGGTTAGCACTCCGGCAACTACAGGGGAGCCAGCAGCAGAGCAGGGTGGGTGTGCCACCTGCAGGCCGTTCGGGAGATCCCAGGAAAAGTGCGAACATGGCTGGTTGGATCGCTCGGAGGCCAATCCTGGAGTCACTCGAGAGTCGAAAGCAACTCACCACCATCCCGTGAACTTCGATGCGACGGCCGTCTGTGTCTGTGTCTGCCGGCCTGACGGTGTGTCCCGTTATCACAGCGGCGGCCACCAGGTCGGTTTCTCCAGCCTGAAGAGTGGTGCGGCGGCGGAGTCTCGTCGAGATCAAGGCCACATTCCACCGGATGATCTTCGTGATGACATCGATGAAGACGCCGTGAAGATCTTCGACTGTCACCAGGCACTTCCCGTGAGAGAGAGGAGAAACGGCCACATTCTTCAGGAATCATCTCCATCCGCAATCGAATCTCCATCAAGTGCCTTACCTTTATTCGCTCTCTCTTCCCCTTCCCTCACGTTTCCCTCCCACGGTTTCCTTCATCTCCATGCAACTGAGATCGCCGAGCCACTTCCAGCTAGAGTAGACACTCAGCGGACATGCACCACATCTCACACCCACATCCACATCCACATCGCCATGTCCCCTGCCGAGGAAGGGAAACCCCTTGTCCCTCACCACCCAGAGTGCAGTGCACGGAAACTTCTCTTCTCTCCACCACGGATCCGAACGGGATCGGAGTACGGTAACTACTATCTACGGAAGCCATTCTTTGTTGAATTTTCCCTTCTCCTCCGAGCCAGCGGGAAGCGAAGAAAAAAAAGTGAAAACGAAAGGAAAGGGAAACGAAAAAGGAGTGTGGAAGTAAGAAAGAAGGAAAAATGAAGTATTCATCCGGCTACCGTGGTGAGCACAACACATACTCCTACACGAACCAGGAGATATCGCGAATGCGGATCGTTGGAGATTCTTCTGCAGTTGGCCATGGGGCATGGGAAGCCGCGCCTGGGAGGGTTCCGGAATTCGAACCAATCTCGATTCTCACCCACGGTGATGGTACATATCACACATAGGCATCATACATAAAATAGAGCACTTGAGCAATTAGGTAGGATGAACTGGGCTCCGAAGGCTTCACGGCATAGGCATGGCGAATAACGAATTCCTGTGATTGATTCGATGCATTCGAATCACCACCATCACCTCCGCCGCCACCACTACCACCAGCATCGACTGATTCACTGGCCAGTGCTTCCTTCCTCGACTCATCCATCATACTTGTTAACAAGTACTCTATCATACTAGCCTCATTTTAGCCGCACAACCAACCAACTGAGTGACTGACCTCCGATCCCTTACTTCCGACGCCCGACGCGCATCGTTTTTTTCCCACGTACTCCGGCCCCAGGGAAGGTGCCGTCCTAAAGTACCAGCCAGCCAAGACCATGCAGGCACCGTGAGGCAACGTGTCTGTCGCCGTAGCAACCGTGTTTCCATCGCCATCGTTCGTATCGTTCAAAAGCACCTCCGTCCGTACCACTCTCCACTACTACACAACACCATAACACCACACACAACACCATAACACCACACACAACACCATAACACCACACACAACACCATAACACCACACACAACACCACCACCACCGCCTCCTCCACACACCCACGAACACACCCCCCCGCACACACAAACACGAAGAAAATGTCCGCCCCATCACCCGCCGCCTCCCCACCCGCCGCCCCCGCCTCAACCGCCGCCGGAATCACGGACGGCCTCTCGACACTGGAGAAGCAGCGCCAGCTGCTCGCCGCAAAGCTGGCATCGCAGCAGCCCGCTGAGTCATCCACCAGTCCTACCGACCAGATGATGACGCCCGTGAGCAAGAAGCTGGCTGATCACAAGAAGAAGGCGTATACGAAGTACCCCTCCCCCCTCCCAACGGGCAATAGACAGAGAGACAGACAGAGAGACAGACAGTTTTACTGACAGCAACTAGAGCGAAACCCGGATCGCTGGCTGGGCGTTTACGCTCCCTCGGCGGCGGCGGGGGTGGCGGCATGGGCGGCGGCATGGGCGGCGGCATGCAGTCGCTAAAGAAGCCGTCGCCGTCACCGCCGAATGCGGGGCTGCAGGAGGATCCGTTCGCTGCTCCCACTCCCGCTCCTGCCTCCTCCTCGTCATCGTTCTCCTCGTCGTTGTCGTCGTCAGCGTCGACGTCGTCTTCGAGCGGAACGCAGTAGTTGCTCCATGCTGCTTGCGGATATCTGCGATATCAACCAGACGGCAGAAACGAAGCACGGTAGCCACTATGACAATTCGCATACAACTGTTGGTCTTCTGCGCAGCTGGCTGGTCTACTGGTCTATTCTTTATTTGATCTTTTGCTCTCGGAGTTTTCGTTTCTTTTGAGTTTTCTTTTTCGCTTTCTTTGCGTGTATATTATCTAGGGACGGATGGGTTGGGATGGGCTGGGCTGGGCTGGCTGGTTGGGATGGGTTGGGTTGGGTAATGGTGTTCGTATACTCGGTTCGGGTTTGGGTTTGCTTGCTGTCTGTCAGTCACTCTGTCTCTGTCCGTCTCTCTAAAGATTGTCATGTTTCGTTTTTCCCACTGTTAATGACCATCATGGAATTGCTTGCGTGCGCACGGATATCACAGAACCGCGGAATCGACCGAACAAGGAAACAACGAGTGATACGAATCGTGTCCATTGTGTATTCTCTCCGCTTGGTGTTGAACAAACGTCTAGGCCTTGCCGTCTTTTACCACCCTTTTCCTTTACCGTACAAACAACCCATTTTTGAAACCCCGCAACCAACCAAACATATCAAGACAAAGAACCGCCCTCCACCTCAACTCACACGTCATAACACACCGTCTACCAACCCCGCCCGGACATCTTCTCAGACGCCGGCATCTTCTCAACATTCAGCCCGACCATGGCCTCGCCAAGGTCAGTACTGATCTCGGCCAGGACCTTTGCGTCATTATAGTGGGTGACAGCCTGAACAATAGCCCTAGCACGCTTCGCAGGGTCGCCGGACTTAAAGATGCCGGAGCCAACAAAGACACCATCGCAGCCCAGCTGCATCATGAGCGCGGCATCAGCGGGGGTGGCCACGCCTCCCGCCGCAAAGTTAACCACGGGCAGCCGTCCCAGCCTCGCCGTCTCTTTCAACAGCTCGAACGGGGCACCGATCTCCTTGGCCATGACGTAGAGCTCCTCATCGCTCATAGCACCTGCCTTCCTGATCTCGGCAGTGACCGTGCGCATGTGCTTTACCGCTTCAACAACATCCCCCGTCCCGGCCTCCCCTTTGGTACGGATCATCGCGGCGCCCTCACTAATCCTCCTGAGCGCCTCACCGAGGTTCCGGCAGCCGCACACGAACGGCGCCTTGAACCCGTGCTTGACAACGTGGTGCGTGTTGTCCGCCGGCGTGAGAACTTCCGACTCGTCGATGAAGTCCACACCGAGCGCCTCCAGGATCTGGCACTCCACGAAATGTCCGATACGCGCCTTCGCCATCACAGGGATTGTTACCGCTGCCATGATCGACTTGATCATTGCTGGGTCTGACATCCGCGAGACACCGCCCTCCGCCCGGATGTCCGCCGGCACCCGCTCCAACGCCATTACGGCGGAGGCGCCGGCTTCTTCGGCGATGCGGGCCTGAGGGGAGTTAGCACTGTTTCTATGGACTCCCAGAACGAACTCTGAACTACAGCATCCAGTGGGGAAGACGGGGCAAAATACCTGTTCGGCGTTCACGACATCCATAATCACGCCGCCCTTGAGCATACGTGCCAGGCCAGTCTTGACGGCGAAGAGGTCGGAGCGCTGCTCGCTGGTGCCGTTGACGGGGAGTTCGGAGGACATCTTGGTAATTAACTTTCTGTATGTTCGTCGGTTCGTGTGGTGGTTGTGGTTGTGGTTGTGGATAAAAAGTCGACTTGGTGGTAGTAGTGGTGGTGGTGGTGGTGGTGGGGGTAGTGGTAGTGGGGCAGCAGCGGGAGTATGTAGAGTAAGTAAGATGTAAGTAGGTTTTTGACTTAAGTCTATCTACACACATATATGACGGACCGATGACTCCCACTCCGTTGCCCCTCCCACTCGCCCCCTCCCTCCCTATCCCCGCGCCACAGGCCACAGAGAGAGAATTTCGCGCCCCCGCAGTCCGTAATCCGCCGGTGGAAACCGAGATGACATTTGTTTCCGTTTTCCCACTGGGAAACTCCGAGGTGCGTGGGGTAACTAAGGGTAGGTAGGGTGGACCACGGGCACGTTACAGAGAGGCTGGCCGAGGAGGAGCATGAGGTGCACGAGGAAGGAGGGAGAACGCCGTGAAGAAAGAAAAATCTGCATGTATGCACGCAGCCCATCCTGCCATCACATCCATCCAGCCATCCACATGGTCTCATCATCTGCATGCTTCTACTTGCTTAGCTACCCCACCATGAAGAAGAAGAGGAAGAATCGCACTCCCGTAGATATAATAAGCAGAGCCCAGACAGAAGTCAGGGCCTAGATGAAATACCTTGAGATTTCTTACAGAGAAACAGGAAAAAGAAAAAAACCATGGAAAAGGGAAGAATTCCAAACCCCGTTGACGCCGTGCACCATGCAACCCACAAACCCACCCACCAGCCAAAAAAAATCAAAAAAAAAATCTTATACACATGTAGAACAAATAGAGCAAAGTCAATCGCCTCACCACTCTTTTAGCCTCCCCGCACCTCTCCCACCGACGGCGGCACCCCCGCGTTTCGCCGCGATTCCCAATCCCGCCACCGCCCTCTTTGGCAGACAGACGACCGTCCAAGCCAGCTCGAAGGGGACGAGCAGCATGCCGAGCAGCCACTCGGTCAACAGTGTGGCGAGTGTAGTTCCCGCGCTCCGCTGCTCCCTCTGCTGCCGAGCACTCGCCGCCGCCGCCAGCGTGATCACGTCGTCCAGCCGACAATTGATATCCTTGATCCGCGCCTCCGTCTGCGCGCTGTGCAGGGCCTCTTTCTTCTCGTATCTCCGCACGGCACCTACACGCACGATCCATCAGCACTCATCCCGCAGCACCACCACCCCCACTAGCAGAATGCAGACTCACGATTCAGCGCATCCATCTCGGGATCCCTCTCTCCCGTGCTCCTCGCCAACGCCCTCAACTCCTTGACCACGCCCCCCATCTCCTCAATGCGCCTCTCGAGCTCGGCAACCCTTCCCAGCGGCGGCGGCGCCGCCGCGACAGTGCGATGCAGGAACAACACGCGCCCACGCATCAACCTGACGACCTGTGCGACCGGCCGGAGCTCCGCGGCGAGCACGAACACCGCCAGGTTGAAGTTACTCACCAGGCCCTCGCTGGGGCGCGAGAGCTGCGCGCGCATAGCGTGCAGGAGCGCGCCGCCCAGGATCGGGCCGAGGAAGCAGCATGCCAGCGCGGCGAGCTCGTAGCGGCGCATTTCCCGCGTGGCGGCGGCGCGCGCGGGGTCGACGGGGCAAGGTGCGTCCCCCGGGATCGCGGAGGGGAGTTGTGAAGAGTAGTACCACTCCCAGGGGAATTTTATTAGCCAGTGGAGGAAGATCGAGAGCAGCAGCAAAAGCATCACGTCGGCGACGAAGGCGCTGCCGTCGTCCCAGAGGAGCCCGCCGAAGCAGGGGAGCACTGCGAAGGCGAGTGGTAGAGAGTTCCATGTGCTGCTGGTGGGCGCGGGGAGGATGTAGTCCGAGGATGAGGACGTGGATGCAAGAGAGGTGCTGCTGCTGCTGCTGCTGGCACTGGGCTTCGGTACGGTAGTGGTGCTTGTGTGGCTGGATCGTCGGCGTTGCGGAGGCGTACTAGTGGTGCCAGCGGTGGTTGTAGTTGATGTTGATGATGCCATTTTTCTCTCTCTTGAACACTGAACACTCGCTCGGAAATGCAGAAGACGGGGAAGGGAGAAGAAGTGTGAGAAGAGAGCAGACTGAGCTGAGATCTCTCTCGCCAGCCGACGGGCCAGTAAAGAAGCACCGAGTGTAACCACCCACTAGTAGATCTCGCGTAAACTGTGGGGAGAGCTGCGTAGAGTAGGGAGGCCGGGGTGTGGGGGGGGGAAAGGGTGGGCGTGATTAATTCCAAAATCCGGGGTAAATCCAACGACAGTGAGTAAACTGTCTGGAGAAGGAAGGAAAGCACACGAGAAATAAAGGGAGGGAGGGAGGAAGTCGAAGGGAAGTACGAGGGACGGGACTGGACTGATTCAGATGTCGTCAGCCGCTGCCGCCGAGACGGTCGGTGGTCGGAGGAGCCGACTGCGTGGTGGTGGTGACAGCACACAGCATCATCACCACCGAGCACCGAGCTATGTGCACTAGGGATGTGCTTCACATCATTCCCCGTCCCATACAGCTGCCGCCGCCGAGTGAGTTGGGTACACTCCAGATCCGCACCCTCTCCCTCTCCCCCGGCAAAACCGCGTCGGCCAGCCCAAACAGCCGGCCATGCACCAGGCATCACTCTGTGCGGTTAGCGCCGAGAAACGGCTACCCAATGACATCACATCTCGCCCGTCCCGTCGGACGCCGGAAGTGATCTACAGCGATATTCGCAAATCTTCACAACGGACAAACACACAGATACCGGCACGATGAGTACTCCGCGACTACTCCTACGGTCGCTCCTGCGGCCACGCACACCCGCATGCCTTGCTTCGCCGGCTGCATTCCGCTTCTCGTCCGCGAACACCAATAGCAACAATAACACCAATAACACCACCCCTACCACCGCCGCAAAGATCCCACCAGCACCAGCACCACCGGCGCAACCCGCCGACCTTGAGCAATTCGAGAAAAAGCGGGCCGCGCGCTCCACAACGACGAAGTCGTCACTCCGTCGAGCAGCGGTAGTTTCCGAGCGGCGACGAGCGACGCCGCCATCGACGCTGGGGCAGAAGCCGAAGGTGTGCACTGCATACTGCACGGCAGAGAAGTACCACATCCACCGGGCGGCGGTGCTGCTGCGCGGCGCGGGGTACACGATCGATCCGTGCAACACGGGGCTGGCCGATCAGGTTATACATCTGCGGCTGGATGGCGAGGGCGAGGGCGACGGCGTGGGCGGGGAAAAGGGAGGGGACAAGGGCGATATATTCATCTTCCCAAGCGGGAATATTGTCGGCTGGAGCGTGCACTCGGCCACTGTCGAGAAGCTGGCACGGCTCGTTACGGACGCCGCGGAGCTGCCCGTCACCAGGGATGTCGAGACCGAGGACCTGGAGTATGCGGACGACGCCCGCGTGCGGAAGTCGCGGGTGGCAGGCGACGTGATCGTGCTCGGCACGGCGCCATCGTTTAACAACCACGTGATGTCGGAAGACTCCGCGATGGAGGAGGACTCCGCCAGGACTACGGAGGACGACGAACTGAACCTGACGCTGGCCAAGATCGCGTTCTCGTCGGGCCTGGCGCGGTCCACGAAGCTGGCGGTGCTCGAGAGCCTGCTGGACCGCTATCTGCAGACTACGGCAACGATTCCCACGCAGCTGTCGAGCAGCGGGAGCTGGCAGTGGAAGCGTGGGTTCACCCGTTCGTTCGTGCTACGGAAGACCGGCGAGCTGCTGCAGTTCCGCGCTCAGCTGAATCTCTACTCGGAGCTTACCGACTCCCTGCCGGACCTGTTTTGGGACTCGAGACATGAGCTGGGCCTGGAGGGGTACTACGAGGCTGTGGGTAGGGCGCTCGATGTCGATGTCAGGATTAGGCAGTTGAACGAGAAGCTGGATTATGCTTCTGGCATCGTCCAGGTGCTCAGGGAACAGCTGAGCGAGAAGCATTCGCTCGGATTGGAGTGGATGATCATCGCCCTGATTGCGGTAGAGGTTGGGTTCGAGCTCGTCAGGATTTATGCGGATAGAACGAAGGAGGGGAGCGAAGCCGTGGCGTATAAGAGGTGGAAGGAGGACAGGGCGAGGGAGCAGGACAAGGAGTGGCAGGAATGGAAGAAGAGGAATAGGGAGGAGTGATTGGTTCACATATACTTCTGCGTAAAAGGCCTGGGTTTTCATAGGATTGTGCACTATATCTGTATCCGCATTGTATTTGTAGACTGGGGGTGCCAACAACTTCACAACCGCTCATCCTGTACCAATGGAGAATGCGAAGGAATCATGAAAAAACAAATTAAACGACCATCAATGGTAACGAAACGAAACGCCAGATACACCAACTCCCAAATAGCCTCCGCATCTCCTCACACGATCACATCTAGCGCCTAGTCCTCTTCCTCATCCTCGATAGCTCCGCGCTGCTCATCCCAGACGACGATGTACTCATCCATCATGCTACAACCAAACGTCAGCCATGCGCCAGGGTGAACCGGTATGGAACAACCTACTTCAAGAACTCCTCCCTATACCTCTCCGGCTCTGTCGTAACCGTCTGTTCCGGCAGGAGCTTTCCAGCAGTTTGCATAACCCTTGGCTGGAGCTGCTCGACATTCCAGAGGAAATCCAACAGACACATTTTATACACCCACTTCCCATCGGCACTCCTCACGCCCTGGATAAAATCCCTACTTCCCTCCACCGGCAGCACCATGGGATCCCGCACGCCATCGTCCCTCGGGGGGTGGAACATGTCGATGGGGTATCTCCCCAGGAGGAGCGAGTAATCGATGGTCTGCATATCCCTCAGGAATCCCGTATCTCTCTCTAGCAGCTGCATGAGGACGAGCTTATCCATTCTCGTGAGCACGATATCCTCGTCGAGTTCATCCGCGAGCCCACTCTTTGCAGCCTCGGTCTTGACCGAGTCCGGCACCAGGTCTCGCGTCGGCTCAAAGAAGTTCTGCGGCTTCAAGTCCCACTTGCGGCATCCCTTCTCCTTGTCAAGCCCCTCGAGAACGTTCGTCATCACCATGTAGTGCGCCGGCGAAACGCCCAGCCACCCGCCCAGCCGGTGGTCGAACGTGTACAGCACGTCCGTCATGCGCGACAACAGGGTGTCCGCCGAGTTCTGGGAGACGTAGAACGTGTACCCGTCGAGCATCTTATCGTAGAGGAACGCATACTCAAATTTTCTTCCGACGCTTTTGATGAGCAGCGACTTATCGTGGGTGTAGAAGAACAGCGAGCCGGAGAAGCCGAGGCCATCGACGGGCCTTAGCGGCTGCACGAACTGCTGCTGGTAGTGTTCCTCGTCGAGGAAGAAGACGTCTTTGCGGAGCTTCCGGAACAGCAGCGGCGCCGCGCGCTGGAAGTGCGCATAGTACAGCGAGAAGAAGGTGTCTGCGTTGAATGTGCGCTTCATCGACGGCGCCCTCCACAGCTCTGGGTGCGACTGGATCAGCTGGCTGTCCTCGTCGTCTTCCTCGTCCGCGGGGACGACGCGCGTGGTGAGCGCCCTCAACAGACACCGCATCGTCACGTCCGTCTTGTATTTGGTCGAAACGAAGGGGAGCACCAGCCGTGCGGCGAATCTATGCTTCGTCGGAACGTGCTCCCAGTCGTATTTCTGTGGGCTTTGGGGGACTATCAGACACTGCTACCTATTCATACCGCAGAGAAGAATATGGATGCATACCGCTCCACCTCGTTGGATGCGTTGGGGTTGTCGTGGTTCACCATGGCTGTGTTATGTTCTGTTGTGTTTCGATCTGGTATGTTCTGTTGTATTTCGATTTGGTATGAAGTATGTTCTGTTCGAACGAATGGGAAATGCAGGTATAAGGAAAGAAGAACGTAAAATGGAAGGGGACCGGTATTATATCGTGGCCTTCGAGCCTTGGTCGAGCTGTTCTTCTATTCGCGAGCGATGATGTCATACCTTGTAGCTTGGTGCTATGTGTATCACATGCTCACTATCGCGTTCACCACACCATGATCTTCAGGCACAATTTCAAGTTGAAAAAGACAATTTCATTATCAATCCTACTCCGTAACCAAACAAAAAACCAAACCAAGCACTTGAATCCACGCATTCAAATCAAGCAAACCATGACCGTAACCAGATGCCACACCCAATAAACAGAAGCAAAGCAAAGACAAAAAACGAGAGTACAAATCCCACGTAGGGAGAGCTTATATATATCCCCCTATGCGATCTGAATCTTCCTCGCACCACCAAACACCCTCTTGGGCACCACAATCTGGAGCAATCCCGCCTCCAGCTTCGCAGTAACCTTCTCCAGATCCACCGGTGTCGGGAAGTTGAACGTCCTCTGGAAGTTTCCAAAAGTGCGTTCGGTGACCCAGGTCTTGGTTTCGGGACCGGCGGGCTTTGTGGTAGTACCCTCCGATTTCGCCACCTGCTGCTGCTCGGAGGACTTCTTGTTGCTGGTGTGGGATACAATCGAGAAGTCGTCCTCGTCGTCGGTGTCTTCGACAGTGGGCTGTAGGCTCCGTCGCCTCTCCATGGTCGTCGACTCTTCGCCGCCCTTCTTGTTCTCCTCGTGCTTCTCCTCCACAGGTTGTCGGATTCTCGAGACACGTCCGCTGATGCTCAGCGTCCTCTCGTCCGAGAACTCGATTCCGATCGATGTCTTGTCGCTCACGCCGGGGAGGTCGCCGTCGAGGTGGTATGCATCGGCGGTTTCGTAGACGTCGAACCGCGGGGTGAAGGCGCGGTTCGAGCGGTTGTGTTGGCGTGGCGTCGGGGTGGGGCGGGGTGCGGAACTGTGAGTGGTGCTCGTGGGCTTGTGTTGAGACGACTGGGAATCTTCATGGCCGCTGAGCTGCGAGAGGATCGCTTCGAGGTAGGGATCCATGCGCTGTTGCCGCTGCTGCTGCTGGTGGTGCTGCTGGGTAGGGACGGGGCAGGCGAAGATAGGCATTTCGGTTTGTTGTTTGTGTTGTTTGTGTTGTTGGTATTTGTATTGGTTCGAGTTGGTGATCGGAATAATGTCGCGATTGTATTTCTTGAGTGTTATGTCGAGCTCGGATGATGATGCTTTCTGAATGATGATGATTTTCTCTACTCTCAGGTTTAAAGGCAGTTCTTATACGGCACCCATCCACGTGCCCTTCCCATAACTATCATCGCTAATCGTAATCTTTCGCCATCGTGGAGGTGACACGAATTATGGAGAAGCCTCGAGAACACTCCAGCGGCGTGTGGTGATTCGGATGACGTATCAGGGATGTTCCCGAATATCGTGGAAGCTTCTGTCTCACTCGGTAAGAATCGGCGCTAATGGTCAACCTCGATCTGATAGGGTGGTGCTGGATCGGCGGCGGCTAAGTTAGACGCGTGATTCCAAAGCATTCCATCCACACAAAGTAACACCATCTTCAATGGATAATGCCAAAGACAACAAAGAACCTGTGAGATGCACCACAGAACTTTGGGATCGCGATTACCGATCAGCCTTTGGGTTGTAAGCTTCTCATCCGCCTCCGAAAGTCGCTTTTTACGAGTGAGGCCAAGTGAACGAACCACACGCTCTACGAAAGGACTCCCCTCTTCGGTAGCGATCCAGATATTCCTCGCCTCGCAGCCCTCCATCCGCCCTTTTTCGGCACAAGATTCCTCACCTTGAATGATCCCGGGATCCGGCTGAGTTCGCAGGCTGGACTCCTCGCATGGGGCGAGCGTCGAAAGCTACATACAACAAGGAATTCCGGGGTCTCTTCTATGCCCTCTATCGCCGTCTGTTGATGCTCGACTAACTTCCAAGAGATAACCAACTTACGTTTCACGAATCAATCCTCGTAACTTACACCATCATTCATAGCGACCGCGAGCGAGGTTCTATTACTTGTACCGATGGCCCGTCCCAGCTGAGTCGGATCTCCTTAACTATCTCCAAACTCCATGAGGATTCAGGAACGCGAAGTACATAAACCACAAGGCTCTGACGACCACGACTGAGTTGCTTCATACCTGCACGGAAGTATGCACCGGATTACACGCGATTTCCATAAAACAAACGACCGCTCAACCCTCGCGAGTGGTAGTATCAAAACAAAACCGCTGGATTAACTACTACCGGGTGGTGCATAGACACAGATGGGAAGCCGGACGGTCTTAGTCGACGAGACCAGGGGAACACCCACACCGAAGTCTTCGGGGAAGTAGGTAGCGTCTTCAACCGGCTGGAATCTGGGGGGCTCTTCGGCCACGGACGGCAACACCCTCAGCGCGTTGTCTTGAGACTTGCGCACTCTAGGTGATATGAAGAGACGGATCCTTTGTCGACGACTTCTTTGCATTTTGTGACACCTTGAATGGAGTTTCTACATAAGTCTCCTGCTCTTTGGTGGTTCATTGGGGGTCTATGATACCAACAAATCCTCAGCTCTTTCGAAAATGTATCCGGCCATGCTGTTGATCGCGAATGCCAGAACAGCGCTCAAGAGATACATACATGACAGAGGATTCCACCGTCTTCCCTACCCGCCCCGGTCAACCACCTTTAAAGCACCCACCAGCACCCACCATCACCAGCACGGTATATACAAACCCCTCTTCCTACTGCATCCAGTAATGATCCCACTATCCCACCATGGCGAGTTCGAGAATGGTACCCGCGAACCATCAAGACAACGGGTTCCTCGGCCGGCTTCGACTTGGACATCCTGTGCTACTTACATAACTGAAATCGAACGTTTCGAGGTGCACCAGCCAATAGCCAGAGAAGTACCGTACGTAGACCACATCCGCCCTACACCACTGAAAAAGAGCGAATCCCTCAATCTCCAATTGCCGCCTGCGGGTATGTGATTATGTACGGGCATGTATATACTATACCTAGAATCTCAGCGGTTATCGTGTGGAAACCCCATGCCTTCACCGGTACACCAGTACACCAGCACACTTGGCTCATGATGAATCCACCGGTGTTGAACACTGTCAAAGCATTTTCTCACGGGCTGATGTCACCGCCGCGCTCATTTATATCCCGGTATGATTTCCAGCTTTCGTGAAAGCCATTTAGTGAAAGTACGTGGCATTACGGATGGAGTCGGTATTCAATCGCTCATGAGATCTCACTCGATTGTCGATGGCCGCTCGAGCCGGTCTCTAATAAGACCACTTTCGTCGCAGGAGGGACAGTGCACCATGACCATAGCCAACGTACCTAGTCCCCTCAATCGACGTGGTGACCGCAAGTATCTTTTGTTCGCCCATAGAATCTGGGCTCCTATATACACCATCTTTTCGTTACATACAACCTACACATTCTCACTGGGGCTACCCAAAGGCCCAGCAATTGTAGTCGTGGTCAACCTCACTCCTCACTCGTATGGCAAAGCCTTATGCCCGTCTGACTGAAACATTGCATGTGATTACTCAGTAAACACTCTAATTGCGTAGTAATAACAACAATCAAACCACCCATCCTTTCCACCCTCCCTCTCCATCCATCCTCCCCCTCCCTCCACACACCATCACCCGCCTTCTCCCCATCAAATCAAATCAAAGACGAACAAAGCAAGCCAAACCTAACAATGCTAGAGATACAAAGGGGAGTAAAAAGGAAAAGAAAAGAAAAAAAGCCATTAAACCCCCCCCCCCCCCCAATATCCCCACAAAAAAAAAGCAGAACGAACCAAGCCCGATGCAAACCCACCTTACACCCTTTCAAAAGCGCTAAAAACAGCAAGAGAGAAGCAAAACAGGAAAGGGAAAGGGAAAAGGGAAAATGAAGTAACTGGAAACAAAGAAAACTAAACCAAGACTAAAGGAACTTAAGTGGATGATGAATCTTCTGAAGGAATGTCGCCAGAGGGAGTGGTCCGGCCTAGAAACGTAATAGATCCCCCGTCGTTGTCCTTCTCAAGAGAAGGACACTGCCGTTTGAAAGAAAGAAAGAAAGAGATCTTGACATCATGTAGCAAATTGTGTCCTTAGTTTGTGCTATCAGACTGTCGAAGTCTACTTCTGCTCCTGCTTCTGATCATCGCCCTCGTCGGGGTCGGACTCATCATCCTCATCATCGTCGTCGTCTTCTAGGTGGATAGACAGTCAGCTTACACCATCCAATCCGCGTGACTAGCCTCGCAACAAGCTTCAGATCCCAAGCTCACCAAACACCATGTCCTCGTCACTATCAGTCCCGCCAAAGTCGCTCTCGCTATCGCACCAGAAATCATCGTCCACCTCCTCCTTAGGCGGCGGCGTGTTGTGATGACTGGGCATCACGAACCCCTCGGGGATATCGCGCTTGCTGTTCTCGACATTTTCCTTGACGATGCGCATGTAATTGTCGGGGTCGCGACGGAGCATCACGGAGGCATCGACATTAGCGGCAGACGAGACTTCGGCGTCGTCGAGCAACGATAGGATCGAGATCAGGACGGTAAAGATTCGTTGAGCGGGGGACCAGCGTTCCTATACATGAAGCTTTCGTCAGACCCTCAAATACAAAACCATGTGCGCGGCACGGAAGGGGGCATCAAAGTTACCGAAGCCAGCTCGCCTGACATTTCATCATCACCAGGAGTATGGAGGATCGAAATGCATAGCTTTCCGTCCTTGTAGATGTTGGGATGGAAGAGCGGACGGATGAAGCGAAACTCTGGGGGGGCCATGGGGTAGTTCTTAGGCATTTTGAGCTCGGCCTGAATAGATAGCAACCAGTCAGCGTTTCGCAAATAATCACCCCCCTCCCACCCCTCTCCATGCAACGACGAGGAAACTTACTTTCAGATACGCCCCATAGTACAAGCTGGTCGGGTTCACAACCAGCAGCGCCACGTTCCACACGAAGAGGTTTCCATCCCTAGGCTGTCGCAAAGTGTCAGCCTCATGATGGGGTAGAATACAGAGCATACACCCCAGCAAACTTGCTTGCAATCCGCCCCCTCCCCCCGTCAGCATAGCAGGCATACCTCAGCGTGGACCCAGTTCTCCTTCTGTAGCTCTTTGAGCTCTGTCATGAGCATCCGCTCAGCGATTTTCCGTTCGTCTGCCGACATGTTCACTCTGTTACTGTTGTTGTTGTTGGTGGTGGTGGTGGTCAGATCCTTTGCTGCTGGGGAGTAGATAGCTGAAGATGGTGGCGGAGTCGGAGTATTTATCCAGAGACGGAAGCGGGTGAAGATGTACCGTCCGGTAAGGGGATGTGAGGTATAGCAGAGTAAGATCTCGAAGGTCCTTTCAAAGGGAAAGATTCCTTGCCGCGGTGGTCGAGATCGTCAGGGTATTGAAGGGGAGGAGGTGTCAAGTGTCGAAGGAGGTAGAGTATCGGTGTCGTGCGTCGAAGCAGGAGCAGCAGCAGCGTCAAGTAGTAAGTTAGGTCTAGGCGGGGCTGGGTTTGGTGTGTGTTGGCAAGGAATCTTTTGTTCGGTTTTCTGTGGCTCAGATCACAGCCGCTGCATGGATTTGTCACGCGATGCACCCACCGAAAACCTATCGCTTGGCTCATCCAAAAAATTCCAGTAGTTTTACGTCGGGAGAAACGGCGGGGGAGGCGGAGGTGGATGTCATCCGTAGCTCGTCTAGGGGCTGTCTGGGCATCCGGACGTTGTGGGCATGTGCATTCTTCTATTTGCTGGTTGAGAGGCGCCGCGGACACTGGACAGTTCTGAGCCCCAGGTTGGGCGCGTTGAAACAATCGAGGGCACCATACTAACTCTTCGGCATATGTTTTATCGTCGAAAATGCGACGCAAGAAAGCCCGTCTTCTCGTCCTGGCGGGGAGGATTGTTCGCCTAGTGGCCGGCGACTCATAGTACCAAACATCGCCGTCATCGGGGTCCAGCAAGTGGATTCAGCCGTTGTGCGGATAGTTATTTGCGCTTTCGGACCATTCAGTTTCTACGTTTGCGGCCATAGGAGAAGGGTATAGCTGCCGACCGGAAACATCAAGGGGCTTCCAAAGTTTCCTTTCCGGTCCAAAAGCTGGAAGCGTAGAGCTTCGAGTGGTCGCTAGGTTAAGGAACCGTGTTCGGCCCCGTGGTTCGTCAGTATGATTGCAGCATTTCCGTTGGCTGCGTGACCACGGACTTGTTCGTTAGGTGGAATTGGCAGGCAGGGATACGGAGTACTTGTGTATGTATTTTTATCAGGATGCCGAGAAGCTCAAGATTCAAGCATTGATCGACGGCAGCGGGATAGATAAGTATCGGTAGTTCCGTTGGATGGTTCGGTCATGCCTTACGGCCCTGGCCGTTGCAGAGAACGGAAACAAGGCTCATGTAAAGAGAGCTTGTGGTGTCGCGCCTGGCCGAAACTGTGCTGCTTCACGATATGATTGTTTTGGACAAACGAACGGAACCATTGGCGCGGCCAGTGATGGGCCCCGTTTAGACCAGCAAAGCGCCGCGAAGTCCCGTAGATATCTGTCTGAGTATGATGATACATACGATGATTAAGTTAATTGAAACGATCCAAGAACCACAAGCTCTCCACGACCACCATTGCCGCCAGTGTGAACTAGGAATGGCGAGCCCTTTCCCGATCTTTCCTGCCAGCCCTACGGAGGACTGACGACAGGATTGGGCGAATTTCCGTCACGCACGACTTCTCGGTGCGAGTGATATCATATGAAAGTCAATGTCCCACCGTCATAATTCAAACTGTTCCCCCATAGCTGGAGCTCAACTAAGTGTCTAAAATCTATCCGAAACAGACGCTCTTATGCAGGTGAAGAGGTTATGCCGATAAAGGAGAATGGTTAGTGTTAGAGGTGCCAAGATGATCATTTGCTTCGCATCTCGCAGCTCTAGTAGAAGCACATAGGTAGGCTTGCCGATTTTGTTCGTGTTGTAGAGTATATTGTCTGCTCAAATTTTTCATGTAGATGTGCATCACACAAGTGCATACATTGGGTACACTTATGTAGGGTGCGGACCGCCATCTGTAGCTGTAGGCAGGAGATATATCCTGCATCGCATTCGCATGCATCAAGTACAATGTACCTCTTGCGCAGCCATCACTATAACCATCACCATCACCATCACTCGCCTACACTTGATCGTCCGTTCAAGTTCATATACCACATGCAAAGTTTCATTAATAACCCCCTCCCCAAACTCAATATGTTCCAAACCCAAACCCAACCTCCACCTGCTGCTACTGCACTCATCTCATACAAACATAGTTAGGTAGCCGATATAGCCCAATCGAAAGGAACAAGTTGGTATCGTACCCGTTGGTCCCGAAGCAAGACCAAACCAAACCAAACCAAACCAAATCAAGTGGGAAGTCAAAAAAAAGCACCCGCTTGCAAAACCAAACACAAACACAAACAAAGCACTGTACTTGGTCATCGTAACCTCTTTAGAAAGAAAAGTACAAACCAAACGCCTTCGCCGAATGCAAAACGCGCAACGCAAGAAAACTCAAATTCATGTTTTTCACCACTACTACCACCACCACCACTACAATCACGCAGCAGTCTCACCGACCACAACTGCAGGGCCAGGGCCTCCTGCTGTTTTATCATCTTGGAAATAATTCGCATCCCCATCATTATACACCGCGACCACCTCTCCCTGGTCTCCATTTTCGCTGCCGGCCAGAGGACTAGGCAGGCGCTGCCAGCGACGGCCACGACTCTCTACGCGGAGCCTCGGGCCGAAATTGACCCAGCCCCGTCGGTCAGCGCGGTACTTAGGCGACGCTGGGGAGAATGTCGCTTTCGGGTCGATAACCGGACTGCCTTCTCTTGACGTCGGTGGGGATATCGGAGATCCAAAGCTGTGTACTGATTCGGAACTATTATTGCGGTGGTGGGCGAGATGTGGTGTTACTCCGCTGCCCATTTGTGGGGATGCAGGCGGAGACTCAAAGATCCGTACTGAGCTGTTAGTGCGCAGGTGACGGGTCAGAGGCATGGCTAGTCGGTCGTTGCGCGAGAAGAGTACTACGCCGATCGTTATCACCAGAAGGACAGTATTCAACTGGTACATGCGTTTCTGGAAGATGACTTCGTCGGCAAGGAGGGTGAGCCGTGTGCTTATTGCGAGCATCTCTCGTTCCGAGTGAGACCGCTGTGATTCGAGTGCCAGGACTGTCGATTGCCACAGTTGATCGTATTTATCTCTCTACTTCTTGTTAGCTGTCAAGAAAAATCAATGAGGAAAAGGAGGCCTTACGTAGGTCTTCATATCCGTGAAGGCGGATGTGTTAATCGCTTCCAACAGCTGCCCCATCTTGGTCATGTGAGACTTTTCCATCTTCGCGAAGGTATCTCGCATCAGCCGGGATTGCTCTTCGATATATTGCAACGAAAGAGTCGAGTTGGCCTCCAGATGTGTAAGTCTTTTGTGCACCGATTTGAAGAAACTCTCTTGCGTGGTTGGGCTGGATGCCGGAGGTTGTGGGGAGGATGGTTTTGGCATTTCATGACTTCTCGACTCAGGTTTGGCCGGTGGTGAACCGGGGGCGACTGATGCAACCGCTGATGGTCGTGATATCGTAGTTGAACCGGACGCGATTTGAACAGCTGCCTTACTAGTGGGTACCACTACGGTCCCAGTCGACCTTGCAACCTGCGGTGGCGTGGATGGATGCGATACAGATGTCTTGGTAGGACCAGGCTGATTTTTAGGACAACTGGGGTGTCCGACTGGAAACCTGTACCGCCGATTCAGAGATTGCTGGGGTTGATGTGACGTTGTGACCGGCGAACTCGATGTCCCTACAACGGCACTGGCTGTGGGTTGTTCATCTGCCGGTGGAATATCTATCGTCTTTTCGTAGCTATTCTGTGCTGAACTCTTATTCTTCTCGGCCTCCTTATCCTCAGCAGATTTAAGAGGCTCAGCAACAGCCTCCGGCACGACATCCTCTCGGACATCCTCTTCGAAGCCTCCCCTGGCAACTGCCGCCTCATGTCTGAACTCCTCCATCATGGTAGTTCCGTGAACCCGCAACAAGCTCACCGGACAGTAATATTCTCCACCGTAATGGCTGAGGATCTCGATTTTCATATAGCGCGCCCATATCAACGGATTCTCCACCAAAAAAGCCTGGACGTCCCTGGTATTCCTGGCCACATAAGTCCCCAGTTCCTTCCATCCATTGGCTTTGACCGGATAGCGGTCGCTCACACTGACTTTGATCTCCCTGAACACCGAAGAGAAGAACTCGAAGTTCGCCAGCACCACGGTGTCAACCAAGATATCCTCGCACAACTCTACGATGAAGAATTTGTCCTTTACACCGCACTTGTTGAGCATGTACGACTCCTTGTTCTCCGACAGGATGCTGTTGGCGCCCTTCACTCCCTTATTGAAGTTGTGGACTGTGGCAGCGCAGTCGAGTGATGCATAATTGAACCGCTCCTTACAGGTCTTTCCAGCATCTTTTGATCTCGGCATACCCGCAGCGGCTGGCACACCTGTCGCCGCAGTTCCAGAAACCTCGATAGTCCCAGCCGGAGGTCCAGGAGATCCAAACTCGAATGAGATCTCAATATCATCTCCAAGAGCATCCAGCGCGCCGTATCCAGCACCAGCCGCATTCCTTGGTTCCCGTATTCCACGTCCTTGAAACGAGTCCGAAGACTGACCGACCTTGGCGAGGTTCTGTTCCTTCCATTCTTCGAAGGAGAGGAACTTGGTGGGTGGTTCCTCGGGGGTCTTTGGTGGTACTGGCACATCTGTTGCATCGACGGACGATAGCCAAGTAGTAGTAGACGTTCCTGACGGTGATTCGGGTCTTGGCGAGCTCCCCGGTGTCGTTCCTGAGGACGTGGATAAGGCCGGTGGTGTATCCGCAGGCACCCCGACCTTCCCTACAGCTCTTGTAGACGCCGCCGCCGCCGCAGGTGTGGAGGGGTGTTCGGAGCTCGGGTTTTGGCTAGTAGTAGACCTCGTCCTTAAGCATTGCTCCGGCAATCCTGGGGAAATGTAGTTCACGGATACTGACTGACAGGTCGCGGTACTATTCACGACAGTCGTAGCAGAAGACGCGGGCGGTGACGGCGGTGACGGCGCGGTCGTGGTAGTCCTCTCGGTGGTAGCAGTTGTGGTAGAACGGGTCTCAGGGGCGGTGGTGGTGGTGGTGGTCGTGACGGTCGTTGCGGAGGATGCATCGACGTGTACGGCGGCCAGGAGCAGGAGCTGGACAATGACCGTACGCCATTTCGGACAGGCAAGCATCTTTGAGAGTTTACGCAGTGAACGATGTTGAGGGTTTTCGCTTTTCACCCGACCTTTGGGTACAGGTCGGGCCTTGCTTTCCTGGGGGTGGCTGCTTAAGAAGATCGTAGCTAGAGCAGGAAAGGCGAGCCGTGTGGCTAAGATGCTTCCAGGATAGCGGGCTGTCGGTAATCGCCAGCACTAAGCTCAGAGGTGGCCAGAACGAAGGGAGGCGTGCCGTGCGCCCGTTGTGTTATGTGGAAGGGAGGGGGGTCCGGTGCGTGTGGCGGAGGAAGTGATAGGTGGTGGGAGAAGGGCATGGAGTATTTGAAGGTGTTCTCATATGTATCGGCATTACATAGGAATTCGATGGGCCGCCGCGGAGGTTCAGTTGAGATAATGAACACGGTGGAGGTGAGAACGAAACATTAGACGGCAAAAGCAACAGCCCGCCAAGCGCCAAACGAGATGAGCTCCTGACCGTTGCAATTGGCCGCGGTAGATCGATCGCGGCCATGGGTTAACGGCATGGGAAATGCAAATAACTTTTCTATATATCAGAAAATGAATGGTCCTAGAATAAACGCAAAGCACGAGGTGTATTGACTGCTAATGTGTCCTTTGCGTTTTGTGTTTTATGTTTGAACCATGCGACTCGGCATTCTCTGATAAACAGGCAGAAGTGCTGCCTCGCCATGGATTCCTCTGCGACTACACAGGCAGTGATACTAAACATATGTACGGGATATCATATAATTCCCAAAGGCTTCGGGATCCAATTCCCCTCCCACCGCTTCCACTTCCCGGCATTCCTTGCTTCTGCCACCGTGTTCACAACCTCCACAGCTTTCGGCTTTAACCGCTGGTGTTGCACCCTCCGAAACCGCTCTTCGAATGAATCGATCTCGGCTTCTAGGTCCTCTAGTGATCTCTTTTCTTTGGGTTTCAAAACTGTGGATTGTGATCCCACATTGAGTGCCGCCAGCTCGGCGAGAGCTTGGTACTTGGGCTTCAACTGAGGATATTCTGTTAGGAGGTGGGTGAGGAGTAGCATAGTCCTGTCACTGAGGTTAGTTCGTGCCCAGAAGAACCAAGAGAAAAGGAAGGAAGGAACCATACGTTTTGTTTGGCTGCAACAGAATCCCGCGCACCAACATCTCAATATCAATCCCCGCGCCCACAGCCCCCGCAGCCGTCTGCTTCTTATCCGTCAAATACCTTGCCCAAGTACTGATCGCCTGAACAAACTCCTCATCAGGGGTCTGCTGCTCGACATCCTGCGCCACCCCCGCCACCCTCAGCAACGTGGAGCTGAGCTCCTCGCTCGCCTTCAGGATCTCAACTATGGCATCAACCAGCTGCCTCACAAACCCCGGAACCAGCTTCTCCAGCTCTCCCAGAAGTGGCGTCCACAACATCTTCGCCCCCTTCATCATCTTCTCCTTCCCTCTGCCACCGGGAACCAGCGCCTTCTCCGCCAGCAGCGCCTCGATCAGCGCCTCAATCCCCTCCTCATCCTTACATATCCCGACACACTCTTTAACCACCCCGGCAACAACCTTCCCCTCCACCGAAGAATCACCAGCCGTAATCCTCCTGAGCGGATTCTCCCTCCTCGCCCTCCTCCACGCCAGCACGGCGCTCTTCGCCTGCTCAAGCCCCTTCACCGGCGTCTCACCCACCTCGCCCACGCCCGCCCAATAATTATCCGCCAACCATTTTAGTCCCCTGTTCGCAAAGACCCTGAGCACCTCTATACTCGGCAATCCCTCATGCGTCGCCGCATGTCTGAACTCGACGAACGCGGTGGGAAGATTCAAGTTCTTTGCCAGCAGATGCATTGGCAGCGCGAACTGCGACTGCTGCGCGGGGTCGATAATTCCATTGACGAAGCGGCATATCGCCATGGAGTAGGCCATGCGGATCTGCAGGGCGTCGGCGCTGGGGAGGGAGTCGAGCAGGATTGCGGAGGTAATTTGCGCCGTGGCTTCGATTGCGTGCGGGATCCGCGTGCGGCTTTGCCATGCTGCTACCTGCGGAGGTTAGAAGTTTTAGAGTTGTATTAAGAGTAAGGTGGTGGGGGAGTACAGACCTTGCGGACTGCGGCGGCCCAGGTCTCGGGTGTGGAGCCGTCGCCGTAGAATTGGGACTTTACGGCGACCAGTTCGTCGGTCGTCCGCCATGGCGTCGTGCGCGCCTGGTGTAGTGACATCGTGCGGTGTGATATGGCGGCTGCGCGGTGGAGACAGATTGGTGGTGGTGGTTTTGGCGCCAGCGCGGTGCGGGAAGAAAGTTAACGCGTATTGTGGTGGGGCATGGAAAAAATCACCAGGTGCAGCGGAAACGTGATAGTCCCGCGTATCATCATGGGCAATGATGCGGTCTGGCCATTGAACTCGTCAATTTTCATTAAAATTATGTACTCCCCTTAAAAAAAACATTTGCACGTCGTAGATCGTAGTCTAGAGACAAAGCTGCCTCAGAGACCAAGCAAAGGCAGGAAAAACAAACGCCTGCTGTTTATATGTGGAAAAGTAAGAAAGAAAAAAGAGATTCAAACGCCATCAATGAAATGTCCAACAACCGAGCAATCAGTACCGTACCACCGAATTCCGATACCTAGAAACCCTTAAATTCCCTCGAGCCCACCACCGCTCCTCCTCCCACTTCTCCTCGGCGTCGGCACCAAGTCTACTGCACCCCTAGGCTTCTGTACTCTCGACGCCTTGACAGCCCTGGACGTTTCAACCGGCGCAGACTTATCCAGCTTCGCCCTGACAATTTTCTTCTCCATGTGAGTTTCCTCGTAGTTATATCCCAACGCCTGGCTCTGGACGAGTTGTTCCTCGGGCGTAGGCTCCAGCCGAGATGGTTCGACAGGAGTCGAGGGCGTAATAGCGGGGAGATCGGACTGGTCACCAACTTTTGAGGTGCCGGATGGAGTGCGTGAAAACACGCGCTGCTTGCCAGCCACCGCTTTGCCTTGTAGGCGGCCCCGCGTCTTTTTGTGCGCATTGGAGGACGCCAGGAGTTCATCTTTGCCCAGCTTCCCTAGGATCTCGGATATACCGGAGAGGTTGCTGCTTTTGCGTTCTGGGAGGTTCGTTGAGCCGCCGGATGAGGAGCTTGAAATCTCATTGACTCTGGTTTCGGCGCATTCGGCGAGAGGAGTAGGTATTACGGAAGGAATGGGATCGTTTTCGCCAGTATTTCTGCGAGGGGCAGGAGACATGGGACGAGGAGATGTTGGTTCCGGACGGAAGCTCGTCTTCATATCCTCCAGGTGCTGTGCAAATGGCACTTTGGGAATATGAGGGAGGGGAACTGCCTGTCCAATGGCGAGGACGTTCTTAGAGTCCCCGGTATCTTTCGATGCGGCAGTTGGCTCACCGGCGGGATGGAAACCCTTCTCATCAACTCGTGCCATTGCTTCCCGGCACTTATACAGCCAATCGCCAGTAACGATCAGGCAATCAGCGATCGAATAAGCTATGCGGTACTCTTTTGACAGCATCAAAGGTTTACCAGGGGAAGACCAATGTACAAGATGAGTTAATTGTGTGTTCTCGTCGAATGTGGCGAGAACCTGTGCACCGAGTTCTCTAGCAATTTTCTCCAGCTCCTCTTTACGTTTCTGACAGAGAATCAGTTAGTACTAGTAATCAAATCACACTGACCACAGGGGGATGGTTTAAAAGATAACCACAGGCACATGCCTTGAGCTGTTTGCTGACGCATACAGTGCACCCATTCAAGGTCTTCTTTCCCTCCATTCTCTTGGACTCGCCCTCACTTAGGATGCTCTGACTGGGGTTCGGTTGTTGAGGGTTTTTACCTTCACCGCTCCCATTATCGCTCGGTGGCTGAGACTCAAGTGCAGTCCTTTTACTCGCGCTTGCCAGCTCAGTTTCGGGCTTCCTCTTGAACTTGTCGCCTAGAAGGGACCCCTTGCCTGGGGGCTTGATGAGATATTCTTCGTAGGAGAGCTTTTTATGCTGCTTGAGACATTCAACCAGCCATTCTCCAGTCACCACCGAGATATTATTGGCGTGAGCGTAGCAGATCTTTGGGCTTCCATCCTCTCGTGAGTCGTTGGTTATGAGCAGTGATCTGTTCTTCCGGAGCACTTCATGGAAGTTTGCACCTGTAATGTAATTTAGCACATGTAAATCCGCATGATGAGGAAAAAGTACCCAGAAGGCGGACTAAGCGTGGATAGTACAAGAGGTCTATCCCAGTGAAATTGGTGATGCAAATGTCCATTTCTTTCATGTCTGTTGCAAGTCAGCACTGGCAACTCATCGCATCCTGCGGGAACTTTCGGACCTTCTATTGCGAACTCTTCAATTGGCATAGTCGTGAAGTCTCCCATCGGTGTGACAAATTTCTTGTAATGAAGGCATGATTCCAACCACCATTCCGTGACGGTGACCATGTCTTGATCCTCTGGTATTTTTGGACATTCGTTCACGCGCTTCTCACGGGGGACCACTACAAGCTTCCAGATGAACTGGGAAGCTGCACTCAACTCGTTGAGTGAATTGACAATGGTGCCGTCGTGGGGTACCAGCGCCGATTTGAGGGCGGCCAATTGTTTATCTTCAAACCCCCAGATCCAGAAACACGCATTGGCGAACATGCCTCCCCTCGCGGGCACCGGTCGATCTACGGCCATGGGTTCAAAGCCCGATTCCCGGCGATCCCTTTTATCGCTGGGCACACCATCCGCCTGATTAAGGCCATCCTCCCACTCGTCCCGCTTCACTGGCTTAACATTCGCAGCCTGACCCACGATATCGTCCCAAAGTGATTGACTCTGTCCTCCGAGCTTGTCCTGTGTGGCTTTTCGGATCTTCCGTTTCCCACGGAACTCTGCCACCACCGTCTGCACCGAGGACTTGGAAGGCTTCGCACCGACACCAATTTCTTCCGGCGGCAATAAAGGATCGTAGCATTTTTCGTCTAGGGCCATACCACGCTCAAGACTGTCCGCCAGCCATTCCGGTGTCACTACGGTCATTCTATGGGCTCGTGCGAATTCGTATTTCTTGCCCGTGGGCGCGGCGGCAATGAGATGCGAGACTGCATACGTGAGGTCAGGATGGTAGGCTGCCGATTCTTGCTGACATATCTCTTCGATCCGTTTGCGTTCCGCGACTACTCTGTCTGTCAGTGCCATACCATCTCCTCTCCTCAAAGGACGTGTATCATACCATCGGCAATGCCCGTTACCGAGATCTTGAGGTTGTAGAGCACAGGCAGGCGATGCTCCGCCTCGAACATCTGCGGATCAATATCTTCACCGTCGATCCACTGCCTGTACATTGCCTCGACCCACTTCGTCGTCATTACCTTCACGTCCGGGCGCATCTTCGCCACATAGCGGTATTTGGGAGAGAAGAGTTCGCCGCAGATGAGGTGGGTAACTTCCGATGTCAGATCGAGGATGTGGCGCGCGCCCATGTCTTCGCACTGCCTTTGGATCTCGTTCTGTCGAGGGGAGTTCGTGTCAGCTCGAGTCCAGTGTGCACGTGGGAATTGAACGTACTCGTTCGGTCATCTCCACTGAGGTACAACAGAGTACCATCCGGTGGAGAGGGTGGTGCGACCGCATTATCTCGGCATCGTCGGCCATGATGACAGTATGAATGGGTCCTGTGAAGATCGGTCGATATGTGAGTTGTCGTGAGGTCACCGAAAGCGTGTTGTGAAGGTTCAAAGCTAGGATGGGATGGACGGGGCGACGCGAAGTATAATTGCCAAGAGAATCTTACGCGAGGGCTCATTCCATAGGATATCACTCACAACTCACACCTCCACATTAGGTATAGTTAAGAAATTCCACGTAGGCATCACTTGAGACTGGACACTGGAACCAGAGTCTCGAGCTCTATATCCGCCAAGAACCGGATTATAACCGCGATCTTTACCTCAGGTCCTTCTTCCTCTACAGACCGATCTCGATGTCGTCCCCGAAGCTTTCGGCGCTTCATCGTTAACTATAGCCGATTCTAGACTCTGGGTTTCCCCATAGCACTCCGGATTTACAGATTCAGATACAGGCATATATCGAAGTGCATACAGTTACATCAACCGTCACACGTTCCATCTTCCTTCTCCGATGATGGTGGGCTCTAACTCCGATTTATGGGGAGCGCATGGGTAGGCTTGGGTATAAGGATTCCTGGCATGGGACTGCCAGCCCGTCTATCGCCGATCACTCGTCGGCGATAACTTTCGTGCTCCCGGAAGTAGGATGTCTATTGACCATACTCACCCGACCTATGATACCGCAGTTTTGAACGTCTGAGTCTCTCAACGGCTATCGGCGCCAACTATCCCAAGGCTTTGGGTCTAAGGGCTTAGGCGGAGATACGGACGATCATTAGGTTTTGTTTTCGACGTTGCGATGGCTCGTTACAGCCGTGCAGCGTAGAGTCCATACAGAGCGGGCCAGAGATGATGGAACAGCGGCCTCAGAGCCGGTGGGAGCATTGCAAGATTGAGAGGATATCCTAAATACCGTAGATCACCGTGCAAGTCATGAAGCTCTACTTAAGCCCAGGAATTCCCGCTATTGAATCGATATCAACAGCATCTTCATAGCCATCACAGCTACCACAATAACCTCAACCTCAAACCCAAGTTCAAACACTTTAAACACTTCAAGCCCAAATCCACTATCGAAATGTCTGCCTCCGCCGACTCCACTTCTCCCGTGTGGTTCATCACCGGTTGTTCCTCCGGCTTCGGCACCAAGCTAGCCCTGCTCGCCCTCCACGCCGGCCACCGAGTCATTGACACCTCCCGCAATCCCTCCAAGACTCCCGAGCTCGTCTCCAGAGTTGAATCTCTGGGTGGGAAGTGGTTGACCCTGGACGTGATCTTACCCAACGCCCCCTCGGTAGTCCGCTCGGCTCTGAAGATCTACGGGCACATCGACTACTTCATCAACAACGCCGGCTACTCCCTTCTCGGAGCTGTGGAGGACTTGGGCGAGGAGGAATACCGTCACTAGCTAGACGTCAACTTATTTGCGCCGCTGAAGCTGATCCAAACCATTATTCCGTTGATGTGCGAGTGTAAGAGCGGCATAATTGTCAACTTCAGTAGCATTGCTGGTCTTGATGGAATTGCCACTTGCGGATTGTATTCCGCTTCGAGGTTTGCTCTTGAAGGTGAGCCCTCACCTCCCACACATTCTCCACTTTGTGTACCTGGAGCCACAGGTGGCTAACCAAACGGCACAGGCATGTCCGAATCCCTCGCCCTTGAACTTGCCCCCTTCGGCATCTGTGTTCTCATCGTCGAGCCGGGTGCTTTCCGCTCCAACTTCCTGGGCGCATACATCAAGCCGGCGATTGGAATGTCGGATGCCTACAAGGGCACAGCGGTGGAGACGCAGATGGACTCTTTTGCTGGATGGAGCGGCAAGCAGCCGGGAAATGTGGCTGTGGGCTGCCAGAGGATCTTTGAGGTCATCACTGATACCGGAATGGGCAGGGGTATGGAGAAGTATTTGAGGCTGGGATTGGGGAGCGATTGGGCTTCGAGGGGGGAGGGAAAGATTAGGTCCCTCGTGGAGACGAAGGAGGCGCTGGAGCCTATCTGGAAGAGTACCGATTATAAGGATGAGTAGGTGGCAGGTTGGATGGATTTAGCGAGGGTTTCGTTTTGGGATATGTTTGATCGAGATGGTATTTGACGGAGCCTTTGTTTCGAATTTTGTGAAGAATCTGTGCTCTCTTACTACATACATCGTTTGGAGCTCACCCTGGCCAATGGGAACATGGCCTTAAAATGGAGGTGACCCGAGTGACACCCATGCCACACCTCCGGCATCCCTAGTTAGAGTACAGTGCACGTGACGCCTCACTAAACCGACCCGCATCAGAGCCTCCCTAAATTTCTCCCACTCGCACGCAGCATCCCGCACGATAACCATGTCGCTCCTCCGCCCCGCCGTGCTGCGCCAGAGCACCCGCAACTTCACGACGCAATCCGCACTATGCTACGCACGAATCACGCGGGACCGGAATCCCAACCGCGGCGTGTCGCCAATCCACCGGCGCCCCCAGAAGGAGCCGCTCGGTGCTCAGAAATACGGTATTCCGAAGCCCGTCGATGCCGCCGAACACACCAAGGTCGAGACCGATGAGAACCACGGCTTGTGGGGCTTCTTCAGAGAGGATAGAACGGCGCTGCCAACGCCCGAGGATGATCACAAATATGGTGAGGGGTGACGGAATGGAATGGAGGGGATGCGGGCATGGTGGCTGATTGAGTGATAGGTCGCCATTGGACCGTCGAAGAACTCAGACAGAAATCGTGGGAAGACCTTCATAAGCTGTGGTGGGCGTGTGTCAAGGAGCGCAACATCATCGAGACCCAAGCGGCGGAGCGGACACGACTGAAGCCTGGTTACGGAGACTTCGAGGCGAAGGAAAGGAAGCGGACTGTCAGGTGGACCCAGCGCGGAATCAAACATGTGCTCACCGAGCGGTACTACTCGTGGCAGGAGGCAAAGCAGCTGGCAAAGGACGATCCCGAGATTGTAATCAGTGACAAGGGCGTCATTTACACTCCTGGATCGGCACTCGAGGAGACAGAGGAGGTCGAGGTGAATGTTCAGGTTTGTCTACCTCCTTCCTCTACCCAATTGAGATGCTAATTGAGTTACAAGGAGCCATTGGTAGTAGAGGCGGCGCCGGAGCCCAAGGCAGAGGAGAAGAAGCCCTTAACTGTGTAGACTAGACGAGGGTGTAGACATATGCGGAGGATCGGGATGTGTCAATTGTCTGTCTGCGATCTGTGTATTATACCGCCGCTTCAAAGCGAGAGCGATCAAAGGCGCATCCGAGCGAGTGCTTTTCATGGAAATAAACAAAAAAGTTTCACAATCACATCGCATCACCCACCGGAAACTTTACTTGCCCCCCCACAGTACCGTAAATATGACTAGCGCAAAGCGCACAATCCCGCTAGCGCTGGTCGAATCGGGCGCTGCAACGAAATCTTGGCGACGAGAAAGTTCAGAACCAGGCAAAGAAACCCAACCTCACACGTCTCCCACTCAACTCTCGGCGCCCCGCACTGCACCTCCCCACCAAACTCCTCAAAATGGCTGACATTGAGGTATGTGTTTGCGTGTTACTCTGTCGGTGGCAACTTCATATCCCAGTGCTAATGCAATTTTTTCGTCGTAGCAACGGCTGAAAAGCCACTCAACGGCGTTTGAAGGTTTACTCTCGCTGATCCCCGGCAACAAGTACTTTGAAGGCGACAACACTGTTCGTTCTCTCCACCCCACCCCACCCACCCCACCCTACACCCCACCATAGTGGATCGCTCGCTGACATGCGACACGAATTACAGGCCCAGTGGTCGAAGCGCAAGCAAAGCAAGGAGGAGCACAAGCGAGCCAAGAAAGCAAAGCTGGATCCGGACTCTGTTACAACAGCGGCCGAGTTCCGCGCGAAGCGGCAACGCGGCGAAGACGACGTTGGCGACAACATGAGCGGCGACGAAGCTGGCGAAGAAGCTGCTGAGGTAGAAGAAGCGCCTCCAAAACCTAAAAAGTCCAAGAAGCAGCAGCAGCAGACTCCCAAGAAGGCGGCAGCTGCGAAAGAGAAGGCGGTGGACGAGAAGGAAGTGAAAACACCCGCACAGAAAAAGGGAAAAGGAAAAGCCTCAGTCGTCGCCGTCGGCGTCGCCCCACCGTCTGAGGAAGTACCCACCGCTACAGCGACGTCGAACGACGATGATGAAGACGAAGACTCAGAAATGATCGATGCCTCGGAGCCAATCCAGATCAACGGCTTCGCGGACCTAGCCGAATCTCCCAGCACAATTACGACTGAAGACCAGCCGACTCCCGCCACGACCACCCCCACCGAGCCCCGAAAACCCGAACTCGACGCCGCCGCGCGCGCCGAACAACGGGCCCGTCTCGCCGCACGGATAGAAGCGCTGCGCGCCAAGCGAAAAGCTGACAATGCCGATGGCACATCTGCGCGCACACGACAAGACCTCCTCGAAGCCCGCCGCAAGAAGGAAGCACAGCGAAAGGAACGGAAGAAGGCGGCCCGCCTGGCCGATAAGATAGTCAGTGAGGGCGAGGATGTTCTTTCGGAAATTCCTGCGATACCCGCTGCTGCGGCTGCGACGCCTGCGATCAGGAAGGACTTCTCGTTTGGCCGTGTCACCTTCGATGACGGACGACAGTTGAATGCGAAGTTGCAGGATTTCCAGAAGGACAAGAGGAGGAGGGGGCCGACTGATCTTCTTGGTCAGCTCAAGCATACCGAGGCGAAGAAGCGGCGGATAGAGCAGATGGGCGACGAGAAGAAGGAGGAGGTGCTTGAGAAGGAGAAGTGGAGCAAAGCGTTGAAGCAGGCGACCGGCGAGAAGATCAAAGACGACGAGAAACTGCTCAAGAAGGCTTTGAAACGACAAGAGTCTCAGAAGCGGAAGTCGGCGCATGAATGGTATTTTCTCCTTACTGCTGTTTACTATGTGAGGGGGGTACGCTAACATCACTATTAGGGGCGAGAGACTGTCTGGGCAATCCAAATCACAGGCTCAGAGGGTGAAGAAGCGAGAAGAGAACCTTCAGGCGAGAATAGACTCGAAGAAGGCGAACAAGGGTGGGAAGAAGATCACCAAGAAGAGCCAAAAGCCGTTCGTCAAGAAAGGCGGCAAGAAGCCGTCGAGACCAGGCTTCGAGGGTGGAATGAAGTCCAGTAGTGGGAAGGGAAAGAGTAAGGGGAAGAAGTAGTAATGAGATCACTATGAGGAACTTTTGTGATAGCAATGTTGTTTTGTCGGCACTTTTTTAGAAACGCTTGCGATAATTGATCAACATGAGATTTCGTAAACATCACAACTTGAGCTGCCCACTCGCTTGACCCAATCCCTGGCTCCCAACCGTCTGGGGATGCTGCAGTCAGATGTGGACTGTGACACCACATTCCCAAACGTTCTGCGTCTCGAGAGTATGCCAATTTGCTACTGCACCGGCCTCGACACAAACTACACCACCACCACCGCTGTCGTTAGCAACAACCTCCAACCATATGCACAACACAACACATCATGGCATGGCAGGACTCACGCATGTTCTTGTACCCGTCCGCGGGCCCGAAGTCCGCCATTCCACTCGCGCCCTCCCAGGGGTTCCACACAACGACATCCTCGAGATTCGTGCGCTCCACCTTGAACAACGTCTTTCCGTCCGCATTCACGGTGACTGCTCCGGGGACATTCTCGTACGCCCTGTCCACCTCCGCCGCAATGGTCACGCTCTCCGACTCCTCGGTTGCCATAGCGCCCTTTAGGACCTTATCCTTGTAGGTAACGCCCTTGAGGCCGGACACGGAGACGGTGGTGACATCCTGCGCGCCATCATCAGATCCCACGCCCCAATAATTCATGTGAGGAGGAGGGGGATGAGGAGGGGAAGGGGGACTCACGGGAACCCGCAGGTAGGTGTGGAACAACACGTTGAAGTCGAAGGACTCGCCGCCCTCGTTCCGCACGAGCATCTTCGTTTCGAGCGAGGTCTTGCCGAGGACCACCGAGTAGATCAGGCCGAAGTCGTAGGGCCATTGCTTCCGTGCGTCGACCGTGAGGTTCTCGGGCCCGAGGCCGAAGTCCACTTGCACGCTGGTGTTGGACTCGGAGGTTTTGCCGAGGAGCTCCCACTGCGGAAATTGTCAGTATAAGCCGGCCATGGATGGAACGGAGAGGGAGGGAGGGTGGGTGGGTGGGTGGGTGCCTTGGAGATCCGCGCGAAGCCGTGCTGCGGGAGAGCCGCGGTGGGGCCTTCGGTCGTTTTGCCAAATACCTGGTAGAGGGTTAGCCATGGTCGATGTAATAGGGATTACGAGGGGCTGATTGAATGGATGGATGGGACTCACGGGGAAAACCAATGGGATTCCGCCACGGACTGGAATAGTCAGCTCGAACAGGCAGCTTTCCTTTCAAGAAGTCACATACTAGCCTTGGTTCCGTCTAAACACGACCGTTGGTTAGTCTTCGACCACCGGAATTGACAAGAAGGAGAAGAAGAAGGCAAAGACACACCAAGCTTCGCCTTGTCACTCAAGAAGAGCTTCTCTTCACCACCGGCCTTCCACGAGATCACGGTGGCACCGTACAGGAGGATTTCAGCCGATTCACCCGAAGGCAGGGAAAGCTATAGTAGTAGCAGGCGTTAGTTAGTCCGAATACTGGGCCGGAAGCTATCTCTCCACATGCCTTAACTCTGTCGCTCTCAATGGAGACGCCCGAGGCATGACCGATATCGGTGGTGTGGGCGACGGCGAGCGCATCAGGCTTGTGTCCACGTTCGACCATTTTGGCGCAGAAGATGGAATTGAATTCGGGTGGATTATGGGTTAATTATGGCGCGAAGGATATTGCGATGGGAGATGATGATATGATGATATGATATGCGGGGTATGGGAGATGGAGTATGAAGCTCTGCTCTTCCCCATCAGCGGGGGTCCCGCCTATGTACTCTATCTACTCGACCAAAGATAGCCCCGCCAGCCCTAGAATGCGGGGCCTGCACGACGCACGTCCGTCGCTAATGCTGCCAATGACAGCCGCGCTGCAGCAGCGTGGGCCATGGCGATGACATCCCCTTCTCAACAGAAAATCACGACGGTCTCTTTGGACGGGGGACTTAACGAGGTGGTAGACAACATCTAATGTGTTTCGACGAATGAACTGCGGTGTGTATGTGTGTGTGTTTTGGTGGGTCAGGCTCGATTCTCTTTTACTTTCTTCGCGCAATTTCCTGTATGTATCATACAGTGGATAACTGAGAGTTTTGTATCGGAATCGGTGGGTTTCTTGTCCGGCCATATCTCATCATACCTTCGCTTTAACCATCGTTCTACCAGTCTTCTAGGCCCCGAGGGTGTGCATCTTGTACATATGAGAATCAACGGCAAAATCAGTGTGTTTTCAACGTATCTCTGATGAGCGTCCAGGTAGTGTATCAAGAAAGGGCGTAAAGAGTGACAACCGTTGGGCGAGAACCCCCCGTAACTACTGTGCAGCTGCATACTCGCCACGCCCGTCCTCAGGAGTCAGGAGTGAGGCTGGAATCGACTTCTTCTGGTGGTGGGATGTCTAAGCAAACACCTACCATTGAGAGGGAAGTACCTGCCATTTGGCCAATTCGCCGGCGGTGCTTCCATGCCGCAAGGGATGTCCCAATGGTACGATTTATACGAATTGTGCGCAAAGAAAGGCAGCAGAGTCCTGCCACCGCCTTCAACCGCTCATCCAGAGTAGTTATAATACCTAGAGGAGCACGAGCTGGAGTCGTCTTAATTCGTGGTATCTGGTATCTATGCTAATCCTAATCCTAATCCTAAGAAGGTATATATCTATTCCCCAAGCCCATCCGGTTCCATCCATTCCGTTCCATCCATCCATCCAATCCCATCCCATCCGTCCATTCCATATCCTGCCATCCATTGCCTTCCCATCCACCCAGGTCGCCCCGAAACACGTAGAGCAAGGCGTAAACACACACCACTCTCCACCTTCATTAAATCATCAAGCACAAAGAAAAGAGAACCCATAACAATCCCATCCACCCAAGCGAAAACCAGACCAGACCAGACACACACAAACACACACACGATTCTCTCCTATACATACACGCTTATCAAACAACAAAACAACAAAACAAAAACACAGCAAAACAAAACAGACATGAGATGCCCTAAAAAAGATATCCCCCCACCCACCCACACACCAAAAGAAAAGAAAAAAGACACCGCCAGACTCTACGGTAGAAGCTTGAGTTGGGTTTACTCCGCATCCATAGTAGTGGTGGTGGTGATAGGAGCAAGGGGAGGAATCACGATGCCACCCGAGTGCTCCTCGATAAACGCGCTGAGGTCCACGGTTATCTTTTCGCCCGAATCCACGGGTCCGTCAAAGGCGATGCTGCCGTTTGGCGTGCTAGGAAGGAAATCGTCCCAGTCCTCGGTTGAATACATTGCAAAGCCCGTTGGTGGGGAGCTAGGGAGCGGAGAGGAAGGCATTGTGTAGTCCGTGTTTAGGAAGTCCGGGTCGTCGAGATCGAACGTCATGTCACCGGCATTGAAGGCGGTGATCTCGTCGATGTCGGCGAGAACACTGGCCTCTTCGGCAAGAAGCTTTTCCAGGAGTCCCGCGACTGGTGAGAGAACTCGGCGGTTTTCTGGAGATTTGAGGAGGCGGCGGCTGGGAGTTTCTGGGGGGCGGGGGATGCGTTTCGATGGACTGCTTTGTTGCATGGACCGTGTAGCGGAGCGCATAGGTGTTCGTAGTTGGTAACCAGTAGCACGCCGGATGGGTGTGGTGGGTCCAGGCACGGTAGATGTTGTTTCCTGACTTGAGTCTTCTTCTTCCTCTGGCGAAAGGTTCTCCTTTCCAGGTGCGCGTTTGGTCATTGGTAGGCCAACTGGTTTCTCTGGACTACTTTTGCGGGCTTCAGGAAAAAGTGTGCGTTTGGGTGATGGCATGCCATCCACTACAGCGTCTAGGTCGATGGGACTATCTGCGCTGCCAGTGACGAGAGGGCTCGAGCATGCCGCTCTACGGTTTTCATCGATTACCGCTTTCCACTCCGAGTTACTGCCGGAGCGGTTTGCGCTCGGAGACATTGCTATTCTCCTGGTCGAAGTCGGTACAGCCCGGGGCGTTTCTTCATCCTCGTCATCCGCAAGCACAATCGGCTCTGTGCACGCTTCGGACGCAATTTGCAGGTTCGATGACGGGGGAGTAGGTGCAGTGGCTGACTTTTTCCGCTTCCGCGGGTTCGCACCCTTCGCACCCTTCTCTGGCTTTTCGAGCTTCTCGTAAGGATCATTTGACTCCCAGAGCGACTGTGGACGCATGGTCTTGTGGGACATGAACCAAAGCCCACAAGCATTACAGAGCAAGATCTCCTTCTCCCGGCGGATCTGACCAGCCTTTTCGGTCTCATCTGGAGTATCGGCCGGTGGAGCTACTTTTCTCCACACTGCTGTCTCGATGGCACCACAGTTCTGGCAGTAACTAGGCATCTCACCACGCTGAACGGACTCGATCAGCTGCATCTCTATCCGTGCCTTGACGTGTGCAGCAGTCCTCGATGGTTTAGCCACAGTCTGTCTCCCCCGTTTCCCTCCTACCGCACTGTCATCCCCAATCTCACTCGACGGCACCACCGCGTCAGAAGTAAGTGGATCCTTCTTTTTCGACTTCTTTTTGGGTTTCGCGGACACCTTAGCCAACTGTGAAGACTCGTGAGACAGCGCAGCCGAGCCACTTATATCCTCAGTTGGTGCAGGTGGATTAATCGCCTCCCGTTGTGGGAGTGGGGGCGGGGGCGGGGGCAGCGCAGGTAGGAGCAAACCAGTCAGGGGTAGCTGCGGTAGTTGAGGCACACAGTCCGACTGTGGTTCCTCCTCCTTAACTCTCGGGGGTTCGGGCTCCTCAAACAATGTCTCCAGTCTCCTACTTGCTGGCTGACTTGTCTGGGGTGGTGGGAGGAACGGCAACACCGGGCTTGTTGGAGCAGGCGACGGAATAGTTGTAGCGTCGACAATATCCAGTTGTCCTGGTGGAGACGATGCCATTGGACCGGTGGGCCGGGGTGACGGTGTGATTTCGGATATAGCTCCTGGAGTACTCTCTACTGTCGACTGCCTGGATATGCTTGGCTGTGACACAATCGACGACTCTCTGCTTCGCGAAAGGCGGAGCGGAGGAGGTGGAGGGGGCAGTGCCGGTTGGCGCTTAGGAGCCTTTGCAGTCTTGCGTGGAGGCGGAAGCGGCACATCTGACATTTGGCCAAGATCCGCAGAGGGAGTGGCAGCTGGAATGTCAGGTTCGGAATTCACCACAGGTGCCTTCTTCTTTGGACCATGGGGTTTTGCGGGCATCCTTCGCCTCTTCTTTGGTGGTTCCACTATATCCTCCGAAGACGATACACCGCTTTCCTTCCATTCCTGTGTATTGGCCATTCGTGGTGGTTCCGAGATGGCCAGCGGAGGAGGACCATGTGCCGTAGCACTAGGCCGTACCAATGGAGAGGGAGGAGGCGGTGGAGGAGGGAGGGAGGGAAGAGGCAGAGCAGTCGTAAGCACTCGCGGGTTGTCGTTTAGAAAACTGGACCATCTCGCAGCGTCGAACCCCCCATCCAATGTCCTCGACAGCGCCTGGTATGCGTGAACCGAGTTGACGAACTGCTCCTGCGTAAATGTATCCACCTTCTGCAACTTGATCTTGACCTCCAAAGTCTCCCTCACATCGTTGTTGTTCCCCAAGAACACAAACGTATTCGAGTTGACGCGACCGGTAACCATCATGCGAGTCGCCGAGCTCTCCGTATTGAGCATCGCCCACGACAGCATACCGCAGCCAACCAGCGGGATGTCCGGTTCCGAGTAATCATAGGCGTAGATGGAATAATCTGGACCAAGTCGTGCAACAAGTTCAGGACTGTAGTGCGCAAGGGAAAAAACAAACAAACCGTAAGCTTATGGTTAATTCCCCCAAGCGACCACCCACCCAGCCACCAAAACTAACACTCGGGGTATACATGCCTTCCCGCAATGATGCTCAGAATGCAAGTCTTGAACTCGACAGCGCCGACCTGCAAGTCGCGGTCGACCTGTACCACGGGCGAGGTGATGAGCGTTGGCCAGCGCGCGAGGCAGTTGTTTTTATCCTCGTCAAAACTGTACGAGACTTTTACTGCACGGAGTTGGAAGAAAAATCACTTGATCAGTCTGGCTCTTTTTTCTTTTCGTGGGAAGAATAAATATATTCGAGATATTGAGAGAAGAGAGAGAGAGAGCGCGGCGGGATTAAACAAACATCGCATGTGCCTGGAATTGGAGTTTGTTGACGGGGCTGCCCCTCTCCTGTTGTCGGGACCAGCGGCTGACGACGCCGGAGGCGTATGAACCAATGCCGAAGCCATTTCGAGAATTTCCCCCCTCAAGATCGGTTTGCCCGAACTCGCATCCACGTGTAGATTATCTTCCGTGGAATGGCTTTCGAGGGGAGTTGAGCTCCAGTGGTTGTTGGGGGGGTCGTAGGGTCGAGTTGGTGTTCGTGACCAAGAATTGAGCAGCGAGTGACCGGTCGGAGGAGCGATGAGAGGAACACGGTTGAGTAAACAAGGGAATTCGAATTCCAGAGGCGATACGACGAGCGAGCGAGAGGCAGAGAGGAGTTGTTGAATTGATAGAGGGCGTGGCAAAGGACCGAATCACACGTTCTGAGTATATTGTTTGGGCGTTTCGTGAGGGGGTATGGGGGGAGAAGGAGGAGGGAACAACAGGGCGGGTGGGAATCCAAGGCCTAATCAGCGCAGAAAGTACCAAGTCGCGTTTCCCGTTGCTGGTTCGCGTCTGCCAAGCCACACACCCCAGTTTAATGTCTTTCTGGGCAAAAGACGGACACCGCCTGAAGGAAGGAAGGAAGTCAGAGTTCTGAGCTAAAAGCAACCAACGCAACAGCAAGCACGTATCGGCCACCGAATCGATCCTCAACCACTCCACGACCCTACACGAAGCATCCGTCTCGTCTGTATATCCACGTCTCCCCCCTCGTACGTCACCTCTCCCACCACCAAATCCCCGCAATTGACTGACTCCTCCCTAGATCCTCACATCTTCCAACCCAACTCACCAACCCTATCAATCCACCCACCAGCCCCAATGGCCTCCCTCGTCGACAAGCCGCGCTCGGAGCTGACCGAGTACGAGATCGCCGAGCTCGAGAAGTACGAATTCTCCGCTGGACCTCTGTCAATCCTGCAGACGGCGGTGCGCTCGCACAACCCGGTGCTCGTGTCGTGCCGCAACAACCGCAAGCTGCTGGCGCGTGTCAAGGCCTTCGACAGGCACTGCAACATGGTGCTCGAGAACGTCAAGGAGATGTGGACCGAGACCCCGCGGAAAGCTGATGGCACCAAGGGAAGGCCCGTCAACAAGGACCGCTTCATCTCGAAGATGTGAGTAGTGCGCTCTTTTGGGGAAAGGCGGGGGGATGTGCGCTGACGGTTGGCTGTCCAGGTTCTTGAGAGGCGATTCGGTCATCCTGGTTTTGTTGAGTTAGAGTGCTCGTGAGCGGGGTAGAGGTGGTTGGCGGTGATGGGGAGGGGAGCTAGGGACGAGTGAACAGCTACATGCTCGTATGGAGAATGATAATTGAAGCAACTCAGCGAAAACGGCATCGTCATCGATATCATGACGACCATCCTACATTGTTCGGGTATCTAAGAATACATGACACGCAACCGTATCGGATTCATGAACTCTATAACGAACAACTAGACAACCATGTTGAACTTCTTGTTCGGTATCTCCACCACAATAGCAGCAGTTGCAGGCATAATGACAAATCCAAACAAATCCAAACAAAGATATATCCCGCAATGCACGCAATCCCGACACAAAGAAACCCATCCAGTTATCCAGTCATCCGCCCATCCACCCCCCAGCTCTTGCGTCCCCGGCCACGTCGTCCCCTCCTCACTTTGCGGCAGGAGTGTAGTTCTTGTGATCGTTGTGCTTCTTGTAATACGGGCTGCTAGGCTGTGGCCTCATCTCCTCAGGGAGACTCTCCATTACCTTTGCGAGGATCGCATCGCGGCTCTTCTCATTCTCCGCATCTCTAGTCCACACCAGGATGAGATGAGAATTGAACCTAACACTGATGCTAACACCGCAGATATCGTCGCCTAAGCACCATCAGCATCCTTCCCTCCCCCATCACCAGCTTCGCCCAAGCCTCGGAGAGAAACTCACCCTTCTCGACGACCTCCTGCAGGATCTCCCCAATGGCCATCATGAGCACCTCCTTCCAAAACTCATGGCTCTGCGCCTTGGGCACACGGAATGTCCACGCGCCACCATTCTTATTCCTTGGATCCTCCCACAGCGGCTTGACGTTCTTCTTGAACAGGTGCAGCGACTCCTTTAGCGTGAGGTTCGTGAACGGCGTGTTGTTGAACACCTGCCAGAAGCTCTGCACCGTGCTGATCTGCGCGATCTCCTTGAGTCGGTCGTCCCACTTCTCGGGGGAGGCGTCGGGGTCGTCCCTATTTTTCATTGTTAGGAAAGGAGGGGAGAGGAGCCGGCGAGGGAGGAGAGTTTACTTCTCGTGCCAGAACACCCACTCGTGCCGTAGTGGGTATGGCCGCAGCTTCTTCAACATCGTCATGCGGAGCTCAGCCCGCTTTCCGGCGTTGGCATCGTCGATGGGGGCGACGGGGGTAGTCGTGGTTTCGGCCATGTTGCTTGTGTGCTTGCTGTGTGCGAGGGGGAAAGAACGGTTGCGAGGGGGGGTTTTGTAGATAAAGAGGGAGGAGACCAGATATAAACACGACACGACACGACGTTTCAGAGCTGTGACAGACACACCATAGCTGCCTACGTGCCCCGCAGCATGTCAGCTTCTGTAGGGATGCTTAAAGGCCCCTTGGCACGCACAGCCACGCGTATAGGCGCTCTGTTCATCCTAGTGGCTGACATGGAGACGAAGTGAGGACAAATGAGAACTGTTTCTAGGTACTCGGCAGATGGTATCGTGCCTGAATGGGTGCTTGGTTGACCTGTTATGGCAAGACCCTTCTGCCTTACGGAAGCCAGCAAGAACAGATGGCGACGCATGCGCAGCCGCCCCGAGATTACCGCCGGTATGTTTTACCGTGCGCGCAAGAGATCGACTGGCTATGGTCATGCTTGTTTCAACGCTCGTCGTCTACGTCACAAACAATTTAAAGTTCCGCACGGTTGGTTTGCTTGTATCGGTCAGATGGCTTTTAGAGTGCAGTGCATGAGATCTCACTCGTCTCGTTTTGCAATGGCTCATGTTGATATTGTGCGTCTTATTGCCTGTTCCGGAGTCACTGCTACTTTCCACTGTCCTTTGCATACTGCCCTCATTTCCTTTATGGATGCTTAGCATTGTCCATAGCTTCTCATCAGAGTCAGCCTCTTTAAGCCTTCAAGCCCCCAGCTCAGATTCGGAGAAGATGATGAAATGAGGGAACATATCTGCCTCGCTCTTTGCCGGATCTGGCTCCTCTAGCAAGCCGACTCAGGAGGGAGGCATAAGAGGGCGAGTGTGAAGGAAGAACACGCAGTCACTCGGACGGTCTTATGTACCTGAAGAATAGAGTTTTGAAACCCGGAATCTGAACACCATACTGGTACCATATTCATACCCCAGCGCTGAGTGATCAACCAACCCCACCGAAGGTAAGTTTAGGTAACCACTTGCAGCCATGACCCACCCCACCACCATCACCAGCACCACCACCGACGACTCGGAAGTCGAAATTGGAACCACCACCGCCACCAAAGATGAAGATGACGATAAAGAATTTACCTTCACCGTTGCGATCACCGCCCTCCCGCCGCCCGCCACCCTCTCGCAGCTAACCAACTCCATCCGGCACAACACCCGTACGCTGCGAAACCGGCTACACTCAATCGCCCATGACAGCGCCTTCGTCAGCAGCGTTTCCGCCGCCTACGGGCTGCCACTGCTCCCCAACCTGCGGGCGGGGGACTGGTACATCCCTTCCCCGCAGCGCACCCCGACATGCGTGTACTTCAAATCCACCGACGGTCACACCAACGAGTGGTCCTTCTCCTTACGGCGTTTGAACCTGCACCTCCTCCCGTTCATCGCCGCGCACGACGGCGCATGCATCGTCGACTCCACACGGCGCGGCAAGCGCTTCCCGGACGCGCTATCCAAGACGCTGCCGATCTGGATCGCGGTCGTCAACCGCCTGCTGTTCCCGGGGGTGCCTGGTGCGGGGACGGGGGAGCTACATACCACGCCGCTGGCGGTGGCGGAGTCGGAGCGCGCGGCGATCGAGCGCCGCATCGACGGCTGGGTGGAGGAGGCACGGAGGACGCTGGCCGGGCGAGAGCTGCCAGTGCTGCACAAGCCGATAAGGCCCATCTTTGTTACACCGCTGTCGCCGCTGCCTGAGGCGCCGCCAAGGTTTGAGGGATTCTATCCCCTGGTCCTGATCACGGCTAGTCGTGTCGTCGGTGGTACCGGCGTCGAGGGTGAGTATATCCAGGGCGCCGGCGACGACCATGAGGGCTGGACCGGGACTTCGGGGCTGACGCCGGCGATCTTCTGGGGGGAGTGGCATGCGCGGATTATGGCGGCGGGGGAGGACGATATCGACGATGTCGTCGCGGCGGCGGTCGCCGCGGAGACATCCGCCGACGCCGGAGGGGAGGTGGTACGGATCGAGCCCACGAGCTGCGTTTACATAGCCCCGCGCACCGCGCTGTTGCCGGAGGAGGGGCTGGTCGTCGACTGCTGCGAGACGCAGCTGCAGGGCTGCGGCAACGCAGTCCACGTGCCGATTCCGGCGGGCAAGCGCGGGAATAAGGCGCTGCGAACGCTGGTGCCGCCGCTGATGCCGCTGCTTAGGAGGACCCTGGCGGATGGCGGGAGCGTCACGTTTGTGTGCGACAGTGGTGACGACGTGGCTGCTGCAGTCGCCGTCGTGTGCTTGTGCTCGTTCTTTGATGGCGAGGGTGTGTGCCTAGTGTTCCCCTTTGCTGGCTCGGGGCTGGAGCTAACGGTGGCTTAAGGGAATTTTGTTGACAACGAGGGAAGGAAATTTGCGGTTGATAAATCGCTGGTCAAGCAGCGACTGGCGTGGATCTCGGCGGCAAGGCCCATGGCGAATCCTGCGAGGGGGCTGATGAGCGCTGTGAACTCGGTGCTGATGGGCTGGGAGTAGGCTGGGATACGGGATGTCACTCATCTGTAGCATACCGGGTTTTTTTTTCTAGGAGGAGTAGGACTGTTACATCGGATGGACCACTGTCTTGCGTGGATAGGATAATCGGAGTGCGGTGTATGTTTTGCTATTCTAGCTGCCTAAGTTACATGCAATCAATGCGGAAACAAACCCCCCTCCCTCCCCCTACAAAAAAAAGACCCTCTCGTGCATTGGTTTCAGCCAAAGGCATACGATCCCGCCACGTTCATCCATCTCTCATTCAGCAGCAAGCCACGATATCCCATCCCATCCCGAGCAACTCCGATTCACTATTGCACGATCGTCATCACAGTTCGATCACAGTTCGATCACTGTGCACACATCGTCATCACCAGAAATTTCATTTCTTTCCAGCCTCACAAAACAACCCCTCCCCTCCATCCTCCTCGCAAAGCCTAGATCGAGTGAGATACATAGGTCCCTTCCCAAGTAACATAGCTGCAAAAATCACACCTCCCAGCTCCCAGCTTCCAGCTTCCAGTCGTCCCTCTCCTCCCCTCGCAGTACATAGATGGTAGATAGCGCGCGTAACGGCAGACGGGCGGATGGGCGACGCGCGCAGCACGACGCTAGACAAGTAGGCAAGTAGGCAAGAAAGTAGGCAAGTAGGCAAGTAGGCAAATACGCAAGTATGATAGGCAGGGATCAAAAAGTAAGAAATACTAGGTAGTACGTTAGGCCGGCTAGGAGAGCGGTACTCAAGTAGAGTAGACGAAGTAAAGTAAAGTAGAGTGCGTTGAGTAGAAGTAAAGTAAAAGTAGAAGACAAATATACGACGAAACGAGCGAGTGATGAAGAACAGGAGAAGAATAAACGCCTTAAACCCACCTCTTTTTTTTTCCAAAACCCAAACGTCAAAAAAGAAAAGAAAAAACCAACATAAATCAACCAAAACCTCCTGCCCTCTGCTCCTCAAAGGTATATGAAAGAAAAAGATAAAGAAATAGACTGAAGAGAAAAAAGAAAAAATGGTATTGTAGAGCTCCAAATCCAAGGAACAGAGCACGAAAAGAAAAGAAAAAGAAAAAAGATCAAAACAAATGGAACCAAAAAATAGATGGGATTGATCAAAAGAACTCCAGTCCTATACGCCTTCCAAAATCCCGACTCCAGACCCTCCTTCCAACTTTCACCTCTACGCTGGTATCGGTATCTTCCTCCTCCTCTTCCTCCTCCATACTTACTCCATACTTACTCCATCTTCCCTACCCTCCCGTTGCCGTCCTCGTTCGGGAGTTCACTCCTTAGAAACTCCGTGAATCCCAGAGCACTGGTATGCGGATGACTCGCGCCCATTTGTGCGTTCATGCTCACCGATGAGTCGTACTGCTGGTGGCTACCTCCGCCCCCGCCAGAGCCGTCACCGCCAAGATTATGGTGCGACGGACGGTGTCCCAGCTGCGTATGCTGATGGTTGGGAGGAGGCGGCGGAAGCTGCACAGGTTGGAAGGGTCCGCCGGAGACAGGCGTGGGTGGATTGCTCCCCGATTGACGTGGAGGTCCATACGGTGTGTGGTTCGGGGTCGAGCTAGGAGGGTATTGGTTGAACATCCATGGGTGGTGCACCGGAGCCCCCGATGATTGCGGAATCGATGGCATGGTGTTGCCGCGTCGCAGGACAGGGCCTTGGCTCGGCGCGCTGACCATGTAGAAGTCGGACATACCGCTCCGTATGCTGAGTTCTGGCATGTACTGCGGTTGGTCCTGCATAGGGGACGTCTGCTGCAACGCTGGCTGGGATACAAAGCTTGTCGCGTATCCTATGTTTGAATCCAGGTTAGGAGCCGGTACGTTGGAACCAGAAAACGGATCGTGTCCTGGTTGTTGCATACCACCGCCACCATTCTCATCCCGACCCTCCATCCGAGACGACGGAACCCGCATGTCCACCATGCTACCTTCGTCCGTAATATCCACCATATCGCACTCTGACGGGGTCTGAATGCCATGAACCGCCGACATCCTACGGTCCGCAAGCGATCGGTTGTTGTCGGATCCGGAATCTCTGCGGATCGGGGAGGCAATGCTTTTACGACGAAGTTGTGGGGAGGGCTTTCGTGGTGGACTCCTTATAATCTTCTCGGACGCGGCAACGAAGATGAACGTGTCAGGCGCTGAAACATGTCAGCGATCAGGAAGTATAAAGTCTGGGATCCTCCCCCCATTCTGTCCACATACGCAATTCTCGCCTGTCGTAACGCTCCTCCTGTCTCGCAACATGGTATATTTCCTCCAGCAACGGGATGCGCTCTTTCGGAATCTGGACCATGACTTCGGCCGTAGCAGCCTCGAGCTTCGAGATGGTAACCCTGCGGCTTCGCAGCATCGTCAAGAGCAACGTCAATCGTTCTCAAAGGCACACCGAAAAAGATCAGAAACTCTGCCACTCTAAAAAATTGCCGGGGGCCACGGAAAAACTCACCAGGTTTCATGAGGTGGTCCGGCTCCTTGTGGCGAACATCTGCAGGCCACCAATTTGGCTTGCTCTCGTCCCCACGATTGTATGGAAAATTCGACTGCTTTTTAGGCTCAATCACCTTGATCCAAGCCTTAGCCACAACCTTACACATGAGCTGTTGCATCTGTCGCAGCCGTGTCATGTAAAAAGTGGTAACGGCATCGCGGTCGCCGATGGCGAGCTGCTGATAATCCTGACTGATGCCGTCAAACTCGGAGGCCGATGAGCCTCGTCTGTCCCTTGGGTTTGGCTTCCTCTTCTTCGAGGCGGTGGAATCATCTAAAGATAATCGATTACCAACCCGCATGCCGATCGAATCGTGCGAAGTGAGGGAGTGCATACGTGCTGTATGATCCTGGGACATGGTCTGCTCGTGCTCCTCATCACCCCATCCATCCTCCTCTTCCTCTTCCTCGTGCTGGACAACCTGAACCTTGTCCTGCTGGGTGGCCTTCTTGTCGATACCACTGTCCCTTCTCCGGCGAACCTTTTTCTCATTCGCTGCACTGACCGCAATTTGACGTGCTTCTTGCTTGACCTGCTCGGTAATCCACTTGTCTCGATAGCCTTGGAAGGCGCTTGTCGCTTGCATCTCGAGGCTACCAGCCGAGTCGCAGATGATCAACAGAAACTGACTTGACGTCGCGTGCGCATGTTTCATCAATTGCTTCTGAAAGTGTTTCACGAAGTCGGCAGGCTCTGTCTATCCGGCCGAACTCAGTCATCGTTATGGTCACCCAAAAAAAATGATCATCACAGGGACATGTATCGATCTCGTTTGCAGGTATCGACTGCAAGATCGGTGTAAACATGATTGGCCACAGGCGATAAAGGACGGTTATATGATGACACCGTTCGAGCCAGGAGGGGAGAGAGCGAGCGAGAGAGAGAGAGAGAGAGAGAGAGAGAGAGAGAGAGAGAGAAAGATATGCAAGGCATCGTGGAGGAGCAAGGGGATGCACAAATGAGGGAGTGAAGGACGGACACCGCATGTAAGATGGGATAGAAAAAAGACAGGCAACTTACCAGTGATTTCGCACGGGCGTGTTTCTGTAGTTTGATTCCACTACCAGCTGGCAGCCCCGGCATCGCCGACGACATCATTGACATCTTCACTGACTTATCCATGACGTCTGTGTGTGTTTCTAGGGGGGGGGGGGGGGTGATTGATATCCAAACGACAACACAAGCAGCAAAAAATATTGGGTAGGGGGAGGAGGCTCAACGATTGGGCTCTGCGGAAATTCGTTTTGCGGGGAAGGTAAAAAAAGTGATCCTGATCTGCGTTAATGATGTTGTTTCCCTTTTTCCGATCGATGAGTGGGGCCGTTGAGCAAGGTGTCCATCGACCGACATCCCTTGCTTGGATCTCGGGAAATCACAAACTTACGCTTCGAAGGATGGAAGAGCTGACGTGCAGCAAGTTGTCTCGCAACTAATTCAGAGACCGGGCGCTCAGAATAGTACGAGGATGGTTGACGATGTGATGGCAGTGTTGTGATCAAGCGCGCTGCTGCCGCGTCTCTCTTCTTCGTCCTTCTTTGATGGATCTCGGATAGGGCGACGGCAGCGGCGCTGGCGGCGGTGGGTGGCGGCGGACGGCGAGAGAAGCGATGGTAATAATTACCCTAGCTGAAATTGACTGACGCCGTTCGTTCGTTAGTGAAGGTCTTGAGCAGCACCTAGTGGCGGCGGAATCGGCATCATCATCCGCAAGGCTTTTGATGGAGGAATGGGGCGCGTTCTGCGGCAACGAAGGGTTGGGAGGGGGGGGAGGGGGAGGGGGGTGGGGGATTTCGCAGAGGAGACAAAAAAACGCTTGATATGGGAAGATCGGAGAACTGACGTGTTGGGAGCCCGGCTGAACCAAAATATGGACGGTGGTAGGGTGTGGTAAGGGTAGGTAGGGGTGGAGGGATACGAAGTAGCCAGACAATGACGCCTGTCAGCAGCAGCAGCAGCTCTGCTCGCCTCCAGTAGAGTAGAGGAAATCTGCCTCGCCTCGACTGCAAGAGGGGATCCCCTGGATGAATCCCCGCGATGTGATAGCAGGACAGGTCCAGCTGGGGGGGTCGGGGTTCTGCGATCTAGCCAGACGGAACACTTGCGGGACCGTTTGGGGAGACGACGAAGAGCAAGAACTGACGAGATATCAGATCGCAATCCTGGGGGAAGTCGAAGGGTGGGTGGGAAAGGGCATTCCACGCAATAGGGTGGAGATGGGACAAGGGACGAGACGGTGCAGACAGGCAGACAAAAGAAAGAACGATCGGACGGATGACCACTATGCAGGATAAGCGGGTGTGCTCAGCTAAAGAAGAGGATGATTGATATATAGCAAGCAATCAAGCATCGAAATGGCACCACGAGCAAGAGCTATTGCCTTGGGATAGAGGAGAGGGGGGAGGGGGGGGTTGTTTTGGGGTTTAGGGGTTTTGAGGAGGGGGGTTTTCTGGAGCGCAAAGGGCGACTGTATTCCACCCTAAGCGGCAGCACCAGCAGGCACGACAATTGCAGCAACAGCAGAGTAGGCAGCAGCCAGCAACAGCTTGCAAAACACTGCAAAACCCTCCCTCAAGAATCTCCGCAGAAATGAAAAAAGTGCGAAAATTCAAGTTTACTGACAGGTAGATTATAATAATAGTAGTAGCAGCGACACCAACAGCAGCAACAACAGCAACAGTAACCGCAATAATAACAACGACGATGTTGATAGTGGGTATGTGTGTGTGTGTGTGTGTATAATATATGGCGGGGGAGGGGTGGATAGTGGTGGGGAAAGGGGAATTTACAGGAAAGAACCTTGGATGCAGCTCTGTCTGGAGAATCCCGGCTATTGATTGATTGACTGACAGGCCCCCAAAAAATTGTTGGAGACGATGATGCTGCTGGTCGCGCTTCTGCTTCCTGTGGCGGTGTCGTATCGTACTTCTTCCTTCTTCTTCTTCTTCTTCTCTTTGGGCGAAAGGTCCTTGGGTGATGGCTGCAGGTATGGTGTAATTCCTCTCTCTCTCTCTTTTTCTCTCTCTCTATCTCTCCAATCCCTTTCCTTATCCTTCCTTTACCGGCGGGAAAAGAAGCTAGGGGTCCACTGCACTGCGGGTACACAGGCGACGGGAGAGAAAGTGAAGGAGACAGAAGAAGGACCAGATGGCGATAGGTATCTGTTGTTCAAGGGGGAAGAAGAAGTGCGGATGTATCCTATAGCCGTGGAATAGGGAGAGGGAGAAGGGGAATATTGATCCTTAGTCGGCTGTACATTCGTCTTTGCGTATTGTTTTTTGTTTTTTGTTTTCCGTGAGTAAAGTAGATGGCGAGTGAGCTATCCACGCCGCGTCACTTGGGTCTCTTCCGTTCTCTCTCTCTCTCACGGACGGGGGGCGGGCGAATGGGGCTGCTGTGGGTGGCGTTTATCGTTGCTGTATGGTGTAGGACGGTGCGGTTGAAGGGTATGTGCGGGTACCAGTAGCAGGGCGGGCTGAGAGGGAGTGTATGTAGTAGGCGGTAGAATGACAGGCTGGCAAGGTACTTTACTCGTTCAGCCAGCGGACCTTCTTCGAAGACGAAGACGACAACGAGACGAAAGGATGACGGATAGCGGGAGAGGAGGAGAGAGAGTGCGAAAGTGATATGTGAGGCAGTTGGATGGGATGGCGGGAGGTGGGGAGGGGGGGGAGGGGGGGTCGGATGGGGGGGTTAGATAGACGGACGGACTGGGGTTTCAGAGCGAACGAACGAGCAACGAGCGAACGAGCGAACGACGGAGTGTGAAGTTGCGCAGGGAGCACACGCCTCTCTGCCTCTTCCCTCTGCTCTGAGCTTAGCGTGCTCTATGCAAGGATTGGAGCTACACCCAACGAGCAAGAGCCTCGCAATGGAGTGTTGCACGAAACGCAACGCCGGCAAGCCCCGCAAAGGAAACCAAACTATTGAACATCGCGTCCGCATTGGCTGGCGGCCTCGGGAGGGGGAGAGGGGGCTGAACGCTGAACCAGGGGACTAGTAGAGCGCGCTCTGAAACACGCTCGTCGCTCACACACCCTGGCCGAAATGGGTGCTGTAATTTGCGCCGATTCGGGCAGCCTTGGCACCCGCAAACACCGTGTCGTCGGAGGGCTGCGCGTGTGCATTCCAGACATGTGGGCTCGGCCGTGTGGCGTTTTCGGTCAGTCTCATACATGAGTACCGTACCTCCCTAGGAAGGTACTGGTTAGTACACCCTGCCGGGACGGACAACCGTGCGCGGGCTGATGGGCGTGAGGGTTTTGTGCGTATATAGTTTGCTCCGAAGTGAGCCTCGCTTGTGTAGTTATGATAGCCGCCCGCGGCCCAGCGTGACAACGGACGCCCGGCTCACGTCAGCCGCACGGCCGATCACTCGCCCGCATGTCCAGCAGATAAGAGCACAGACCTAAACCTTAAATTCCCACTTTCCCAGAACAGTAAATCAAGCGAACAATCAGCACGAGACGAACTCCAACGAAAAGAAACGTCCAGAAAGAAAAGAAAAAAAAGAAAAAAAAGAAAACCGAAGGGGAAGGGAAGGGGAAGGGGGAAAGAATCCATGTCGATGTGTGAGGCGACAAACGTAGGGCTGCTGCTGATGGAATCCGAAGCGAGGGCCGTGTTGGGACGACGTTTTGCCCCCATGACGAGCCGCTGCATCGTCTCCGGCCTGGGGCAACGGCGGACACTATTCCTGCCGCGGACGCTTGGACGGTATCCTCAGGAGTGATATCGAGCACGGGCCCGGTCTGGGCGGGGGGATTGGAGGAGAGAGGCCCGGAACTGCCGTCCTGCCGTCTGCCGTCATACTGACAAACCTCAGCTCCAGCTCGTCAGCTCGGTTGTCCTTCGCAGGTCGAATCTTTCGGCGTAAGCCGTCCTGCCCACCGTCGTGCCCACCACTATCACCACCACCACGGCCAGCACCGTAGCCAGCATCGTGAGAGAACAACGCACTTCACCGATTCCCCACCCTGCGCCTTCACATCCAGCACCTTGCCAAGCTGGTTCGCATTCACAGAACAAAACAAAACAAACCCCCCAAAAAACAAAAAACCGTCGTGGTGCAGTGCGACCGACCAAGTGACCGACCTCCGGGCATCCCATTTCAGAACCCTGGTGGGGGGGTAGGGCACAACGCAGATCCGAGTACCGTACCTTATCTTCCCGCAGTTTATGCACGTCGGTGTGCATACATACATTATGTACATACATGCAATGTACGTCGGGTTCCCATTTCCGGCGGGGGCCCTGTGCGAAGGAACGCCCCGCGAGTGATGTCGTGTGTTCCGTCCGTCCGTTCGTTTGTCCGGAGGCAACATACACCACGTGCGCGGATGTTGGCCATGTCTGTACTCGCGATTAGCCCGGACGATGGACCCCATGGATCCGGAAGGAGACGGAGACGGTGATATCTGGGTAGCTACTAACTACCCTATGCTGAATCCGACGGTTCGCAGAATCGCAACCAACGGTAGCAGCAGTCCTAGACTCCTCGTTAGCGGGTACCGTGCCCAACAGTCGAAAGCCCCCCCTTTCGCCCCGCGCTTCCCCACTTGCCCCTCCCTCCCTCCCCCCTCCCATCCCCTCCCCCTTTTGCCGCCTAGGTTTAGTTAACGATCTGCCGACGTCGGCGCTCGATGACGCTCCCCCGCACGGCGCACGCACGCACGCAACAAAAAGTAAAAGCAAAAGGAAAAAAGTAAAAACAAAAGAAAGAAAGCCCCCAAAAAAAACATCAGGCGAACCACCACCACCCCACAGCCCACATCGCACATCGCAATCACGGGCGTCGGGTAACGGACCTTTCATCCCCGTGCCACCTCTACATACCTCTACCCTACCCTACCCCACGTCTGCGGTGCGGCGCAGTGGGTGCCAAAGTGTGTACCGCTTTCGACGGTAACTGTCGGGAAGGAGGGGGGGGCGGGAGGTGGACGTCATATATGGAAGCGTACTAGAACATCAGCAGCCGTTAGCGCTGCGTTGCGTGCGGGCGTGCGGGCAGAAGAATATCTCCAGAAGCATGTATGTAGATGTGTAGGTAGATGTGTAGATAGATACACCGATATCGCCGGTGCCGGTCCGGAGCGGCAATGGGGATACATACAGGCTCTAGGTAGAGTACTCTACCTACTCTACTCTGCTCTAGTTTCCCCTCGGCCGTACGGTAATACTATACCGGTATATGTATATGCGCTCACAGCCCATCATAGCAGGTGCTGAGCTCTCTCTCACGGGCACAGATGATTCGTTGGTGCCCCAAAACTCGAAGATGTGGGAAAAGAGCGTACGGGAAACAGGGGTGGTAGCGGCGGCGGAGGCGGCGGTGCTGATGCTGGTGGTGGTGGTGGTGGTGCGGCTGCTGAAGAGTGATGATCCAGAACGGAGCGGTGATCTGTGTTTGTTGGAGTATCTAGCGTTGCAGCATGTGATGGCGCCGAGTTGGAATAGAGTGTTGTGCATGAGTCTACTACCTACAGGACACTTGCGAAATGCTAGCCGGCGTTAAGATTTTTTTTTATCGTGCAAACAGAACAAACGTTGTCATGCTACCCAACTCTACGTACTCATCCATCCATTCATCCATCCATCCACCATTCATCGTTCATACTTAGCTAAACCACAAGCAAACAGAACCCTAAAGAACCGAAAGAACCTAAAGGTATTGAAACAACCGAACCGAAAAAAAAACAACAGAACGTGCGTGCTTTTCTACCATCTAAGATGTCTCCTCCACAGTCCTGCCGGACATGACATACGCCTCCTTCGCGAGCCTAGTGAGGTGCTCCAGTTCGGATTTACACATGCTGTGGAATAATCCATCCTTGTTCATGAGCAGCTCATACGGATGTCCCACCTCCTTGATCTCACCGTGATCGAGGACCACAATGCGCTCGTAATCGATGATGGTACCGATACGGTGGGCGATGGTGATGATGGTCGAGTCGAGTTGGCGGATCGATTGTTGGATCTGTGCGTCGGTCTGTATGTCGAGACTTCCGGTGGCTTCATCCATGACGAGGATGTTGGACGGGGAGAGGAGCGCGCGGGCGAGGGAGATGAGCGCTTTTTCGCCGACCGAGAGGTTGGAGCCACCTTCGTGGATGACCGCATCGAGCTTTCCTTCCATGGCCGCGACTTTGTCCTTCAGGTGACTCGTTTCGAGGACGGACCAGAGGTCGGTGTCATCGTGAACGTGGCGCGGATCCAAGCTAGACAGAAAAGTCAGTAATGGATACGTTGATGTAGGGGCGGTATCGACTTACTTGTCCCTGATGGTGCCTTCGAAGATGGCCGCATCTTGAGGAATGATCGAAAGGCGAGATCTGAGGTCGTGCAATCCAATGGCAGAAGTGTCGACTCCATCGATGCTAATGCTACCTCCGGCCGCCTCGATTATGCGGAACAAACTCAACGTAAGGGAGCTCTTTCCGGCACCAGTGCGACCCACAATGCCAACCTTTTCCCTTGGCTTGATTTCGAGATTGATGTCCTTCAATACCAAGTCCAGTTCCTTTCTGTACCGAGTCGAGAAGTTGCGGAACGAGACTGCTCCCTCAGCAGGCCAGCTCGAAGGGGGCCTGTTGTTGGGGATGATTTCAGGAGCTTCGCTAGGCAAGTTGGAATACTCTAATGTACGTTCAACCGAAACGATATTCGCTACACAGAAGTTAGTGAGGTGGAACGGATAGAAGAGAAGTCAAATAGTACGTACTCTCAACTTCCACGGTTTGCCGAACGATCCAGTTCAAGGACTGCGTGATTTGTAGTGCATAGCTCATAGCCAGACCAACGGCACCAGCCGAAAGCTTGCTACCCGAAGCCACGGACATGATGGAGAAACCAGCAGATCCGAGAATGATGATACTACCGATAAACTCCAGTCGCACCGCCAGCCATCTGTTGGCATTAATCGAAGGGAAGTACGCTCGTAAATTCTCATCCATCCGGTGCTCATTCTCCTTGACGAAACGAGCCTGTTGCTGGTAAGCTCTGATCGTCGAGATACCACCGAGCGTTTCCTGGAAATGCGCATAGATCGGGCTCTTGGAGACACTGTCTAGCCTCTTCAACTCCCGCGACGTGCGTAGATAGTATCTTTGGATGTAGAGATACAGGAATCCAAGCGGAATGGCAACAGCCAGGAAAGGAGGTGTGGTGAATGAGATGATAATGATCGTTGCCATTGACTTCGCGCTGTTCTGGAAGAGCATGTTGAAGCAACGACAAATGACCTCGTCAATCCTGTAGATGTCGTTCGAGAAGCGATTGAGGATTCGGCCAGCCGGGGTAGTCTCGAAAAAGCTCATTGGGCTGCGGAAGATAGAGACAGCCATAGCATCATGGAGTTTGCGGGCAGCCTATAACGTTCTTATTAGTTTCTCTGCCATTAATCGATGGGAAAAAACGTTGATGCTTACCTCAATTGCGCAGAAGATCCACAGAATGAGGTTCTGGAAGACAACAAGAGCGGCGGCTCCAATACCAAAAGCGAAATAAATTCCAATGTTCTTTCCGACCTCCGGGTTGCGGCCATGCTGCGAGTTGAGTTCCGACCACCTCTTGAGCCACAGGTTGCCACCGACGGATGCCATCTGAGATACCACCAAGGCGACCATGTACATAGCCACACCCGTGAGGTTACAAGCTTTCGCGTATTCTCCGTACACAGCCCACTTGACCTTGCCCTGCTCCGAGTGTTCCTTCGAAGTTGCCGTGCGTCTTTCCGGTTGAGTTTCCTCGTCTACGATCTTTCTACGGTCCCGCTTCAGACTGGCAACGGACGCGCGCCTAAGACTTGTCCTGCGAGATTTGGCATTGCCGTGACGTATGGTATTCAATTCGGGTACATCGTCTTCCTCGCTCGAAACCTCTTGGGATGCTCCGGCGGCAACGATAGTCAGGTCATCGCTTGCGTTGTCGTTGTTTCGGTCCTCCTTCAAGTGACGGATGATATCGTAAATTGCACCCTTGGAAGCCATCACGGCATCGTAGGAACCCGCTTCGACGAACTCGCCACCTACAATGAGGGTAACACGATCCGCCTCGCGGAGAACTGGAATAGAGTTCGTGGCCATGATTCGTGTTTTACCGGCAAGAAGTCCATGAGCTCCAAAGACGCGATCGATCAAGTGCCTTCCAACATGTTGGTCTACCGCGGATAGGGGATCGTCCAAAAGATAGATGTCGGCCCTTGCGTAAACGGCCCGCGCGAGTGAGAGCCGTGCCTTCTGGCCACCCGAAAGACTGATGCCCTTTTCTCCGACTTGGGTCTCATCGCCGTCTGGGAGATGGTCGAAATCCTCCAAAAGAGCACAGGCCCGAATGGTCTCGGCGTAGAAAGCAGGGTCGAATCGGTGACCGAAAAGAATGTTGTCCTTAATGGAGGCGTTCATGATGAAGTGTTGCTGCGAGACATATGCCGTAGAGCCACAGAGAACGACCTCTCCTTCTCTCCTGTTCAATTCTCCACTGACTGCTTGGAGGAAACTCGATTTTCCGGCTCCGACCCTGCCGATGATGCAGCTTAGGGATCCCTTGGTTGCCGAGAAGTTGATGTTCTTCAGACAGTTGTTGTCGGGCACGTTCTTGTTCCAGGTGAATGTGCCGTTGGTGATACTGACGGTTTCCTCTCCGTCCTTGGTGACGGCCTCTTTACGACAAACCGCGTCAAGCTGTAGCTCGTCCGCCGTCAAGAACGACGTAACGCGACCGACAGCAACACTGGCTTCAACGAGCGCTGAGATGATCATGGGCAACATCGTGAGCGGGAATGTCAACCTTCGCACGGATTAGCCGAAAAATCACGGTATAGGATCGCTTGCTAGAGGACTCACAAGTTGAACAAAGTGAGAGCAGGGAAGACAATATCGATGGTCAAAGGCTTATCTTGCGTGAGGACGAAGACGGCGAATGTGGAACAGGATACTAAGAAAGGCGTGGAAGACCACGTGAAACTGGCGAATGCCTGGGAAATTCCAATCTTTTTCAGAGTATGAAGCTCCTGATCATTGCGAACATGGTCGAGCTTCTGCTTGAAGGGCTCGCTCCAGCCATACAGTTTGATGCTCTTCATGTGGTTCAAAATCTCGGTCATGAGCCTCGTACGGGCGTCCTTGTTCTTCATCTGTCGCTTCTGAAGCTTCTTCATGAAATTGGCGATAAAACCATTGATCGGAATCATGATCAACATCGCACCGATGCCGGCAAACATGCTGGGTCCCACGAGGTTGTAAAGCGAGATCATGCAAAGGGTGATCTGGAAAGGGGCTGACCACACTTGCTGGCCGTACTGCGTGATGTCTATATGAAACCGTCAGCAACCTATCGTTTAGATCTGACGTGCATATGTGTGTGTGTCTACCTTGAAGCCTTTGAGTATCAACGGCCTGCAGATTGACAATGTCACCAGTAGATTTCGCTGCGCGTCCCTCGTTGGACAGCCGTATGCTCTTTCGGTAGATGGCTGCCGTCAGCCCACTCTTTATCCTCATGCCGGTTTCAAATGCAAGCATGAAGTATTGATGCAGGGACAATGTCTGGATGGTGCTAGTCAGGAACATGAGAAGGGCGATGGTCACTCCTTGAATCGCAGGCTGCGGCGTTTCGGTTTCATATGACGCAACAAATCCAATGAGCTTCCTCAGCAATTGAGGTTGAACAAACGCCAGCGAGTCTTGAACGATCTTGAACAGAGTTGCAGTCGCGAACGGTCCACCGAACGCTTGAAACAATGCGAACCAAAGATTGGGAGTCTTGCGCTGTAACTGTCTGTCCCAGGCTTCCGAGAATTTCCTCTCCGTGGTCGTCGTGCCGTCCTTTTCACGCAGGTCCCACAGGTCCTCCTCCGTCAGAAACTTGGTGTACCCACGCTTCATGATCGGAGTCATCCAACCGAAGGTCAGGATCGAGAAAACGGTTGCGTGTTCGGTGGGACATTCATATTCATCGTCGTCGAGAGCGCTGTAGGAGCTCTGCGTCTTGGGCACCAGCCATTCCAAGGCAAAGACAGTGATTCCAACCGTCTCCAGGATCGCCAGCGTGATAAGTCTAGGAAGTCGGTGATTATAATCCTGGAGAGATATGGATTGCCGCAGTTGGATGCCATGCACGATCACAAAAAACAGCCAGTAGAAGAGCAGCACTCCACTAGGCACTTTGGACCGTGCATGCTCAAGGTGATGAATCGCCAAAGCTACGAGCAAAGCCAGACAGCTGAAAATCGGCGTCCAGAACTGTATGTCGGACCCCCATGACGGCGAGTATTCGATGTGTAGCGAGGCGAGAAGGAACAATGTGACAATCGCGAAACCAACGCCAGCCTGTGCCACGAGGAAACGTTAGCACTGTCTCGCCAGCCCCCAAAAAGCCAACATCCCACTGGAAGCCACACACCAATTTCGACCAGTAGTGCCAGTTCTGCGGTATCGGGTACGGCGTCCGTCGTGAAAGCACGTAAATCTGGATCGCACCGCCAAGAACAAGGCCCAAGCTGACCAAGTCAACGGCCGAATCGACGAAACACGACGTGAAGTCGGCACGGGTATCAGATAACGGTCCCCATCCTAGCAAGCACGCAATGTCAATACTTCCGCACTTCCGTTTGGCTATAAAAGGGGGTGGGGGGACCGGATCTCTTGCGAGATTTGGGGGGGACTGAGAGGCGGACCTTCTGGATCGCCACAACTCAGGCCAGGAACACGCATCTGCCTGTCCATCTATCGGCGAGAAACTGTCGCCGCTTTCCCAGATATATGTGCGCTCCAGCCACACCCTTCTCTATATCGCGTGGCTTCCTATTCGTAGAGTCGTATGATAGGGTGGGGGTTCAATTATAGAGGTTGAGGCACAGGATGAAGAATGCCGTTGACGGATGACACTCTTTGGACGATAAAACACGAGGGATGCACGTTCCGACCAGCACGCACAGAAGAACTGCTATTTGACATCAGCAGCGGCGGCGGAGCTGCACTAAGTCCGAGCTGCCACTGCTCAGTAATACGCAGCCGCTAGTCAGGAAGACGCGAACAGAACACGAACGAGCGCTCCGGCTAGTCAATCGGGTTGGTCCATCCAGAGGGATTAGTAATATGCCTTGGCATGACCCATTCACACTCACCTTGCCGCGCTTGGAATGACTCCCACAAGCTCAGCTCTTGCCGCTAACTGCCTAAAGTAACCTATTACTGCCGTACTCTAACATTTCATCGTCAACCGAACCGAACAACACACTTCTTCCTCCACGACCACTACACTTATCCCCTCTACCACCACCACCACACCCTGCGGACATCGCTCGCTCCCATCGCTCCCATCGTCCATCGCTTGACTACGGACCGAAACCAGTCACACAAACAACGAGTCATGTCTAACTACGCTACGCCGGGGCAGATGCGCACTCTGCGCGCCTGCATGATTTGTTCGTTCGTGCAGACCACCCAGGTCAGTTCCGTCCCGTCGCGTCGCGACCGAAAAGGAAGAAAGAAAGAAATCAAAAAGGAACCTAAAGACTGACGCGTTTCTGCAGAAATTCAAGCAGACCGGATGTCCCAACTGCGAGCAGCTGCTCCAGAACCTCGGACACGACGCGATCGAAGACATTACGTCGCACGTCTTTGAGGGTTTGGTCGCACTGCGAGAGCCGACGAAGTCGTGGGTCGCCCGTTGGCAGAGGGTCGAGAAATGCGAGAAGGGAGTTTACGCTGTTAAGGTCAGCGGAAACGTGAGTGTTGAGCCTCCTCCCCCACTCCGCAGTCACGGGGAAAACGCAATCGCTGATGTGGCTTCTTTTTTCTTCGCGCAGTTGCCGGAAGAGATTCTCCGTGAGTTGGAGAACAGCAACATGGTCTACCGCCCCCGCGATGGTAGTTACGTCGTCGAGGATTGATAGACCAGGCCGCTGCCAATGCCATGTGTTTTCTCATCTTCTTTCTGTTCTTCGGTTGTTCATCTTTTTTCCTGTTGTTTGCTGGTTCGGTCGTCGGCGTAAAGGGGCGTTTAAATTCAATTCGACGCGCAAGCAGCTTTGCAGTGTCAATCAATCAATCTACCTCCCATCTTGTGATGCTGGAATACGGTACGAATCCCTCTGCGATCGGCAATGAGGGGGAGGCACTATGCTGCAGGGTGTTGTTGGGGGGGGAGGGGCAAACCCCTGAACTGGTGGTGAAAGGAAATCTTTCACCAGACATTAGTGTGCTGCAATGTGCAATGCGTCATCTAGAAGAAAGAAATCCAGCCTGCAAGCACGAATGCATGGAGACGAGACGAGACGAGACAGGATGCCAGCCAGCCAGTCGTGGTCGGAATCTTGAGCTCCGCGCAGAAGATGAAGATGGAGATGGAGATGAAAAGTGTTTTCCGGGGGAGCCTGGCCTGGCCTGGTCGCTCAACTCACCCCGCATTCACCAGCTCCCCAGCTGCACCACCACTACAACAACAACCACAGCAAGGTGAAGAGTCTTCCGGCGTCATGCCACCACCACCGTTGTATTGTATTGTGTCTACGGTGGCGAGGTTTTTCACGCCACGCCATGGCGGCGGTGGTGGTGGTGGTCCGCATTAATATATCGGATATCATGTAGAGTATACTATGCAGTACTCTCCTCCTACCCATGTCGACGTCTGCATAGAGCACCATACACACGATACGACACGATATGAGTACACATACGACTTGGTTACTTACATATGTCCATTGCTCATATGCCACCCCTGCATAATCTGATGCTCATGCTTATGCTTCATGCTGGCCCTTTAGGCTCGTCCCGGTTGGAGATCATACTCATCTCGCCTATATACACTGGTGGGGAAGTAAAAAGAAAAAGTAAAAAACCTGCTGTGAAGGGAGGGGAGGGGGGAGGAGAGGGGGGCCAATAGTGTTTGGCGAACGGGTGGGATGGGGGATGGGGGATGGTATGGGATGGGGATGGGATGTGGGATGGGATGTGGGCTAGAGGAACTTGCCTTTGCCTTGGTTACTGCTGCTGCTGCTGCTGCTGCTGGGCAGAGGGGAGGGAGTATCTTGTGATGGCAGTACCCCGTCTTTTCTTCACGCATGCATGCATAGGTGCATAGGTGTATACATCTATTTGATTGCCAATTGATTGATTGATAGGCCCGGGCTGTGACTTGGAAATATTCTCAAGCGAGTGAGGAGTGAGTGAGTTACGGCGGCGGCGGTTAACGCTTCGAGTGCGGAGGATGTGCAAGGTGTATTTACTACTTGGGAGTACCTCCGTGTGATGCTCCGAAGAGTCTAAACAAGTATTCCCACGGCCAAATCCTGTACCGGTATGTAGAGTAAATACCTCGACTGCTCTTCTCTACACTGCTGGTGATGCCTTACCAAGTACTTAACTTACCTTGGTACTGCACTCAAAGCCTGGTTCTAGGTAGTAGATACCGTATGTACACCACTCATGGATCGGAATTAAGTATATAGTACCTAACACTGGACCAGATATCATACCCAAGTATTGTACACTACATACCAAGTACCAAGTACTCTACCTACATGTCGCCACCACTGTCTCGATATTGTCCTCCTCCACCACCACCACCACCTCCACCACCTCCTCCACCTCCTCGCTCATCGCTCCACACAGCCCTCCAATCTAAAGCGTATAGCATAGTGCCATATATTCACTCCAGGCTCCAGCCGATTTACGCAGTCCCTGCTAGGTGTCACTGGTATGTATACGGTACGGTACTATATGTACACAAGTGCGTCTCGGTGATATGTAGGCATCATGTCTAGACCAGGGGGGCGAGATGTGCTGTCATCCACGTGCTGCTGGGGCATGGCATGTCCCACAGTCTTACAGTCTTACAGAACCACGGTCCCGAACCACTACTTTACTTTGCGAGGCGTGGTTGTTTGGGTAAGTAGGTAATCAGGTAACCAAGTAACTTGCTCTAGTACGTGAGTATAGTACCGTAGATGGTGGAGTATAGAGTGATTCGGTACTTGGGTACTTGAGTACTTCTTACATACTAGTAGCTACGGTACGGTAGTATGTAGAGCAAACGCCGTGGGATGTCTCATCGAGGTACCCGAGTAGGTATGGCCACCGGGATTTCGGTCTCTCTCTCTCTCTCTTTCTCGTACTCGGTACCGGGACCGCATTATCCTCTACTAGTACCGGTATGTAGCCACCTACGGCACTCCACCCTACCGTAGTTACATACATGCGAGCAGCTAGTAAACGACGTATCTAACGTGGTTGCTCGGGATGCGTCAATTGCCGAGCTGAGGTGAGCAGAAGTGAATTGCTTGTTTCCACGCCGCGCCCCCATCCCCTCCCCCATCCCCGTGTGCGCTAGTTAGTTAATTGCATATCATTCCCCCTCCCTCCCTCCACAACAACGGCTCGATATGCTGGACTTGCTTCAGCCACCAGGGGATACCTTCAGGGGATAGATACGATCGGATATTTGTGAAACCGCTCCGTTCCGCCGGTGGCCTTTCTGTGCCGGCACGGGGCACGAGTGCTGATGAGTGATGGGGCCAGTGGGCATGATGGCGGTGATGATGATGATGATGATGCTGATGAGTATTATGATGATGAGGGACTCCCGCGTCCGCGGGATCCTTCTCATCTCATCTCGCTCGACACCATTGCACCATGGCACCAGGTGAATCCCTAGGTGCAACCAGCTACATCCTAGTAACCTCTGACATTTTTACCGATGAATCCGAAACGCACCGTCGATGCTTCCTTCTCTCCTTCTCTCCTTCTCTCCTTCTCTCCTTCTCTCCTTCTCTCCTTCTCTTCTCCACGCTTTTTCTGAGCTCCCCCTTCCCCCTCAAATCTCTCTTCCAACTTCCCAAGCTCTCGGGAATCAGAAGAAGTTAACACCCTGCACATCTCAGCGTCATGGACGCGTGGCATGGTTGGTGGGTGAGCCGGTGGGTGAGCTGGGAGGGAAGGTTCCCAGGTCCCTCCCTCCCTTTACTGCACATATTGGCATATTGCCTGGGCGGAGATCAAACGGGGAACGTGGCAGGTTGATAATATTATTCTAGAGTGTATATCATGATGTGGCCCGCACGATTATATAGGCAGACTATTGTATTGTCGGAGGCTTTAGTTAACACCTATCTCGACACGGATGGAAGGCGGACACCCTCATACTTCATCTTCGGTTTGTCCTAGAGAGAGAGAGGCGGGCGGAATAGATATGGCTCATGTGATGCTCTCCTCATCTTACTTATCTCGATGTATACCGTACGGGGTTATGATCAGGCCGATGATCACCTTGAATGCTGGTGGTGGTGGCGGCCTTGCCCTGGTTGTGCTCGCCTGACTGCGGGTTTTAATTTTTTTTCTGGCTCTGATGGGCATTCATTAGGGAGGATGGATATCTGGGATATCCGGGAGCTGTAGAGTAGGTATCGAGTCCATGCGCACGTGATGCTGCGGATTCCTTTGAATTCCTAGAGATTGTCGGGGTTGATCAGGAGGAGGAGGCTGTGGCCAGCCAGCCAGACTGGGGGGTGGGAAGGGGGGTTTCGTGCTGGGCAATACCTCCCCAGTAGGTTAGGCATTCGGACAGGGCTTTTATCCAAAGCATCTCAGCGAGCGCCGTGTGCACCCAGACTCCCAGTGCGCACTGCCCACCGCCCCCGATCGGAATCTTTTCTAGCGGCCGCAACGCTAAAGTTTAGCGTGTGGCACAACATGGGTGGGTGTGGCTGTCGCCTGTTGAAGAGTCGTCGCCCTGTCCAGAGTACCAACATCGTCCGCCCAACGCTGTCGTCCGCCCAACACCATCGCCCGCCCAACACCATCGCCCGCCCAACACCATCGCCCGCCCAACACCATCGCCCGCCCAACACCATCGCCCGCCCAACACCATCGCCCGCCCAACACCATCGCCCGCCCAACACCATCGCCCGCCCAACACCATCGTCCGCACAGCACAACCGTCATATGTTGCAAATTCCTCGGCACACCGACTCTTGTCCTTCAAACAATCAAATCGAAGATTATCACTGTCATCACAAAAAATTCAGATCTTTGTAGCGATTACTCGTTCTATAGTACAATTATTCTAGAAGAAATATTTACAACTCCCATGGGCCTTTCTAAAATCCCTCCGGCCGTAAATTTACCAATGGTGCCATGATAAGTATGTAGTTTCCTCCATCAACTCATGCGTGCCATATCTAGGTGATATGTCGTACCTAGTTATTCTTCGATGACAGAGATTCAGTTGAATTGCCTCTATCCGTTCATTATCTTGTACTGGTGCTTCAACAACACCTCCCACTAATACTACCAATCAAATCGTCTCATACACAGCTGTTTCAAGCCCATCAATATGAATATACTGTTGCTAGACATCAGGTTAAAACCTCCGTTTCGGTTTCCAAGTGAAAATAAAATATGAGCAGCGGAATAGGTAGTTCTCGACTTCTGTCGCGATCAGCTGACTTTTTCGCCGTGCAACTGGTTTCAAAATGGTAACTGTGGTAATGTTTGATTTCGCGTTCGAGAATAACGGTAGGATGCAGTCCGATGAGTTGACGCGTCAATTTGACAGTAACCGGACACTGATCATTATCACGAATGCTGCTAGTTCTGTGTTGGATCGGATTGTCATCGACCCGGGGCTGGATACTGCTCCGTTCTGCTGTATTCCTATTTCGAAACGCGTAGACACTGCACACCAACGGCCCAACTTCGTTGAATTGATCCACAGGTAAATAAGCGGATTTATCTAACTGAAAGAGCTGCTTCTTTCAATACGACGCATACCTAGTGTGGGAGAGAAGTCATACCGGAAGACATTTGGTTGAAGTTATTTGGATATGGTGATGGTGGTAGGTAGTAGGAATGGTTGGTGATTACGGTACAGACACGGAACTCAGGGGTGAAAACCTTTCTTCGCTGCAGGCACGTGACTCTTCGCCACAGCCACACACCTTTTTGGGGCTTAGCGTTGTGGCCGTTAGAAAAGATTCCCCCCGATCAGGGCGTCTCGTTTCAGCTGCTGAAAATCGCCGATAGATCCGCAGGCCCCCTTTCCCCGTCCCCCCGTCCCCCGTCCCCCCGTCCCCCCAACGGAGATGCCGCAGCCGTTACGGCCAAGGGGCCTGGGGGGACGGTAGATATGTCCATTTGCAGCGTTTCTGGCGCTGTCTCTCCGGTCGTTCGTTCGTCACACAACACACCCACCCACACTCCACACACACACACAACCCACACACACACAAGCACTCACGCACTCGCTTACAGCGATCCTCCCCCTGTAGATTCTCCAGTTTCTCGGCGTGCCTCCGCGGCTTGTGATTCGCTGTCGTACACACCTACGCTACCCAGTCAATATTGCGGGGTAAACTGACTTCCGGCCTACATGCGATGCCTAAGTACAAGGTAGTTAGTCTTCTTTCGCCAGACCAGCCAGCCTGCCAGCCAGCCAGACAGCCTGGCGCCGAAACTACCTCCCCCCTCCACCCTCCGCCCCCCCCATCCCTCCCCCAGACTTTGTAGAGTACCCTACATACCCTACCGACAGCTCTAGTTTACATCCTCCCCCCCAACCCACCCCTTTGCCCTTCGCCCTTTACACACGAGCACGGCCAAACCCCAGCGGAAAAGAGATATGCCGGGGTGGTTTAGAGTGCTCTCCGGAGAAATCACACTTGTTGTCGCAGCATCATCGCCTGCTAACCGCATCCTCGCTCGTGGACGTGGTGGTGGAGGTGTAAGTGGAGGTGGTGCTGTTGGTGGTTGCAGCGGTGGTCCCGCAGCAGCAAATGAAGAAGCTGCTGCTACCGATCCTCCCTGCCGTCATACGCACCGGCTACCGCCACTACTACCACCACCCTACAAGTCTTAAGTCCCCCCAGACGTCTTCAGGTCCTGCATCCCATCCCAACTTCTTTGCAGCAGCAGCAGAACCAACAGCAGCATCATCTCTCGCACCGCTGCAGCACCACCATTACCATTACCACTGCCACCAGCAGCAGCAGCGGCAGTCAACTTCACCTCATCTTCCTCCCACACCTCCTTCCTTCCATCCAACCACAATCACCACCGCACGCGCAACATCAACACCAACAATACCAACAACAACAACACCAGATCTGGAGCACTGTCCGAGAATTCCGCAGCCATGAGAATCGCTTGTTTACAGGTATGTACGTCCGAGTACACACACGGCCCCCAGACGTTGCCTACGGTACATACATACACGCGTGCACACACACACATACGTGCCTCCCCGAGCCCGTCCGGACCGGCCAGCCTGCACTCCTTTCCCGGGGGACTGGTCCAGCCGACTAGCTTTTCAAGCTCTTGGACATTCTCTCGCCTTTATTACCCAATACTTATCTCACTACATCTTTTTTTTGGTTCCCGCTTTGCAACATATATGTTGTGATCCCCTCACGGCAGTTCGATATATCAAAAATAAATGTCAAATACGAAAAGGAAAAGGAAAGCTGATGAGACAATCGATGTAGTTCAATCCACAACTGGGCAATATAGCTCATAATCTGAAGAGGGCCGAAGCTGTCCTCCAGAGAGCGGCTCCCGTGGGCTTGGACCTGCTCGTTCTCCCAGAAATGGCTTTTTCGGGTATGTGTGTGCGGGTTTCATTCATTTTTGATCCTATTACCTCCCGGTGCTTTGTCTTGTCCTGCCCTGTCCCACGAATCCACCCGCTCCGGCAGCCTTGCTTCTCCCCGTCATCAGTGCGAGGAGCAATGCGTGGATATCCACGGCAGTCCTGTCCAACTGAAACCCACCATACGTCAGACGTCCCCCGGTAGTTTGTCACTGACATGTATCCTAGGTTACAACTTCCAATCGATGCAAGAAATCAGCTTCCACCTCGAACCTACAGCCGCAGGTCCCACGACGGTATGGGCACGGAGCATTGCGCGGCGGCTCGGCTGCCATGTAATAGTCGGATATCCCGAATACTGCGCACACTCGCCATCTGCTCCCCAAGGCTCGATATCACGATACAACTCAGCGGTGCTGGTTTCACCGAAAGGAAACGTACTGGTCAATTACCGGAAGAGCTTCCTGTATACGACGGATGAGTCTTGGGCCGAGGAGGGACGGGGGTTCTACGCAGGCGATATCCCGGGAGGTGTCGGCAAGATGTCGATGGGAATATGTTGGTACCCCCGGATGCATATGACGAGAAATTGAGGCGTCCAATCATATGGCACGAGTGCTGACCCGTGAACGCGAACACAGGCATGGATCTCAACCCCAAAAACTTTGTGGCACCTTTCGAGGAGTACGAATTCGCCAACCACGTCCTAGACTCCGGGTCAAGCCTTGCCGTGGTTCCCATGGCATGGTTGACAATGCAGACGCCCGAGTCAATCATCGAGCAAGCGCAGGTTCCCGACGCTGACACGTTGGCGTATTGGATTCGGCGGCTACAACCCGTACTGGAACGGTCTACTGTTGTCCCGGGGGAGACCATCTTCGTCACTTGCAATAGGATCGGCTTCGAGGGCGATGCCGTGTTCGCGGGTACTTCCACCATCGTTGGCATCGAGCGAGGGAACGTCAAGGTATACGGATGTCTGGGCAGGGGAACAGAAGACCTGCTGGTATGTGACGTCCCGGGCGCAAAATTCGGTGGCGTGGATATGAGCCCCAGGAGAAGGTAGCCGGCATGGCATCGCTGGAGAAACAATCACCCATTCGTCTTATCACCACATTACACGCAACGTTGGGCGGGCACACCACATCACATCCACACCTACCTACGAACCTTTTCCTGCCCTCACCCGCCGCCCGAACCCAGGTTGAACCTTGGCTTTGGCATCGGTGATTCTGGACATGTCATCAACATCCTTCCGTCTTCCGTCCGTCGGATATGCACAGCACATCAGAAGCGGGTATTCGTGCACCTTTACCTTTTTTTCATTTTCTTTTCTTCTTCGTTTCTTTTTTCTCATCGTATCCTACTCACTCTTCCTGTGGTCATTTCATTCATGGAGGCCGGGGTTTTTATTTGCCTTTCATGGTTTGGTTTGGTTTTCTGTGTGCGTTGGCGTTTTGCTTTCCGTTATTTTTTTGGTATCAGTGTAGGGGGTTGCATATGGATGGATGGATGGCCGCGGACTGGTCCTTTTGTTTTACGGTTACCTGATGGTGATGGCATGCGCATGGGCGTTGACGGTGGTGGTATGGGGATGGTTTCGTACATGATAGTAGTTTGAGTGGAATTGAATCGTAATGTTGTGCTGTATTGTGTTGTGTTGTGTTGGCGACGGAAGGGAGTGAGTGAGGGAGTGAGTGAGGGAGTGAGTGAGGGAGTGAGTGAGGGAGTGTCAATGGGATCAGCCGGTGGACAGCTGGTGGACAGCTGGCTCGTATACAGATGTTGACAGCAGTATGGGAACCCAGCAGCTTCATGTAGTCAGTCTGTAGAAGCCCGAAGGACACTACCATCCGTCCCGGGATATCCTGGCAGTAACTGGAAGGGTTTTTCTTCTTCTACTTCTTCTTCGAAGGGTGGTGATCTGGGTTCGACCCTGTTGGATACCTCGCAGCGCAAGGTAAGGATGGACGATCTATCCTTCCAGCCTGTCCAGTCCAGTCCGCACCCGCGAGCTCGGAGCTTGGAGCGCGCAGTAGCCTGTAGGTACCGGTGGGACAGACAGAAAGACAGCAGGCCGACAACGACGAGGAGGAAGACGACGAAGTTGCTGAAATGATGGGATCTGGGGTCGAGGGTAACTCCGGTGCCGTCAACATCTCACGGGTGAGGATGAGGGGTTGCTCGAGTTGGAGATGTCGCAGTTTCGTGAATAGGGAGTGAAGGGCAGTGAAGTGATGGGGAGCGAAGTGAAGTGAGAGTGAATGGGAGTCAAGTGAATGGGAGGTGAGCGAGTGGTTCCCGATCGCTCTGGGGTTGAATGGGGGTTGAATGGAGGTTGAATGGGGGTTGAATGGGGGTTGAATGGAGGTTGAATGGGGTTTGAATGGGGGAGGAAGGATGATCGCATCGAACGCATCGACGCTAGACATAGTCGTGAGCGGTTGTAGATCATGATCCGCCGGGAAAGCGGTGCGGAGCGGGGGGATCGCTGCTCTCCTCTTCCTTTCCCTCACTACCCAACCCACCCACCTACGAGCCCAGGTTAGTTTTCGTCCGTCCATGATCCATGGGCGTTTGTCACGGATATTCAGACCAGCAGACCACCACATCCACACATCCACCCACTCCCCATCCACCGTCACAGCCCATCCACATATCCACCCACCTACCAAGCCATCCTCCCAGACCAGCCCAGCCCAGACAACCGTGATGTGTGGGTATGTTGCGCACCATAGTGCACCGTTCACACCCGTCACCCGTCCCCGTCCTCCGCACCGCACCGGTCCGCACTTAGTTACGGTAGTTTATGTTTCACCCCAGCCCAGTCCTTGAAGCTATCCCTTCCCCACCATCCAAGCTATCCCTCCCTCTAAGCTACCACCCTTCCAAGCTACCACCCCTCCAAGCTAACACCACCCACCCCATCCCACTCCTACCCTCCTCCTCCTCCTCCTCCTCCTCTCAGAGCGGCGTACTCACCACGCATCCATCTATCCGCCTGCTCCCGCCTGCTCGCCTGCTCGCCAATAGACTATTCAGCAATACCACCACGAGTTGCTTACTCTACCGTCTCCCCCTCCCTCTCCCCCTCCATTCCCCCCCACATCCACCCCTCCATCATTCCCCCGTTATCCACTCCAGTACACAGAAAAACAAACCCCACACTACTACCTATACCACCTACTACCTATACCACCACCTACCTAGTAGTTAACCAACTGATGCGCCGCAGCTAGTTACTCTGTGAAGGAACATACCGCAGCGCTGACCAGGTATGATGCGCATAGGTAGGGGAGGGGAGGGGAGGGGTACATCAATAAAGCGGAGCTCTGAAACATCAAAGCTACCTAGCTAACTAGCCCATCAGAAGGCGGGGGGATGGGGGGGAGGGAGGAGGGGTGGCATGTGAATCATCCCATCCCATCCTTCCCATCCTCCTGAAGAGAGAGGATGTAAGTAGGTGTGGGTGGCCGCTGTCGAGCGCACTTCCCTCCCCCTCCCCCCCCGGGCCCTGGGAAACAAGAGTCAAGAGTCAAGAGAGCTAGCTAGCTAGCTAAGCTAGGTACCGGGGCTAGCCAGCTAGTGGGTATGATAATTATAAAATCGGCGGTTACGAAAACCGCACAGTGCACAGTGCACAGGCCATGTACGGTAGTTATCTTGCTATCTACTCTGCCTACTAGGTATATCCGAGTCTAAGTCGGAGTCCCATGATCACCACGTGTGTGTGTGTGTTTCGCTACGGAGTCTTGACGTCTTTGTCGTTGTCGTTGTTGTTAGTGGGGGGAGTTTATCTCAAGGGCGAGTGCTCAGTAGTTAGACTGGGGGCAGCCCTGGGCCCCGTAAATAGACTGAGACTTGCAAGTTCGTTTGTTCCCGCCCCTCCGCGCCCCGCCCCAAACCAGACGGAGATCGTATCGTAAATCGGAAGGACGCACCGATTGCGAATCAGCCTTGTTTCGTTCTTGGCTGCACTTTCGCACCCGCTCCTCGAAACCGCCCTCCGCCTCGGGGGAGGGGGTGCCGGTCATGTGATACCCCTGGGGGGGGGGGGGGTGATCCTCCTGTTGGGGGGACGGGGGGAGGGCAGGTAGACGCGATAAGCGCGGACTCTAGTTAGTTCTACTGGGTTCTACTGGCTAGGCTGAGCTGGCAGTGGCGGCGGTGGCTATGCGGCGGCGGCGGCATATGATCATCCGATGGTTCGGACGTTCTTGGTGTCTCGCCCGTCTCGCTGCCTCGGTGGCGAAAACCTTACTCTACTCGTGGAGGCTTGAGGCTTGAGGGCGGGGGTTTCGGTGATAACTGGCAGCCTTGGTGGCGGGCGAGGGCGGCGATTGTAGTGGCGAGCGGCAGGTATTGAGAGTCGAGCAAGCTGGGAGGGCCTGCCCTATTGCTGCTAGAACTTTAGGTATGGTGGATCTTCTGCTGATATGAATCTTGAGATGTACCAGTACCTACTACCGTACTCGAGCTCCACGTTAGAATAGGTACTTGATACATACATCTTGAGGTATCATACATCCTAAATACACAGTTACTCACCTAAGTATACCAGCAATATTTACATCCCCTCCCAGATGGGCACTGTCCATCCGCCGAGTCCATCCGCCGTGGCTCTACCTAGTACCCACTGCCCAGAGCACCCACCTAGAGCACCAATTCCCTTTCGATTCCCTTTCGATTCCCTTTTCGATTCCCAATCCGGTAAATTAACCACAATTACCTCCATTATCCCACAATTACCACAATTACCTCGAATTATCCTCCATTATCCTCCATTATCCCCCCTCCCCATTTCCCCCATTATCCCCCATTTCCAATTATCCCAATTATCCCGCTCATTCCCAGTATTCACCGCAATACCCGGTTCCCCCCATCCCCCCTCCCGTGCCCATTCACCCCCATTCACCCCCGTGCCATCCCCATCCCCCGTGCTAGATATGATCCCTCGAGATCTATCCATCCGATCATCCACATCTTGTGCACATCCCCACCTCCCATCCGCTCCGTCCCTTCCCATCCATCCGCCCCCGCCCCGCAGGCCGTCCCACAACGGGTAAAATAAAAACACAAAAAGTAAAATTCTCATTCTATTCACCGCCTACGACCGAGCATCAACCAACCATACAAAGGATCCATCAGGGCGGGACAAGACACGGGAAGGAGAGATAGGTACGGCCAACCTGCGCGGCCGCCCCCCCCCCCCCCCCCCAAGCAAAACCAAACCGAAAAGGAAGCAAAACAGCACTGCACTCGGGGCAAAATGCACAGGGACGATCGATCACAAAAAAAGAGGTAGCCCATGTTAGGAGCCCATGTAGGAGCGCGGCTGCGGGCACATATGGATGGATGGATGGATGGATGGATGGATGGTTGAGTGAGTAAATAAAAAAAACCGACAAAAGATACGGCAAAAATAAAAAACCAAAAACCAAAAAATCAAATTCCCCACCCAGAAAAGAATTAACCCGTACCGGTACCCAGCCAAGTTCACTTGCGAGAGAGAGAGAGAGAGAGAGAGAGAGACGAACGAACGGAAAGAAGATAAAGTAACCACTATCAAAGCTAGATGAACCGAACTGAACCCCGAGGACCTCAAAGACAAAACGCCAGGGAGAGAGTTGGACAGGAAAATACACGGTGAGAAAAGATACGTCAAGGTGGATGGATAACCAGCCAGGTGACATGTGCCGCCACTCGAACAACTACCAACACAGGGAAAAGAAAGGAAAAATACAGAACGTAGGGTGCGCAGAAATCAAGGAGCAGCAGTAGTAGCAGCGGCAGAGTAAGATGGAAAAAATCCCCGCCGTGTACAAAAGAAAAAAAAAGGAAAATGAAAAAGAGAAAAAGAGAAAAAAAGAAAATAAGAAAAAAATTAATACAACGCCGAAGCAGCAGCAGCCGATCGTATCTCTCCATCTTCCAAGAAGTTCAACTTGCACCCGAACAACTGACCCCTCCAAACACAACTGAACTTTGAAGGATGATCGTAAATTTATATCGTTGTGACAACCGTTATACTCGTAGTAGTCGCCATTTTCGTGCCCATAAGATTATACGAACCGGACCACCATTTTCTCTGTCTGGGATCGAATCCGAACACATTATTCAAGTTCCTTCCCTTTTCGGATTCGATCCACCCTGGCCGTGTCCGAAAGTGTTGATCCTGCGGGTCATGAGGATCCGCCGCCTTGGCCCCCACTCTCCGTCGTCACACCCGCTTGGAGGCAAGTCTTCTTCCAGGTTTCGGCTTCCCGCCATGCACGCTCGCACTCCTTCTGAAGCTTTTCGTTCCTCGCGCTGAGATCCGAAATCGCCTGTTCGGTCAACAGCTTCTCCATCGTCCATTTCTCGATGTTCGAAGCCTCGTTCTCCTTGAGCTGTTGGATGTACTGGACCGCGCGCTGCAGAATCGAGCCCTTATTCTTCTCGCATCCCGGAACAATCTTGGCGAGCTCGTTAATTCCCTCGTTGATTGTTTCCCTACGGCGTCGTTCCACTGTGGATGTCCGAAGCGTTAGTCAGCATGTGCTGCGGTTTTCTCCCGTCACCGGAGAAGGTTGCGTGCGTACCTTCTTTGTGATTATCCCTGCGAACTCTGTGCCACTCCTCCGTCCCAACCTGCGGCTTCGGATTCGGAGGTGCCGGACGCTGCTGGACCGGTGTCGAATGAGCGGTAACGTGAGCGTGTTGAACACCGCCGACGCCTTCCGTGTGGCCTTCCATGGGTTGGGGCGACATGTTCGCGAAGGTTGCCGCCTCGATCTGGACATGCTGCTGCTGTTCCCCGGGTTTCACATCCGTCTGAGCGAACTGTAACGTAGGTAGCATGGTGCTCATGGCATTCGCCGCCAAAACTGCATTGGCAGCATCCGTAGCACTAGAACCATTCATCGCATTAGGCGAATGCTGCTGAGCCACATTCAACGGTTGGTAGGCGTACGCTGTGTTTTGTGGAGAATTCGTGTTTATCGGCATGAAGGCGGACATGCCGGGGGAAGTCTGTTTAAAGGACGTCCGACGACTCGAAGTGCTTCCCTCGGTACCTGCCCGTTCTTCCTCGGTTTCGGCGCTGCTCTCCTCTATCGAGTCGCGCTTGCGCTTGTGGGAGAGTTGCTGGTTCGGTCCATCCGCAGGGGCAGACGCAAGCTTTTGTTGTTGTTGTTGGTGTTGTTGCTGTTGGTGTTGTTGCTGTTGGTGTTGCTGCTGTAGCTGTGCGTCCACCGCCGAGGCCTGACTGTCACCCTGATAGGTCTCCTGCTGCCCCTCACTCATTGGAACGAACTATTGAATGAACGACGTAAAAGCTGGATAGGGATTTATGTAGTACGGTTTTCTCGACGATCAAGGGCGAGAATCGATTTGCGGTCGAGGAGGAGGAGGGTTCCTAATCGCGGGTAAGGTAAGGAACGAGAGAATGTGTGTGGGGATGTGCGTGGTAGTTCGTCCTAACGGGTGTGATGATGAACACAGAGGAGGGGGAGAGGAGAGGGGGAGGGAGAGGGGGGAGGGGAAGGGGGATGGGGGGAGGCGGAAGAGGAAGGGAGAGCGACAGAGCAGGAAGAGGAGGAGAAGGGGAGGAGAGGAGGAGGAAGAGTGATGAAGTTAAGGGAATGGGCAAGGTGAAAGTAGTTGGGTTGGGGTTGGAGGTGGTCAGGATCCTTCCTTAATCGGGCAGGGTGGAAGGATACACTTACTTACTTCACTTGCTGGGTGTTTACTTCCACGTGATGCCGGAGCGTGTCACGGGTCGAAGGGTGAATGAATGAATGTCTTCAACACAAGACACACGCAAGACACGAGAAAGAAAGAAAAAAGCCGTTTGTAGTAGCTAGCCACCCACACACTTGCTCCCACTCACACACCACACTCGTACACGGCAACGAACCAAGCAGTAGTGGCAGTCGACCAGGAAAGAAGAGGAGGAGGAAGAGGAGAAGAGGAGGCAGTCAGCCTTCCTGCTTTCTTGTACGGACAGGCGCACTGAAAGGGTCGGCAATAACAACGAGGACGACGACAGGGACGTCGGCAAGTGACTGGCTGGAAGCTGACTGGCTGGTTGGTTGGGAGGCCGAGTGACTTGACTGGCTGGCTGGCTGCTGAGGTTGACTGAGTGACAACGACGCGATATAAACGTGGCGTCGACGGCGGTGTCGGCGGGAGTGACGGACGGGATTCTCAGTTGACGGATATCGAATTATTTATTTATTTTTTTCGAGGAAAAAAATAAAGAACGAATATTCTTTTTAGGAATGGGGGGGGGGGGGGTGTGTGTGTGTTTAAGTGTGAGTGTGGGTGTGTGAGTGGGGAGGGGGTGGGTGTGTGGGAACCGAGAACTCCGGTATGGGTTACTTGGTTGGTTGGCTGAGGTTGCGCGGAGGGCGAGGGAGGTGGAGGAGGAGGAGGAGGAAGGAAGAGGAGGGTAGAAGGTGGTCTGTGTGATATGGATGTACCGAGCGAAATGGGGAAGTCCCTTTGTTTCAATTCCGGAAGCAGCAACGGGAGACAGGATATGGCAAGTATGGAAGTTCTGGGAAGTGGGGAATTAATCGAAGTGAAGGGTGATTCGTTGGCGAGAGACCGTGGGGCGTCGACGTCGTCGTCGTGGTCGTCGTCGTCGGTTCGGTGGCGGCGGGCGGAACGAGTCGCAGGTCGCAGGTTGCAGGAGCGCAGAGCCCCAAAAAGGCGAGCGAGCGAGTCGATAACGAACGATTGCTGAACAGGTGTGGGTGACGATTTGCGATATCTTTGGCTTAGACGATAGGAGCGAGCAATAGTTGTGTAGGGGAGGGAGGGAGGGAGGAAGGGAGGGGTGGGTGTGGGTGTGATTTCGCGTGCGACGGGTGATCGTGGGGGGGGGGGGGGGGGGGGGGGGGGGGGGGGGGGGGGGGGGGGGGAGGGAGAGGGTGGTGGTGCGGAGGGGCGGAGGGAGGGTGTGTGGCCACTGGGCCAGGTCAGGTCAGTAAAAGGTCTGACTTTAGTAGGCTTTTTTTCTCGGGGAGACAGAGCTAGTTAGCACAGAGAGGGAGAGAGAGAAAGAGAGGAGGGCATTTCTTATTGATGGTTGGGCCAGAAAGAAAGAGAGAGCCACTTCGAGCAGCCAAAGCAAGCAAGTCCTAATCTATCTAAAATCGACAAAACCGATATCTAAATCGAAAGGGATAAAAAAAGGATAAAAAAAGAAGGAAACCCCCGGTCGGAAGAGAGAGGGAGAAAAAAAGAAGAAAAAAAGGGGCTAAATGGCCGACATAGAGTAGAAATGCGCTCCCAGGGATTTCATCTTCTTTTCGGCCCATGGCCACTCTCCCGTGACCAGCCACCACCACCACCACCACTATGATAGAATACCATCGGGGAACAAATGTCGTTGAGAATCAAGATCACGATCAATATGGTATCATCATCAGACTCTACGGCGGAAAGAGGGAAAAGGGAAAAGGGGGAGTCGACTCTCGAACATCTATTGTGGAGCACCCAGGTGCTCGGAGCAACGCCGATGTCTGCTCCCTAAGCACTCACTCAGTCGATCGAGCCGGCGGACATTCGCGTCTAACGCGTTTGCACGTCTCCGGGCCGAAGCCGTTTCCTGCCAGCTGTCCGATCATGTCCCAAGTACTTGTGTACTGGAGTAGACTCTAGAAAGTAGCAGTAGTACCGCGTAACCATCGTCATCCCGAGCAATTATGTACATAACGTACTCCATAGTACGTGTACATACATAATCTACCTAAGTACCTCCTCCATCTGCTCCTGGCTGGCTGGCGATGCTCGTCGTGGCCTCGACGGCCGCCGTTTGTAAGTACATAAGAAGTAAGTATACATGCGGGCAAAGTAGAGTACATGACCAGCCCACCCAGCCCACCCACCACCAGTTCAGTTGCATGTGTGCTGGCTGCAGCATGAGTGAAATCCTTCGAGATGGGACGACGGGGGAATGGGCTTGCTGCTGCATTGAACACGGGCCTGCCTGCTTGCCTGCCTGCTTGCATCCCGACCGGCGGTTATGTACCTACCTTGTACCTCATGTACCAGTAACTCTTCCCAGCGACATGACGATTTCGCCTGGTCGACGGAGGAGGATCATAGGTTTTTAAAGTGAGTATGCTTTGCGTTGAATCTACAGGCAGGTAGGTACTTACGTCTACGCGCAGAGTCAAAGTCAAAGTCAATACAGGGCAATGCTGCCGTTGCTGCAATGCGGCCCAACCAAGACCACACCTCGCACCGACAGACACACACGCACGCACGGGGAATCTGAACAAACAAACAACAAAACAAAAGCAAAGCAGACAAAACAAAAAGAACACAAAAACCCCCGACGTGGAAGAATGCCGAGAATCTCTGGCGTCTCTGTCTCCGTCGTCGTCGCCCCATCGTAAGCACCAGCCCCCCCCCCCCCCCCCCGTGCCCAGTAAGGAATCAAAGTCAAATCAAAAAAGGCAAACGTCCGTGTGAAGAAAGCCTGCGACCCCACGTGTGGAACTCCCGCCGCCTCCACTCCACAGCACTCTCCCGCAATTGCGCGTCCCTACTAGTATGTAACCGTATGTAGTCATGTCTCTCTTCTCTCTCCGGGTCTCTTGAGTGTCCCCGAACGGCCACCCCTCGAACCCCTTATGTAGCCGTTAGCCCTTTCCGAATGCTACGGCTTGCATATGTAGAATTCAAGTCGGCATTCTAGGCTGATGATGATGAAATCATGAAGATGTTGCATTCCCAATTTCCAATTCCCAACTGTTTTTTTTAGATTACCGCGTCCGTCCGGCGTCGTCCGGCGTCGTTCGATCGGTGAATCGATGCATGAATGATTCCCGACCCGCTCCGCAGCCTCCGCTAGTTGGTTGGTTACGGTAGTTGGACTCTAGAGTGGTCGGGCCGGATCGGTGATCGGTGATCTACCTATCTAGTGAAACGGCGACGCTGCGACACTGCGACACTGCGACGGGAGGGAGGGAATAAGCAACGGTTCCGAAACATGTCGCGCTTGCTTACTTGCTTGCTTAGGTAGGTGGAGTGGTCAAGTGGGTGGTCAGGTGCAAACTCAAGTCAAGTCAGGTGCAAACTCAAGTCAAGTCAGGTACAAACGGACAAACCAAAAAAACAGGAGTCAAGTCAAGTCAAGTTAAGTCAAAGAAATATCATACATCGTCCTCGAAATCGTCCTCGAACTCGAAATTGATCGAACGTTAATTTCAAAACGCACTAGAAAAAATAATGATAATCGAGAGAGACGCATGCCCCGCACCGCCTCGGAAGAATCCACGCCGAGACCAGGCTGGTCCAATCGGCGTGCTGGCTGTCCGGCGTGTTCTGCGGGGAGTTTCGGGCTCGGTTCTCGAATCAATGTATGTACATACCGTACCATATCTTCCGGAGAAACCATCCCGCAGTACATGTCGTACATGCCGTAGGTATATATTCATAGCAGCCCTCGAACCACACTTCCTCGGCAATCCTGTATTCCTCGAATCAATCCGAGCTTAGTTACCGTGGACGTCAATGTCGAGGTGCGGTGTCTCTTTGCATGCTTGCTTTCACGGCGACAGTCCCCAGGCCGGGAAAGGAAAAACTCTGACCTTCCTCTGTGCCTTTCCTTTCCTCCTCTCTTTCTTTGATCGGCTTTGATAGTAAAATATAATAAAAGATAAATCCGTGATCATGAGCCTACCTATCTTCATATGTACACAGCTGCGTCTTTTTTCCGTCCGCCCTTCAGATGTCAGATGTCAGGCGCCGTATACCTAGTAGAGCATATAGTACGGAGCGGTATGTGCGGAGCACCTGAGCTTTTTCCGTCTCCTTCGGAATGCTTTGGCAATTTCGGGTCCGAATACCCCACATGGAACAGGGAAGATTTCCTACTCCTCTCGAGTAGTCCTCGAGTCCTCGAGTCCTCGGGTCCGAGTAGACGGTGGAGTACATAGAGTACATACTCCGGAATACCTAGGATGCCTAACTGCCGGTACTTGCAAGTTGTTTGGTTGAAGACTTGAAGCTCGTCCTTCATTCATTCACCATCCAATGTCCATTCCTTCGGCGTTCGGCGTGGCGTGCGTGGGAAAATCGATAGGTAGATATATCACAGACTGTTTCCCTAGGTACTCTACTTTGGAGTAGGTAGGCTCCGGTGAATTCGTGAATTCCCACAACCTGCCACCTATCCGAGAGAAACCCTGTGGTCCCTCCATTTCAATGGCGTACCTATGCAGATGCGGATGCGGGTGTGGATGCAGACCGGCCGTGATGTGATGTCGCTCCAGTCCAGTAACCAGTCACCTGCCCAGCGGTTATAGATATGATAATAAGCATAGTAAGGTACTGGTGATCACTCCGGTATGTACTCTATTTAGTAGTACAATGGATCAAATAAGATCACACACGGCTACCATATACTACTATATACCGTATGCAACTATTGGTATTCTCACACCGAGCTGCGCAGCATCCTAAATCCTCACGGTGTTCCCCGGGGCAGGCACACAGGCTGGAAATTCCATCAAGCTCAAGCTTAAGCTCGATCAATCATCAGGCACCTCAGATCCCATAGAAAGTTTCCCCCCCAGAAAGAATGGCATTCTTAGCCAGCGCCCTTACCTTACCTTACTGAGTGACTGCACAGTGTGATCCGCCCAATTGCATTTGCAACTAACTACTACAGCAAACCCAACACAAGCCGACCAGGCTCCCAGCTGGAAACCCAGCTGAAAAAACGGTAAACGGTAAACCCAATCTCAATCTCAATCTCAATCTCAATCTCAAAACTCGATCCGCCAATCTCTCTCGGATCGCCGGAAACCCTGACTGGGCTGGCTGGGATGGTTAAGTATTCCCCCATCTGAGTCTGAATCTGAATCACCGTCCTTGTCCTGTCCTGCCCACGATCTGGATCTGGATCTGGTCTGTGCGCCCCCCAAAAACGAAACGAAATATCTGCGTGGTGCGGCGTAAAACGACGGCGTGGAACGGTTGTTGTTGTGTGCATCGTGACATGGTAACATATGGTAGTGTGTATGTAAGGAATACAGTACGTATAGTACCAGTAAATATGTGCATATGTATCCAGAGCAAGTAGAGTGATGGAGTGGAGTACAGTGGAGTGGAGTGGAGTACCTGTGTACATTATACATTGTACATTGTACACATACATTGTACCACCGGAACACGATTCACGATTCACGAGTGTGCAAAGTTCAAATTCAATCCCGCCGGTTGACTGCATGCAGGGGGGGGGGGGGGGGGGGGGGGGCAGGTACGGGTACGGGTACGGTATGTACATGTCCAACGTACCTAAGCATGTAGTTACATAGAGCACATAGAGGCAGACGAAGTCGTCCAACCGTTGCTGCGCAATTGCGTAACTGTGTATCGACCGGGGCGGTGGGCGGTATATCATACATGTTCTCACGTACATACACACATTAGGTACATACATTATGCAAGCAAGTACAAAGTACTTATCTGCGGCCTGCGGCCTGCGGGCAAAAAAAAGCAAAACAGCAAAACAGCAAGAGCAAAAGCAAAAACAGCTGTGGCAGCAAACGCCTTTTCTCGGTGATTTCCGTGATTCCACTGCGAGGGAACGCTGCGAGGGAAAAATTCCTTACAGTTTTGCAGGTGATCCAGGCCAATGTCCGGTACTACTATCTAAGGTAGGTAATTCAGATTTCTATGATATGTACTTGCTTACTTACTGATGGGCCTGCTCATGCACTTACCATGTATTACTAACCTCCCCGCCTCCGGCCCGGTAGGTAGACTCCATAAAGTATCAGTATCAGAGTATCAGTATCGGAATACCGGTATCGGACTACCGGTATCGGAGTATCGGAGTATCTGCATATCGAGATTCCACCTGACATAGCATGGCATGGCATAGCATGGCATGCAGGGTGCGGGGTGGCTTCGTTCATTCGTTGTCTGTTGTCCGTCCGGACGTCCGTTCAAACGAAACCAATTCCCGCAGAAACATAGCCAGCGGCTGGCTGGCTGGCTGGCTGGGCTGGCTGGGCTGGCTGGGCTGGCTGGGCTGGCTGGGTTGGGCTGGGGTGGGGTGTGCGAGACACGTGGTACGGGCGCGTAGAGTCCTGGTGGGCTGGTGGGCTGGTGGGCTGGTGGGCAGGTACGGAGGAAGGTATATATCTCCTTCCGCAGCGAGTGGACGACGGTTGTTGCGTGATTAGTCGCTGTGGAATAACGGTGAGATGTGGGAAGTGAGCTGGCATTCCCGGCGGAGGCGCCGCAATTGGTCCAACGCCCACAAAAAGCGAGTGACTACCGATGCGATGCGAAGTATGCACGAGTACGTACGTACGTGTTCTACCCACCCAACTGCTACTTCCACGCACTCGTGCGTGCGTGCTCGGAAGGCTGGGTTCCCGCTATGTAGGTACAATACATCATACATACTGACATACATACTCTAGAAGCCCGCAGTGCGACACTGCGACTCTAACCCCCGGGTACTGACCACGGTATGTACGGTATGTATGGTACGGTACGCTACCACTCCTGCATGGAACGAGTCTGCTGGATGGTGGTTGCTGGTTGCTGGTTGCTGGTGTGTGTGCGTATGTGTGTGTGCGTGGTGCACCACGTCGACAGCCGGTGCAGAGGGATTGGACCGTCTGGCGAGGTCGAAGCTTAAGTGCACTCGCACTCTGGCGTGGTGTTGTTCCGTGTGTGGGTGCGTTCGAAAGGAACTGGTGGGGGTATGTAGAGTATCGACGTTTGCACGATGAGATGGAATGGATTGGAATCGTGTTCCCGTGGCAGGTGTCAGGTGTTCCGTGTGAGAACTCGTGATTACGGTTCTTCTACTCTACATGCTGCCGCTATGTACAGTACAATCCATACGGTACAAGCAATGCATCGCATCTATTGAGAAAGCAACGCTTCACATCTATTAAAGTAACGCAAAACACAAAGGTATCATGTATCTCTTATCCCCCCTCAAACGCCCACCAACCTCCCCACCTCCGCAAAGAGCCTCGCATTCTCACCCTTTGCCGCCTTTCTCCTCGTGTCTAACACTTCGCCCGCGCCGAGTGCGGCAGCGAGATCCTTCGTCCCCTCCATCGGTGCACAATACAGCAGCATCGCGAGACTCAATGCCAGCAACCTACCCTCACTCTCATCGGCCCCCTTCAACCCCTCGATGGCCGCCGCCGCCAGCTCGACCAGCTCCTCTTCGCTCAGAACTTCCTCGCTGCGGGTGGACCGAGCTTGTTGCACGTGCGAGGCGAGGAGGAATGCCAGGTTGCCAGCGGCGACTCGGAGGGTTGCGTGGGCGGGCTCGAGGAGGAACGAGGTGATCACTGAGATCAACAGGGTTGAGAGCGGCGGGGTGGTGAGGTGTCGCAGAAACAGGGGGGACGTGAAGAGATTGCACAGCGACTGCGTAGTGACGAGCTTGAGACTGTATGGGGCGTCGTCGTGTGTCGTGACGTAGTCGAGGAGGGTCTTGATTGTGGCGTGGCCCTTTTCCTCTGCGAACCAGCCCGATACCCGCGGGTCCACGAGCGAGGCTCGGAGTAGATCCACGAGTGGGAACAGCGTGTCCTCGGGGAGCGTGGCGATTGAATTCTGGAGGAACACCGACCACCGTGGCTCGTCGGGGATTGGCGCGTTGACGGCTCCTTCGGAGGCCCGATGCCGCAGGAAATCAATCAGTGAACTCACTGCCGGGTCCGCGGCGATGGGCCCGAGCTTGCTGGCTACTTTTTCGAGCGGTGGGAGCTTGCTGAAGACTACGCGGTTGCGGATGGAGGTGTTGGCGAGTGAGAGGGTGGTTGGGATGCTGAGTTGTGTGTGCGGGTGCGCTGGGTATGTCAGTCAGCTGTGCGGGATAGGTGGGGGAGAGGCATGTATCGGCCGTACCTGGATAAGTCACTGCCATGAGCATCTCCACGTTCCTCTTCAAATCCGCCGGCGAAGCACCTTTCCAGAGATCCAGCTGTTCACCTTTGGACCAGGTGATAAACGTCGGTGTAGCAGAGATCCCATACTTACTCCCGAGCTGTCCGGCAACACCTATATCGACCTTAACGAACACGCCCTTCTCCCCCGCCTCCGCTGCTAACTGCTCAAAATGCGGGTAGACGACTGTACACGGCGGACATCTGGAGGATGTAAAGAACGCAACCACACAGGGCGCACTATTCAGAATCTCATCGAACTCAGTGATGCTCGTAACAGTCTTCACTCTACTCGGCGCCTGCATCCTCTGCGGCTGCGGCTCCGGTGGTGGAGCAGCCTGCGTGATCGGCCTCAACTGGCTCTCCAACACGGGTCTCATCATCTGCCCAAACGGCGTATTCAGCACCTCCTGCGGCAGATTCTTGATCTTCTCCGGGATCTCGACTCCACACAGGAACATGGTCAAGTCCGCCGTGAAGTTGTTGCAGTTGTGCAGGAACAGATCGTAAGATTCCGGCGTGTACTCCTGTTTCATGCTGTCCAGATACTCGAGAACAACCTCTTGCGGGAGCGAGGTCGTGCCGAGCGGGATGATCTCCATCGGTGCCCCGTGGTGCGTGCGCTCCGGCAAGCTGGATTGGATTCCAGCGCCATAGTAATATTCCCGCCCGAAGACTACGATCGACGTGTGGTAGACAGCGTCGATTTGGATCCCGAGGAATTGCATGGACATTTGCCGAGCGAGACCTGCGGATGTTAGTACGAGTACCTATACCTGTACGAAGGGTGGCGTGCGGCCCACTCACCTTGGGAAAGATCGTAGACATAGAGCTCGACTTTGTGCTCCGTCATAGCTGCAGTGTGATCGAGGCAACTAGGTATTCTTCAACAGTTTTGCGATCGCACCGAGACTAGATGTAGGTAATGGATTCGGTGATGGATTTAATGTCGAAGCTGTCTGTGGAGCTCTCTCCGTGCGTGCGAGTGTGCCGGCGTAGAGTATTTAAGTATTTACTCTGCCGGCATGTATGAGTATGACGCAGGTACCGATATCATCGAACATTCCAGACACCTCCCTCCCGGTAACGACAAGCTCCGTAATCTACGCGCGCAGACGCGCCGCCGGCGCCGGCGGTGTGGCGTCGTCGTCGGCCAACACGCTTCCATCCCATCCCAAAAATCCTCTCCCCGCCACTCACGACCGTCGATAGCAAAGCAACCACGAAACATGTCGCTCCCACCACCACCTACAGGAAAGAAACCGGCGTTCACCGCCCCGCCTTCACAGAGCGATTGTCAGTCCCGCTCCCCTCCCCTCCCGTCCCACCTGCTAACGCAACCCACAACAGTGCTCTCCCGCCTAACAACCTTTCTCCCGCAACTGTCGGCAGCAAACGCAACACTCGACGAGGAGATCCGCGCGCACGGCGCGGACTCGCGGAATATCGAGCATGTCGCCGACGACGAGGAGCGCTATATCGAGATGGTACCTTCCCTTTCTCTTTCCTCTCTTTTCTCTGAGAGCGTGGATGTGGGTGGGGGTGAACGGGGCTGATCAGGGTGCTGGTGTGCGCAGAATTTGGGACTGGGAGTACTCGAGGAGGTTCGAGACGGTGATTCTGACTCCGACTCCGAGATGGGGGAGGGGGAGGAACAGGACAGACAGGAAAAACAGGATCCAATCGCGAAGGCGCTCAACCCCCAGCGCTCGAAGCCGGGAATCCAGCTTGTCGATGAGGAACCGCATGGGACGAAGCGAAGGGCTACGGAGGATCTAGAGTCGTCTTCTGATGAGGATAGTGAGGATGATGAGGACGAGGAAGAGGAGGAGGAGGATGCTGTTGAGGAGATCAAGACAATAGTAGCCGGGAGTACGCGGCACGGGAAAGGGCCGCGGGAAGGCAAGCAGCCGTTGATTGAAGAGGTCATGGAGAATAAACATACGCCTACGCCTGAGACGCGGGGGTGACGATGATATGCACGATCCGATGGGGGTACGGAAAGATGTATCATTAAAATGCCATGAGGATGTTAAACAGTATTTACATAACCCTCACGAACTCCCTCCGATAGCTACCACTTCTAATGGGTATGCCACCGAACAAACAAGCGAAAAAAAAATAGCAACCATTGCTTCGCAATGGAAACACACATAAACAAACCGTCTACCTATACGTGACAAAAACCCAGGCGCAGCACTTACGCAACCTGCTTAAGCTTACACTGCCAACCACCAGTGCCCTTATCCAGCATGGGCAAACTGGCGCCCAAGCACCATCCCAACTCATTGCCCTTGATCGTCTTTGCGGTTTTGACCTCGCGGTCCAGCGGCATCTCGTAGCCGGTGTGCAGAAGCGCAATCATGAAGCTCAGATCTAAGCAGCCCTCAGGTCTATCCCTGAGGTCCTCGAGGGCACCCTTGAAGGACGAGAACACATCCCACTTCGACTCGCCGGAGCACACACGCGCGGTGGTCTCCACCATTTCGCGCAGCGTGAAGCTCTCGGGCATTCCGAGTATACGGAGGCGGTCGTAGAAGTACGAGAAGATGTACACGTCCTCCTTGGCGAAAGTGCGCTCCAGCGAAGGCTGGTGAACTCCGTTGAACGAGCAGGGTGTCAATTTGCAGTCCACACCCTTGTTCAGGATCTGTTCGGCGAGAGCCCGGCACTGGGCGGCGGATGGCTCTGCAGGGCCAGTCATGTTGAGCTTGACCAGTGTTCCGTCCATGTCCACCTCGATCAAACGAGACATGCCAACGTTGATGCACGGGTTGACAAGGGGCTGTGAGTCCCAACCGGCACCGATCTCCTCCTGCTTCGTCTTCGCGAGGACCTTGTGGATCGCTTTACGCGCCTCCATGAGACCGAGACCCAGGTGCGAGTGCTGGTAGAGTTCGAAGTTGCGGCCGCCAAAGTTGAGCTGGTACTTGTGGTCGCCCTCGGCAAGCTTCTCGGGCATGCCGCCGCCAACGGAAGGGAAGGTGGGCTGGAATACGATCTGAGTCGAGCCTCCGCCGAGATCGAAGATGGCTGCTGTGGGAATCTTCTCGACTGTGCCGATCTTGCCGAGGAGGTAGTTGGTCGTGATCCATGCGTAGACACCTGCCCATCCATTGTCAACAAATACCGTTGGGATATCCTCTCTCTCCGGGGGGAGGGGAGATGAGGTGAAATGCGCAAACTGCACCCACCTTCGTCGCTTCCATCCATGATTTCAACGCCACCCTTCTCAATGATCGGGAACGGGTACTTCGTGTCCAACCGGTGTCTGACTGCATCCAAGATGTTCTTACTAAGTTGATCTCCAAGCAGTCTAAGTCCGGCGGTGGCCTTGACAGCGATAGGCGTGCACGACTTCAGCTTCTCAGGCACGGACTTCATCGCAACCTCCAGCAGCTCATCGAGACTCTTTGCGGCGCCTTCGGCATCCTCCTTGAACGAGGAGAGTCCCGGCTTCGTCATCTTGAAATCCTCATGCTCGAGCTCGGGGGTGTCGCCGCAGTTGTTGAAACGGTACACGTGGATACGGGAACCGGTAGACCCAGCGTCCACCATCAACGCGTACTGCACGATCGGCTTGTACTTCGAGCTCGACTTCAGACATTTCGTGGTTCCCAGCGAAGGATCGGAGGCTGTCTGGCCATTGCCATTGCCCATTGGCCGGTGGTCTTGCGTGGAACGTTAGCAACAATCCCCCTACATCCGCGCCCTCAAAAGTAAAAAAAAAGGAGAGATCGAGAGCAAAGAGAAGAAGCAGTTACACACCTTGAAGGTAATTCTCGGTTTTCGTGATACTATCCTTGGGGCCTAGGAAGAACAGGGCCACGCAAAACAGCACCACTACGACCACGGTCTTCACCCATCGATTCGACATGGTTTTCGCGTTTGCGTCCGTGGCGTCGCTATCGAATCGCTCTGGCTTCTCGTGCGGGTCGTCGGGGCGGTACTGTGACGAGATGCTCGATGATCGGTCCGGTCGTGTCGGTGCTTTTGTAAAGGAAAGATAGCTCCACAGCGCAGGCCTCTGGCGGATACTAGTCATGGAGTGGGAGGATGAGGCAAGCCGGACCGACCGGAGTGTGCTCGGGGTATAGTGTAATAGCCAAAGTGTTTCCGGTAGAGAAAGCTACGGCGACGGCGGTGATGTTGGGGATAACGGGAGGAATGCGCGAGAAGAAGAGGAAGAAAGGGGAACTTCAGTTGCCCAGGGACAGATATGCCCTCCAAATCTCACACTGGTACAGGTGTAACTCCTTTCCCAAAGTTCCCACCGTCCACCATACACGAAGACCAGTTCCTTTCTGCATATCGATCCCTGCCCGGTGGCTCTCCCCCTGTCCACATTAGGATTTTTTACGAGATGGTCCAGCCATTGGGTCTAGCCGTCTCAGACTTCCTTTTACATACGCCCACACGTGAAGAGAGAGAGAGAGATACATAATCTAAAGCTCCGGAAGCTTTCAATCGAATTCTATTTCTCCACGTATACTTTACATCAATGTTCCGCCACATTCGCGAACCTTCGCGACTTACGGTCACCAGGCGGACCGAGCTCGGTGACCGAGCGGCGTATCGATAACCGAATGTCCCACAGATCTTAACTTCGAGGGCGTACTCTAATCCTCAAGCGAATGTGCTGTGCCGCGAGAGCACAAAGGCACGATTTCTAGGCTTGTGGTGATATTCATGAACGAGGTGGAATGGCGGCTTCTTGGATGTAGAGTACATATAAAATCGCAGATTCATGATATAAACAGAAAACATTACAAACATCATCATTCATGGCATCGAACAGATCATAACGAAAAGGAAAACTCCGGCATCATGCAAATTACTGCGTCTCTCCACCTGGCACCGCCTATACCATAATCTCCTCCCTCTTCCTCTTGGCACAAACACCGCATCCGCGTCTAACCTTCTCGCTAACCAGCGCGGCCCGTGTAACTTTCGCGCCCACGCTACGGCCATAGCCTTGCACCACTTCCTGCTCCTCCTCGTCGTCCTCGTCGTCCTCGTCGTTGCCGGCGGTCAGCGGGCGGGTAATGCATCGCAGGTGGAAAGCATGCCCGCATGCGAAGGCGACAAGTGTTTTTTGCGCTCCTATATCTGCCCATCAGCTACTATCCATGTGAAGCCTGGGAATTCAAGGAATACATACCACTCCCAAATCGCCGCTTACACACCCCACAAACCTCACTGTCACCAGCCTGCTCATCCTCGAGGGCAGCGGTACCTCCAACCTGAAACTTAACGCCGCGTCGCTGTCCATGGCGTAGCATATCCATACCCCTCGCGACCTCACTGGTAAGTGCCTTCGCGACGCCATCGCAGATGCTCCACTGGACTCCATACTCCTTCAGAATCTTCCCCAGCGCTTCCTTGAGACCCTCGATTTCCAGTCCCGCGGGAATACGGCGGACAAGTGTGATGGGATCAATCGCTGTGCCCACGTTCTCCAGGAGCCCACGAATGAACGCCGGCTTATCCATGGAGTAGTCCAGGAGGTCGTTCCACAGGTCTGGATCGTCCTGCTGCTTGGCGAAGGCGATTGCCTGTGCTACGTCTGCGAGCTTGTCGATGATGAGGAACAGGGCGCGCTTGGTTTGGCCGGTCTTGCTGAGAAGGTGAACTAGTTCGGGGATATAGTTGCGGCGCTCACATACGGAGGAGGCCTTCTCCAGGGAGTAGTTGTGTGAGTCTTTGAGGAAGTCCATGAGGAGGGGTCTGTCATACTCGGCGAATAGCTCCACCATCAAGTCTTCGAACTCGGCCAGAAACCCTCCGGAAGCGGAGAGGATCTGGTTCTCAGTTTGCTGGCTTCTCCAGAGCCGGGACAGGTAAAAGTACAGGAAAAGTCTACCCGTGGGGACATTGTCGGACTCGAGCTGCTTGACGACGACATGCGGCGAGAGGATGCCGCGATCAGCTTCGTGGATGAGCAGAGTGATTGCTTCTCTAGTTGCCATCTCAAGCTCTGGAATGGTGGCGGTTTTGAGCTGTAGATCCGAAACGCGGAGAAGAATGAGCGAGGCGATATCATCCCGTATCGTGTCCACGAGTCTGAATTCGCGGATGAGACGGAATGCTTCGTCGGCATCTTTCAAGGTCATATATCGTTTCAGGGCGTTCCTAGGCTCCTGCAACACCATATACAGCTTTGCTAGACACTCCTGTAGAAGCTTCCAGTCCGTATCTCCCGTGTGTATCTCGTCTTCACGGTTGTTTATCTTGAGTATTATCGTGTCGGCCAGTGTACGAGAATCATAAAGAGTCCGCGTTCCTTCCGGCTTCCAGGTCTCCAGGAGGAGCTCGCGGAACTTCTTCCGATCATGGTTGAGATAATGCGCCAGGACAATCTCATAGATGACACTGGGAAGCGGTGGCGATAGTTGTGTGGTGGGGATGTACGCCGTAATTTCCTTGATCCTCCCCGAAGCCTCGAAAACCCAGACCCAATAATCCCACCTCGAAGACGTTCCCAGAACTTTACCGCAGACCTCTCCGGCCTTCTGCCATTCGCCGTTGTCAATCAGATCACGCAGCCAAAGCTCACCAATCCTGCGCTTCTCCTTCTCGGCGGTTGAGTATCTTCTGGCAGTTTGTTGTTGCTGCCGCGTATCCGCAGTGGAGTCAGAATCGTACTCCTCATCAAGGCGCACAACCTTCCGCTCCTCCTCATCGTACATAGTCAACGAGGCGGTATCCGGATCCACCACATCAGGATGACGATCAATCAGATGCCAGGCCTCGGCGTACTTCTTACGATCCAGCATCCAGGTAAGATGATCGCTCGGGCTTCGTTCGGTAGCGAAGACGACATCATACGGACTGGTGATATATATCTTTGTCCCCTTCTCATCCTCACCCCACTTGATCTCCTTATCGGGCTTTCCTTTGTTTGCACGCAGCGTACCTAGTGTTCCTGTCTGACTGCCGGTGGTAACGCTATTTCTTCGCGAACCGCTACCGAAACTCCTGATGCTCTGCGTGCCCGAAAACAGATGCGCGGGGGCAATAGCAGCAGCCCAAAGTCCAGCACCGAGACCAGTCGTACCTTCAGTATCGGCGGGAGGCGGTTGCACTGCTGTCGGTGTTGCGGGAAGCACTCCCAAGTGGTAGTCACCCACCGCCAGACTTTCAAACCGACTCATCATCAGCTCGTCCGCACTGACTTCTTCCGACGTACTGAGGTCGATGAATCGCAATTCCGGTATCAGAGCATTAGTCCGACCACGACGGAATTTTGGCGATGCCACAGGACTGCGCGGAGATCCCGGAGTACTTGGTGCCGGAGAAGGTAATGGTGAAGTTTCCGCCCCATCTTCCGACGTATTGCTGGGCCCGGAAAGGTATGCAAGGAGCAGCAATAACGACGGGGTGTACATCTGAATACCGGAGATGATACAGTCGGTTTGGAGCATGTGTGTTATCTCAGCCCAGCCGTTGCATTTATCCTCTCCGGCACGGTCGGTCCCCGGATAGACATCGATCACCCATACGGTTCCGCCCCAGCCTACAAGTAGCTTCTCTTTGTCGCCCCAGTCAACGTCTTCGACGTTCAGAGTAGTGCCCGTAGCTGCCTCCCGCGGTTCGCTAGTGAGCAGTGCCCGTCTGTCAATCCACTCCAGCCTCGGTTTATGCAGCGTAGCCAGCTCGTCCGGAATCCCCTCGGGCCTTTCGATTGCAGAGATACGTTTCCAGGCGACCTCATGCGCCGGTTGCCCACCACTAGTACCAAGCCCCGGTATCCACCCGGTGATCCCTGGGTTTCCCGCCAACTCCTCCTGCGCCGACTTCTGCAATGTCGGGGGGACAATATGAGACCTCATGATCTTGATGCCCTGCTCATTAGCCCACGCTACATACCGCGGCGACTCCTTTGACCAAGCGATCGCCGAGATTGCACCCTCGCCGGAGTGCAGGATAGTGTCTTTAGCACTTCCCAGTCCCAGCGACGGAATCCATCCGCCGCCCGTCCCCGCGCCCGCAGGCGCAACAGACAAGATGAGGTTTCCTGCGAGCCCACCAGACAGGAACGTGCGATCCACGCGAAAGTTGGGCGACAACACCACAGCCAACACCGGCCGTTTGAAGTTCTTCAGCGTGATCTCCGATTTCGCGTACGGTACCGTCGAGAGGGATTGTCCCGGCCCCGGGGGTGTCGAGGGGAGCAGCGGTACGGCGCATACCAGGCCGTCGATTGACGAGCTGGCGATACTGATGTGGCGGTCGTGGTACGCTTCCTTATGCCGTCTCGTCGGAATTGCTACTGGCGGCGGCGGCGGAGGGGAGATGGAGATGGACGTGACTGAGGCCGAGTGCGCATGGTACGTTCGCAGCGGTGCCAGAGACGGCAGTCCGAGTATATGCTACAGAACAATGCGTCAGCTCAGATCCGAGGCCGAGCTCGTGGGGGTGGTAGAAACCGACGATGTTCCCGTTGTGCGTGCCAATCACCTATGGGATCCCGCTAGACGCATCAGCTTCCAATCCAATCCAATCGTCCTCCCGCCCTCTCTCTCCGCATGCAGATAGACAATGAAAAATAGAACCGGACCATGCGATCCCCAAACACCACACTGGTGGAAACAGCGTCTCCATTACGATAAACACCACCGAGTGATTTCGTGAGTCGCGTGTATTTTAAGCGTGGTTCCTCGTCGTCCTCTTCCTCCTCCTCCTCCTCCTCCTCCTCCTCCTCCTCCTCCTCCTCTTCTTGATCTTCTCGTTCTTCTTCCGCTTGTTGCTCGGCCTCTTCCAGTTCGCTGTCAGACTTGGTATCGCGCAGCGTATCTTGGTCGTCGTCGTCGAGATGAGAGGATTGCATTGTTGTGCCGTACTGCTGCTGGTGGTTGGGGGGAACTCTACAGTCTGCTGTCACTGGTGGATTCGCGATAGGTAGCCTAGCGTGAATCGCCAAGCTCCAGATGCGTTGTTTCGTCATCGGAACTTGCCGCCCGGGGGAGGGGGCGGGAATGGGGAGGCTGGATTACGCACGCGAGGTGATTACACACGTCGTCACTCGTCCATTGCCGCTCAACCCACGAGCTTTTAAGCCATATCACCACCGCCCCCTCTTCGAGTGCTGCGATCTACATGTATCTCTGGGGAGGGCAAGGTGGAGGGCAGAGCAAGTTACGATGGGCTTCTGACGAGAGCCGGGTTGGAAAGTGGATATGGAAACGGAGCGTGTATAGGTATTGCTATGATCCAGAATGAAGGTCGCAAGCAATCAATGATTAAACAAAAAATAATTACCACCACCGCCGCCGCCGCCATCATCATTTCGTTCTAGTGAATGGCAAAGGTAATACACCAAGTGCTTCAAGGTAACTAACGCCCCTCGCCAGCCAGCAAGACAAGACAAGACAAGACAAAGCAAACACAAGCACAAAAAACCCAAGCCTGTAAAACCCCAATCATAAACGTAGAACAAAAGCATATGAAAGTGAAAAGAGCCGCCCCAGTATTCTTCACCAGATCTCAATACAATGTCACATCCTAGGTATGTAGAATTTACATCACATCATCATGCTGGACATCAGCGAGTTCTGCGCGTACGCCATGGGCTTGATGTTGGGATGCGGGACGGCATCGAACACGTTGTGCTGCAGCTTGTAGTCTGGGCCGATGTTGATGTACGCACCCTTGTTGCCCGAGGTGTCGACGTAGTTGGGCGCCGAGAAGACTATTCCCACCTGTATTAGCTGCTGCCGTGGAAAGGAATGACTGGATAGGTAGTCTTACCAGTGATACACCGTCCATCGTGCTCGACCTCGTATCCCTCCATGCGAACCTCATGGGATCGGATAATAGCCTCCAGGCCATTACGCTCACAGAACCTCTTGGTGACATCCGGGCCAAACTGGAGTCCGACTCCACGCTTACTTGGCCCTCTGCCAGGCATGGTCTGGGGATCCGTCCAGAGCATTTCCATCATCAAACCCTCCTGCCCTGGCTGCCTCTGCTTATGTCTGTCCAACGCCCGGACGTCATCCAGGGTAATCTCGTCATCCGAGAAGAGGCCTCCGTGCAGGACGAGGTACTTCGCGCCGATGAGGGTGGCGAGCGGGAGAGCGCTGAAGGACTCGGAGAAGAGTTTGAAGGTCCGCTCGTTGTACTTGGCCTTGCACTCGCCTTCGAAACCGTACACGCGGTTCATGTCGTCCGTTTCGTGGTTACCGCGGTTCAGGAAGAAGTTGGTTGGGTAGAGGAGCTTGTAGCTGTAGAGGAGCAGTGCGATCTCGGTCGACCATGAGCCGCGGTCTACGAAGTCGCCGTTGAAGAGGTATGCGTGTGTCTCGGAGGGGTAACCATTGCGGTTGAAGATCTCGAGGAGGTCGAAGTATTGTCCTTCGCCGCTGCGTCAGCTCATACCCACCACACAACACATACAACCCAACACAAGTGACAGTACCATGAGTATCTCCGCAGACGGTCATCTTCTTTCCCTGCTCAATCGTAACCTCGGGCATAGTCGGCTCATTATAGAAGACCTCCTTCGCCTTGATGATGATCTGGTAGACGTATTTCCTGTGAAGCTTTTTACCATCTTTAAAGCGCTGGATCATGTCCTCGACGAACTCCTTTGTCATCTCATTGCCCAGACGGACACCGTCGTAGTCCAGTTCCACCACTGGCCAGTTAGCCACACACACGTTCCCTCGAGCACACACGAAGAGCACGAACCCATGGAGTTCAAATCCAGTCCTTCGGCTGCGGACGGCGGATCACCAACTTCAATTGCCTTCATGAAAGATATTTTGCGGACGATCTTCTCGCACTCCTGCATCTTGAGTCTGGCATCCTTATCATGCGGCACTTTTCACCGTCAGCATCCGTCCCATCCCCCATCTCACACTCTCCAAGAGCCTCACCCTGTCTACACACCGCCCGGAAGTCCTTCAGCGCATCCGCGTACTTCATGACGGCCAAGTACGACACGGCACGGCGGTAGTAAGCCTTGATGTATTTAGGGTCGAGCTCGATAGCCTTGGATGCATCGGCAATCGCAAGGCCGAATTCCTCCAACTTGATGTGACTCTGCCAGATATAAGCACCCACCCACCACAGCCCGGGGAAGGGGAAGTAGGTACGTGAGCACGGTTGGAGTAGAATACAGCCACCGTGGGATCTAGCTCGATGGCTTTATCGTAGCAGTCAATTGCTTCCTGTCCGGGTTGTTAAGTCCGCGTCTCTCTCTTGCAGTGGGAGCAACGAAACATACCCGCCAGTCCTTCTTCGCGATAGCGGCATTTCCCTTGTTCTTCATCGCCACGGCATCTTCAGCAGCCGACATGATTGCTTCTGTACTAATATCCTATTGCTGGAAGAAGTTCGTGAAGGGGGATTGACGGTGGTGGGTGCTTGTTTGGTGGAAGCAAAGAAGCAGAAAGTTAACTCTAGGTATGGTGGATGGTGGGGTTTGGCTTAAGATGCGGCGGCGGCAAGCATTCTGGTTAGCGGGGCACGGGACCAAATTTCTTGTGGATTACTCTGCACGCGATCTACAACACTTGCTTCCTTTCCACCCAGCTTTTTACGCCTACCATACGTATTCCATGGAACAAATGAGACTTCATCATGTAAGGGCAATCGCTTACTGGCGTGATGTCATGTTTATTCCCTGAGCAGTTCACCGTTAACAGTTAACACTGATGGATAGTATGTAGACGGATGTCATGGCTTTTTTGTTTTCTTTTTTCACTTGGACGATCACATACAAGGCGTATATTATACACCTAGATTGAGGTTATAAAGACAACGCCATTAATTCCATTCGTTTAACCGACCAAGGCACCCTATGCGATAAAAAGTAGGTACAAGTACAAGTACAAGAATCATGAAATATAAAGCCCAGTCAATCCTCATCAAATAGCAGCATGAACGAAATGATCGTAAAGTCCACCCAACGCCAAAAACGCCCCAACAGAGAAGAAAGGAAGAAACTGTATGACATCTGATGGTCATTTATCGCATGGTAATAGCCGGAAAGAAGCGTCTTCCGACCCAGCCATAGGCGCCGATGAACTCTGCGGCAGATGTCAGCCAGTTGATCTCCAGACCCTCGGAAGCCGCAGGACAAACCTATGTCGATGTTCTTCTGATCCGGCGTGGCGAAGAACTTTGCGAGGATGTACCTTCCAGAGCTGCCTACACGTTAATATGTGCCATCGGAGGGTAGTGAGGGTTCACGTACATCGCCGGTTCGAAGTTGATTACGCATTTAGACTTCCTGTCCTTATGGCTGAAAATAGCATTCGGGTCCAGCAGCTGCGCCGGGGGTGGACGAGACTGATTGATCTGCTCATCCAGATTCACCCAAAGAGGCGACGCCGAAGGCGGACTGGCGGTCGTGCCGGTGCCTCTCGGCGGCAGTTGACCGGCTCCACGGTGGAACTGAGAGCCCCAAGCTATTGGGATCACCGGGCTGTACGGCTCCGTGTCTGCTTCATTGGACGGACCACTCGGGTCAGGGCCCAGAACGTAGGACTCGTCGTCACTGCTGTCGTCGCACTCGTCGTCGTCCGTCTCGTAGCGCACCGTGTAGCTTGTGCGGTGCAAGAGGTCGGCGTCCTCCATGGTCACAAAGATCATTCCGGCACGGACACTGTTCGGAATTGGTTACACATATTTTCTGGAGAAGAGGAGCAGGCAGCAAACACGTACGGAGAAGTGTAACCAGTAGAAGGTGCACGAATGACGAGTTTCTGCAGAGAAAAGCACTCGCCGTTGACATGGCGTAGGATCATGTTGCAGCGCGAGTTCTTTGTGCAATAAACTTGAAACACGCGCCATTGTCAGCCAAGTGCATGCTGTGCGTATATGGAAGGCTCAAAGTACCACTCGAATCGTCACGGAGCGCACATTCCGGGCTATAGTCTCCAGTGTATGTACGTCCATCATATCTACCACCATCACAGTACCTCAATTCCATAGGCAACTGTTCCATCTCAACCTGACCAGTCCGCTCAGTGCGACGGCGTTTGCTGGAAGGTTCATCTGATGAGGCCACCACGGGAGTAGAAACCGAAAGGTTGCTGGTAGCGATGTGGCGCGCGAGATTGAACAATGGGCGCCTATTAATTGGACTGCTATTACCGCCGCCGACGCCGCCGCCGCCGCCGCCGTTACTGTTGCTGTTGCCGGCACTGCCATTTCGAGATAGATCCCACGAGCGGCGGTATTCACCGTGACGGTTCTGGCGAGTAGCATTACGACGCATAAGGGCCGCAGTCATGACTCTAGACTGACCAGGCGAGGGCTGAACGTCCGCGCGGACATCGGAGAGTCGAATGCTGGAGTAGTCGGGTGGCGGTGGTTGGAGATTACTCTGTTTTCAGATCAGCTCACGGACTGAGAAAAGTGCGGGTGTTCTCAAAGGTAAAAGTTGTACCATGACTGCGAGATTGATGAATCCCTCGAGTGCAGGCACTGAGTCGGGGAAAGCGAGTTTCGAACGGTCTTGCGCAGAGGAAGTTTGAATGAAGGGTCAAGTGTAGGTATGTTGGCAGGAATGGGAATGCTTGACTGCCAGGTAGGAGTATGTAGGTTCGGGAACTGGAAGCTTCTTTGAAAAGTATGGGAGGAGCTTTGTTTCGATTGAAGCGACCGTGTTATACTGCCAAGTGGTCGGGTGGGTGTATGTATATGGCCCCAGGGAACTAATATGGAGACGGCAAGGGAAATATAGCAGAAGTTCCGCGGTGGTTGAGGGTCAGAGATACGGAGGCGTCTGCAGGTGGGATGAGCACGGGTGTACTAGTGGACTAGCGAAGATGCGGGTGCGGTCGCATAGCTATTCCATGTAAGCTGAAGTGCAGAGTAGATAACCGTGTGGAATATGTTTTTGAGTTGAGGTTTTGAAGGAGAGAGTGTTTGTTTGTTCGAGTTGTACAGAGAAGAATGAGGAGGAGGAGGAGGTAGAGGAGGAGACGGAGGTGGGCAGAGGGTGGAAGCTGCGCGCAATTGCTTTGTATTCCGACAGTCGACCTCTCAACGGCTGCCAGGACTACTAGTAAACCCGAATGCCGAGATGCGGCAGTAGCCAAGCCACAGCGGCGATGCACATGCAAGCCACCGCTACACAGAAGACTGCCGCCACAACCTACAATTACACCATCCACCTCAAACCATCCATCTCAAACCATTCACCTCGAACCATCAATATGGTTCACGCTGTGTATCCCAGCCTCCGCCGCTGTTGGGCCCTGTTGCTGTCAGAGACGTCGTGTCCCCGAGGAGCGAGCAAGGATGGAAATAAAGGCAGAGAGTGAGTTGACATAGTAGGGATGTACTCTGTAGCCTTCTCGTCAGGTGTCAAAGGCCCACGCTCACCTATACCGATGCCACATTCACATGTCCATTGCCTCGAAGGCTCTTCGATCCGATTTGAATGTCATTTCCGTTTCGGACATCTTGGAGTGTCTGGTCGAAGGCAATTCGTCAATATCAACGCCGCAAACAGACACCCTCTTCGCCGCATTGTGGATTCTGCTGAACAACACTGAGAAAATCTGTGCGGCCGCCTCCCTTTCGCGGATGCCTGCGGCAGAGCTTACATGTATCCCCCTACCGCTCCCGCTGCCGCGCTTGATAGCATTACCGGTAGAGTAATGCTGTCCGGCTCAGGAATGTGTCGGCGTTAAACATTGCGGCATTACGGGTATGCGTGCGTATAGAGTTCTCTTTCGGGAATGAAAAAAACATCCTCGTTGCTAGGATGCCTGGTCGGTATACAATGGGATAAGAATCGGCAGCAAAAGGAGACAGTTGGTGCGAATATTGATGCTTCTTTGCCAGTCTTTGACGGACAGCGCTCGTGTTTTCCTGGGGGATGGAAACCGGGCCCCCACCTCCACTGTGGATTTTACTGTGCCGTGATCTTCCGTGTTTTGAACCCGCTGTAATCCACTTCCTCCTCAAGATCTTTCTCCGAATCCTAAATTCTCCAGGCAATAAACAGCACCTTTCAAACGCATTGCAATTTGTGGAATGGAAGCACCCAGAACCGCGATGCGCTCCGATTGGCTCACTCGGGCAAGCCGCATCAAGCTCTCTGATTGGGCGTTAGTGATGGCCATAGCTCCATCGTGTTGCAACTTTCTTTTGAGCTCTCGTGAAAGTAGTTCCACAACCCACCTCATTCCCCACCACCAATAGAGAGAGATACGACGATGGAGCCGGCAACCTTCAAAATCGACGAGATGGTTCCCCTAGTGGACCTTAACGAGCCCGCTGGCGCGACGGTGGCTGCAATGGTTACGTCGTCGACTATCTCCGCTGGTATGTAAAACTAAGACAAAAAAACAACTCTACGCGTAATGCTTGTGCTCTGACGCGACGCGATGCGATGAACAGATGAGGTTGCGCTCTATGATCGACAGATCAGACTGTGGGGCATGGAGGCACAGGAGAGGTATATCCCTTCTTCCGAAAGCAATTCGGAGCAGGAAACCTAACTGTATAGAATGCGCAATGCCAACGTCCTCATCATCACCATGCGTGCCCTAGCAAACGAGGTTGCAAAGAACTTAGTTTTGGCTGGAATAGGCTCCTTGACAGTCCTCGATTCGGAAGATGTTGTGGAGGATGATTTGGGTGCGCAGTTCTTCGTGTCGGAGGAGCACGTTGGAATTAACGTATGTTTGTGGAGCCTACTTCCCCTAGATGAAGCCGTATACTGATGATACGATGATTCTTTAGAGAGCGATAGCTGCTGTTCCAACCATCCAGAAATTGAATCCTCGCGTTCGCGTGTACGCCGATGCCGGCAAGCTCCACGACAAACCGACGGAGTACTTCAACGATTTCGACATCGTGATTGCTACGGAATTGGGTTTCAACGATATGGTCAGTCGTCTGCGCACCAGAGGAAATGAGACAACTGGTTGATGGAGATTAGCATCTGATCAATGAAGCCACCCGCAAGTGGGGCATCCGTTTCTACGCTGCCGCAACTTACGGTCTTTACGGCTTCGTCTTTGCAGATCTGATCAGACACCAGTTCGTCCTGAAGCGTGTCAAGGCCAACAAACTCACGCAGTGTGGCAAGGAGACCCGTACGCGCAGCGTCGTCTCGACCACGGAAACGAAGGAAGGCGCTACCGACTATGAGTTCGTCACGAAGGAGGAAATCTACTGCACATTGTCCGAAGCGGTGGCGTCCCGCCTCGAAAAGTCGTGGCGCCCCAAAAAACGCCATCAAGTCGGCTCCGTCCTGCCGGGTATCTTGGGGCTGTGGAAGTTTCAGCAGGAGTTCGGAAGACTGCCGGAATCCACAAAGGAGGATTACAAACAGTTCACCAAGTTGATGATCGAGACGGGCCAGGCGCTGGAAATGCCCCAGGAACTCGTCAGAGCGGACTTCATCAGGTCAGATCTATCCCCCAACCGCTGCGGCCGCCGGACATGCTAACCCGCCGTAGACAATTCGTTGGCAACGTGTCGGCCGAGCTCTCCCCCGTTGCGGCCGTGCTCGGTGGTATCCTCGCGCAGGACGCCATCAACGTCTTGGGTAAGATGGAGCAGCCGATCCAGAATCTCTTGCTTTTCGACGGCGACACCAGCGAGGCGCCCATCATCGTGTTGGCCCCACAAGAGGATTAACTTGACGTTTGGTAGGGGAGGTATCTGGGTTGGAATTTACACACTTTACATGGCGCATCGTTCTTAGACGGATAACTACGGTTGTATACTATACTTTACTTGCTTTGAGGGAGATTTCATTTCATGGGGATCACTGTCTTTTCGTATTCCATACCATTTTCTGCCATTCTAATAGTTTACACTGTTTGGTGAATCATGTTTCGGTGTTGGCTCGAACAAGGGTTGACGCCACACACCCGCCACAACACGGGCTAGATTCGGAAGCCGCAAGTAATTTCGATTCTGTGATTGGGCGTCGGATACATCCTCGGTTGTTGGTACCGTCATTCCGACCGACGACGGCTAGTGGGCGGAACAATAAACTATTGGCACCGCAGTCTAGCACTTTGAACTCACAAGACCACCATTCACCACCGGCACTTCCACTTCTTGACGAAGTTTCTCCCGTTCACCTCCGTGCTTTAAACAACAGCCTTTCTGGAGTCCACTCTCGCAACGAAAACTACAGTCATGTCGCTCTTCCGTACCGCCGCCCCGCGCTTCATCTCCAAGCCGCTCCTCGCTGGCCCCCGCGTCGCTACTTTCCACACCTCCAAGAAGCTGCAGATTCTGCCCGTCGGGCCTCGTACGCTCCTCCGTTCCCCACATTATTTCAGTTACAGCAGCTAACCTCCCAGCAGAAGTGATAGATGGCACCAGTACGTCCCGGTCCCCTCGGCCTCTCCACCTCCACCTCCTCCGCCACCACCACGGCACGTGCTGACGCGAACAAACACAAATAGTCAACGACCCCACACCGATTCCGGAGACGAGCCCCTCGCACGGTAGCTACCACTGGTCATTCGAGCGCCTGGTTTCGCTCGGTCTCGTACCGCTCACCATCGCGCCGTTCGCCGCCGGCTCGATGCATCCCATTGCCGACGCCGTCTTGGGTGCGACGATAGTCATGCATTCACACATCGGCTTCCAGTATGCTCCTTCAAGTTGCGCGGGGGAGGGAGAGAGCGAGTGTAGCTGACGACAGTAGGTCGTGTGTAATCGACTACTTCCCCAAGCGCAAATACCCCAAGTCCCTCAAGACCGCCAAGTGGACGCTCAACGCTGCCACCGTGCTGGTGCTCTACGGCCTGTACGAGTTCGAGACTAATGATGTGGGTATCACCGAGGGTGTCAAGAAGATCTGGACGGCTTGAGCGCGAGGTGAAGGGCAGAAGGGAGTGTATCTTTAGTTTTTCTTGCACGCGTCTGCTTGCTGGGTTCGGCTGGGTGATTGGGGTTCAGAAAAGTCAAGGCTTATTTCAAAGCTTTTCATTTCGTGAAACCAGGCTGTGGACTGTGAATTGAATTGAACGGGCATCAATCCAACTTCAGTGGCTCCGATAGCGAGTGACAAATAGTGATATCCACGAGCTCCGTATCATCTCCAAAAACCACCGACTTCCAGCCCACATACTGATGAAGCTGCAGTTATTCCGCGTGCGCTGTTTATTGTGATATTGGCGGAGTTGTGGCGAGTTGCGGCCACCGCGGCCATCTGCCATATCGAGATGACCGGACCCCATGTTGCATGGGCCAGCTCGCCATGTGGCCGACGTACGATACGACCGGCATCTCACTAACCCCATAACTACCTGTGCACCTCTCACCTCCGTGCTCGACACCACAGCTCCCACATCCACCATCACCACCGCTACCACCACCACCACCACCACCACCACTAACCGCCGCCGCCCCTGTGCAACGAACCTCGTCATACCTATACCCGCAATCCGACGAAACACACGGAACACGTACAGACCGGCTCCACGGCCACGCACCTCCTCGCCCGCCATGATCTCTGGCGTCCTCTTCTTCAATCAAAAGGGCGAGAATCTCATCTTCCGGCAATTCCGCAACGACTGTCAGCCATTCCTCCCTCCTATTTCCTCCCCCGTCCATCCATCCCCCCTAGCTCACACACACCCCCCTCCCAGGCCGCCCGCGCCTCTCCGACGTCTTCCGCATCCAGGTGATCTCGAATGCGCAAGTGCGCTCGCCCATCCTCACACTCGGCTCAACCACCTTCTCGCACGTCAAGCACGAGAACATCTACCTCGTGGCCGTTACTAAGAGCAATGCCAATGCAGCGCTGGTGTTCGAGTTCCTGTACCGCCTCATCACGCTGGGGAAGAGCTACTTTGGGAAGTTTGACGAGGAGGCGGTGAAAAATAATTTCGTGCTGATATATGAGCTTCTCGATGGTGAGTGCACCAGATTGGCGGATATGGAGGAGGAGGAGGAGCAAGAGGGGAGGGCTGACAGAGTGGATGACAGAGATCCTCGACTTCGGCTACCCCCAGAACACGGAAACCGACACGTTAAAAATGTACATCACGACGGAGGGTGTGAAGTCCGAGCGGAACGTCGTTGAGGACTCGACCAAGATCACGATGCAAGCGACGGGAGCGCTCTCCTGGCGGCGCGCCGACGTCAAATACCGCAAGAACGAGGCGTTCGTGGACGTGATCGAGGACGTGAACCTGCTGATGTCGGCGGGCGGCACGGTGCTGCGCGCCGACGTCAGCGGCCAGATCGTAATGCGCGCGTACCTCTCCGGCACTCCGGAGTGCAAATTCGGGCTGAACGACCGGCTGCTGCTCGATGGCGGCGAGCCGCAGCAGGGCGGGAACAAGACGGGGAGCGTGGGCACGGCGAAGACAACCACCCGTGCGGCGGCCGGCTCCGTCACCCTCGAGGACTGCCAGTTCCACCAGTGCGTCAAGCTCGGGAAGTTCGATACCGATCGGATCATCAGTTTTGTCCCGCCCGACGGAGAGTTCGAGCTCATGCGCTACCGCGCGACAGAGAACGTCAACCTCCCGTTCCGCGTCCACGCCATCGTCAACGAGATCGGAAAGACAAAGGTCGAGTACCAAGTTGCCATCCGCGCAAACTACGGGACGAAGCTCTTCGCTACCAACGTCGTCGTCCGCGTGCCTACCCCGCTCAACACCGCCGGCATCCAGACGCGCACTTCCCAGGGAAAGGCGAAGTACGAGCCGTCGGAGAACTACATAGTCTGGAAGTAATTCGTCCCCTTCTTCCTCCTCCTCATGCCCCCCCTTTTCACTCCAGCTAACATCACAGAATCCCCCGCTTCACCGGCCAATCCGAATACGTCCTCAGCGCGGACGCGACACTGACCTCGATGACGAACCAGAAGGCATGGTCTCGACCACCACTAAACCTAAGCTTCAGCCTGTTGATGTTTACATCCTCGGGACTGCTCGTGCGGTACCTAAAGGTGTTTGAGAAGAGCAACTATTCCTCCGTAAAGTGGGTGAGGTATATGACAAGAGCTGGGAGCTACGAAATCCGGTTCTAGTGGAGGGGCGGAGGGGCAGAGGGGTGGAGGGGTGGAGGGGTTTCTGTTCTGCTCTGGGTGCGTGCGTGCATGTGTATTTTGTGGACATACGATCTTTGTAACTACTACATCCTACTCGGCTACTTGGCTACGAGATGGAGGGAGGGAGGGAAGGGAAGGAAGGGAAGGGAGGGAAGCGTGCGGGCGTTGGATGTTTCTGGTTCTTGTCTTTGGTGGTCTTTTTGGAGTGAATATGATACACTAATTGGAAGTTTACGAATGATCATCTTCGACCGTCTAATAAGTATCATATATCGTACTCATACACCCCCCTCAATCCCACCGATCATCCCAATAAAAGCAAACAAAATCCAACGCCTGTAATGCCCACCCCGTCAAGATTATCATACCCTCCCACATCCGTTAAAAAGAAATACAATTAGTTAAAAAAAGATTCAAATTGAAGCTCATCACCCCCGCCCCCCGCTATACGTCCTCGAAATCGACCTCCTCGTCACTATCCTCCTCTTTCACCACCTCCACCTTCTTCTCCGGCTCCTCAGTCTTGACCCTCTTTCCGAGGGGCTGCTCATCCTCCTCGCTCTCACCATTATTGGCGGGGGTGCCAGTGGCCGTGGCGGCATTGGTGGCGGGAGCGCTGACAATATCCAGGTCCTCAAACTCCTCGTCCTCGTCCTCGTCGCCGTCGTCGCTGTCGTCGTCTTCCAGCTCGTCGGCCTCCTCCTGCGCCTTCTGGGCGGCCAGGGCGGCGTAGTATTGTGCGATTGCTTGGTGATGTTAGTAGGTGTAGCTCACTGGGAGAAAAAGGGAGAAGTGGTGGGTTCCTACCATCGCCGCCACTACCTTCCTCTTGCACGTCCCGCTTCTCCTCCGCCTCCGCCTCCTTGCGCGCAAGGCCAATGCCGTCGCGCTCCCGCGCCGCCCGCTCCCCGGCCTCCTTGATCCCCGCGTTCGTGATCTGGCCGGGAATAACAGTGCTCTGCGTGTGCCACACCGGCAGCGCGTTCTTCTCCGCCTGCTGCTGTTTCCTGAGCTGCTCCGCGCGCAGTTCATCGGCGGTCTTCTCGCTGGAGCTAGTGATCGAGATCTCAATAGCCTGCTGCTGTGCGGGCCGTCCAGCGCCGCCCTTGCCACCATTAACGGGGACGAACTGGGCACTTGACAGCGAGTTCTTATCGCGGGGTACGGGGACGGAGTTGGCAATGGCGTTGTCAAAGTCGTTCAGTGGGATCTGCACAGTGTCGACTTCGCGGAGGAAGCGCTCGATCTTCTCGATCTGTCTATTCATACGCTGGATCTTCTCGTGGCCCAGCTTAGTTTCCGTCGACTCCTCGTCGTCGACGAGCGCGTTGCTGCATCGGTCGCACAGGAATAGCCCCGCCTCGTCGAATTCCAGCGTGACTGCGTCTAAAAGCGCGAACCGCTTGCTGCAGTGCGGACATACGTACCCTTTCGTCTCTGCCCCGTTGTTGACGCTGCGACGTACTAGTTCGGCGAGCTTGTACACCCGGTACTTGATCCCGTCGATCGTGCTGCGGAACTCGATGTAGTAGTACGTTCGGTTGACCGGTCGCTGCTGCCCATCTTTCTGTTCGGGGCGCGAGTGACTGCCCCAACACCCAACAACCAGAGTCAGCCGCATAGCTAGCACGGAGGAGAGGGAGGGACGGGGAGGGGGGAACGTACACGGCTAGCATACGGTCCTCCTTAAGCTTTCCGCACAGCTTGTGGACGTCTTTGGTCACGAGGCCGAGAAGCTTCGCCAGCTCGTCGTCGCGCAGCGCGTTGTGGACCATTAGCGCATCGAGAACGAGGATGTGGCGCGTGTCGTAGAACGCCCGGGCGACGGTCTTGACGAGGGATTTCGCTATGTCGAGGGACATCGTTGGTGTCGGCGTGGGGGGTGCAGGGTGGAGGGTGGAGGAGGATTGTAAATGGGGGAGATGGGGGAGGAGCGCTCTGGTAGGTGTTTTGAGTTGGACGTGAACGTGGAGAGCTGGAAGTCGATGTTTGAGGTGGAGGGGACGTGTAGAGTTGAGACACGCGCTTAAAGAGATGGCATCGAACTACTCTACAGAGCACACGTGTTCTGGCGATTGCTCAAACGTAGTCGCGCGAGAGTGAATCACACCTAGAGTGAATCAAGCCTCGAAGTGAATCAGAGCACGCTGAATCGCCCACCACCACCAAACTCAATCGAGATGAGAATTCTGTGCTATTCCTTAAGCCTCGAGTTCCGGCCCGCTTCCAAGTCCTAGCGCACTTCCGGTGCGATGCCAAAGAACTCAGGCTTAAGAACTTCCAAGTTTCACCACTTCCACCATTGATGCCGCAAAACCGCAAAGGCACCCCAGATTCATGGTTCTGAGAAAAGGCCGTATGTATGCACATGTAGAGACCACCCTCTAAGACTCTCCTCCTCAGCTTCCTCCCCAGCAACCGTTAAAACTATAAAACCACAAGGAAAGCTCAGTTCCTACCTACCGTGTTCCATCGTCGTGTGCAAGCATAACAATCATAGCAATCAACACCTACCTCCTACCGACCTACGTAGCACACAATTCTCATCTCTCGCCTCTCACCTCGACTGGCTTTGGTGGTGGTGGTGATAGTAATGGTAGTGGTAGTGGTGGCAGACGATTCATCACGCTCCGATTCACTTCCAGGCCTGCTTCACTTCCAGGCCTGCTTCACTTCCAGGCCTGCTTCACTTCCAGGCCTGCTTCACTTCCAGACTTGCTTCACTTCCAGGCCTGCTTCACTTCCAGACTTGCTTCACTTCCAGGCGTGATTCACTTCCAAGCTTGATTCACTTCCAGGCCTGCTTCACTTCCAGGCCTGCTTCACTTCCAGACTTGCTTCACTTCTACGTTACCACTCCCGAGTCTCCCGAGTCCCCCGAGTCCCGCGAGTCCCGCGAATCCGAGACAGCAGTGATCAAATCCTGTACAAAAATTCTAAATCGATGATAGAAAAAAAAACACTGAAACCCAAACAGAACAAGGAAATACCAAAGCAGCAGCAGCAGCAGCAGCAGTAGCAGGCAACAATATCAATATCAACATGGCAGGTAACTTAACAATCGCTAGATGATATTCTTCATAGATCCAAGAACGAAGAACGAAGACAGGCAAAATAATGAGCACAGAAAATGAACACAGAAAGAAAATGAAAAGAAAAAACGACCTAATAAAACGAAAACGAAAAACGAAAGCCTAGCACTAATAAAATGTACTCGTTTCAAACCCTTTATTTTTCTCTACTCGTCCGTCCGACCGGCCCCAGCTGTGATGCAGCATTCATGAACTCATAACAAAACTAGATAGATACACCGGTTAGCCAGCCATCACCATCACCATGCATACAGGTATCTATACACAGGCACATACCAAAATCGTTAAGCCTCCTCCTCCTCGACAAGGGTATTATCCGTAAGACTCTCGTTCGAGGCGTCGTCATCCATCGAAGCAATCGCCGCTGTCGCCGCTCGTGCGGCTGCCTGCGCACTCACGACGTCTGCCAGTCGTCGCAGCTTTGGTGTCTGGAGGTATGAAGGGCAGTATGTCTCGAGAGCACCGATATGCCGAGGCTCGGGAATCTCGTATGGACCACTGTCCTCCAGGTCGATGGCTTGGAGCAACAGTACGTCGTTGGTCTTCTCGGTAACTCGCGATGCTACCGCCTTCATGATCTCGCCGTTGATAGGCTGCTCATAGTCGGCGACGAGATATTGGTTCAGCAGCTTCTGGATTTGGTTGGGTGACAGCCTGTTTTTCTCATCAGTTTCGGTTCCAACTCCTATACCGCCCACACGCAGGGAATACTCACATCCAGCAGATATCCTGGATAATTTCGATATCGCTGAGAGTTGCCTTCTTGAGCTGAAGAAGCTTCGTCGCCTGCATGAGATGCTCGAGTTGCAAGATACCCTCGGGCATATCGTTACTCTTGCACCACTCCTCGATCCGGGTGATGTTGTAGTTGATCTGGAGACCACGCTTCCAAGACAAGAAGTTCCTCCGCAGCAAGAGATCGTTGAACGCGGTGACACCAACCAACTTAAGCAGCTCGGTGATAGCCTGCGTAACGATGCTGTCTTCCACGTAGTACGTTCTCATCGCCTTGTAGACCTTGTTGAGCAGACTCAACAGATCGTCCATGCTGAACTGGGGCTGAGAGTTCGTTTGCAACAGCTTGTTAAGGAATCGGTTACCATCGTTGGTGACGAAGCCGGGAAGAGACTGCGATTCGATGATGGCGGGGATGATCATCTTCTGCAGCTTCTTCTTGAGCACCTTCATCCACGTGTGGTAGATGTTGAACTCCAGAGACTCCAGATCGTGCTTAACAACCTCTAGCAATCGGTCATAGGCGAAATCGTCCTTCTTCTGGATCTCATACCAGTCCTCCGCGAGGAATACGAACGACAGCATCTCGTGCACATTCGACAGCCAGAAGGCACCGTGCGTGATGGCATCCTCGTCGTGGTTGATCATCACCTCGTGCTGGATGCTTTGCATGACGTTCGCCAGGAAGCGCTCAGATTCCTTGATGAAACCGTTGTTCCACATCTCCGACGTAACGACGTTGATGAGGAATGCCGGGAAGAGCACCTCCTTGTACTGAATCGGAGTCGTCGAGTTGAGCGCCGGTACCTTCAGATTCTTGATCAACCCAATGGCAACCTCATCGCTGAGGTTCTCATCGTCTTCCAAGATCCGGAGCAGTTCCTCCTGGCTATTCTCGGCCGTCGGCACGAACGCCTCGAATTCCCGGGCGCGCGTGGGCATACTGGTGGGCATCATGGACACCGGTCTAGTCTGGTACGACGACCGGTACATTCCATCCTGCTCCAGTCTGCGGGGAAGCTCCGCGCTTTGCCGCTTAGGCTTCTTGCTGGTGACAAAGTTGAGCAGACCGGTGGTGATTCCTCCGGACTTCTCGGGAACAGCCTCCTCCACCGGTGGGCCGGCGTGCTGTAGCTGGTCCTCGAGAGCCTGGATCTGCTGCCTCAGAGACAGCTTCTCCTCCTCGTGCATCTTGTCCCTGATCTTGAACTGATCGAGTTCGGATGTGCGCTGAGTGAGAGACTCCCGCAGCGACTTGCCCTCCTCCTGTAACCGCTTCATATTCGCGGTCGACTCATCGAACTGTTGCTGCAGCGCCTTCATCTCGTCGTCCATCTGCGCCAGCCTTGCGGCCGCGATACCAGCCTGGTTTGCCTCGAGTTGAAGCTCCTTGTTGCGGTTCTCCAAGTTGGCGTGCTTCATTCTCCAGCTCTTGACCTGGTTGTCGAAGCTCTCCACCTTGTCGACGAGAGCCTTGTTGTCCTTCTTCAGCATACCAACAGACTGGGTAAGCTCAATGACCTTGTTCTCCAGCTTGTAGGAAATCTGCTTGAGGTCACGGGCCTCTTCACGGATCTGCTTGTATTCCCGTCGAGCCATCTTACCCCGCCAGATACTCTGCAAATACACGACACGTTTCCGGTACTGTTGCCATGCGCGCAGGAACCGCCTAAACGGAGGGTTAGCATCACACTATTCCAAGACACCCGGTACCTCATACCTCGATCTCCATGCAGTCTGAATGTAGCGCGCAGCATTGCCAAGCACGCGATCGGTGATACTCTTACGGCAGAGGTATCCCTTTGCCGAAGCCTGCACCTTAATGACGCTGTTCCGGATGGTGTGGTAGTATTCGCGCTGCTTCGATCCGCGCCAGACTCTTTGAATGGTCGTGGCAGCCTTGACGATCCGCAGCTCTTGGGCACTTCTCCGGGCAAGGTAACCACGGGCATATGCCTGAGACTTGAGGATGGCCGCGCGAGCCTCCAGGTACTTGCGGCGGTAGAACTTCTTCTTCAGGTTCTTCTGGATCAAGATGGCACATTCGTTCAACCGGCTAGTTCGCAGGTTCTCCAAGACCGCCAACTACATCACGAATTAGCGACTGTCCTTAGTGAGTGGGTCCAGCCATGAAGACATACCATTCCGGCGCGGAAAAAGATCTTCGACATTCCCAACTGGTACTTGTCCTTTCCGTCCTTCTGGTTCTCCTGGGGATGACCCTCCGGAGGCACAGTCCGTTTCAGGATCTTGAGGCCAACATCCCTGATGGTTCCGGTCTTCAACTCGTCGGAGTGAATCAACATGTAGTATCGGCTCGCAAACTCCTCGTAGGTCCATCGGGTAGGGTATCCAGCGCAAGAGATCTTGACCGTCTCCAACACACCACAAGCCTGCAATTGACTGAGAACCATTGGTCCCTCGAACTTCCACGCCTCCTTGGCCTCGTTGGGCTTGATACAACGGATGTAGTGGACATTGGTGGATCCGATGGTGTTCATCAGCTCGATCAAAGAGTGCTTGAAGATACCTCCCAGCGTCGGCTTGCGGTTCGACTGCAGGGCCAGCTTACGGCCGGGAGGAGGAACGGCAGTCTTTGATGCCACACCAGTTTCCTGATCATCACCGTTAGTTGTTGGGTGACCACGAGTCGGGAGGGAGCAAGTAATACCTTGTCTCGAAGGGACGCCGATGCTTGGAGCACAGTGGTGAGGAAGGGGTTGGTCGAAGCCCTCAACAGCTCCAGGTGCTCATCTGGTACGGTATCCCTGTTCTTCTCCACGAAGCCTTCGGAGTCGTACGTGACGTCCACCGCATAATGGCACACGGTGAACGACGACTTTCCGAACCTCGGTTGCTGGTAGGGGAACTCCTTTCCTTTGGTGCCGAAGTGCTGGTGAAGCTTGGTGATCAGGGAGTCGTCGGAGCCGGCGGGCAGCCTGGACTCTTCGTCCAACAGAGACAGGATACCAAGCTTTCCCTCGATCAAATCGATACACGGTCTATTATCGGAAAACTCGATGTATTGCCAGTTAATCTGCTCGCGCGCATACTCCTCCTGCTCCAACTTGAAAACGTGCTGGTTGAACTCCTGTTGCAGCTTCTCGTTGGCATAGTTGATACAGAATTGCTCGAACGAATTGCGCTTGAAATGCTCGAAACCGTAGATATCCAAAACACCAATAAAAGACTGAACGTTTAACCGGACCTCTTCGGTAGCCAAGCTGTCGTTGATGATCTCGACGAGCCAGTCAAACAGCGACGAGTAAATGAACTTGGCGATCGAGTCACGCACAACGATGGCCTGCTTCTGGGAAAGCGGGGTGACCGTCTTCTCGTTACGCATGACAAGTTGCTTCTTGGTTGTCCACTTCGCAAACTCATCCGCCTGGACTCCCAAAAGCTCGGCGGCACGGACAAGGTTAGGCTCGTCGGAGCCGAGGACGGACCCGTTACGGACGGCACCAATCTCGCAGTTTCCAAGGTGCAAAAGCGCAGCCAGGACCTTCCAGATGAGCGCCTGGGTCTTCATCGTGACACCGATAGTCTGCAGCGAGTCTCTGGTGAGCTTGAACTCGGCCGCATCGTCCATGTTGGGGACATGGGGATCTCCGCCCTGGTTGGTAAAGTTGAACTCAGCCACAGGACGCAACCCAAGCTGGGTCCTCTCCTCATCTGTGGCTCCGGCGATCAATTGATAGAAGATATGATAGTTGCGCTCCGTCGCAGGCTGGAACACCAATCGGGCACGCTCGAGCAGGTAGGTTCTGATCTTGGCTCCGATGATGTCGATCTCCTTGTCGAACATGATCTCTATGTACTTTCCGAACCGCGAGGAGTTGTCATTACGGGTGGTCTTTGCGTTACCAAAAGCTTCCATGATGGGATTGGTCGCCAGAATCTGCTCTTCCGTCTTGCTCATGGCGGCGCCCTGGCCACCCTTCCGTCGCCTGCCAGGCCGGCTCGGATCCTCCACCGTAGCGAAGTACCTCATGATGTACTTGGCACTAACGGTCTTTCCGGCTCCGGACTCTCCAGACACGACGATGGTCTGGTTCTTCTGGTCACGCACCATCGCCTGGTAGGCGGTGTCTGCGATGGCGAACAGATGGGGATCTTGGTCCTCCTTCCGCTTGCCGGCATAGGCCTGGACAAGACCCGGGTCGTAGAGGAAGTCCATGCGATCGAAGGGATTGGTCGCAATGAGGACGATACCAGAGTACGTGTAGATTTCGCGTTTGGCATATCGAAGTTTGATAGCTTGAAGCACTGTATTTTGCGGAGAACGGAGCACGTCAGAAAAAAAAGCTCCAGCTAAACTAATGCGACGGGGGAGGTGACGAGAAGATTGAAAGCGGGAATGGGGGGAGGGTGTGGGGAAGTATTCGGGAGTTATGGATCGCAATACCGGCAGGTTCGTTCAAGTGGGATAAACTTGTCAAATCGTCCGAAGCCTCGAGCACAGGTGGATTCATCAACGGTGGCAGATTCTTATCCTCGGCATTGCCTTCCAGCACGGCCAACGTTGTGGACTTCTCTAATTTCTACGGCGACGAAGAGTGGTCAGCGCATTGTTCCCGGATAGCCCAATGCTGCAACTCTCCCCCCCCCCTCCCCCCACACTCCTAATAGCAATCATCATTCACGAACCTCGCCTGTCCTCGAACCGGAGGTGATCTCGAACACCAAAGTCGCCTTATCCCCGTCGACGCTCTTGGAGAGGACTTTGGATGAAACCCATCCGTCCGTCGGGTCCTGGACCCACGCCCCCGTCTCCACATTGTAGGTGTGTGCCATTACGGCAATCGCAAGAAGCTTAAGGTATTAATGTGTGTGTTGATGGAAGCAAGTAAAACAAGCAAGCTGCTATACGGCCGGCCGGAAACGAAAAAGGTGATTATAGAGCGCCTGTTGATAGTAACGTGTCCTTCCCGGGGGCCCGGTTTTTCTTCTGTGCCTCCAGTACTCGGCGGGGAATACAGATCGAATGAACGGCGAGTAGGTGAAGGTGGAGTTGATGGAGTCGATGCGAGCAGGCCTTTTTTTTTCTTTCGATTGGCAGTAAGGAGAGTGGGGATGTTGAACGGGGGGAGGATAGGTTAGTAGCTTGAGGGGTTGAGAAGGGGAAAAGATGCAGGCCGACCGAGTTGAAGGAAGCTGGGGAGAGAGGGAGGGAAAGGGAGAAGGTAGCGGGCGGACAGCGGAAGAAGATACTACAGCGGGTGCAGCGAAAGGAGGCTGGAACTAAGGTAGGAGGAGGTAGAGGTTGAGGAATTTAGGGTTAGTTCAAGGGACCACCAACGCTGCGCTCACTCTCTGGGCGTCTGGCGTTCTGTCTCGTGGAAGGGATCAAGGGTCGCTGTTGGGTGGCAGACTGTGGCGTGGTCGCCGTAGCCAGACCATAGTGCCCATCCGGTGCATTTATGCAGAGTTAACCAGCCACAGTCGCTCGAGCCCTCTCCTCGTCCGTCATCATATGTACCCAAAAGTCGACGATATATAGATGGCCGGATGCTAACTACTAGCAAGGTACGGCCCAGCTTGAGGCCAACAAAAAAAGGGGGTTCTAAACGGAAGGAACGGAGAAGAAGAAGAAGACGAAGAAGCAGCAGAAGAAGCAGAAGAAGCAGAAGAAGAAGCAGAAGCAGAAGAAGAAGCAGAAGAAGAAAGGAAGCGGCAACAGTTGCTTGCTTTTGCTTGCCCTCGAATCTCGGCGAGTGAAACATTCGTCAGGGCGTCTACATACCAACCTACATACGTTGGTACGGTACTGACACCTCAAGCGGAACCGAACCGAGCACAGCACAGCGCAGTACCGTAAACACGGCGCATGTATCCCCTCATGTTCTACAGTATTGTACATTTCATGCGGGCGACCGCCAGGAAGGAAGCACCAGGAGCCCCACAAGATATCCCCGGTTCCGTTCATCCACCACCACCGCTTCTCCTCTTGGGTGGTGGAGGTGGATGGCGGTGGAGGCGGTGGATGGTGGAGGTGCATGCAGAAGCCAGAAGCCAGAAGTCGGGATGCTTCCAACCCAACCCAACCCAACCCAACGTAACCTAACCAATCGGCTCTCCCTTCACTCCCTCCACTCCCCCTGTGGATCTGTGGCTAAGTCACTGCGCATCTCTCTCGCAAAGTGCAAAGTGCAACTCCTCAGCTCCTCAGCTCCTCAGCTCCTGAAGTTACCGAAAAGGAAAGGGAAAAAAAAGGATGGATGGATGGAAAATGGGTCGGAACCTCCCTCCCTCCCTTGGCGGACGAGCGAACGAACGCACTGGCCACGCCAGCGGCCAGCCACGCCACAGACAGGCCCACCAGTGACCAGTGCCAGCCCATCCCGACGATTAATAGTGCACACATCGCTCGTATTTCTTCCCAAGTTCCCAACCACAACCACAACAACATCCTCCATCATAAGGCATGCAGAGAAGGGAGAAGGGCATGAGAGCATGAGAGACGACGACATCGGCGGTTACCTGGAACCTCAGAGGAAACCCACAGAGATCGCTATGTTCCCCATATCTGCCCAATAAACCCGCATGGGCGTCTCCTCAAGCTTTTCCAGAATCTAGAATCCAGCTGACCCATGGATCCAGCCGATCCTAACTCCCGCCTATCCAAGTGACGTTGTGAGCCTGTCTCTGGCCTTGCTTATTCTGTGGTTGTTCTATTAAACCACCCGGGTACACGCCGGCCAGCCAGCCAGACAAGTAGATCGTTTTCACACCACACGCCGTGCATTTAAAACCCAATCGATTTCTTCTCTTCTCTTCGATCCTCTCATACAACAGCCGTGCTAGAACCCCCAGGTAACCCGTCGTAAAGAAAAAGCAAGAGCGGCGGAATGCAAAAGGAAAGAAGAGAGGAAAAAAAACAGAAATGTCACACATTGATGCAAAAGACGTGAAATGGACATGTGTAGTAGAGGGGGGATGAGCTTTGAGCACAATATGGGAGGGAAGAGCAGTTACAGTGGTCTGTCGCGGAGAGAAAAGGAGAGAAAAAAACACTACCTACCGCATCAGCAAGCAAAAGAAAAGCAGACAAGCAAGTGATGCGCACTGTGAAGAAAGAGGAGGAGGAGTTTTTATTACACGGTGTGCGAGAATGAATAAAGGGAAAACGATGTCACAATTGCGTTCATTAATAGCATCTCCGAACGTTTATACCGACGATCCGCCGACATCCGTCGTCCCAATCACAGACCCACTCATGTGCCAGAAACCCGATTCATTTTTTTATCAAGCTGCCATGACAAGTTGGAATGACAACACCAGCCGGAAAATGACAAGTATGATCGTTTAACTCTGCTTGCACTCAGCCGCCTCCTGCTTGGGTTTCGTGCCATCGTTCTGGTCATCGTTAGTATATTGGGTTTCTGGGTAGAATGCGGGATCACGTACGTCGTCATCGGACTCCTCCTCGTCGTCCTCTCTGTCGTCATCGCTGAGGTCCTCGTCATCGTCATCCTCGTCCTCGAAGTCGCCCTCCATGTCGGCACCCATTCCCTCGAACTGACGAGCCTCGCCAGTGAACCAGTCGATGGCACGGGGAATGAGCTTCTCCTTGATGTCCTCACCAAGCTGGTAGTCGAGCTCCAGGCGGTCCTCGATGTCCTCTTGGTCCTCATCATCCTCGTCGAAGTCAGTCGGGGGCTTCGGGGGAGTGAAGAAGTTGAAGAACGATTCTGTGGGCACGGTGCGCTTAACAACGCGGGTCTGCTTGGTGTCTGCGGTTGCGATCGAAAATTAGCTGTAGCTCCCGGTATGAGAATCGCGGAGACACCTACTCTTGTTGCGCTGCTTCTTGCTCTCAATTCGGACAGTCAAGTCCTTGCCATCCTTCCAGTTAATCTTGTCGCCCTCGGCGTGGTCGTAGATGAAGTCACCGCCGTAACCGTTCTCGTCCTGGTAGTAATACGTCTTGGTGATCTCCTTGTTAGAGAAGAACTCGTTCTCGGAAAACACAAAGTGCAACCTGAAGCCAGGGGTGTCGAGGTAGCTCAGTCGGATGTCGGTGAGGTGCTTAAGAGCAGCCTCGTCGCGCTCGGTGATGGTCTCGGCCAAAAGGGCGTTGTTCTTCATGGCAGACAGCCAGAACTCGGGCACACCGTTCATGGCTTCGGTCGGCTCCTCCTTGTTATCGTCCTTCTCGTCATCCTCATCCTCATCGTCCTGGTCCTCCTTACCAGCGACGACATCCTCTTCGGTAGGCTCCTCCTGGCCGTTCACGATCTTGGCACGCTTCTCGTAGAGGGGAGTGTACTTGGCGAAGTACTTCTTCTCGAGCTGGAGGACCTCCTCCTGGAATGCGGCCTCGAGCTTGGAGTGCTCCTTCTGCACACCTCGGAGACCAGCGATGCGGCGGCGCACGGGCGCAGGCAGGGACTCGATGTAACCGGACGAGCGACCAACTAGTTTACCGAGCTTTCCCTCAATCATGGAAACGAGCGCGGGGTTCGACGCAAAGATGGAAGCAGCGGTGGCGCGGTCGAGCTTCTCTATAATTGGAAGAGCAAGTTAGCAACCACCTCGAGGAGAAGACGCCCAGATATTTGCCGTAGCAGGTGGGGGTGTGGGGGATAGTTGACGGAATTCACAAACCTTCTTCGATGGTGGAGACATTAGGTTGCTGGGCGTGGGACGAGATAGGAGCGGCTGTGGAGGGTGTGTTTTGCGGGGTACTGGAGCAGCGATATCAGTACACATCCGACGACGCCGATAATGAGTGGTGTTTCGGTGGCGGCTCGAAGAGATGAGGGAGATACTCACGGTGCTCCGGCCAAATGGTCGACCTTCTTATTCTTAATGGGCTGCTCAGACATGGCGGGCAACTATCGCAAGTACTTTTTGATGTTTGGTGGGGGGAGGGAGGGAGGGGATAGTGGGGAGGGGGTGGATGTGTCGAGCAAGAGAGATGCTGGACAGATGGAGCGGGCGATGGAGGGGTGGTGGGGGAAGGGTTTGGCGGGTTTATGGGAGTGGGAGATGGCGATGTGTAGTGGTAGTGGAGGTAGAGCGCAAGAGAAGACGGGGAGCCGTGGAGGGGAGGAGTGAATTGTTCGCGGGCGGTTTTGGATTTTTGGCGGGGTTTCCTGCCAAGCCGTACAAAAAATTCAATTGTTGAGTGTGATTTTCCGAGAGGAGCTAGAAGCTACAAGAAGCTGGGAGCCACCACACACAGAAACACCACCACCACAACAACAGTCCGAGCTGGCACGCATCCGAGCGACAGAGAGCGACGGGGCGAGCGGCAACACAGACAAAGATGCGGCGCAGCGTGTGTGAGTGCGAGTCGAGAGTCGAGACTCGAGACTCGGGATTATGGCGATGAGGCTCTACTGGCGAGCAAAGCCTTGCCTAATTCTTTTTTTTTTCTTTGTGTCGTCTCTCGTTCTCGAGTCAGAAAAGAAGGAAAACCGTGCCCGTTGGCCGCCATCCGTCCTCTTGCAGTTCCCTAAGCCGGGAAGCTTCAAGCAACGCCGTCTCCCCCACGTTCGCGCCCTAACACCTCAACTAATGCGAGCTGGGGTCATGGATATCAATATACGTGCTCGAACACATGTATGTAGAGTAGAGGAGAGGCACCCTTGAGTACAGCGGGCAGGAATGGCCCAATTCCTCTCACATAGGCACTGTTCCTCTGCTCGCATAGCTGTCCCTTCTCTCGTCGGCATCTCCAGAGCAGAGGAGACCTCACTGCAAGGCGGCGGCGAAATGACGAGATGGGTACATAGAGTAGAGAAATCGCAGAGCTCGCAGAGCTCGCAGGAAGGAATTCGGACCGTTCCTTGCTGCTGGATGGATTGCTACTGGCGTGTTTCCGACAAACCACACCTGCATAACGGATCAAGATACTGTTGCTTCCAGATTCTGCAGATGCCGTTGCTTGCTGCAGAGATGTTTGGGGAAAGCGGCCAGCGAACCTTCCACTGTCGGGGGGTCGAGCGAGCTGCCAGTGTGATTGGTCGCCACCCCGCGATGCGAAACAAAAAAAAAACAGCTCCCCCCCTCCCCTCCCCGACTCGCAACCTGGAAATATGATACTGTACATAGCTCTCTGTCCTGCATCCATCTGAGATAGACAAAACGTGCAATTGTGATATGGGTGTCAATCAACACGCACCAAGGCCGGAAATAAGTGATTCCATCCGATACGAAAGCTGTTGGGACAGACAGATACATGTACATGTGCAATACACCGAGTCGTCGACGAGCTTCATCACAGGCTCGGACTTCTTTGTCGCCGACGGGACGATGATAAGCGTGCGCGCATTGCTGGCCTGGCCTGTCCTGTCTTGTGCTTGCTGCCGAATGATAGTTGACGCATCTATCAGTTGCTATTGGGGGGGGGCAGCATTAACCGCGCAGAAACCAGCGGTGCCGCCGGTCGTCCGCCGGCAAAGGCAACTCAACGACATGATACATCTAACCAAATGCAAGCGAAGCTTTGCACTGGGCTTCTACCGGTAGACCAGATGGAGCCACCGGTTTGTTGGGTTCGGCAGTTGGTCTTATGGGGTTTGAGACCAGAGTTGCTCTATGTATGTAGGGGATTGCATGTATGTATGATATGTACGCATAGTGATTACTGACGAGGCCATGTATCATGTACCTGTGCGGGTGATAGCCGGTGATGCACTGTGATTGCTGGCCACGGAATGGTCGTGTTTAGCTGCATAAGTAACATCGGGATTGTATCAACCGGCGATGAGCCGAGACACCGGAGAATACTCATTGAGGTATTATGCAACTCTACATCTAAATTGATCCCGTTGGTGGAATCGGTCATTGCAGCTCCGGCGTGATTTGGATTGAAGCACCCGCTGGCGCGATATCGAGTTTACTGGACCCAACGACGGTAAGTTTTTCTCCTGTATACCGAGTCATCCCCGAATTTGAGTTAGACTTTCGTAGTGCATATGTGCGGGGCGGTTCAAGCTTCGTGGCAGGATTGCAATCCACCACCGGCAAGACCGGGGTGGGTGGGTGGGGGGCTCAGACCCATCGACCATAATACATACTCGGAACCCGTATTCTAGGATGCGGGACACGCGGGACGGTGTGTTCCGATCCACTCGGGCAACTCAATCCCTCCGCCCTCCGGAGTCCGTTGTGGCGAAGATGTGCACCTTGTACCAGGAAGGAACAGAGTACCTAGATTGACGCCTCCTCGGGCCTCGGCTTTGTGCACCTTTGGGCTTGAGTTTGAGATGGCTTTGCTTACGTATCTACAGTTTGGCCTTTTGCTTCCGTTGACTCGGATTGTGATGAAGGCGGGTTGTGTCCTCGGGTAGTGAGTGAGTCCCGGGTCTGGATTGACCCACAAGGTGCTTACTCGGAATCTCGGATAGCCGGAGCGGACCATGTCCAGAAAGCCGAACGTCTGCCGGCGCCGTTTATCGGAGATGGGAGATGTATGCATAACATAGTAGACCGACATAGTGATAATGTGTGCAAATGCCTGGTACGGTCTCCCACTGTTCATGAATAACCTCACCAGCACCTGCCACCTACTGCCACTTCTATTAACAGCTGTTTCGGACTCGTATACCGTAGTTAGTTGCTTCCTAAATTCTCCCCGTACGTCCACTTCGCAATCACGTGAAAAGCGAGTGAGAGCTATGACGGAGGTTATGGAGGCGTTCATCTCATTTGAATACCAGCCATGAAATGCAACCCAACGAGCGAGCTACATTAAAGATGGAACAACTGCCTCAGAAAGCAAAGGCAGGGTAGATGCTCGGGCCAGGTTCTCCCTCACAGGCACCCTCTCTTGCCCAGCGCTCGAGCCTGCCCAGCTAACCTTTGGGCCATGGATAAACATATCAACACTAAACACCAAACTCCTTGGTTACCTCGTAGGCTTCACGAACAAGAGCCTAGTAGGCGCTGTATAAACATCTCACATGCGTACATCTAGGCCACCAGTTCACCATGAAGTGCTTCTTCAATCCAGTCCTTCTCCTCCGCCCCGAATGACTGCTCGAGGCGTCACCCACCCGTGTAGAGTATTTTCATCGTCAAGAGGTGCTTGCTAATCCACAACTGTAGGCTGCGCTACGGAGGCGAGTTCGAGTGATCTGTGAAGGTATTCGACGATGGTTAGCTCACAGTGTACGGGACATGCGTGCAACGGCTGGAGAACCTTCTTGCCGCTTTCCCGAGTGCGCCATTCGAGAGGTCTCGGTTCTCAAGGCTCAGAGATCATGGCCCTATTCAAAATGTCCCGTCAGCCTCGGACGTCCTTTGTTATCTCTATCTGCACAGAAAGTTTTTCCAGAGGGACAACGACATGCTTTTTTCTTCTCTTTCGAGGATATACGGAAAATGTGCAGCGAACGACCTAAAAGATCAAGAGGGTTGATCCACAAATAATGAGAGACAACAAGCCACTGGGGCTGAGATCGCTGTACTGTAATAGTTGTTGGTATGAAGTGGAGCTGTTGTCGTGGTGAGGATGCACCCTGCTGCCTACTTTCACAACCCTTTGCTTTTGCTTTTTCCCTTCCAACCTTGTTTACTGAGCACGTCCCCCTCTCTGCCGCGTCCTTACTCCGCTTCTATCGAACCTGCGCATTTTCCTTCCATCGGCTGGGACAACAGAGATCGGAGCCGTGACCAAGTGCCCAAGTGTCTCTCTTCTCTATTGATAGCTTCCTCGTCGTTGCCGCTGTTGAAATGTTCTCTCCACTGCCAATTGCGGGCTTTTGGACCACAAGCATTATGCACATCACATACATGATACGGTACTGACTGGACAACCAAGCTCCGCTTCCACCTCAGCTCGAATGCGGCTCGAGGGATTGCTACCCCAGACTCGGATACTGATGCGGAGTTGCATAAGACCCATAGGAGAGGTCACAAAGTAGGCAGCAGTGATCGTTTTCTGTGTGAGTGGGGCTGCTGGGGGGATGGGGCTGCAATGAGCTGCTTTTGGCTGCTTTTGTGTAGATGTGACTACTGTCGATGTTCAGCCCGTGGAGGTACATGTTTTGCGGTGGAGGGGGGGAACTACATAAGTTCTCGCGGATGGGCAGTGCTCCTCTTCCGCTCCCCACCAGGTCCGTCTTCGCAAACGCCCTCGAGTCACTAAACTCTACGGCAACTCCATTCCATCAACACGAACTCCCTCAATCTCTCCATGCCGCAACTCGGCGATCTTCCCGATGAGCTCCAACTCGCAATCATCAAGTGTCTCCGGTCCCGCCGCAAGCAATCCCCAAAACATCACGCATTGGTCTCGCTGGCCGGGACCAATCGAAGGTTCTACCACCTGACGAGGCCCTATGCGGATCCGGAGATCACCCTCGAGGAATCTGATTTCCACGACTATTTGGTCCATCTTGCCGGGGCGACCAATCTTAATACCTTGACGATCAAGGCAAGACTGCCTCGACGCGATGAAGATCTCCAGACACTCGATGACGCCTGCAGTGTATTCGCCTCGGTGCCGAATGTCGAGGTGATGTATCTGAAACTGGTGGTAAAACGCCAGTTCGACTGGTATCGACCTCAAAACCCCGATCCGTTGTTTACCTACGACTTTCTGGCGCAGCACTTCCAGCGGCTGGAGACCCTCGAGCTGCGCCAGGACGAGAAAAACACGAACATGGTCGTCGAGTTTTCACACGCCATTCCGCTGCTGGCACTACCGCGGCTTTCGGCCGTAACTCTCAAGCTCGTCGGCGGGGGCAAGCCCAAAGATGTTGACGAGCTGGTTTCCCAACTCGGCGGTCGGCCGAGCAACGTCCGCAGCCTCACGACGGGTCCTTCGAACCTGAGCGGCGAACTCCTCCGCGATCTCTTTTCGCGCGCGCTCACCCAGCTCGAACATCTGGACCTGGATCACCTAGAAGGCGTGTTCGTGGGCTCGTACTATAATGAGCAGATGAGAATCGGCCCCGCGCTGATGAGCGTCAAGGCGATGAAGCGGATCAAAATCTCGTACGCGATGAACAACATCGTGCCGCATAGGTGGCTCCAATCTAACGAGATCTCGTCCCTCGCCGACCACACGCTGCTGGAGTCGCTCACCATCCAGCCCGTCCTGCTGTACGGCGTGGAAATCGACGCCCACAGTCCGGACCTGTCCCAACTTCTGCCACCGGGCCTCAAGCATCTCGATTTCTGCCGGACTGCGGGAGTAAGCGGTAACTTCATCCTGGGGATTTACCGCAAACTGGTCGAGTTTGTCCAGTTGCGAGGTGTCGCTGCGGCAGGTGGCGCGTTGCTGTCGCTGCACGTCACTTTTGAGCTGGACTGGTCATTGGATCTTATTCAGGTGGCCGCAAAACGGGAACTCGCCGACACTTGCGAGCAATTTCAGGTCGAATTTCGTGATCATTCAAAACCTTTACATTGCTACACTTATGAGGCACAGTCTTGACGAGTGATTTGGGAATGGGACTTAAAACTGGGAGCAGATGAGGATGGGGAGAGGCTGCTGTTTTTGCGTTTGTTCGAAGGGCCAGGGGCGCGAGGGGGGGTGGGTTGCTGTGAACGATATCATGAGTTTTGTTGGCATCGTTTGTGCTTTATCGCAGTCTGCAGATATATATATGGGTGTGAGAGCTGGAAGCTTTTTGTTTTGGGTGCCTACATAGGTCTTCACTCGATAAGGTATATACAGCAGTACATTAGGTGCCTCTTCCTCGTCCGCTTAGAACATGCTATCACTAGAGTAGAGTAGATATATTTTGCCTCTCCCCTATGACTGGTTTCATACGAAGCTAAAATCTGAAGAACTCCCCCCACCTCCAGGTCTCAGGATACCTCCACCCAGCGTCATAATCCTCCAACCTCAACTCCTCCATTGACTTGCCACGATGTCTTTCGGAAGCACATATATTATGGTACAAATGCTCCTGGTCAATACCACCCTCCCAAACTGTCATAAGATGGCCAGTGAAAAGAACGTCTGTTACCGGTCCGGCGTTAATGTTGGTCTTTGGTTGAAAAGTGAGTGGTGGAATAGTAACGATCGGCCCGCGGGATAAGCTACCAGTGACGGCTGTATTGGGCCATGTGGGAGCAGCCGTAGAAGCTGGAGGTGGTGTTGGTGCTGGTGGTGTTGGTGACGGTGGAACATGACATGTCGAAGCTGTTAATAGTGGCGCGGAAGCCGGTGGTGTTTCTGTAGCTGTTCCAGCGCTAATCGTGGTCGTGGCGAAGAGGCTGGAGGATATCGGTTTGAAAAAATAAGACACACCGTCAAGGCTGTTGGGTAGGGCCGTAGTGGTGCTCGAAGCCGAGGGTTGGTGATCCGAAACCAGCGAGCTCCCGCTCCCGCTCGCGGGATGAGCTAAGGGTGGGGATGGTGTGGGAGCTCGTACTGTCACCAGGGATTTACTCATTGCACTTGTGATCGCACTCATTGCTTCCGTGGTGGTGGGAGACGCGGGCGTTGTTTGAAGCTCGGGAGATGCACTACCCGCAGGCCGGCTGATGGGGTCTGTTGGTGAAATATTTGAAGCCGAGGGCTGTGGACTCGAAAGCAACTCCAGCCCATCCTCCAACAGCCCTCCCAGCTCCTCCACCTCCATTCTCAGTTCATCCCACTGCCTACTCTGAGCCGCAACCCTCTCTATGAGCGCCGCAACACGTCGTCCGAGCGCTCTCTTGTCTGCGCGTAAGCGGCGGTTCTCGGCCTCTAGCGCCTGAAATCTTGTCGGTAGGCCGGAGGTGTGAGGTTCTTCGTCGTCCGAGGAGGGCGGGGAGGTGTGCCAGGGGTTATCGTAGACACCGGGGGTTGCCATTTCGACCGTGCGTGGAAGTCGCTGTGGAGTGCAAAGAGTGGGGTTGTGGAAATCCGAGGTGACGCGGGGATGGGCATCCCATGCCCATCGCGCCTACTCATGGTGGTACGACAACGAGTAGCGATTCAGTCGTGTTCGCCGTAACGGTTTTAAGCACACACACTCCGTTTACTGACCCACGTCGGGCCGGGCACCTGCGGTGCATGTCGTGAAGGAAGCTGTCCTGCTAGGTATCAGCCATGATCTACCACGGTCGAATGCTACATATGATGATTCAACAAACAAAATCCATTTCCTGACCCCGCTGGACACCGAAGGTCCCGGACCGACAGGGGTTTCCACTCTCCCCCATTATCCGCCGGCGTGTACTAGTAGACGACAAAAGCACGCAGAAGCAACACAAAAACAAATCACTCATTATCCGAAACATGCCCGCCACGGAAAATGGTTTCCCTTGACTGCCCAAAGAATAGGGGAACATCTGGGACCCCCGAGACAGCAAGTGATAATTCAGAAACGAGTACAGATGGCCATTCGGGGGGATGGATCTGACTTCGTACTCGGAGGTGCCGCGGCAAATTTTAGGACAGTGACCGGCTACATGAGGGGGAACAACCTGGCAGCGGGAAGTAGAAAAAAGATAGAGTTGAAAATTAGGGAGAGATTCAAGCCGGCATGGAATCACAATGTGTGCTTGCAGGTAGTTGAATGAGGCAAGTTCAGGAGGGCGTCTAGCAGTGTACCATGAGGGTGTATGGACTGAGATAAGTACTCACTTGTGTATGATACTCTCTACTCCAGTGTTTTCAGATATACCCATAGTGCTGCCAATGTATTCGTCGAGAGAGAGATCTTCCTGTTTTATTTCGCATGCAGCCTATCTAGACTATGGCGAAAGAATGTATTCGTTGAAAATGCGTCTCGTCTAAGCGGATAGCTGATATCGAGTGATAAATCGATATGCTAAAGCCTATCAACTAGCATCCCGACTTACAAGGCCCAGTTTGGTTCGCAGCTGCGGTTTGAATCTACCACCCAAAAAGTGAGCTGCAGTTTCGAACCGTCAACTTGCCCGAACGAGTGCCTGTTTGGCACACCACCCCAATTTGACAACTCGAGAAACTGCAGATTGTCGACTGAGCCACAGTAAGTAAAAATAAACTCTATGGACAACCACCAGTAGTACATGCCAGTATCGCCCACGTAGGCAACCCCACCGTAGTCAATCTCACCATAGTCAACCCCACCATAGTCCCTCTTCATTACGCCTACGATGTCCGACACCGGCCACGTTCTACGGTTCCTCCGTTGTGACTGTGGATAGGGGGAGTCACTTGCTCGTACGGCGCAGAGGAGGAGCCGCCATTGTGAGACGGGAGGGGGAATTTCCCAAGTGACCGGAAGGGCCACCTCGTCGCTGTAAAAAGCTAGTTATGGTTTTCTGACGTAGCCCCGAAGTGAAAAGAAAAAGAAAAAAGTACAAGTGTGGCGTGCTGTCGAATATCTGGGTTGCCGAACGGTCATCAGGGGAGTTGAGAGTTTGGAACTGCAGCTTGGCCAACCTTCAACTCGTTAAACTGCAGATTTCTAAACTGCAGCTGCGAATCAAACTGGGCCTAAGTTATGTAGCCTTGTGCTCGTAAAAGTGGGATTGCGGTATTGTGAACCTCGACGATTAGCGATATTCACTGCTCGTGGACGGAGAGTTCGTTTATCCGTCTCATTCTATCGGAGTCGGAAAGTGAGATACCTAGTAGAGTACCGTAGTGCAGCGCCGAGTCGAGCTCCGGGTAGGTTCGGTCTATCACTGTTCCCGAATCGAGAGAAACGCTCAAGACAGCCTCCGTGGTGACATTCCAGCAATTGCCAACACAAGTCCGCACAGCGTCCGGAAAATTATGCCATAGCTTTTGACACCCCCATAGACGGTCCCGCCTCTCGGCAAAGCCAAAAAACCCCTCAACGGCCATGCCGATGCTCTTCCGGTCACTCGCACACTTGTTCCGGTGCTGTATCGGTAACCCTGTTGCCAAGCCCTCCTGCCATCGTAACGTCCTGAAAATCAACCGCACCTTCTTCCCCACAATCTCGAACTGTCACCCAAACTGCACTCTATAGCCACAACATGCTCGCCCTGAAACGTATCTCCTCCTCCGCTGGCGGCGCCGGTCTGCGCAGCTACTCTTCGTCGGGATACGCATCTACCGCGAAGAACCTGAAGATCAACTCCAACACCAAGGTCATATATCAAGGTTTGTCCGTCTATCGGTCCCGCTTGCCGGAACCTTCGCGATGCTGCGAGAGAAGGAGACGAACCTTTACTGAGACATCTATGACCTACAGGATTCACCGGAAAGCAGGGATCGTACGTATATCGCCGCATTCACAAGAACGAGAGCACCCACCGAGACGAGACGCAGGGGGAAGAGGGAGGACCGAGGCTGATGGGAATGGCCACATAGCTTTCACGCACAGCAGGCGATCGAGTATGGCACCAAGGTTGTCGGCGGTATCAACCCCAGAAAGGCTGGAACCATGCACCTCGACCGGCCCGTGTTCGGAACCGTCGCTGAGGCGGTGAGGGAGACCGGAGGTATGTCCTGGTGCCCCACCACCACCCCGCATGCGAGTGCGAACTGATTTGAGCTTTGCAACAGCCGATGCCAGGTATGGAATACACACTACACTATTCTCGCCGAGTATACGATGCGTAGGACGCTGACGCGAATTGAATCACAGTGCTATCTTCGTTCCCCCGTCGCTCGCTGCGGCATCAATAGAAGAGGCCATCGCCGCCGAGATTCCTCTGGTCGTTGCCATCACCGAGGGTATCCCGCAGCACGACATGGTCCGCGTCGTTGACATCCTCAAGACTCAGAGCAAGACCCGGTAGCTACGCACCCGCTTGGCTCACTCCTGTCTACAATTTAATTGACAACTCATCGAATAGTCTTGTCGGCCCCAACTGCCCCGGAATCATTGTATGCCTACCCCCCTCACGCGCTCGCCTCCATGTTTCGCGCTCATATCTAACACGATTTTCGTCCAGTCTCCAGGCCAGTGCAAGATCGGTATCATGCCCGGCATCATCCACAAGCGCGGCCGCATCGGTATCGTCTCGCGGTCCGGAACCCTCACCTACGAGGCCGTGAACCAGACCACCCAGGTCGGATTGGGCCAGAGTCTCGTCATCGGGTATATTCCCGCAGCTTTCTCCCCTCCACACCCTCACCGACTAACACACCTACTAGAATCGGCGGTGACCCCTTCGCCGGCACCAACTTCATCGACGCGCTCACCGTATTCCTCGAGGACGAGGAGACCGACGGCATCATCATGATCGGCGAGATCGGAGGATCCGCGGAAGAGGACGCGGCCGACTTCCTGAAGCAGTACAACACCAAGGGCAAGCCGATCGTCAGCTTCATTGCCGGAATCTCGGCGCCCCCTGGGCGTCGCATGGGCCACGCCGGAGCCATCATCTCGGGAGGCAAGGGTGGCGCCGAGAGCAAGATCGCCGCGCTGGAGGCTGCTGGCGCTGTCGTCGAGAGGAGTCCTGCTGCCCTCGGAAAGACGCTGTACAACGAGTTTGTTAGACGGGATTTGTTGTAGACGCTTAGGCGGCGATGGTGTAATGAGGTGGTGGTGGTGGCGTGAGAAACGGAGTACATAGAATGGCTGCGCGACTTGGACTTGTGGTGGGCCAAAACATATCCGGCGGCGGCGTATGGTCGGTGGGATGGGGATTGTGCATCGATGTTGAGTGTAATTCCCGTGTCATTATATCCTTGCTTTTGTGCTTTTCCCTATGGTTTCACGCGCGGAAGCAATTGTCAAGCAGTAAATACCGCCTCAGAGGTAATCATTAGAACCCATGAAAGAAGAAGTAGCCAACGACGATGCCACCTAACCAACCAGCGGTAAGTCATGAATGTTCCGCGCGCGGAAGCAATCGTTAAGCATAGATACCGCCTCAGAGATAATCATTACAACCCATGAAAGAAGCAATAGCCAACAAAAACCTAGCTAATCAGCCAGCGGCAAGTTAGAAATGTCGCCCGCACATATAGCTCAAGATAACGCAAAGAAATGCGGTATCAATTAATCGTACAAACCTATGCCATCGCCATTCTCTCCACGCCCATCACTAATCTACACTAACCGCCCTTTCTCTCCACCACCGCCGGTTGAACGGTATTCTCCACATGTTCCACATCTATCATATCCTCGTCAACATCGTTGGGGGAAAGCTCTCCATCGATAATATTGTGCAGGTGAAACGCCTTCGCAACCGGCGAGACGACGCCATTTCTTTCCATCATCTCCGGCGGAGTATGGCTGTTGTCCGAGGAAACAGGCGTATTGACGTCGAGAGTCGTGGTGCTGCTGCCGACGGAGCGAAGGGAGCGGACGGAACGTTTCGGAGACACGTCGCCGAACATTTCCTCGTCGTCTTCCACGCGGCGCTTCCTCTCTGGGCTCGGAATGAGTTCTTCGTCTGCTGGAGATTCGTGAGGGTTCAACTCGGTGGCAAAGGCGGCATTGTCGTTGTCCACGAAGGTCTATATAAAGTAAGTAAGAAACTATTACGGTAATTAATGAGGGGAAGGAGGTAGGTGCCTGCAAGGGTTCGGGCAGTGGCAGGTTCCCGCTTTCGAACGCTTCTTCATTTGCGTATACGAGGAGGACACAATCACCCATGGTTTTCGCGGTATTCAATACTTCTTCTTCCGTGACTTTGGTGGTCCTGTAGGTGCCGGGCGGTGTACTCTCGTCCCACACAGAGTTATATTTTCCGGTGCTGTTGTCCCAGTTGTTGGTTGCGTTACTACTGCTGCTTGCTACGGCAAATTCGCAACGCCACCACTCCTCGCGAGCTCTGGATGTCTCCAGCTGGGGATCACTGTCTCGCAAGAGAATGTACGTCGTGCTAGGATCAGTACATACACCACGGAGAGAGTATTTTGTGTAAGGCGGCAAGTCATTTGGCCTCGGGTCGTCAGGAGCCGTGAACAATTGTTTGAGCCTCTTTAACTCTTCTTGAGCTTCCTCCTTTTGACGTTCGAAGCCTAAACCATTAGTGTGGAATTTCCCATTGACAGATGAAGTACTTACTCGCCACAATCTGTTCCAACTTCCGCAACATTTCCTTGAGAAGTGGTGTCGCGTCCACCATCTCGGGCTGCGAGTCCATCGAGATATCGTCGTCAGAGCTCCCCTTCAGTGGTTTCGCGAAATGGTTGATAGCGCTCTCAAGGAGTGTCTTGGGGCTGTATTCCTTGCCATTCCTGGATCGGAAGCACTTGAGGCTCTCCTCTCTTGCTTCGATTGTGTATATTTTAGACTTCTGAGTCGCAATCTGCTCCTTGAGTAATTTGGCGGTCTCTAACCAAGGCTTCGAGTATCGGTCGGGGTAAAGCACCGAGGGTATGTCGAGTCCTATGCCTTGGATGTTGCCGGACTCGGTGCGAATCTGGGCGAGAAATACGTCGGCAAACTCTACATACACGAGATCTTCGTCGGACCATATTGTGTTGTCCAGCGCGCAATAGAGGCTCCTGTCACCTGGTTGTGCAGTCATTTCCAAGATGGTAAATTCCTGTTCCCTGTCTTCCCCGGTGGGCTGTATTTGATGCGCATTGGACCTGAAGACTGTGGGATAGTCCTTGGCTTCGTACAAGTTCTCTAAACAACGATTCCAACCCCTAAAAAAGGTCGCTATGGCGGCTGATGAGGAATTAGCAGGTGGACTCTTCACTTCTAGTCTCGAGGAGAGCATACAAGTCGACTCTTGTTCCTGTACTCGTGGCATGGCTGATAGGACGTCGATAGAGGCGTAAGCACGATCCGTGCTATCCAGAAATGCCATCAGGCGCTGAATCTCAGCAATTTCGTCTTCAGCTTCACAATAGCTCGGCTCATATCCGTCGACGTTTATGAACCGTGAGGTTTCTATTTTCTCGCCGCTCCACCAATCTGGCTGGTGTCGATAGTTTTGTAAAACGTGGGGTCTCGAGAGGAAGGCTTCCCTAGCTTTAGGAATGTAATGCAGGATCGTAAGGGCGTTGGCCAGATTATAACTGGTGGTCGAAGGTTTCAGGAACGCGGGACAGCCTGGCTGGCGCTTCCTCTCATGTGGCGGCAACTCTCGTGGAACTTCCTTCGTTACAGTGGTCGTGAGCGCCCACTGGCTTGGTACGTACTCCTTATTCTCTTGGGCGGGCATGAAGTTGGGGTTGACGGGTGAAGTATGTGTGCCGGTAACTCCCATCTCCTGTGACTGGTAAGGGTGTGACCCGTGAACATCTTGCAGCGAAGCTTCCAGCGCCTGCGCCAGTTCCGGATCATCGCCGGCAGGGTCTCCATTGCAGCCAAATAGCGGCGTTGGAGGTCTCGACTTGGCTCCATTCCCGAAGACGTCTGGTGACAGAACGTCATTCCCTTGAACCTGGAAATCTAGGCAAATCAACCAGTGAACATCAAGAGCACTCCCAGGTGCAGGGTAGCTTACGGGAAGAGGTGTAATTATTTTGGTAGCTCCGTACACCTGTACTGGACGATCCTCCTTCCCGCGATTGCTCGAACAGCGATCCATCCCATTGTCTCGCATCTCTGTCCTGTGGAGCTCGCGTCGTATTTAGCGGCGGCGGCGCAGACCGAGTCGAGGTCGGAGCTGTTTACCTTTTGAAGACCGCCATTCCAGTAATATTCGGCCGCAGAATCCGCATCGTTGTTGTGCATCTGAAGGTGAAAGTTATGAGTAAGGTTGCCCTGGCGCTGCGGGTCAAGAACTTACCTTCAAGCACTCTTCGGCATCTTCCCGGCTGATGCCCAAAGCCATCACTTGCTCCAGCGGCACCAGAGGAGTCTCGGGGACGTCAGGCATTTTGGGCAATGCGGTGTGTCGTCAGGGAATTCGGCGCGGTGTGTGTGTGAGCTTGAGGGTTGGTATTCACGCGGTCAACGGCAGGTAGTGGTGGTGGTGGGGTGGAGTGGAGGTAGAACAATGATCATTGGAGCTAGACCGGGGTTGGTGAACACTGAGCTCAGGCCCATTTTCAAGGGTGTCTTGGCGCTAGTTACAACTTTGAACGACGGACGAGTGATGTGATTGACTAAATCGCAACGAGAGATACCGGATTACTGTGAAGTACGAGGCGTGACGGTAAAGTACCTTGTAAAGGTGTAATCTTGGCTGTAACGTTACTTGCCACATTATGTGACGATACATGACATGACTATCATATTACCGCTGGTATCCCTAATCGTAACTATTCCCACGCGGTTCGAATGCTGGAACTGAAGATAAGGTCACTGGGATGCCGAGAAAGAAGTTAAATCGACACAACTAACACATTTGAGCCTGCTCGTGGCGGTGAGATACTTTGTAATGACGGAGAGAAGCTGTCTTCGAGAACGACCAATCACCCTCCTTAGGACTCGAACTTAACTACGAGTCGTCCAAAGCCGTATGCATAGCTACCGACGGAAGTCTCGACACCAGCAGTGGTCGGATAAATCACTCGGTCACATGATATCACATGGATTCCGTCATTCTGTTCTCGTTCTGAGAGATGTAGTATCATGTCATATGGGCTTTTTAGCTGCACCCCAGCAGCAGGTGGTTGCACTCGTACTCGCGAGTCGCAACATGCGAGCGCTCGCTCGGCTTTGACAGCTGGGGTGCCCGGTGCCAAGCCGCCGGTAGATTACCGAGGACTCTAGCGTGGCAGCATCACCAAACCTTCTTGCCATCGCCTGCGACTACATCACCACGAACCATCGTCGAACGAGTTGCACTGCTGCTCTCGCCGCACAACACAATTATGGGAACAATTAATATCGCTACCAAGGCCGTTGAAAGAATTGAGAATGTGTCGCATAGCTGCATGATCGGCGCCTAGACGAAGTAAATCCGCACGTCAAACACTATTCCTCTCGCCCGTACACTGTGCTCACGAAAAGCTTGCAGATATCTTCTATGGCGCCGCGGGTCTATATCAGGCGTGGAATAAATGCGCAGGTCGGGCACCTCGAAGCGGCCGGGCTACAGCCCGCTGCTCGTACGCGTCCGAGCGCCCGAGACCCCCTCGCAGGGCCAAAAAGAATTATGGCCATCAAATATTCCGCGTCTCAGCCTTCGCGGATGTCGTGAATTTGCTGCAGCGTATCGGGTTTGCTATCGGAACGTATCATTGCGGCGTCGGCGGAAACTTCCGCTTAGTCTCAACCCCGAATTCTGCAAAAAATCAGTCGGCAATCAGCGTGGGGAATCATGAGTTCGTCAGATCAGATCGGGGTCCCGTTTCCTGCCGCGATGCCGAGACGAACTCTGTCGTTTCCGAGAGGCAGCAGATTCCCAGTTCTCAGCGAACCTACACAAGCCTGACCACGGTTGGCCACCATATCTAAATGCCCGATATCAAGTTCATCATATTATTTGGACGCTATCTGACTGCTCGAGAACTGGGGAGTTGTTGCGGTGTTGCTCTTCAGCGGGCGTTGGTCCGCTGGTCGCGGTTGCAGGTTCACGAAGAGCGCGGGATGGTGGCGTTCCGACTGGAAAATCGGGTCTGGGGTCAAAATTTATGTGTGGAATCACAGTTTTGCGGTCCTTCGCCTTGTTGGTTGTTGAAAGTAAGTTGATTGTTGCGAGGTTGCTCCGGATCGCCATCAATTTTCGACTCGGCCTTCACGGCTGCATTTTGGATCAGGCTCGGGGATGCCGATGACGGGGTTGAGGCTGTGGGCTTTGTTGGCGACGTGGTTGTGGGCTGGGGGTCGTAACAGCAGCAGCACCAGCAAGCTGAGGATCTCCAGCATCGGCACCCGCAGGGACCCCTCGAAAAGTGACAGCACCATTCAAATCAGATATCGCTTTCTACTCCATATCTCTGCTGCTGCTGCTGGTCGTCTGTTAGGATAGGATAATGAAATGACTGTTTCTATGTGACTGTGTGCGTGACTTTTTGTATTGAGCCTCGTTGGTTGGATCTTCTTGGATGGCTATTCAGTCTCAGGGCTCTCGGTGCCCCAGTTCTCAGAGACTGGTCACCTTGCCTGTTCTTTCCTCACCACCACCAAGATTCGTTCTTCCGTTCTTAACCATCCCACCACCACCGCACATCCTCATCTCTCTCCCACGCCGACCGTATACCACGACCACAACCGCACATCTATCCGCAACCGTCGCACTCGCCGTACGTACTAAAGAGGCTTTAGTATGTCTTACTCGGACTCCGACTCACCTCTGTCCTCGCCTCCCGAGAGCGCCGACGAGGCTCCCGCGCCCAAGACCCGTCACATCGACGTCAATCGTACCAAACGCCAGGTGAATGCGGATGCGGCAACCACCAGCACCAGCAAGAAGGCCGCCGCGCCCAAGAAGAAGAAGAAGCCGACCCCCGCGCCGCCAGCTCCGACCAAAATTAAGCTCAAGGCACCAGCACCTCCCCCTCGCAGTCCATCGCCTCCCCCCAAGAAACGCAAGAAGGAGCCGCCGCATGTGTACACCCTCGCCGACTCGCCGGAGTTGGCGTTTATCGTCATGTTTCGCTCGCGTTTTGCCGACGCGTTCAAGGGTGTGCCCAACCTGGGCTGCCAGGACATCGAGCGCGGCATTGTCGACTCGACCCCCTCGGAGCAGGTCGAACAACTTCTGTGCAGAATCATCTCGCTGGTGCTAAACAGAAAGAAACCCGTGGAGTAAGTTTTGCGTTCTCTCTCTCTTTGTGGGGAATTTTTTTCTTCTTTCTTTTTTTCTCTTTTTGGTTGGCGGGGGACACACCAAAATACTGGTGCCACGCCGCCTCGTCTGGCTTGTCGTCTGACACGCCACACATAACGACCCCGCGCAAACGCACATGGACACGTGAACTTTCGCACAGAGATATGGGCTGGTGCTAATATCGTATCTCGCCGCGTGTAGGAGGGGACATCACAACCGCGCGTTGGAAGAAGCTGTACACGCTCACCAAGCTCAATGGCCGAGACAGTGGCAGGGAAAGAACCCCATGCCCGGAGGCAAGGGATTCGGAGACCTCGACACGACCGGAAGAGTACGTGCTACCTCAAACATCTGTTACCTACCCGCGGAATGTGACTGACGTGTTGCGTATTGCTACAGATTACCGCGCTTAAAGCCCTGATTAATTGGGCCCTTACCTCCTCCGAGCAGATCCGTACGATCATCGCAGAGAATTATAAAGGGTCCAGAAGGGACGACGATCTGAACGTCGCTATATCGGTGCAGCCGTGGGGACGGGACGGTGAGAAGAGAAAGTACTGGCTTATTGAGGGACGAGGTATGGATGGCACTCCCGGAGGACTTCGCACAGTTACTAATGGCCTCTTAGACGATACTCCGTTCAGACTGTACCGCGAGAAGAATGCTGGATCTATGGATAGGACCTGGATCAACATTGCCGGCACCATCGATGAGATGCGTCAAGTTGCGCACGAGCTCGAGGAGGACGACGGAACCAAGCATGCGATGGCCCTCAAGACCAAGATTGACAGTGCAATCCTGCGGTTCGAGGAAGGCGAGAAGGTATGTCTGTCCCTCCTCAGGATTACATCAACCTACTCACACGACGGTGTACAGAAACGTCAGAAGAGGGAATATCGCGCTACCCGCAAGGCCATGTTCTCGCAGCCGAACGGCGCCTCCCTGTACGAAGGCCGCACGCGCGGCAAGCGTATTAGGTACAACTTCTCGGACGCCGACGACGACAAAGATTCCGAGGAGACGCGTTCCGGGCGCTCGACGCGCAACACTCCGCTGCCCGAAGCTCCGCGCTTCACCGCGTCCGGCCGCCAGATCCGCAAGCCGCAGACGGGCCTCTACGGCGAAGTCAAGATCAACGGCAGCCGCGGAACCTCTGCCGGAAGCGAGACCGAGGCGCCGCCGCCCTTCTCGTACGCCGAGGACCAGTGGGATGGCGACAGCCAGGGTGACGACGACGACGAGAACGAGGACGAGGTCAACGCCGACGACGAGAACGAGGACGACGACGAGAATGCCAACCTCGACTCCGCGTCCGAGCCCGAGTCCGAGTGGGACGACACCGCCTTCGTCCCGCTGGGCGACGAGAAGAGGTCGCTCAAGATCATCCTCAAGGTCAACAACAAGGGCCGACTCTCGCGCGCCAGCAGCATGGCCAGAGAGGCCGCGAGCCACCACGACCGCGTCACTCGGGCCAGCAGCGCCGCCAGGGATTGCGCCGCCGAGCTGCAGCGCCCCTCCCCCGCCAACAGCACCGCCCCCGCCGTCGCCAGGGAGAGCCCCAAGCGCGCCAGCAGCTCCGTCGCGGAGATGACGAACGGAAAGCTCGAGGAGTCGGCCAACGGAAACAAGCGCCGCCGCCTCAGCCCCGATGTCGCAATGAAGGATGTCGAGACCTTGGCTAATGGCCATAGTCCGCCCGTCAGCAGCGTCGTCGTCGCTGGCGGCCTGACCGTCTAGAACGGCAGTCACAAGAATGACCATCGACCAGGAGCGGGATGGGAGTGGGGGGGGGGGGGGGGGGGGGGGGGGGGCATAGCATAGCGACGGATGGATGGGGGGTTTCTTTTGCTCTCTACTGTTTGGTACATTATGCTCGGCGTTTTCTCTTTTTCTCTTTTTCTCTTTTTGCTTCTCTGTTTTCTCCGTGTCCTCCGGTTTCGTTTTTTCCTCTCGTTAGATGTCTCTTTTGGGGAAATTTTGATTCCTTTTCTCAGCAGGTACTTCTTTCTCGCTGGATCACTGTATGTATGTGGGAGTTCTTTTCTTTACATTAATTTTTTCTTTCTGCCTTTCTGTCTGGCTTCACGACGCGATGTTTGTATTGTATATTAGTTTTTTTTCCCTCTCTTCTGTCTTTATTTCGCTGTGTGAGGCATGGTATGGAATGGCAGTGCTTTCTGCGATTCTGCGATCAAAAAGAAGGCGCGAGGTTTTTCGCTCATCGTTCATTATCGAGGTTGCGGATACAGAGGTTTGTTAATGGGTGTGGTATTGGCGGTACATAAAGAGAATCGAAACGGGCTTGCTTGTCATGGCCAGCCAGCCTTTTGTCGCTGTGGACTGCGGGAGGCGTACATACGGGTGTGAGGTGAGGTGCGGGTGAGGTGAGGTGCGGGTGAGGTGAGGTGAGGTCAGAGGCTGGGGTTGGAGGCTGGAGGCTGGAGGCGGGAGAGAAGCTGATGCGATGCGATGCAGCGGCTAGACTGTTGTTCAGTTCAGTTTCTTCTACACTTCCACCTGCATCCGGAGCACACAACTGAGGTGCCGCCCGCCAGACAGCCAGACCGCCAGACCGCCAGACCGCCAGACGAAGCAAGCATCAGCCGCAGCCCGCAAGATCTCACGACATATGGTAGGTATCCCCACACTCACACACACATACCCACACTCACACACACATACCCACACTCACACACACATACCCACACACCCACCCACCGACCGGCCCACCGACACACCGGAATAGTGTTGCGGCTTTCCACCCATCTGGACTCTGGGCAACTACACTCCCACTACACCACACCTGCACTCACGGATGAGTAAGGAAGGCAGGTGAGATTCGATACCACTCTACTCCACTGCATACCCACTCCAACTCTAGAGTGTGTACCGGTATATATCATATCTAAGCTTCTATTGCTCTACATATCATACAGCATGCAATGCGAGAAGTTGACGGGATGGGGATGGCGTCGCTTATATCATGTATGGGTAATGTATGTAAGTAATGTGTGTACTGCAGCTGCGGGCCTGCGGCCTTTATATAAGCATCCGTCGATGTGGTGGGATGTGATATGATATAGTATGGCTCGTGCTCGTGCTTCGTGCTTCGTGCTCGGTGAGGATTCTGGGAATTTGAGGTCGAAGTTGAAGTTGAAGTCGAATTGAAGCCGAGGATCTGGCTGCTCGAGGAGTCGAGGGCGTCTACTCTACCGGCGTACGGGGGGGGGGGGGTGGACCAATCACAACCCTCAGACCTCTCCTCCGCTGCCCTCTGCCCTGCTGTACGCGCCACCCCAGAATCAGGATTCCTGACTCGCAACTGAATCCGCGGCGTTTCGCATCGGGAACCTGAGCTTGCTTGATCGCCCACGCCCACGCCCCCCCACCGTGGCACCTGGCCGCCGCCGCCGCCGCGCGAGAAAAAAGGCTTGTCTATTTGGGGATGGCCTATGTAGAGTACCGACCCCATCGGACCCCATCCCACCCCATCCCCCCCCCATCCCCCCATCCACAATCCATGCAGACAGGCTAAAGCTAAAGATGGCTGGCTGGATGGATGGTGGTGCTGGACCGTGGTGGACCGTGGTGCTGCTGGTGGTGGCGGGATGGAGTGGGTATGGATGGATGGATGGATGGATGGGAGCATGCAGAATCTGGGATTGATTGCGCTGCGCTGCGGCACCCGCCTGTGATAGGTGGGGGAGGAGGGAGGGAGAATAATTTGCTCGTTCAGGAACTGAACTGGAACAGGAGAGAGAGGAAGAAGGGGAGGTACTCACATAGGGCGTGATGTGATAAATAAAACTGCTGTCTGTCTGTCGGTCTGTCTGTCTGTCGGTCTGTCGGTCTGTCGGTCTGTCCTCTTTTCTCCGTCCCGCTCCCTACCTCATCTAGATACCTCCTACTATATCTACATATAGGTAGATATCTGCACGATCCTGATCCTGAGCTCCCTCCTGCTCTCTCCTCCCCCGCCTCCCCACTAGAGCAAAGTAGAGTAGTACACGTACGCACACCACCTATCGACCGTTCCACTACCACCCGTCGGTTTCACTTGCACCACCGACAAAACAAGCCTGGTCAGCTCGTCGTCTTCTTCTACTTCTCCTGCTGCTTCTCCCCGTCTTCTCGATTCGATATATCTGTCTTTCTCTCTCGTGCTTGCTTCTCACTCTCACATTCACACGACACATACACCCTCACGAACTCCCTCGCGACTCCCTCGCGACACATTCACATTCACTCACTCAATCCCCCACCCACCCACCCACCCACCCACCCACCCCAAAACACACACACACACACACACGGCTTGATTCAACTTCGGTGTTAAGCTCCTCACAACCTCCATTCAATTCGATCGGCTGCTCACTGAGCAACCGCAACCGCAACCATAGCCATGATGAACAAGGTACCCCCTCCACGCCTGCTACATACCCCCATCTCCGTCTGCGTCTCCGATCCGCACACCTCGCACGCAAATCAATCAATCAATCAATCAATCAATCAAGCACGATGCTAACCCGTCACCTCCACCTGCAGAAGCTAGGACGGTTCAAGCAATGGGCCGGCGAGCGCATGGGCGGCGAGGCGAAGACGTCCACGTCCGACGAGTTCAAGTCGTTGGAGATGGAGATGAACCTGCGGCAGGATGGTAGGAGCTCCCCCCTCGCCCCTCCCCCCTCCCCCTAGCTTCCGACCCGTGGTGAGAATGGGAATGGGAATGTCAATGCTGATTGATTGGGTTTGCCTACAGGGATGGACCGTCTCCACAGCACCATGAGCGTCTACATCAAGTCCATGTCGAAGCGGAAGGAGAGCGACGATAAAGAGAAGATGTTGCCGGTCGACGTGCTCGCCCAGGCTATGATTGCTCATGGAGAGGAGTTTGAGCAGGATAGTTTGTTTGGCACTTGCCTTACCAGTATGTGACATCTGCCAGACGTGGTGTGTGGGTCGCGCTGACGGCGAGGACAGTGATGGGCCAGGCGAATGAGAAGGTGGCCAGAGTACAGGATTCCTACGTTCAGGCCGCGGGCGAGAGCTGGATGGAGTCGCTGGAGAGATCGTTGGCGCAGATGAAGGAGTACCAGGTATGTTCTGGAAGGGGAATAGCCACGGGAGGGTGGGTGCCGGAAGATCCTGGCTAACGTCGTGACAGGCGGCCAGGAGGAAGCTCGAGTCCCGGCGACTGGCCTACGATGCAACGCTATCCAAGATGCAGAAGCAGAAGAAGGAGGACTTCCGCATGGAGGAAGAGCTGCGGGCCCAGCGCATCAAGTACGAGGAGTCCAGCGACGACGTCTACCGCCGAATGGGAGAGATCCAAGATTCGGAGGCAGAGTCGATGGCGGATCTCGGTGCGTTCTTGGACGCCGAGCTCGAGTACCATGACCGCTGCAGAGATATCCTGGCGAATCTGAGACGGCAGTGGCCGGCTGGTCAACCGAAATCCAAGAACCGCTCCCGCTCGCTGACTGCCCACTCCTTCGGTAACGGCTCAAGGGAAGAGTCCCCCCCTCCGCCCATGCCGGAGCCCGAGCAGCGCCCTGCAATCGGGTCCCGCGTCAAGACGAGCGATCGCGGCTCATCGAACGGCGCTTTCCGCCTGCCCACCCCGGAGCGGGAGGACAAGGACAGAAAGCCGTCGTTCCACCGCACTCTAACGGCACCCACCTCTTCCTTCGAAGGCCCCACCACCTCCAACCGTCTGGCCCGCACGCGGTCCTCGGAACAGGCCGTTCTCCCTCCGCCGCTCCCCCGGAATCGTCCCTCGGTCCATGACGACGAGAACACCAGCCGAGACCGCTACGACCGCTACGACCGCTCCGAGTCTCCGGTAGCCTCCATAGCCTCCATAGGCTCCGGCTCGCGCGTCATCTCCAGATCCTCCAGCAACAACACCCTCTCGAACTCCTACAGCAACTCTGCTTCTGCGCGGAAACAGCCGCCGCCTCCGCCTCCTGCTGCCAGGAAGAAGCCGCCGCCACCGCCGCCGAAGAAGATTATGTCGTAATGGTCGTAATGGCACGGCAATTGTAGGTGTAGGTGTATGAATCTGTAGGATGAATGATGAATTGGTGGGAAAATTGCGAGAATGGGGAGTGCGTGTTGTGTGCATTGTTTGGATCATGGTTTTTCTGTCTTACCACCATTGCTGCGATTGCTGCTGCTGTGTGCTGTGTGCTGTGTTGCATACGTGCCTTGTCTGTGTATCGTTACTTTTTTCTTCTTCTTTTTCTTCACGTCTCTTCTTGACTTTACTTTCATGGCTACTCGTTTGATGATACACACTGGGCATTATGGGGCCATTGTACTAACTACTGAATGCTTTCGTTACGAGTCCTTCCCGCTTCTTTACGATAGAGTAGAGTACGGAATTGGTGCTACTGGAGTCTGGAGATTGCTCACAGGATCATGGATGATGTGTAATACCTTTGATATACCAACGAACAGAACAGAAGCAGCAAGAAGAAGAAAACCCCCAATCCATCCCAATCCATCCCATCCTTTTCCCAAGTATTCCCAAGTACCTATTCCCAAGTATTCCCAGAGCGCGAGCAACAGCAAGCCAGAAGAAAGAAACCAAAATCAAGCCAACACCACCCCGCCCTCATCATCGTCGACCTTCCTGGCCGCCCTCCTCTTGCCCGCCTTGAAATGTTTCTTGCTGCCGCGCAGCTGCGCGACCTCGTCGGGATTGAGGTTCTCCTCGATCGCGACCATCGTCTTCGCCTTGCGGCCGCTGAGCACCTTTCCGCCGGCCGCGGCCGGCGGCGCCCGCATCACTCCGTCCTGCTGCCGGTGGAACGGGTTCGTCAGGTGCCCGCCCGCGCCGATCCCGCGCCCGAAGTACGCTTTGTCCAGCGACTCGGTTTTGCGGCCCTCTGGCGGCGCGTAGGGGAGTGGGATCATGTCCTCGTCCAGCAGGTCGGCGTCTTCGGTGGTGGATTCTTCGACGATCGGGGCGGTGGACGTGGACGCGGGCATGCCACGGCGGCGGTGCTGCGGGAGATGCGCGATGTCGTACAGCCCGCGGTTGAATTCGGCGGAGTCGATTGGAGGGTCCGCAGGCGGCGCGTGCCCGAACAGCAGCTTGCCGTTGATGTAGTCCTTGAGCACGTAGCGGGCCGCGCGCGAGTCGTCCGGGTTGCCTGCGGACGACTTCATGAACCCGCGGGCGCGCGCGTACGCCACGAGGAGCTCCGTGCCCGTCGGGACGCCCGTGCCGCCTTCTTCGAGCGGCCGCGTGATGATCTTGATTCCGTACACGGCCTCGAGAAACCATTGCGGGATCCGCTGGGCGACGAGTGAGGCCGGACCCGTGAATTCGCGCTGCTGGTCGATCGGAAGGATTCCGTTGCATACTAGCTCCGCTTTGGTCGAGGCGAAGTTGGGGAAGACGAGTCCTGGGCAATCGCACAGGATTATTCGCTCGGAGAGGTGCAGAGTCTGGAAGTGCTTGGTCTTTCCCGGGGTCGACGAGACGGAGACTTTTTTGGCGCCCATGAGGGCGTTGATCGTGGAGGATTTTCCGACGTTGGGGTAGCCGACCAGGCCGATGGTCGTTTTCCGGGGCTTCGAGTCGGGCGATTCAGCTGGTCCAGATGTTAGCTGTCTGTTGGAATAGGTAGAGAAACAATGGAGGCATACAGTCTTGTTCCGGCTCGGGCGAGTTCTCAAGGAAGATGGCCTCTAGCTCATCGAGGTTGATGATGCGTATCCGGGGGTCCTCCTCATCCTCCTCCTCGTCTTCCTGTGCCGATCCGTCTTCCCCAAGCTTCAGCTTCGCAATCTCCTCCTCCGGGGCACCGTCCTTCTTCTCCGCCGTTTCCTCACCTTCCTCCTCCACGTCTTCAAACTCGCTCTCATACTCCTCCTCCTCTTGTGCCTCGAGACTCTCTCTTGCCAGGACAGCCGAGAAGAACCGGAAGCTGACACCCTCACTCTCAAAGTAGTCCGCCCAAGCCGTCCTCTGCTCAACCGTCATCATATCCGCCTTATTCACCAGCAGCAAATTCCGCTTTTTGGGGTCCACCTCCTGCACGTACTTCTCAAGATCGACACAGCGGAACAGCAGGGGATTTCTGGCATCGACGATCTGCACGACGAGATCGGAGCGCTCGATGACACGCCACAGCTGGCGCCACACCTCGAGATTCCGCTCGAACGGGGTCATGAGCATATCAAAGTTCTCCTGGAGCTCGGCGAGGCCGCGTCGCCACGACAGAAACGACTCGCGCTCCATCTGGTCCAGCTCCTGCGGTGTGGTCTGCGCACTCCATTTTGGTCGTCGAGGGACCGTCAGCTGCTGTGAGTGCTGCGCGTGCTTGCGGTGCGTCTTGCGCTCTTGGTCCGGCGTGAGCAGGTACGGGTTGTATTGGTCTTTGTGCACTACTTGTACGTTGCTCATCTTCTCCGCTGTAAAGTCGGTATCGGCCATTTCGGCGGTCGCCAGAAACTCTGTAGTATTGTTGTCAGCACTCGAGCGCTGTCTGGAGCAGTGAGGGAGGTCAAACCGTCAAGGTCATTCTGCTCGGTGATACTGCGGATCTTGACCCAATCCGCCTCTTTTCTTTCCGGTCCAAACGACTGTAGATAGCGAGAAACGAGTCAGAAACTGGGCAATCTCTCTTCTCGACAAAGCGCAGGGAATACCATACCATCTCCACAGGTCCCTTGTGTCCGCCGCGCCCGCGACCACCTCCTCCGCGGCCGCCACCACCGCCACGGGTTACCCTCGTTCCTCCACCTCGCGAGTTCATCAGGGCCCGGCCAAGGCCGACTCTGTTCTTGCTATCGGCAAGCACCATGATTGACTATCTGTCTGTGCTGGGTATTCGGTTTTCCGGACAAAGATACGTTCTGTTGCTATTGTAAATAAAGCTGGGGTTGAGTTGGGGATCGGTGGTGGGACGTAATATATGTGGGGTCAAGTCGCAGTTTACTTCTTCTCCTCCATGCTAGAGTGGCGGGGTGGAGTGAGTCGAGTTGAGTTGTGTGTGACGACCACACCGCCGAAACTTTTCTTTTCTACCCTTTTTCTTTTTGCCCCGCTATTTGATTACCATAACCATAACCAACCCCACCAACACCACAACCACAACCACCCTTCAACTGAACTGAGCATTCTCTTTTGTCAGCAACTTCTCTCTCTCAGGACAGGATAGAACGGCAATTCGCGAGATCGCCCCCCAGACAGACAGTACAGTACACAGGAACGGGACAAACAAACAACCAACCACACAACATGGCGCCTCCTACCGCCACCACGAAAAAGTGGATGTAAGCTCTTCGCACTCCTTCCCCGTACCGTAGCCACAGGCTTACTGACACAATGCCACAGCGACAAGAAAAACGCGAGCACCTTCCAAGTGCGCTACCGCTCACAAGAAGACCCATTGATCCACGACGACACCGCGACGCCCTTCGTTCTGCACGAGGTCGATGCGCCGAACGCGAACAAGGGCTCTAGCGGCGCCAGCGGCTCCTCCTCCAGCAAAGTCAAGAGCGCATACGACCTCGCGGCGGAGCTCGGCATCGATGCTTCCACGGTGCGCGCGAACGAGGGCGAGGCGGCGATGCACGGCATCTACTACGACGACACGACGTACGACTACATGCAGCACATGCGGGACATTGGGGGGAGTGCGGGGGAGGCGATCTTTATCGACGCGGCGCAGGCGGGGAGTAAGCAGCGCAAGGACAAGAAGAAGCATAACAAGCAGTCGCTCGACCAGGCGATCATGATGGAGGTCGAGCCGAAGAGCAAGGTCGTGCTCATCCCGAAGGAACTCCTGCCCAGTGAGAACCTCGTCAAGCGCACCTATCAGGATATGCAGGATATTCCGGACGCGATTGCGGGGTTTCAGCCGGATATGGATCCAAGGCTCAGGGAGGTCCTAGAGGCTCTAGAGGATGAGGCCTATGTTGACGACGATGAGGATATCTTTGCGCAGCTGGCTGAGGGCGGCGAGGCCGATGAGGAGGACTTTCTGGATCAGGACTTTGAGGACGAGGACGACGACGGCTGGCAGAGCGACACCACCGAGAAAGCCGTTGTCCTGCCGTCCACCGCTCTCTCCACAGCCACAGCCACAGCCACCACTGCCGAAGCCGCCGCGGCCACTGCGGAGCCACCTGTCGAGGGCGAGCCAGCCGCCGAAGGCAACGCAGACTGGATGCGCGAGTTCTCCAAATATAAGAAAGCGCAGAAGAAGGAGAAAGGGACGAAGGCCGACGACGACGCGGCATCCTCTCTCGCGGACACGATGAGCTTCGGCGGGTCCTCAGCGATGACAGCCGGCACCGTCTCGGTATCCGGCCGTCGCCGCCGCCGCCGCGAAAAGAAGAATGGCGGGGCTAAGACCGCCACGTCCGGGTACTCCATGAGCAGCTCGGCACTGTTCCGCACTGAGGGGCTCACGCTGCTCGATGACCGCTTCGATCGGGTTTGCCCCCCTCCCCCTCCCCCCTTCTCCTTTTCTCCAGTAACTAACTCCCTTGCCCCCTGTAGATTGAGGAGGAATACAACAACGACGCCTCAGACTCAGGCTCGGACGCGGAAGAGCGCAGGAATGGACCCGTCCCCGAGACGCGCAGGGACTTTGACGCGATCATGGATGAGTTCCTGGGAGGGTATACCATGACGGGCGCACGCCCGAAGACTCATCGTATTAGACGCGGGAAGTATCAGACTGGATTGGATCAGCTGGATGAGATTCGGAGGGATTTGGCGACGGCGAGACTTTCTTAGAGGGTATGCGGGACGGAACTGCGGGGTTTGGTACTGGTGATATATAAAGGGGTTTGGAGTTGGGGTTGCGGATTGAGATTCGGATTCGGATTGGGACTTGTTTTTAAAACGGGAAAAGTTTGGGCTTGGGTTTGGTTTTTTGTCTCTTAGAGAGGAAAGGCGAAATAGATGTCGTGCGAGTGATTGTCAACACATCACATCACGGGCTTGCACCCATTCATCAGAGATTTCTTCATACAAGACATCCCACCGCCCACTCCGAGCCACCACCTCCTCACAAATCCTCACCCACAGACACAGACATTCACATTCACAGTGAGAGTGAGACAAAGCTGGGTCCTCAGCATCTCTCAAAGCTCGGCAATTGGTTACCTGTGTATGTAACCCGAGCGACCGCCGATGAAGCAGCTCACTCCGCCCAATCATTCCGCCCAATCATTCCGCCCAATCACGGAGACATATTTTACTGGAGTACCAAGTAGTTCATCCCACATATGTAGTTTCATACAATTTACAAGATTCGGACGATTCACAGCCAGCCTGTATCTCATCGTGGAACACGCGGCAGGATTGGGTATGTGTAGGTATTATTTCATCAAGGTGAATCTATTACTATAGGTAGGTAAGCAGGTGTGTGTGCGTGTGTGGACCGCATGTGTTGTCCCTCCAGGATTCGTTCCTTCATCCTAACCATCAACCACTACCAACCAACCACTTCTCCCAACCTCACGCAAGCAAGAGGCAAGCAAGAAACGTATGTATGTAAAAGCACTTTTTTAATTCCCCCAGACCCCAAAAAGCAACCCCGAAACGCCAGCGACAGAACGGAATGAGCGAGCGAGCGAGCATATGAATCATTTAGCAGGCCCATGCTTAGCAACGAGCTTATTCCGCTGAGCCTTAAGGTTCCTATAGAACTCCTTCTTTCCGCTCTTCTTTGATTTCTGTATATCGTCGAACTTGCGCTTGAAGCGCAAGCGGCTTGCGGAGTCGGCCATGACCTCTTCGAGGATAGTCTTCTTTCTGTCGCGGCGGTTGATGCGCGCGTTGTAGAACTCCGCGTTGCCTTCGATCACGGTGCCAACCTGGGAGTACTCGGGGATCCCCGAGGAGTCCTTTTTGTAGTGCCGGTGTGGGTCGAGCACGTTGCGGTGCTTGATCAGCGTGAAGTCACGCTTGAACGAGTCCGTGAGGACCGTCCGCGGCATGTCGTACCACGCTGTTCCGGCGGTTGGCGGGGGCTCCTATATGAGAAGAACACGTGATGTCAGCGCTCTGTTGGAAACTTTTCTTCCCCAAGTGTGATGACGATGTGGATGATGGGTAGGGGCCTCAGAGTAACTATGAAATAGATAAAACTTCACGTTGTCGGTATGGACAGCCAAGACGGCGTCCTGTTCCGTCAGGTTCTTTGGGATAAGATATCCTCATAGGCCAGGGATGTGGATGGTGGGGTAAGTGGGGTGGGGTGGGAGGTAAAAGCGCATGCGCAGGTTAGAGCGCACCTTGGATGGTTTTTTGTTTGCAGTCACAGTGGCGGCTGGTCGTGTGCTGTTTGCCAGCTTTTGGTCGTCCTTGGACACCAGCATCATCCGGTCCGTGATATGCGAAACAGAGCCGTAGGAACTGATGGGAAGTTTCGGTAGTGACGCACCAGGGTCTAGTTTAGGTAGTCTGCAGAACAAGCATTAGCACTGCCAATCCTGACGCTTGCAATATTTTTTTCCATCCAACTGCCCGAAAATAAAAGGCTGGCACAGGCAGGATGATGACAGAGAAAAAAAAACAAGGGGGACGGTAGTGAACACACCTGATGGATGTAAGACTGTGATCGGTGTTTGTCTTTTGCAGTGCTGATGAGGCCCCGCCAGTATCATTTCTCATCCGCTGCTCTGCCTCGCGCAACAGCCGCGCAATGGTTTCGTCGGACAGCTCATCGTCGTCGTCCTCATCGTCGATGCGTGTGAGTGTGGAGAGGGCAGTTCCCGGATGTGGGCCGGTAGAAGAGATAGGGATGACCACGTCAAAGTGATTGTTGTTTCGGAGGGTGGGGAGTGTGGCTGCAGACATATTGGGAAGAGGAGCGAGACGGACGGTCTGAAGAGCGATGAGAGAAAAAAAAAGTCAGGTACCAAAAGGAAGCCAAGGGCTAGCCCTTGCTGATAGTTACCCGGGAAATGAGACTGGTAGCAAATGTTTAGTAATCGGCCATCCTGTGTAACATGGATCAGCATGGCAGAGCACCCACTCCGGAGTCTAGAGCAAATCAACGTGAAGGGCCCAGCAGGCGTCCATGGGCCAACCACCAACAAAACACCGATCATGGGCTTCCGGCCTCGTATGGGGGGAGGCAAGGACCGGGGAATCAGCAAATTCAGGTACGTAAGGAACCCGCACCACAGCTGTTAGGCTGGCAGGCACACACCATTGCAAACTGGCGAGCATCTGTGACCATGATGACGGCTGACAGCTGTTTGTTTGTTTCATCGATATTATGCGCATCGCCCGTATCCCGGCACGAGCGAATCGAACAGTCATTTTCCGTCACTCGTCGGGCTGCGTATCCTGCAGGGGCTGTTTGCCAACGAATGGATGTTGCACGGCAGTATCAATCCCGCCCCTGCGCTTATTCGATATCGCGAGAGATGGCTTTTATGAGACAATGTTGCTCCTCCATGTAACGTCCCGCGCCTGGCCTGGAGGCAGGCTTTGGTTCGCCGGCCGCTCTGCTGTCCATGCTCGAGCGAGCAGGTACCACCTATCGCGGACATATGGACTCCTCATATAAGCAGGAAGATAGCAAATCGGTCCGTGCTGTTCAGTACCGCCCAGTACTGCGGTCCAATGAGTTGGAGGTTGTAGGGTTACGGCGGTGCAAACCCGACGCACGGCCGTTTGTTTGCCGCTACTGGGGGGAGGTGGGGAGGAGCGGAGGAGGGACGGGGAGCTTGAGCGAGCAAGAGACTGGCGGGGCGGGGGCGAGCGAGCGAGCTCTGGCGCAGCAGCGTCCTCGCCACGATACGGACGCCATGAAGCAAGCCGGAAATCTCTGACATCGATGCAATCGGCTCGTTACCGCCTCCATGTCCGCATGTCCTCCTCCGCTACACTCGATACATCATGGAGTGGCCGCCGACGCTGCCTACCTGCTTCATCTAAGTACCCACAGCACGGGTTCGTGATGTGATGTGTTGTGCTGTTGGTGACTTCGCTGTGCGTAAGCTTGGCAATGGGTTAATGCAGGCGAAAGCGAAGGCCGAACCGGTTGCAGAGTCGGGGAGCGAAGTGGTAGTGTATGGAGCGAAGATCTCCGAGCATGGGCAGAGTAAAATAGAGTGCACCATGGCGAGCCTACAGGAAGAGCCAGAGAGCAATGGGGCCTTGGTGGTAATATCCGAGAGAGAGAGAAGCGGGTCTCAAATGAAAGTTCTCAGAGAGGGAGAGCAACGGTGAGCAGCACGCAGGGCCGTAGCGGGTTTGTTTGGATGGTTCCTGATATCATACCGGAAGTTATCTTCTATGTAATCATTGCGGAGAGTCGTTGTTTCCATCTACGGGAGAGCGTGAGCAGAATAGTATCATACATATCATAGAGAGCACTTGACCAGCATAACTACTAGTACCAAGCACGAAGCTTTTCTGCCGTCATTGTGGAGAATGATGGTGCTCACGTTGCGGTTGTCGCTACCACCTGGATATATTTTCTGTCGAGAGCAGATACTCTATGGAGATAAGTGATAGGTTAGGTACTTGTTAGGTACTCTGCTCCACGGCGTTGTAGGTTAGGTAGACACTCTACTCTACTCTACCATACTGTGCCCCACGACGTGATGGATGCGAGCCTGCACTCGAGTCTTCAGCCCCCGCGCTTTCGCTTTCGGGCTTGCACGTCCACAGCGTGACAACCACGACCCACGACCCACCCACCACGCTTTCTCCCGACAACCCTACCCAGCCTGCAGTCCAGTCCACTCTTTGCCCCCAGCCAATCACTGCGCTCCCGCCGAAACCAGCGAGTCCCAACCCTCTGCCGTCATCTTCCAATTCTGTTGGCCTAGGGCCCCTCCGTTTCTCGGTGGCCAGCACGAGAAAAAATTAAAGTGAACGTCGAGTAGATACGGTCACTGGACGGGCACCCGCCGGCAACTGTCAATCTGCCCACTCTCGTCAATCAGCTCAATCAGCTGGGGGAGAAGCAGAAGCAGACAATCAGGTCAGCCATCGCCGTCTCCGCTCGCTCGCTCGTTCGCTCGGAAAAGTAGAGCAGGAGACCCCGGGACCGCCGGACGGACCCGCACATACATCATACAGGACCGCCCGCAGCTCGCTCGCTCCGTTGTGAACTCCAACTGCGTCGTCAACTGCTGTAGAGTGTTGCTCGCTCCTGCCCATCACCGCCATCATCACCACCTCCTCCACACCTCCACCTCCACCTCCACCTCCACCTCCACCGCCTCCATCATCATCATCACCATCACCCATTGACTTCCCCCTCCGCCTCACGCCGGTTTCCTCTGTCTGCTACACACCCGGCCTAGAGTCCCACTACTTCCTGCGCACCCTCTCCCTCGCACGCACACACACACATACATCCCCAGATCCTCACACGTACTACGCATTCTTGACTACTGTACCCTACTCTGCACCCTACCGACCCAACCCCGCGTGCGCCAACCCTCCTCGACTCGCTCCTGTACACACAGACTCCGAGCACAGAGCCTTCGCTGTCGGCGCTTTACACTCTGAGCAGGCGGGCCGAATCATAGCAATCTCTCTTCGCGCTGCAATCCATTCTATCATTTGCACTTGCATCTGTTTGGGCATCATCGCACTTTGGAGTGAATGAGTGAGTGAGTGAACGAGTGAGTGAACGAGTGAGTGAACGCAACCATGTTCAGCCCCAGCCACGAATGTAGAGTAACGTTGGACAATGGTTAGAAGTCAGCAAGACAACAAAACAGCAAGGTACCACCACTACAACCACCACCGCAACCACCACCACCAACAACAGCACCACCACTACCACCGCCGTCAGCCAACGACAACACCGACAGAGACAGCGGTGAACACGACATCGAATCGAAACACGAGCCTTGTTCGTTTTTGAATATGGACCCCAACTACCCGGGCGCAGGCGGCAGACACGACCCATCCCAACAGCAGCAGCAACAGCAGCAACAACAGCAACAGCAGTACGACATCTCCGTTATGGGACATGTGAGTGGAATCTTGATTCTGTCCGCCTTGCGAGGTTCACTTCGATGTCCCTCTGCTAATCGCAAGGTCTGCCTTACAGTATGGAGCCAGCGCGGCGCTCGTAGCCAACTCGTCCGTCCCGCAATCCGATATATATAGTGGCGCGTTCGCAAATGTATGGGATTCAATCCAAACACCACCCGCACAAACACTCTTCTTCCATTGCAGTCTCTGACCATGGCTTCCCAGGTATCCCAAGGCTTGCACGGTCATTACCGCGACATCTTGACTGCGTACTGGCAGCAGACCATCAACACCCTCGAGAATGAAGACCACGACTACAAGGTGCACCAGCTCCCGCTCGCTCGGATAAAGAAGGTCATGAAGGCGGATCCCGAAGTCAAGATGATATCCGCCGAGGCGCCGATACTGTTCGCAAAGGGTTGCGACATATTCATCACCGAATTGACGATGCGTGCCTGGATACATGCGGAGGAGAACAAGCGGCGGACACTGCAGCGCTCCGACATCGCGTCGGCCCTGACCAAGAGCGACATGTTCGATTTCCTAATCGATATCGTCCCGAGGGAAGACGCAGCTCCGAAACGGGCAAGCGGGGGTGCTCCGGGTTCCGGTGGTGGGCATCATCAACAGGCACCGCCGCCGCCGTCACACCCGCCACACCCACCGCAGCAACAGCCACCACAGCACCAGCAATCGCAGCCGCCACAGCAGTCACAGCATGTTCACGGCCAATCACAGATGCCCTCGGGCTTGGAGTACCCTCACCCAGGCATGCCTGCAGAATCGGATCGGTATGGACAGGGCAGCATGTATCCCGGCGGTGTGGCACCACCAGTCGGAAATTACGGAACACACATCTACCAGGAAGGGATGGAGGGGATCTATGGCTACCCACCAATGCCACCGCACACGGTATATACCCCCGCAAGCCAGCTGTCCGGGATGTCTCAATAGCTAATTCTAGTCGCCTTCAGATGTACCAGATGCCAAATCAACGAGGCCACCTTCAAGACCCGCAAGGTGGACAAGGCAATGAACAGGGGGACGACGCTGACGCCGAGGGCGAGAGAGATTACGAGGTACCTCAAGGGCAGAATTCGGGTCTTGCAGTCGGACTCTAACCCTTTCCCTAGGATTGAGTCGCCATTTGTTTGCACGTATACGCGGTCGTGTCATCTCGCGTCAGAACTTTTTCTTTTTCTGCTCTTTTTTCTCCGGTGTTGCGCCATTTCTGTTTCACCCCGACCGTTTTTGCTTGCGTTTTTTCTCGTTTCTTCTCGGAGCATGGGTTGACGGGTTAGGCATCATGAGTGTTTTTCTTTTGGATTCAAGGGAAGAGATTTACGAGATCCATGGCTCCTCTTTGTCTTTTCTTTTTCTTTCTCGCGTTTATCTACACGGGTTTCTGTCGTTTTCGGTTGGTCTTCGTGAATGGTGTTGGATATCGGATCAGGGTCGGGTTTTTATACAGAACATGTATGGCTTTGCTTGCTTCGTTTCGTTTCAAGGCAGGGAAACGGCGATTTTCCCGGATGAGAGTTAATCTTTTGGTGCATGTCTTTGTCATGTTTGGTGGTGGTGGTTGTGGTGGTTGTTTTGAGGGTTTTGGATGGGATGGTTTATACGACAGACGGACGGACGGACGACACCACGGTCAGTCAGTCTGGTAGCGATGGGTGGATGGATGGATGGATGGGGGTATATAGTAAAGCAACGAAGACTATCCGCGTCACAGCAGTTCATGATGATTCCAAGTGACACTTGTGGTTCTCTCAAGCCTCGTCCAGCCCTATGATCAAATGTATGTATCTTGTAGATACGTCACAAGGTTACACAAAATCGCCAAGCCACCGCCGCCCAAGCCGTCGTCGCTGGTCTGGCGCGGCGCGTCGACTACGTTACGTACCAAGCGAGCAACACCACAACACCGACAACCGACCGACCGACCAAGCTTACCTTACCTTACCACGACTCCGACTACCACCACCACCATCACCACCACCGTCCTCTCAAGCTACAACAATAAACAACCGCAAACATGAAGCCAATGTTCTCCGCGTACGCCCCCCCTCTCCCTCCCTCCCGCCCCTTTCCCGTCCCCAACCTCGGCCCCGGTGCGGGTGCGAACTCGACCTAGAAGCTAGCAGCTAACAACCCACTGTCTAGCGGAACGGCCTGGTGCTGCACCATAATCAGCGTCTTTGCAATCCTGATCCTGAGCGTGATCGGGTTGCTATTCCGGAACAGGTATGCCCTCTTCTTCCCCCCGTCCCCCCGTCCCCCTCTCCCCTCTGCCCCCTTCTTCCCCTGACGATGTGTTAATGTGTGCTGGCGGTGGCAGGCATGAATCAATGATGGGCTCAATCAACGACCCGACGGACGGCAAGGCTGTTGCTGCGACCATCTTTGCGAGTGTCGTTGTGTACGCGGTTTTTCTCGTCTTCTGCGCAGGTCAGGCGTGGTTGCATTCGAGGAGGGGTGTTAGGTTGCAGTAGAGGAGGGGATACCATGGGGGATGCTACGAGGGGGAGAGGGGGGGAGGGGGAGGGTCGGTGCTGTCGATGTTTCGTGGTTCGGGTGTTTGCAATGATCGGTTCTACTATAGTACTGCTCGAAGTATGTACTGGTACTGGTACTTGTCCGCTACCGGTGTCGTCAGGAATCACATCACACACACAGAGAGAGAGGGAGAGAGGGAGAGAGGGAGAGAGGGAGAGAGGGAACATCAATTTATTGTCGCATGCGACCTTTACTACTCGTGGACTATGGCCACCACCAAGTCGGGAATCATATCACAATCACGTCACAGGCTGTCATTCGTGTGAGAGAGATGGGCCGCGTGATAGTGTGTGAATATGGTGTGGTAAAACAAGTTCTACGTCGGTCGCCATGCGTCGTGGTGTAGGGAGTTTACTAGTAGTTTGGTGTGAATGATTCGAATGGAACGAAACTCTCCGGACTCGGGAGCGCTGGTATAAAGCGTTTTTGCTGCACATCTATCGTGACTGCTTCAATAGTCTCGGTATGGATGCATGTACATTGTAGAGTACTTGGATCGCCACCGACTTGTTGTAGTAGGCTCACAATGCTGCTTCTATGTACTAGTACTTGTACTAGTAGATTGGTGGTGGCGGTGGTGGTGGTGGTGGTAGAATCAGGACCAGTGGGTTTTGCGGGACCAGTGGGTTTTGCGGGACCACTGGGCAGTGGGCAGTGGGCAGTGGGTTTCCCAGTGGTCAGGACGGCCAGGTGGGACTTCGGCCATACAGGTAAGCAGCAAGCTCGCGGCTGGACCCGCTGCGACTAGCAGGCTACATCACAACGCGAGTTTCGCGGTGATAGTCAACTCCTTACATACTCGTCGTGGTGGATTACTGAAGCAGAGGTCAGAGGAATGTACATACTTATAGTGACATCTTTGCGAGGACGAGGGCGAGGGCGGGGGGATTCCGGGCTGGTCGGTCTGGGGCAGAAAGAACATCATATATGGAGGAACCAGTACCTACGAGCAGTCTATTCGATACCAACCGACTTAGCACGGCTGGAGTCTTTACCACGACCGTGAAGAATCCCAACTTCCCAGGTCTCCATCCCCCCGCTCTCGTTCGTTGCTGCGCGGACGACAATAGGTAAATGGTTACACACTCATGACATATCACTCGAAAAAACTGCGGGATACCGCGTGATACCGCATGAACCGACCGCATGAACTAACTGAATGACCGCATGAACCGAATTCGCCATGCATTCACCATGCATGGATGATAGCGGTGCGCCCCAAACTCGGGCTCGGGCTCGTACGTATGATTGGCGATTGGCCGTGTGAACTGTGTGGTGTCCCCGCACTTACCTACTAAGTACTTACCTCCTACTCCACCTCGCACCCACGGCCGAAATGTCAGACCCAGACCCAGATCTCTTCGCCAACCCGTGGTACTCATTCCATCCTTCTTCTGCCTCCTCATCCTTCTCCTCTAGCTGCTGCTCGGATTTAGAAGATCCCACCGGATCCACCGCTCTACGGAACGAGAACCACACCCTCAAATCCGAGATCCGCCGGCTACGTGCAGACCACGGGGCGCTGGGGCGGCGATTGTGGCGGTCGTGGCGGTCGTGGCGGTCGTGAAGAGGGCTGTGGAGTATAGTAGACTGTGGGATGGGTACTGGGATGGTTTGCGGAGGGGGGTGGAGGAGTTGGTGAGGCTGGGGAGGCTGGGGGGGTTTGGGTTTGAAGATGGGGTGGGGGAGGGGGTGCCGATTGGAGAGGGGATGTGGCAGGAGCTACTAGTAGAGAGCGCCGTGCTGGCGGAGACTCGGCGAACACCCCCAGAGCTGGGAGAGCACGCCGAGCAGTGCTGCTTTGCCGCCCGCACAGTCCGACTCTTCATCTGCTGCGATAGTGATGCCAGCTGCTGCTGCGGCTGTGTAGGGGGATCGGATGGGCAACGGCAACGGCAAAGCTCCATTGGCTTTCCCTGCTACTGCTGGTGCTGCTGTTAGACCGGCGAGCTCTCTGTCGGAAAAAGTCCTCCCGTCGACATCAACGTCGAGGAAGTGAAAGTGGACGGTGCAGCTGTAGCTGTCGCTGGAACTATTCCTGCTCCTGCGCTTGCTCCTGCTCCTGATCCTGGCAGGATGCCCGACGGTTGCTTACCAGCATCGTCGGCATCTTCCAGCTCTCCGGGAGCCACAGCCAACAATACCACACCAGTACTGGATATCCCGCCTTCATCCCCAAGCACCAGTACAACGGCCGGACCGCTGACCAGTCCGCCCGAGGACGACATACCAGCGTTTGAAAACCCAGCGATCCTACCGCTACCGACACCCGATGATCCTGCCGCGGCCTTTCCTAGTAGTGAATTTAATACAACCGTAGGGAGATCATCTTCCGCCTCATCGTTTCGCAGTTCGGTCGAGAGAAGTACACGTTTCCCGAGTTTCCCGTGTTATTCGCATAGCACAATCGCGGGAATACTTTTTAGTCCGCCGGGGTTTGGGTTTGAGGACGACTATTCCGACTGTTATACCGAAAGCTGGCAGGATGAGTGGTAGCGGGTCGCGGTCGGTTTCACTATGCTATGTACGAGAAGACCCAGTGAGGACTGCCGTAGTGTCTTGTCGGTACGGTAACGCCCAAGTGCACGATCCCTCTTTCCCAAAAATGACTACACTGTCAACTATCAACTCAAACACTGCCGTATATACTCATTGTATTCACACATATTCACATATACTCATTATATTGACATATATACCCGTCTCAACTCTCTATTCCAATTCCTATCCCATCCAATTCAACCCAATTCCAATCCAATCCCATCAAACCAAGCAACCGTAACTCCTACTCCCGCGAAGAAAAAAATACCCCCTCCAAAACTAACTACGGGCGATAATCATCCTCGCCCTCACTGCCACTACTCACCACAAAATCGTCATCATAATCCCTCCTCCTACTGGTACTCCTGCTCCTGTTCCTCTGGTTCCTAGCAGAGTGCGTCGACGAGCTCCTCTGCCTGCTCTTCGAGGAGCTCCTAGACTTCGGCTTTGCCGATGGCGAGGAGGACGAGCTGCGCTGTCGCGATCCTGCCGCTGGGACCTTCAGACTTGCGCCGGCGCCGGCGCCGGCGTTGGTGCTGGGGGCCTGCTTCTTCGGCATGGTAGGTGCGTTCTTCTTCGGCGTGGCTGCTGGGCTGGTGGCGGCGGCGGCGGCCTTCTTCGGCGTGGTCCTTGGTGCGGCAGGGGCCTTCTTCGGTGTGGTCTGCGGGGACGGCGTCTTGGTGGTGTACATCTTGACGGGGTTTGGGCCGGGCTGGGCGGCGTTGTGGCGTTGGGGCGCATTGGGGCGGGCGGGCATCTTCGCCTTGGGGCTGGGGCCTGTGGGGTTGGACGTGGTGGCGCTGCGCTCGCCGTACGCGATCCAGCGCTTGATCACCTCGTCGACGGCTAGGATCCCCTCGCGGGACGCCTCGACTTCGAACCACTCCTGGTGCGTCTTGCCGCAGGTTTCGCAGTTCTTTTTGGGGTTTGCGCCGGGCGTGGCGGATAGCTCGAGGTGGATCAGACGCTCGATCCGGTTGCAGTTGGGCGCTTTGCGCGCGACGATGGGGCTTTCCCCCGGAGAGGACGCGGACGTGTGGGGGTAGTACCGGATCAGGGCGAGGTTGTAGCCGCACTGGCTGGTCCATTGGTGCAGACGGCGCTGGACGTTAACCGCGCGGCCGATCTTGAAGAGAAGTTTGGGGCGTGTGCCGCCAGGGGTTGGGACTGCGTTGAGGGCGGCGCGCATGAGACGGTCTGAGGCGGTGTTGCTGCGGCCTCCAGCGGAGGGGGTGGCGGCGGTAGAGCCAGAGGGCGTAGAGAAGGGGGAGAGAGGGGAGTCGGTCAGCCAGAACATGTAGATGTAGCCTGGCTCGTCTTTGTCGGAGAAGGGCTTCAGCAGCTCTTGCTGGAGGCGGCCCAGACCCCTAGGGTGAACAGTCTTTGGAATGAGTTTGAGAACTAAAGGATGTCAGTCATGTGGATCCAAGGTGAAGACCGAGGGAAACTCACGGTGTTGCTGCTCCTTCGTCAAGCTCTTCACATCGATCTCCGGCACATCCTCCACATCATCATCAGCCATCGGTGTCGCCGGACTGAGACCCATGCCGACCGCCTTGGATGCTTTTGTCGCCGGCACCGGCGCATTCTTCACTATAGCGCTCGCCGGGTGTTTCGGCAGATACATCATCGGCAGCGGCGGAGTAGGTGGCACGCTCTTAAACGCAACCGCCTTATTATCGGCCTTCTTCGCTCGCGCAGGTGGTGTCGGGAAGGTTTCGTCGACCACAGCTGCAGCCGCTGATCTCAGTTCCGCCTCCCGCCTTCGTGCAGACCAGTTCTTCTCGTCCTCGGGATCGTCGTCCGACCCCATGCAGCACCCAAAAAACAACCTCTTCAAAAGGCTCGGCTGCTTCTTCTTCGGCTTCGGCCGTCCACTAGGCGGACTCGGTGGCCGCGGTGTAGCCGCCCCGCCAACCTCCTCCTCATCGTAGTCCTTAAGAACCGGCTTGAACGGGTCCTTCTCGCGCGGCACCTTTTTCGTCGTGCTAACCACTGTGGTCTGTATCGTCTGTCCTCCGCTGTCGCCGCCGCCGACCAGCAACTCCACCTGCTCAATAAGCGTGTCCATGCTCCCGCGGCCGACGAGAGCCCTCCTACGCGCAAACGACGCGGTATGCCGCAGCACCACCTCTTTCGCCTGGTCCTGGTGGCGCGCACAGAAGTACGCCTGTTGCTTGCCGACGATGGTGATCACGCCGGACTCGGGGTCGCCCGAGGACGAGCGCACGAGCGTGCGCTTGCACGGCTTGCCGTCGTTGCTGACCCCGCGGCAGACGGTGGGCGGCGCCGGTGAGAGGATTGCCGCGTGAGATTCGGGCGTGTTGGGTACGAACGGCATGTTGGGTTGTGGTGGGCTCGGGGTTCCTGTCGAGTCCGAGGTCGAGTTCGAGGGAGGGACTTAAAGAAGGAAGGGTGGCAGCCAGCGCTATGTATATATTCTATTGCTCGGAACGGCGCAGCAGTAGAAGCAGTCATCAGTTATCGGTCCATCCCATCCCATGCCATGCCATCCCATCCGACGTTTGCGAGCCGACGCACGTTTCAAGCAGCAATGTAGGGCGGCGGCAGTGTGTCAATGGCTTTGCTCTCGGTCCCTGGCAGCGCTGCAACCCTGGTAGACTGGTACCTGGTGGACATCCTTGCGATTGGTCCTGGGCGGGACAGCACTGCCATTGGAATGTTAGCCCCAGCCACGTTGCTCCTGGGGGATCCGCCTGACGCGGACCACGTTCGCTCGCAAGGGAAAAAACGGAGAAGGTGGCTCTGTTGGTGGGTGGCTTGACGACTCACACAAGAATGTGTTGGAGATGTGTGATGTCAAGTGCTCCCGGATAGCTCGGTCGGTCGGTTGAGATGTGGATGGCATGACATGGCGGGTCTGGGGGCCATGGGTGCCTGGATAGCTAACTCCCGGCGCAGGCTCTAGATCTCGACGTGTAGAGTACTCTAGGTAGTTCATTAGCACGGGTTGAGCTCTATGTATGATGTAGTTACCTATGTAGGGTACCGTATGCACATAGGTGGCAGGTGAAGACAACGGGAGATTTTGATGCACCGCGGAGCTTCGGAGATCTAGATGGATGTAGCTGCGATGATGCCGTGTCTCATCGAGCATGGCACGTAGATAGAGTAGATACATAGAATTCAAGTTACCGAGTTTCGTTCGTTCCTGCGCTTGCAAGCGACGTGACCACTGACCACCCTTCGCGGCAAGCACAAGCTTCCTCCGCGTTCGCTGATGTCGTCTGCCACCGCCTAACCGCCCCGCAGCGCGCAGCCCACAGCTAATCGCCCCACCAAACCTGCCCCTCTATAGAGTAGCAGCGAAAATGCTATGACACGACAATGAGCGACCTGCGCAAATCCTTCCTCAAGTCCAAACTGCAGCATCTCCCACGGTCGCCGCCGATGCCGACCACACACCCACTATCAGACCTGTCCGCGTTCGACGAGGAGGAGGAGGAGGGGCTGGAGCTGGAGTATGACGAGGGAACTCTGCCGCCGCCGTCTCCGCTGTTGTCGGATTCGAGCTCCGCGTCGAGCGCGTCGAGTACAGGCACCATCAAGCCGCTGTTCTCGCGGCCGGCGCAGTACTCCCTCCCCCTCCCCCTCCCCCTCCCTCCACACTGCTACAGCTAACACAAGCAGACCACGGAAGAAACCAACCTTCGAGCCCATCCCGTGGCAAGCGCACTTCTCGCTCTCCCTTCACCTGACGCCCCCCGACTCGCCCGAAACCTCTTACCACGCGTACCTCACCCCGCCCCTCCCCAGCGGCCCCCTCTTCGTCTTCCACCACGGCGCGGGCTCGTCTGGTCTCTCCAGCGCTTTACTCGCGACCTCGATCCGCCGCCTCCTCCCCAGCGCGGGGATCCTCTCTCCGGACTGCCGCGGGCACGGGGAGACACATACCCCGTCGGACAACGACCTGTCACTACCCACGCTCACCAGCGACCTGTACAGCACCATCCAGCTCACGGCCACCCAGCAGAACTGGCCCACGCTCCCACCGCTAGTACTGATCGGCCACTCCCTCGGCGGCGCGGTAGTAGTGAGCCTCGCCGCCTCCCGTCAGCTCGGCGACGCCCTCCTGGGATACGCCGTGATCGACGTGGTCGAGGGCTCCGCGATCGACGCGCTCACTAGCATGTCCACCTACCTGCACAGCCGCCCCACGAGCTTCAGCTCGCTCAGCCACGGGATAGAGTGGCACACGCGTTCGCGGACGTTGCGCAACCCCACGTCCGCGCGGATCTCGGTGCCCGCGCTGCTCGTTCCCTCCCCCGCCCCCAACCCCAGCTCCCCCACCACCCCCATCACAACTAGTTATACATGGCGCACTGACCTCTCCTCCACGCAGCCGTTCTGGCAAACGTGGTTCACCGGGCTGTCATCGCGGTTCCTGACCGCGCCGGGCGGGAAACTGCTGCTGCTCGCAGGCACGGATCGCCTCGATAAGGAGCTGATGATCGGGCAGATGCAAGGGAAGTATCAGCTCCTCGTCCTGCCAGAGGTCGGGCACTTTGTACATGAGGACGCGCCAGAGAGGGTGGCGGCTGCGGTATGTACTCGATCTCTTGTTTTTTGTTGCTCGAGCAAGAGCTGGAGCTCGAGCTCGGGATGGGGGTGGATGGGGGTGGATGTGGATGTGAAGTGGATGATGGGGGCTAATATGTGTGCTGTGGTGGGACAGTTGGTCGAGTTCTACAAGCGGAATGATAGGAGCGTGCTCGTTTTGCCGCCGAAAGTTGGGGCGTCGGGAGGAGGAGCGGGAGTGGGTGGTGCGGCGGGCGCGGGTGCGGGCGTGCAGAGTCCGTACTTGCCCGCGGCCGGGAAACATTACACTTCCATCTAGATACCTCCATCTAGATCCATGGATCAAAATGGGCAGATATTACTGAAGCACAAGCCCGTTTATTTCCCTCCCCTCCATTGCTCCCTCCCTCCGTCCCGCGCGGGATGGAAAAGCAAATAAAAAAGCACATGGGAAAGACGGTGTTGGCGTTGAAGTTTGATGACTGTTGGACCGTTGGACCGTTGACTGGCCTGACCGTTAGCTAGGCCGAGCCGCAGGCCGTGGGGCCGAATCATGGAAACGAGGAAACGAGGCCATAGCGTTCCCGCCCGCCCGCCCTCCCGCATGATTTACCCACATAGCCCAACCCCTCGCAGAATCACGTTCAGCCAGTTCGTTTACTTTGTATGTGGTATGTGATATCTTCAAATTCGTTACAGTTATGTTTGTGAGTGAAAAAGCAAGTACGCCACGCCCCCGCCCCGCCCCCCAAGCAAGCAAGCAACCAAACAACCAAGCAGCCAAACAACCAAACAACCAAATCCAATCCAATCCAATCCAATCGATCCCCCAGCCCAGTTCCCACCACCGAATCAATGCACAAACAAAAAAAAAGTAGTGTTACAACATGTTTGCCCCCCCTCCCGCTCCCGCCCCGAATCACCCCGCCAGAAACAGCATGTGGATAAATAAACAAAAAAGGAAAGGATAGAGAAAAATGTACAGCAAAAGCGGAAGCCGAATGCTATTCGTCAAAGGCTTCACAGGATATCATGAGAAAGGAGGAATACAGAAGAATGTGCAGTTGAACAAAGCCATAGGAAAAAAAGAATAGTTGAAAAATGAATGTGAAGTGGAAGTGGAAACGAGAACGCGAAATCAGTTCCTGGGCAGGATCCTGCGGTGCGAGTAAAGGTTGTGACGACCGATGCGCTTCCGCCTGTCCTTGAGCGAGATGTTTCCGAGCAGACTCTCCCACCGCTTTCCAACGCTGTGGCCGTCCCCCTTCCCGAGCGAGCGCGCACACTCCTCCCAATCGTTCTTGCTGAGCTGCAGCTTTCCAAGCACTAATTCCACGAGCTGCCGGTCGTCGTCCGAAGTCCAGCTCATATACTCGTCGTCGTCGTTGTCGGCCAGCAGCCCTCGCACGCCACGGTTGGGTGCGGGAGGAGGTGTGGTCGGGCGCACACGTTTACGCGGCGGCGGGGTCGCGAAGCGGTCGGTTCGGCGGTTGAAATCTTTGTCCGAGTTGTCGCTCTCCTCGTCCATGGGTGATGAGTCGAAGGCAGCCGAACGCGTGCGCTTGTTCGACAAACGTGCAACAAGTACCGGTGCCTTTGGTAGTGTCGGTGGTGGGGGTGGAGCGGACAATACTCGCGACGAAGTAGCGCGTCGGACCGGTGTCCGTGGGGGTTCCTGGGCAGACGCGTGTGTAGAACGACGGTTGTTCTTCGCGACGGTTGTTTGTGCCGACGCGATGGTGAGGGCCATTGACACGGGCGCAGGTGATTGCCTGTCGCCGCCCGAGAGGATCTGCTGGAGTCTCCGACACGTCGACATCAAGCCAGTGGTAGTCGCCGACACGATTCCCGTCTCCTCAACAGGTGGTGAACGGTAAGATGGAGGCGCGACGATGACCGAAGAACGCGCCAACGAAGGCGCGAGAAACTCGCAAGGAAGGGCGGAAGGCAAAAGCATTGCTGTGACGCGCGCGCGATTATCGGGTAGAAGGTATGTGTTTGTAGATTGTATGCGGACGAGAATGGCAGCTCTGTCCGAGATGGTTATTTTTCTTTATGAAGGGTAGTTGTTGTTATTGTTGTTGTTGTTGGCAGGGTGGTTGGGGGTAGAAGTGGTAGTGGTAGTGGTGGTGGTAGTAGTGGTAGTGATGATGGTGAGTTGGGGGTAGGCGAGGGGAATGTAGTTTAGGATTCGCGAAAAGTATGCAGTGCGCGGACAGAGATTTTTGTGCGTTGGCGGATGACTGCAGGGAGCGACAAAGCGGACGGGACGGGGGGGCTTGGAGGGGGGGGTAGTGAACAGCACAGACGGACGAAACGCGTTGTCGGGGGGAGGTGGAGGTGGAGGTGGGTGGAGGATGATCTGAGAGCACTGGACGTGGATACTGGATAGCTGTGACAAGTGGCAGGCGTTGGACTACTTTAGAAGCGGTCGGAGTGGCAGCAGCGGCGGCAGCAGCAGCAGCAGCGATCAGGATCTCGATTCAGCGCGAAAAGGGACGATAAGACGTGTAAAGGAAAGGCGGTGGCCGGGTGGGGATCAAGAACGAGTGTATGTAAGAATGTACGAAAGTAGAAATATGTATGTTTGATGCAGGTGATGGCTGAAGAGGTTAAAGTCGAGTGAGTAGAGCACGTAGTACGTGTTGATGTGGGTGTGATGTAAGTGCTGGGTTGATGATTGGTTGGTTGGCTGGATGGTTTGTGTATGGGTTGTATGGTTTGTATGCAGGTGGAGAGGAGTGAGGTCGGAGGAGGAGGAGGAGGGGAGGAAGGGAGGAGCGCGTTTGGTCGGAGGACTGGGGAGAAAGAAGATGGTTGGTTGGAAGGGGAGCTGGGGGGGGGGGGGGGGGTGATGGCTGGGATAACTATGGGGTGGTGTGTGTGTGGATTATCTCTGGGGGTGACAGGATTTGGTGATGGGGGCGGCGACACCAGACAGACAGACAGAGGAGAGACACTGGGAAGGACGATGGTTGGGCACGAGTCGAGGAAATGTCCGAGAAAGGGAATTTAGGGGCTGCTTGACGCAACCGAAAAAAGAGTACGCTAGTTTGGGAGCTATTAGTTCGCAATCACGCCCGAAGTGGACGGCATGGCGCCGAAAACGGCGGCAAGCAACAACAACAGCTTCTCTTTTTGGAAGGCCGTGTGTGTGTGTGCGGAGCGAGGCGAGCGAGCGAGCGAGCGAGTGGCCATGACGAGTGACGGACGCGAGCGACGAGAGCGCGCGCAGTCGAGGAGGACGAGGGGGGGGGGCAACGGAGCAAAAGGAGCAGGAGGAGGTGGCTGGCAGGCAAGTGCGGTTTCATGATTCAACCGGCGATAAAATCGATTGCAAAATTGCTTCTTATGCAGGTCGGCTTTTCGCCAATGCGAGGTGGATCACACAACACACACACAGACGGAAGCCGCATGGCCGGAAGCTTGCGGGATGGGGGGTGGGGGGGGGGGGAAGAGGGGTATGATACATGTGTACGTGCTGGCGGCGGCGGTGTTGGCAGGAGAGGGAATGAGGGATAACAGAAGGGAAACATGCGTCATGTGGGAATAAGAGTCCCCCTGCCCGACTCGACGCGTCGTGCACGACTCGTGGGTGTGGTGGTGAAGATGATGGAATGTGCCCCCCCGGGGGAATGCTAGGTATCCACGCGAACATCATCATCATCAGAGACATCGTCAGATCGTGAAGACAAGTGACATCGAGTAAGGGAGGGGTCCGTGTGTTGATTATGACTGCACTGCAACGGCGGCTATGCCGCTTGCAACGAAAAAGAAGCACGGGGGAGAGAATGTCGCGGATCAAAGAAGCAAGCACCCTCAACCTTAATCGCGGGTGTTGATTTCCACCATCACCGCCATCAATCGCCCTACCTTCGCGATTACCCTTCAATTACGCCCCACAACCGTCAAACTTGCAGCATGACGATACCGGAGACTTCATTCTTCTTCTTCTTCTTCCTCTTCCTCTTCACCACCCTCATCATCCATTCCCCTTCATCTCTACAACCCCGATAGAAAACAACACTCCCATTCGCCTACAGCTGCAGCACAATGAACGCCGAACCCCCCATCTCCTCTCCGCGCCTGTCGATGGCCTCCACCCTCGAATCAGCCATCCACAGATGCGACTCAACGAGCAGCGACGACCTGCTCGAGCGCAAGCGTTATACCCCGCTCTCGAAGAAGGTGCACCTCCATTCCCCTCTTTCCACTCTCCAGCCCATATTCCAGCCCCCCTCCCAACGATGCATGCATCTCGTTTGCTCTGTGTTACATACCCTAAACCCACCTACGGTCCTACATACGGCGGCCTCTAAAAAAAGAACCGTCGCGAATTCGTCGTTCGAGCCTCCTCTAGCTCTTTTTCCCTTTTTCCCTTTTTCCCTTTTTCCCTTTTTCCCTTTTTCCCCTTCTCGCTTTCTCGCAAAGTCAAGTTCGCTAACGTCAATCCGGGGGCTCGATCCCGAGTCCCGCCCCGTCTCGGCCCAACTACTACTTGTTCTTCATCGCCGGCCTTTTCCTCCCAGGGATTCCCTAGCTATACGCCATCGTCGTGTTTCTCGTCTTGCGTCCGCGTCCACGGACGGCACCCGCCGCCGAAGAAGACCTCGAGAAACAATCCCCCACCAGCACCACCGCCGAAGGAACGGAGAATGAGGAGGGGAGGGTGAGGGGGAGAGGAAGAGGGAGAGGGAGAGGGAGAGGGAGAGGGAGAGGGAGAGGGAGAGGGAGAGGGAGAGGGAGATAGGGAGATAGGGAGATAGGGAGAGGGAGAGGGAGAGGGAGAGGGAACGCGAAGACCGCTACTGGGCCTGGCTGTGCCTCGGAGCCCTCGCCGCTGTTGTCGCCGGCATCGTCGTTTTTGACGGAAACAGGAGACGGTTGCCGGGGGCGGTGTCGGTGTTTGGAGGCAGGGCGGCTGCTGATACATAACTGGAGCAGAGCACACGCTCTCGTGGGAGGCGTTTGGGGGGGTGAACTAGCTGCTTAGCGGAGGACAGCACAATATGAAGCCCTAGTTAAGGGAATGGTAATAGTAGTAATGGTAATAATTTGGGCGCAAATAATAATTGCAACTTGCAAGGAAATAAATCCCTGGATATTCTAGAGTCGATATGTAGCACTCTATATAAATGCACCGTCTGTGCACAAACCTGTGATGGCTCTTGCAGAAATTAAACTATCTGGCGCGCCGCGCGCACGAGTGGGGTGGCGCGGAGTGGACTGTGGAGCGTGTGTGCTCGGACGCTCTCGGCCGGCCGCCCGGCCAGCGATGAATCCTTGATTGATTGTGCACGCTTGGACCAAAGCTTCTTTCGTCCGCACTGCGCAGCGGCGGAGTGGGGGAGAGGGGGCAATGTCCGCCCTCCCGCGTGGAAAGGTATGCCCGCTTGTATCGGAGCAACAAATGTTTGAGACATGGAGTACTATACACAGCTAGCTTCGGCGTGCTTCTCTGATCTGAGTCCTGACGGACGATGGTTTGGTAATTTTGTTGAAACATCGTATGTGTAGTAGCATTCGACCTTTGTCCGTTTCCGCCCCACTTCGACGACGGACGACGACGGACGATGGATGATGATGTGGGGTTCGGAATCGGAGGGTAGAGAGGGAAGAAATCTATTGTCGCATGCGGCCTTACTAGAGTCCAGACTATGGCACTCCTATCATCCATGGTTTTGTAACTTTTGTTTGATTATCCATGGTGATGGATGGTGACGGAACTTGGAAACTCGCGTTGAAAAGCGAATCGCGAGTGACTTAATGTGCTCTAACTACACACACGTCCGCCGTATGATACCGTATAATACTACACCTCGATTGAGGGTTCAGGTTTCCAGTTTGGGGGATTTAGAGCATGCTGTGTATGGTACATACGGCACATGAATGATGAAGCATTGAAGCTTCCCAATTCCCTATGTGGTGGTGACTGGTCAAAAAACTCGGGAAATGAAATAAGGGTCTGGAATGATGAATGATGAATGATGAATGATGAATGATGAATCTGGATGATGTGTATCACTTCTGGTGCAGTGGTGTCTTCCTAAGTTAGATATAACTACGAGCACTCAATCGCTAGAATGATATCTACTTGAAGCCGGACATCGTATGTAGCAAAATGCGAATCTTCAACTCCACTATGCTATGAAAACTATGTGTATCAGAAAGTACTCTACAGCAACGGAGCCATTCCACCACACCACACGTCAATGTAAGTCCCGTCGGAGGGCGGGTGGGGCGAGCTGGCGAGCAGGGGAAGCCCCACCGTTTGTTGACCTCCACAGGTACCGGTATCCGTATACGGTATCCATGACAACCCACCACGAGAAATCAATTACCGAACTCTTCTTCCCCACCGCGCCGAGGACCTCCGGCTGCATACTACATAGGCGTCGCATCGAGGAAGCGGTAAGTACGTAGCCTGTAATACGGTAACGGCCTGTCCCGTCGACCCCACGCCTTCGTCTCCCCCCTTCACCCCAGCCCTTCGCGTGCACGCCGCTTATCTCGCCCCCCAGACTTGTAGGCCGTTGGGATATGCGGCTACGTAGCGCCCCCTCCACCGCTGCCGCCCGTGGACGCCGTGGGTGCCGTAGGAATTGGCTTGAGCGACGACGGGGGAGGAGCCGGTCAGTGCGGTGGTTTGGCGGGGTGATGGTGGTGGGGTCCCTGGGGGACTATGGAGGTTTTGGACGGATGGCGGGATGATGTGCGATGCGGGAACTACATGATCGATATCTAGTGCTGCCAAGAGGATCTGATCTCCCATGCCCAGGGTGGGTTTGTGGTTCATTCGAGACATGCACCCAAGTACCGTAGATCGAGTACCGGTATGTATCTATACGAGCGAGACTTTCTTGATCTCCGTCTCCATGGCGAGACCTATACTCTTGCTTCAACAATTCCACGGCATCTCGGGAAAATCGAGCAGACAACCATGTCGACTCTCGAGGGAGCAACCAGAAAAACCGCGGCGCCATGCCACTGTAGATATGTACGTCATCCGCATCCATGCACCTTGCGTCACCGCTACCCCATAAGAGCGCGTGTCCGCGGCGGAAACCCTTTCTCCAGCAACAACCTTCACCAACACGATCGCAACAATGTCTCTCCCGGGAACCGCCAGCGTCACAAAGTACCTTGACATGCTCGTCACCCCCGAGCTACGCCAGCGAATACTCGCGCAGCTGTTGGGTTTCGTGCTCGATAAGCCTTACCATGCTGTTCGTTCCCTCTCCCGGAGAAAAAAACGAGCCGGAACAGAAGCAGTAGACTGATGTGAATCGCAGTCCTTCCTGGCGACATTCCTCTTCTTCGCGTTCGTCCCGCTGCTGGGCTTGATAGTATTCCTAGTGTCGCTGGCGGTGGTTCTTGTTGCCACGGCGGTATTCTGGATCGGTGTCGCATGTCCGTACTCTCCCTCCCCTCTTACCGCGGGAGTGCCAGCTGATGAAGGGATAACTAGTGCTCATAACCGCCTCGTTCCTTGCTGTCGCCGCCCTGCTGGCAACGGGGACGTACCTCTACCTCGTGGGGATATTCCTTGCCGGACGGTGGGTGCGGCGCACATTCTTCCCCGCATCGGATGCGAAGGTGCAGGAGGTTAAGCAGCGGGTGCAGCAGAGGTTGCAGGTGCCTACCATCAAGGAGGAGGTGCTCAATGACGAGGGATCGGACTCGGGGGCTACGACGCCGATTGATAAAAAGGAACCTGGCGCTCCCGAGGATGAGGAGAGGGATAAGATGAGGAGAGATATTGCAAAGAGTTTGAAGTAGGCAGGGTATGCGAGGATGAGGATCGACTGTAGCACGTACTTTGTAGGAGTATAGGTGTATGGGGATGTCTGTCTGATAGCACAATGATACCGGTATCGAGCGGAGCTGTTCTTCCTTCAAAACACACACACTTCCATGCATGTGACAGGCAGGCGCTGGTTACACGAATCGGAAGAAATCAAGTTCCGAAAGCGGTTTGGCTGCGAAGTTGGCAGTGGTGACGTATTAGGCTTGGGGGGGGGGGGGAACTCACCAAATACATGGACATATTTTCCGCACCCGAGAAGATCCCCCCGCCGCCACGATACTCCACACCACAATGGCATCGCGACGCCTCCTCGACCTCTACGCGATCGCCAATGCCTCGACCGCGATAGCGCGGAAGCACCTGCTGATCCGCTCGCACCAGATCACGCACTACGCGGCCACCAGCAGCATCGGGCTCGGCCGGACCTCGCAACGGCCGCAGCCAGTTCCCGTACGCCATGAAGCCACCCCCTCGGCGCCGCCGCAAGGCACGCAACCAGAAGGCGTAGCCCAAGACCACCACTACGCACCCAGCACGAGCCCGCCGCCGCCGCCCACCCCTCGCTCCGACCTGAGCATCAGCCAGTCCCCGCCGTCGCTCCGGCGGCACGCCCCGCCCTCCCCCGAAACGGCGAAGCGCCTGCAGGCAGCCTACGAAACCCGCATCCCGTCGCAAACCGCGGACCCACCGATGATGCCCGAGACGCACGCGGACGTGCTGGGGCAGGAGGATATCCGCGCTGAGGACTTGACCCGCGGGCTCAATGAGGACTCGTTCTATCTCCGCCATGGCACGACGAGTCAGGTGCTGTCGAATCTGCCCAGAGCGAAGATTCCGAGAACGGCGGAGTCCGAGCAGCCGCGGGGCGTGACCGAGGGGATTAATTCCAGCGAGTTTGTGAGGGAGTTGCCGCAGCAGGAGAAGGCGGAGAAGGAGCTGGAGGAGCTCGGGAATCAGGCGTTTATGTCCAGGAGGGCTAGGGGGCTGTTTGGTGTCAAGCCTGGCCTGAAAATGCCGCAGAAGGGAGCGCAGCAGAGTGCAGAGAATATAGTGAAGCCTGTCACGAAACCTGAGTCATCGCGGAAGGAAGAGGAGGATATAGTCAAAGCTGTTGCGGAAGAAATAGAACGCGAGCAGGTGGTAGTTGACCAGAAAGCGATCGAGGGGATCGCTGCAGAGGTGCGTAAGGAGATGAACTTTGAGAAAGTACGTTGTGGCCCTGAGAATGCAGCAAATTCGTATGCTGATCGCACGACACGGCTGACCCAGAGTTCTCCCTTCCCCAACAGCCGGCGGTAGAAACGCCATACCAGATGACGGCCTCAAGAGTTCCATCGTCACGGGTGGGACGCCTGTTCCATTATGGTGGACTCGCTGCAGGAATGGCCTGGGGTGCAGCTAGTGAATCGGTCAGACGTGCAGCCGGTGGCGCTGGCGATACAGCTACCAGCGTGATGTTTAGTGAGTCCAATGTGGAGCGGATGGTGAAGAAACTCAGCCGGATGCGAGGAGCGGCCCTGAAGCTGGGGCAGATGATGAGTTTTCAAGGTATGGACCACTAAGAATTTATGCGTGCAAGGCCGGCACTGATACCGACACGCAGATAAACTTCTCCCGGCCCCGATACAGGAGATTCTCACCCGAGTGCAGGACAGTGCGGACTACATGCCTGCCTCGCAGCGCGACAAAGTCCTCATCGCCAACCTAGGACCGAACTGGCGCGATCTATTCTCCGAATTCTCCGAGGTTCCAATGGCGGCCGCGTCGATCGGCCAAGTTCACGCCGGAAAACTGGCTTCGAACGGTATTCCAGTCGCCATCAAGATCCAGTATCCCGGCGTCGCCGACTCCATCTCTTCCGATCTCAACAACCTCGCTGTACTCCTGACGGCCTCCAAGATGCTCCCTAAGGGACTGTATCTCGACAAGACCATCGCCAATGCCCGCCTCGAGCTCGGCTGGGAGTGCGACTACGTCCGCGAGGCGGAGTGCGCCAAACGTTTCGCTGTGATCCTCCAGGCGGAGAAGGATGTGTTCCGCGTGCCGCGCATATTCGACGAGGCGTCGGGTCCGCAAGTGCTCACCATGGAGATGATGCAGGGCGTGGCGGTGACAAAAACGATAAAGAACCTAAGCCAAGAGGAACGAGACTTCATCGGGACACAGATCCTGGGACTGTGCTTCCGCGAGGTCGCCAGATATCGGTTCATGCAGACGGATCCGAACTGGACCAATTTCCTCTGGAACGCTGCCGACAAGAAGGTATGGTACAACCTCCATCCGCTCTATCCAGCCCCACTGACACCGTTAGATCGAACTCCTCGACTTCGGCGCCTCGCGCGAGTTTTCCGCCGACTTCACGGCGCTATACACCTCCATCCTGCGCGCCGCCTCACGGAAGGACCTTTCCGCGCTGCGCACGCTCTCCGTCCAGCTCGGGTACCTTACGGGCCTCGAGTCCTCGGCCATGACGCAGGCGCACGTAACCAGCATCCTCACCCTCGCAGAGCCGTTCTCGAAGGACGCGCCGGAAATTTACGATTTCAGCCAGCAGACCGTCACGGATCGCGTCAAGGAGCAGATTCCGCTCATGATCAGGGAGAGACTTGCTCCTCCCCCAGAGGAGACGTATAGTCTCCATCGGAAATTGAGTGGGGCTTTCTTGCTGTGTGCGAGACTGGGGAGTAGGGTTAGGTGTAGGGAGATTTTTGAGGAGGCGGTGGGGGAGTAGATGGGACTATGGGGGAGGAGGGGTGTACAGTATATTATGTTATATATGGCGCGACGACACTGCACGAAATCTACACGCATTGTCACTCCTGCTCGGTCTCCATGCATTGTAATTGTCGATTGACTACAGAGCGATATCTACATAGGTAAATGTACAACTCCCCGCCATGAGGAAACCCCACCTTAGTTACCGCACCTGTAACCCCACCGGATAACTCCAGATGACGAAGGCGAACTCGTCACAAACCCATACCTGGTGAGTGATTTTTCATGTATATGCCGAAATGATGATAGGTGTCCGGCCTGTCAGTGTTACCAGTATTCGCAGTCTCTCAGTATTCCCCCTATAGATTCAGACAGAGGAGAGAGTAGTTGAACCATTACGTCCGACTCCTGAGTTACTCCAATTACGTACGTTTCGTAACGGCTCGAGCATATCACTCGTGTACGCACTGTGCACCCAAACTTCGACCTAAACCTCGACGCAAACAATTCAAAGTTCGCACACTTCAATCCGAAGAATAGGTAGATTGATTGATTCCCCCATCATTCACTATTCCACCGTTTCCTACATCACACCAGAACCAAAACCAACTAACAAAAAGAAAAGCAAAATTATCATACATTCCATCCTCTCAAATCCATCATTAATGATCAATCCTCAATCCCCAATGCCCATCATGGGCATGGGCTGTAACTACCGCGAAATTAAGAATAAGAATTGGGAGCTCGCCCAGTAACCAGAATCAGAAAGGAAAGGAAAAGACCATTATGAATGAATGCAAAACAGCCCTAAAAAAAGAAGAAAAAAGAAGGATCGGACCATCAACAGAAAATCGAAAAGAATGGACAAACAACGACGCCGTTTTGCGCCATGAAAAGAATGAAAGGAATGAAGGTGAAAGTGAAGTTAGAAGCAAAGAATCATACCGCCACCGTGCCCACCAGCCCAACCGCATCAATCCCATATCGTAACATAAAACATCGACAGCTTACATAGCGTGCTTATTCGCCTGGCGCTGCATCTTCCTGAGGGCCTCCTGGTGGAGCTCGAGCATATCCTTCTGGCGCATGCGCTCCTCCATGAGTCCGCCGCGGAGGTTCCCCTGCGCCAACTTCTGCCGCTCGAGAACAGCGGCGTGTTTGCGCTCGTCGAGCATTTCGGCGCGGCGCTGATCCACTAGGTGTGCTGCTGCCGCAGTCTCTTGCATCTGTAGACCTTCGTTCAATGCGTGTAAAACATCTGTGCGTTTGTCATGATACTGTTGTGGGATGGGTGTGGGGTGGCGTTGTGTGGAGCTCCAGCTGCGGCGTGTCTGCAAGTGGAGGATTTGCTGGCGGTCCGCAAGTGGCATGTCGTCGCTGAGCACCTGTGGACTCTGGGAGGTGGAGCCACGAGATTGGGGTGTAGCCACACGGGAGATTGGTGTGGCCCCCCGAGACAGAGGGGTGGGAGCTCGTGAGGGCGCGAAATTCATCGCAGATGCCGATCTGTAAGGATCGGTAGTGGTCCGCGCAATTGGTAGAGGGCCTACTAAAGGCGACGAGCCGCCGTATGCATCTAAAGCGGTGATGCTTGCTCTATTGCGGACGAGGTTTTCCCGTTGACCGAGCAGTGTTCCTTGCTTTGGGAATCTATCTTCCCGTTGGGCTGCAGCGGAAGTCGCACGTTCGACCAGAGGGAACGGTGGGAACGCATGCGCAACTGGCTCGGGGGCAACTGGCGGCGGAGAAGGAGACTGTTCGGTTGGCGGGGTCTCTGGAATCGGAAGCGGGACAGAGTTCGAGCGGAAGCTGGAACGGGTTGGCGCGGTCGCAGATGTAGACGATGGCAATGGTGTAGTGAAGCTCGTTGACCTTCTGGCTTCTTTCCGAGAGACCGGCTTCGGGGCTCCTTCCGTAGTTCCCTGGAGCTCTTGGAAATCCAAGTGCGCAGGCTGCTCATCGTCTTCATCTGCAGCCTGGGGGCGGGATAAATCATCGAGCTCAGGCTTGTCGGCTTCACTTAGGTGTTTGGCCCATTCGTTCGTGCGATACGTCTTCACAACTTTCGAGCACTGAGTCTGTACCTCAAAAGTTCCTCGCGAAGCTGTCGATTCCGCTTTGGACTTCGGGAAGGAAGCGGGAACCAAGTCTTGGGGGAGAACAGGCGGTGGTCCCTTTGAGGCTGCGGATGACGAGTTTGGCGTGACGATGGAAGCTGTATCAACCGGACCTTCCGGGGAGTCGATAGAAGTACGTGCACCGTCCGCGAATGGACCTTCCACTGCATCTTTCTGCATAGAAACCCTCGGAGACATCGGCAAAGCGATATCCTTGGGGTCGAGATCCTTGGGGTCGAGTATGGTAGAATTCCTACCCAATTCCGGTAAGCCGTCGTCTTCCTCATCCAGTCGGTCATCGCATGTTGCCGCAAGACTGGACGCCCATGATGCCCTGTTGAATGAAAACACCGGCATATCAAGCCCCTCTTGCTCTTCAATGATGACCGAGAAATGATCGTTGTCTGCCCTGGCCGCTACCGAAGATCCTTCGCTCCTGTTGTCATCCTCGCCTTCGCACTGGAACGGCAGTGGGATAACCACGGGGCCCGCCGACTTTTCCGCGGCATCCTGATCTTCCTCGTCCTTTGCAGTCTGTGTGGATTGCCGTCGTAACGATTGTGATGAATGCCTTCGAGAAGCTGCCTCGGATGAGTTTCTTCTGGAATTCTGTGCGCTCTTTTGTGGCGGTTTCAGACCCTGATCATCCGTTAAAGTCGATATGCCATCCGGATCCTCTGGTGATTCCGAATGCCTCCGTGAAGACTCTCCTCCCGTACTCCCCATCGTTTGGATGTGCCCAAAGCCCTCGGTCACTTCACCGCTTGCTCTGGTCTCGTCATCTCCGAGTCCAGAGTCTGTCTTGCTTCCGCCGGTTACCGGACGAACAGCAGCTGAGGCATCTTTCTTGTCCTTATCTCCATAGGTAGCCTCCCACTTGCCCCTCTCTTCCTGGTACTCGGCTTCCACCCTCCTGCCAGTCTCGGCATCCACAGCCTCCAGATCCGCCTCCTGAAGTCGCCGCGCAGCATCCTTAGCCCCTCTCCGCTCCTGCAGTATTTTCCACAGTTTCATTTGCGACATAACCCCAACTGCGAACACCACGATGATGGCAGCAATTTCAACTTTCATTCCACGGGTGTGGGGATATGTATCGGTGCCGAGCGGGAAGAGATTATCGTTGAGAGCCCATATGTACAGCCAGAACTCCTTCATTTCCAGCGGTTAGCTTCAAAAAGGGCATCACACATTCCGACAGGAAATACCTTCAATCTGTTCCACGTTAGCAACATGTATACAAGTAGAAAGGAGTAGGAACTCATTACCCAGCGCGAGAAAAGCAATCGATCCCCAAGATCAACGAAGTCGACCCGGCAAAGGAGAGCGATCCGATCAATCCCCACGGTCTCGTGACCCTATGGAATGCGAGGGCAAAGACGACGAGGCAGAATGCTCCGATCAAGATGAGCTTTCCGTAGACGGAAGTAAGAAGGCCGCCGGGCTTCAGGACCAAGACTTTTAAGCGGTGTCAGTCAGACGCACAGCATCGGACGTATGTATGGGGATACCCACACCACATGGACAAGCAGAAGCCTCCTAGTAGACATCCCAGTCCTTCCGTCACTTCTGGGAATACTATAGCCAGACCTCCGAGTGCGGTACCGGTCATGACCACCGCCACAACGTATGCGCCTTGGATTGCATTTCCAACCGGTGGGTTCATGACGTAGACGATCAGGACCGTGACTGCCAGACTGACCAGATAGGCACTGGACAGGAAGATGTGCACTCTTTGAGGGTTTAGGTCAGCAACTCGTGACGCGTGAGTGACCATACATGACGATCATACCGTTTGATCTTGATCCCAACCAAGCTGCAGCACAGCCCAGCAATCATCAAGAATATACCGGCGACTCCGAGGCCAGGCGTGACCTTGGGCGGGATAGGTAGGCCGCCGGCATAGACCTCTCTCGAAGTTTCATCTTCATGATATCAGCCAATCCGTCCTGATATATGTACCAAAAGAAGTGGAGCGTCTCCACTACTGACCTTGTCTTCCACCCTCGAAGATGTCGGTACCGGACGCTGCCGGTGCCGCAGATACGGAAGAGGACCTATCGGCAGCGGGTGTGGATGTGCTACTTGCACGGTCACTCGACGTCCTTACCGTCGATTGCGGTCCCGAGCTTCTCGTCTGTGTGGGCCCGTCTTCTCCTCCACTCGCAGTAGCCTGGCGTGGTATCAAGGCGACAGCCGTCCTCGGCCGGAGCTCCGGCGAACTTCCACACGAGCCCAGATAGGCGCAGAACAGCAAAGCGACGAACGCGCAAATCAGTGGACGGCCAAAGTGCATTATCGATATGTGAATTGGGTTAGCTGGTTAGCAGATAGCGTCGTAACTACTACCAAGACAGCTCGGCCGCCTACTGCAGGTACGTATCTGCGAACGGGCGGCGGAGGAAGGGCGGTCTTTGGCGTATATCGAGCGCGGGGGTGCAAAGGGCTGAACGGGCTACTGGTGGTAATGAGGATCGAAATACCGAGCCGTACATGTAATAGGGAGAAGAAAAGAAAAAATAATCGGAGAGAGGGACTGGAGAGAGAGAAGAGGAAAAATAAGGCGCGAGCAGATCAAGGAAGGTGGAATGTCGCAGGCTCGGTGTATAGTAAATCTGCGGCCGACAGTTTGGTTTACGGATGGATGCCTATGGTGGGCAGTGGGGGATCGATATTGGAAGGAAGGTAAGGGCTCCACAACAAGAGTGAGCAACAACAACGAAACGTGCGTATGGACAGGGCGGTCAGGCTCGGACTGCAGGAAGGGCTGGAGGGGGGACCGTCTAGGACAATGAGTGGATGATCTGTACAGACAGACGCAGAAGCCGACGCATAGGCACGAGATACCTGTCGAGTACCTGGTAACTAGCGATGCAGAGGATGGAACGTGAGGAAGTTGAAGAAGCGATCGAAGAGGCGGGAGAGACAGGAGAGAGAGACAGGAGGCGGCGGACGGGGTGGAGGGTGGGGAGGTGGGAGTTGGAGGTGGGAGCAGAGTGGCTACGGGAGCACGGCAGAGCAGGTGTTGACGAAGAAGCAGAAGAAGCAATGGGTATATCTAACCAAGTATTATCCAATCCGGGGGCCGAGACATGATGGTGCCAATACGGCGGCCGAACATTGTATGCGCTACTAACCAGCAGAGTAGGTACCATACCAGTATCCATATGATCTACCTACAAACATATCGTTACGCCCGGCCCTGTGCAACCATCCAAACACTCCGAGACGAAACTCCTGGTACTCACTCATCTACCTGGCTCCAGGTACGCCCGCCCCTCATTATCAGAGTAGTTATTCCTCCGCCCCACGACTTCATCCCTCACGCTGAACAAAGGTGCGTATTTCCTCGGTGGACCCCTCGGAGTCCGGAGACTGCTCGATCGACGCGGCAAGCACTTACTCTTCTCAGCAGGTGCAGAACATGCCGTCCAGCCCTCCTGTGCTGCCCCAGCATAGAGTACGGTACTATACCGTCAGAACCACACAAGACGAAAGACTGGCTGGGCCGGGGACAATTTAACTGGGAAAAAGCAAAATCCCGGTCGAATGAAACCTTCTTCAGATCCTTGGTCCGCTGAGGAATCGGGCCATCGACGAATCATAGTGGCAGCCTCATACGTATGGAGCAGTGGAGCACCACCCCCCTTCGTTGGAACTCGGCTCCATGGAGCACTATCCCCTTCATCATTGGAACTCTGCTCCAAACAGTGCGCGCCTCGTAAGCTTGCACGGCTCAATTGATTGACCCAGGCTTCTGGAGATGTCTTGCTTCCCGAATTATCGGCAAGTTGCAGCATTCTTCTGCGTTCATCCCAGTCGTATCACAGTTCTCTTCAGCAGATCGCGACGCAGATGCTACGAGGCGTCAGGCGCGTCGTCACGGCCGCAGCGCACTGTACGACAAACACATCCAAAACGAGAGGGAGAAAACAGAAGAGAAGCTTGCAGCGGAACGAGACTGGGAGAGAGACCGAGAAAGCGAACCGGACACGCCGATGACGACGGACAACTCAGAGTTGCCGAACCCCAGCCTGTCCGCCTGCTTGCCTTGACGTGCAGATTTGAGGATAGATATCGCTGGGTGCTGACGTGATTAATCGCTTTTTCCTAAGGGTGCGCCTTAGGTACTGGTCCCAGCCAACAGATATCTCCATCCACCCACCACCACAACCACCACAACCACCACAACCACCTCTGCGGCGTTTCTCCTTGCTTGTTCCCGGGCTGGGTGGCCAGCACGCCCATGCGTGGACCAGGAAAGAAGCCATTCAGTCACCGATATTCCAAAAAGCCCTCTCGATTTAGAGTATGAGGTAGAGGCACACTACCGTACGAGTAGTGTGGAGTGGCGTGGTGCACATACCTACTAGAGTCCACAGACGTTCTCCACCATGGAGTCACTCTCCCCCGGATCTGGAAGGAAGGAACAAGTCGCTTAAGCCGCGATACAGACTCCACTCTGGGTAGTGTAGATCTGTTGTGATGCTCTTGGAGCGGACTACTATGGAACCATGTATGTACCGTACTCTATCTGCTATGTAGCGCACTTTACTCTACGCTTTGAAGCGTCGAGACCCAGACTGGCACGGACAGATGTGCCGACATCATCCTACATGCAGATGCTACGCGGTCCTCGCTGTCGTGCTGTCCTCCTCCTCCTCCACTGCAGCCCGTCCTCCTTTGCGGCTCCAAATTCGGCAGCTTGGGAACACCGGGTTGTGATCCCATCCATTCAATCGAATGCTCACGCCTATGCCCACGATCATGATCGCCTCCCGGTCCAATAGCAGGTGCGCTCGAGCATCTGCTCCAAAGAATACTTGCGCACTCCCCGCGGGGTACTTCTGCGGGCAGGCTGTATACTCCACATACGTGCTGCGAGCAAGCGTCAGCACTCGAGATCTGTCTTCAGCATCTACATCCCGCCACTCCAGAGAACGCCCGAGACGTAATGCCGATATCTATCCACCGCCACCAGCGGTCACGACGATGCCGATGCGGTCATTCACCTCCACAAGTCAGGGGTTTGATACCTACCCCATCCGTTGAAACGAAGCCTTTCGGCGCTCCGGCCAGGCAGATTGGTCTCGCTTAGGTAGTGCCAAGCCCCGTCGCGCCAATCCCAATGCATCCAAGCAAAATTTGGAACCTTCAACATCTGTCAGAATTTTGCCTGCCGCCGCAAGTCACCACTCCCCGCCTACCCAACACCCACCCCCCCAACCTCTACCTCCCACCACTATCAATCCATCCCCACACACCGTTCGACCGCCCGCCTCCCCCCCCTCCACCCCCCCACCCAAAAAACAAAAGACATACATACAAGTCGCCATCATGCTGTCCACGCACACGTTCCTTCGCTCGTCGGCGTCCGCCGTTCGCTCGTTCAGCACCTCGTCCGCCCGCGGCACCATGGCCAAGATCTCAATCATCGGACGTCTCGCGGCGGACCCGGAATTGGCCACCTCCAACGACGGCAAGGAGTATATGAAGTACACGGTTGGCAGCTCGTATAAGTCTGGGGGCGAGGACAAGGTCTCGTGGTTCCGCGTTGCGGCCTTCGAGGCGTACTCGAAGAACTACCTGCTCGCTCTGCGGAAGGGGTGCGCACGCCTGGTCCTCCCGGTTGTTTGTGGAGAGTACGTGCGCTGAATTGAACGATAGAACTCTCGTCTACGTCGAGGGAAACATCCGGACCAGGATCTTGGACGTCGAGGGCAAGTCGGTCACTAGCTTTGATATCGCTCAGCGTTCGTCCCCCCCCCCTCCACCCCCCATCCCTTCGCCGCTGACATCCCGTACAGGTCAAATCTACGCTCTGTCCCGACCGAAGTCAGCCTCTCCCGAGGAGGAGGGTGAGGAGGAGCACTAAACGCACTTCTAACGGGTAGGGAGAAACGATGGGCCGGACGGACTGTGTCGTTTGTTCACGCGCGGGATGAAGATTGTACAATAGTTGATGGCAAGCCAAGCAAGAGCAAGGTGTATGCAACAGTCGCGATACCGATACCGAAACCGAAGAATCGATTGATCTATAGGTGTACCGTGGTTCACAAGCACAAGCACAAACACAAACGAAACACAAACACAAACACAAGCTCACGTCCAAAACGGCCGGAAATCGACGCGTGACATGCGAGTCGAAAAACTGCGGGCTGGCTGACGAGACGGCGAGGATCCCATAATCTTGAATCGCCCGGCGCTCGCTGTCGCATCGAGACTATGGCGTTCCCTTCCCCCTTCCCCTTCTTTCCGATTCCACACGGTGATATGGTCATCGTAAGCCACCCCTCATACATACAGAGGAATTGGGCGTGCCTTTAGATAGCTCCATCTGTTTTTTTTTCTGTAAACTGTGAGCTGTGGAAACCAGGCTTTCTTCGCAGGAGTGCCCGTGGTACATACCTGGGTAGATACCGTGACTGGGTCACGAATCTTACCAAGTTAGCTTTGCGCTCGGCCCACGCATTGACCGCAGGTATCCGCCGCCGCTGGCGCCGCCAATCTGCTAGTTATCTACTCCTTAATCCTAGGCGGCGATAGTTATCGATGGTTATCGATAGTTGTCGACAGTTGGCGAAAGCTTATACGCGATAGAGGGTGGACATAGCGCTGCGCATTATTCCCGTTGCCGCTTTATTTTTATTTTACTCAAGATTATGCAATACACACACACCGTTTCCATGTCCACCGTCCAACCTGGCCGAGGTCAAACCGCCTCTCTTCCTACTCCTCGAGCCCCTGATACCCCCGTTGCCGTGCCGCGGAGAAAACTCAATTTAAAGTCAATCCCTCCGGCGACTGGCGACCAAGATGAGTGAGAAATTGTGATTTGTCGGTGTGATGTGGTGTAGTGGAGTTCCGCGCACTTACCGAACCATCAAATCCATGCGACACGCCTCTTTCTCCGTGGGCAGCACGAGGTCAGAGGATTGGGCTTGCTATATACTCTATTGGGCGGTCGAGAGGTATCCATGGTCCTCGGGCCTTCCACCAACGCAAGCATGGTAATAGTATGGTGAAGATATACAGATCTCTCCACCTTTCCTACACCGGTGTCGGGGTCGTACACGCAATCGGATTCCACGTCCTACCAGCGAAGTAGGCCTGAATCTACCCTACCGGGCTGCTGCTGCTGCAATAAACAGTATGCATCCACGCCGTCCGGCCGGTAGGTAGTGGACTCAGGACTGCCGCCGCCACCATTCTCGTCCGCGCTTCGCCGTAGCAGCACATACATGTTACTCAGAGAGCGGCTTCGGCGATCGCTAAGATGTAGCCAAGTACATCGCCGTGGTAGGGGCGGGTGGCTTTTTTGTTTTGGTTGAATCGTTGATTACGTGCGACCTATCGAAATCATGGCAATACACCTACACGCAGCGACGTAGTGACGTGGTCGTTTGCTTGTCTATGTACTTCTTCCACTTCTACTGTTCAACCACGACCTCTACTGATATCAGCGAGCAGTCCGCAGAGGCTTGTTATGTCCGGCTGCCTTGCTCGTGCCCAGAAGATGTGCAGATTAGATAGAACACACCAAGGGAATGATCAAGGAAAGAGAAAGCCCCACGCATCAAGCCTCAAGCCTCCGTCTCCGCCTCGTCTCCTGTGCTGTGCCTTGGTCAGGAGATGCCACGAAGAAGAGTGGGTGTTCCTCAACCTCTCCGCCCACCGCCATCCTCTTCTCCTCCTCGCCACCCTCCGCCGCCTCGCCAGCCGCGGAGGACCCGCCCGCGCAGTGCGCACACCAGTAGTAGCCAGTATATTGCCAGGAAATTCCACGAACGCCTATCTGCGCTGCTCTGCTGTCGAAGCGAATGTTGCCGAAGCGAACGTTGCCGGCAGCAACGGTTGGCAGCAACGGGCGGACTGGCGCGGCACATCTCCTCCCCTTCCCTCCCCATCTCCCATCTCCTTCCCTCCCGTTCTCGCTCACGGGCAGAGTGATATACTATGATCCTCTCGACCCCGATGCGCGCGCCTGCCTCATTTACACGGTCACCCCTAGCCTATCTATGTGTCCCACCAGATCGAACTGCCATACTCTACTATATAAGCATATCACAGGTACCGTAGGTATATACATGACACCAGCACTCATTACCGACATCGTGCGGGTCGAGCGGGTCCCTGCTCGCTCGCGCGGCGCGGCGCGGCGCGGCTGGCTGCATACAACCTCAATACTTCCTACATAGATCATACCTATTACATATACCTACTAGAGTACTACCGTAGAGTGACCACTGACCAGGTAAGAATCCGAGATCGATTGTGTACTTACTTAATGTACATTGTAGCCATATCGATTGGGTGACTATATCGAAGTATTGGCCAATCGGTTGGGAAGTGGGAAGGCAAAGCACAGGGCCGTGCAGTGCAGCGCAGCGCGCAGGACGGCGATCTGAGACGCGGGCCATGGATTTTGGATGGGGGCCGAGATAGGGATTGGAGGTTTGCCGCGGTGTAGTTACCGGACGGAAATATGTATGTAGACAGGTACATATATACTTATATGCGCTGCAGTTCGCCAGCGGATGTCGGACACACGCACGTGGATGGGGAATTTCAAGCCGTGGGAAGAAGGAGGTAAGTGGTTACATACTTCTTGCTTGCTCAACTTATATGTACATGTAGCAATCGCCAACCCCCCTCCCCGCCCCCCAAAAAAGGGATAACCAAAATAATCAGACCACATTACCCCCGAGAAGAGTCGCAAACTCGCAATCGAGAGCGGGAAATGCGTGAAAACTATAACAAACAAAACCGTTCCAATATTCACGTAAAATATACCCACGGTGCAAGGCTACGCTGACGACCGTACGCCGCTATCCCGCCACGCAACACAGGAAAGCTAGTAGTCTGACCGTGAACAAGAGTCTTTCCGTATTGTCTGCTAGTGTGATGCGGGCCAGATGGGGTAGTCACCGTCGTCGTTGGAGGAGAGGGTTGTGGTTCTGTTGACGGGTATGTTAGATTGGAATTTGAAGGAAAAGGAGGAGGAGGGGGGAGGGGAGCATACAAGTCCACAGCCTTCCCTTTCGACCCTGTGCTGTCCTGTGTGGAACCGGGAATTGAAAAAGCTCTCGCATGCAGGTTTTCTCGTGCCATGAGCCTGTCGGGCAGGAATCTCCCGATGCCGATGGTGTTGATCCAGTCCCTGTACAGGGCCACGGCATCCTTCCCCAGGCCGAACAGGAGAAACACCAGGAAGCCGACCCCGACGGGCGGCCAGCGATCGAATTTGATTACGTTGCCGGTCGGGATCTTTTCGATCGACAGCCAGCCCTCGCCGTGAATATCCGCCCAGCTGTACGGAAGGAACTCGTCGCTGATGTTCAGGAAGAAGGTGTAGACGCTTGCAGGCAGGAACACGATCAGGAGGATCACCGCAAGAAGGAACAGCCGCATGAACCGCGACTTGTTTGCGTACGTACTACTGCTCAGGATGCTGGTGAAGCGGTTGCGATATTTGTGCAGACGATATATCACCAGCGCTGTGCGACGAGTCAGCTGTGCTTCCGTCGCGTGAGATGTGGTGATCAAACTTACCTGCGTAGTAGGACGCGACTAGCGCCGTGATGGGAGGCCAAATGAAGATGATGATAATGCTAGGCCAAGATTTGTCGACGGTCGCGCCGCATCCAGAGATGGTGTAGAGGTAGTAGCGTCTCGGTTGAACCACATAGTGAACCGCCATCATGTAGATGGGGATGCCGAGGCAAATAACCAGATCCTTCATGTTTTCCCTCCTTTTCACAGCCTTCGTCCGCACAATTGGATTGTCGTCAGAGAGGATGTTGGCCAGATTCCGAGCGATGGCGAGTATCGACGTGATGATTCCGGTGTAGCCGGCCATGAGGATCTTGACTTGGATGTCGCAGTAGATTCCGCCCTCCCAGCCAGCCAAGAGGGAGGCATCGTCCGGCCAGATGAAAGAATTGACCCACGTGCAGAGGTTGTACGGTACCAACCAGAGTATCAGAGCGATTGCTGGAATGTTGCCGTTTCGCCAATGCCAGTTGAGAGGCACAAGACAGAGGATCATCGATAGGCCACACGAAATGCGGTACAGTGCTAAAACAACCATGTTTGTGGCAAAGTCGGTGAAGATGGGGTGGAGGGGTACTAGGAAAGAAGCCAGTCACAAATGCGAGAGAAGGCCCGAAGAATTGTTGCTGAAGAACTGTATATGTCGAATATCGAGCGGAAGTTCAGTATCAGAAGGAGGTCGTTTCCGGGTGGATGTGTCGAGTATAAGGAAGAAATCCATCAAGTTACGAAGTGAAAGTTATAAAGGTGGGCCATCACGGTCGCTGCGTTGGGACGCTGCCTGACGCAGTCTCAAAGACTCTATTCATGGGTCGGTGGTGAATTTTCGGGGACACTGGTGAATGGGATGGCCAGGCGTCCCCACTAACCTCTAGTTGGACGAGTATCAACTCGGAATATATTTCGTGCATGTGGCGGGACAAGTTTGCAGCGGGTTTTTGTGATGGGAGGTGACATGTGACCGTTCTCTGTCGTCACGTGAGATGTAACCTCGTGACGACAGCCTCGGCCGTAAGGTTGCAGTCTCGGCTCCTAAGTCTGGTTGACTTGGCGTCTTGGCAGGACGACCAAGTCAAGAGCAAAGCCGAGAGCTTCCTTCTTTCACTTCTGTTCATCACTTTGCTTCTTCTTCTTTCTGTACGCAATAACAACGTTCTTCTTCACACTTCTTCGAAACCTTCTCCCACTTGCTCTCCCGCATCTCTTTTCCCTGTCCTCAAGACTCTCTCATCATCACCTCCTTCATCCGTTCTCACCCTCTCCCCTAATCTCTCGACGGTTCGTCCTTCATCTTTCGTCTCCCTGACGATTCGTCATTACCTCCATCATCATCTCGACGGTTTTTCATTCCCTTTTTCATCTCCCCGACGATTCGTCATCCCGTTTCCTGCCGAGCCACGTGCTCTCTCGCCTTGGCTCGCGCACCTCGAGGCTCAGCCTCCTCACAGTTTGGTGAGCGCCACAATACCTGCGCCACATATAGCGTTCCCATTCAGACCCCAATGCGGTAAAAGATCTTCGTTTTTGTAGGGTTATACATGGATCCTAACTGACTTTAGCGTGAGCAGGAAACCGCGGGACTGTCAACAACCCTCCCGCTGCAGGGAGATTGCAGAGCAATCAACACCCCTGCGGGGTTGTCTGAAGCTTCAGCTCTGGCCGTTTTCACGCTCCTCTGTGAGGATTTGGACTTTCGCATTCCGGCGCCTCAGCATCAGGGAATATCACTCATCACAGCGAAGGCTCGGATGGCAGCTGGTGGGCTCGGCGATTTAAGGGCTGAGTTCGATGTTTGCGAACATGCTAGATGCACGGCAGCAGTAGCAGCAAGCGGGGCTCCAATCCCAACCTGGACGAGATGGGATCGATGTGATGGATCCACAGTTCGTTCTCAAATGTGATGGTACGGCGTTGAGTCCCTCCCCCCACCCCATCTCATCTTGCAGATATCCAGCAAGCAAGCTGCACCGCTAACCCGCAGCCGTACGATAGGTTCGAGGAAAATATGTTTTCTCCGTCCTGCGGATTCATCATCCAAGCTGATCCCCGTGGTGATGGCGTCCGTGCAGTTTGCACACCCCCTTTCGGTCCGTTAATTCACGCCAGGGAGCCTACTACGATCAGCTGGTAAGCATACCTACATACATTGCGCTTGTAGGCTGTTACCCAGCAAACTTACAACCCGGGTCCCGTCGGTTACGCGAAAATGGCAAGCGAGAGCAAGTGAAGGATTGGCGCTCGATGAGGAATGCAGCATGCTGTCCGGAGATTCAGATAAGGTTGTCCCGGGAGAGAGCGGTCGTACCGGGTGCATTCGTCACTAATCACCGCACTAGCGATCAGCTCGGAAGCGAGGTGCCTATCGGGTATCTCTGTAAGCGTAGTTGGTCGTTGCGTGAAGCCTGGAGTGTGCCCTGGATTGGTGATGCTGGTTTCCCGTCGCCAACCGACTGATCTCGCCCGTCCTCAGCTGCAGTAATCGAGTATTGAGAGGCCCTCGACGGGTACGAGAAATGTAGAACGTGATTCAATTGAAACGAGAGAAGAAAAGAGGTCTGTGAACTTTTGGGAATATCTGCGGTGGTTGGTAATGTCTGATGTGTTGAACAAGAGACGGACCGACAAGACCAACAGAAAAGCAGCAACAGAAAACAATTCAATGCTCAACGACCGCACCGGGGCTACCCGCCATAACACATGAGCCGCTCCATACCACTGCTTGCCGCAACGCAGAGGCGCCTCGACCCCCGCGCTCCCTCACCAACAGACCAACCTCGCCCGTCCTCGGCTACAGCAATCAAGTACCGATGTACATACGCTTGGCCAAGAACTGACGCACGCTCACTAGTGTTGACAATCGGCGGAGACAGACTCCGTGTCGTGAATATCCCTAGCAAGCGAGAATTTTGCACGTGAGAATCGAATACCTATTAAGGATATGAATCTCCCGTGAGTTGATAGAGCCAGAGCTAGAGTTAGAGTTAGATGCGGTGTCCAGGAGAGGGTGAGAAGAGGCGTAGGGTAGGGAACATTGTCGTAAACGTTGCTGAATAGTAGAGCTAGGTCGAACAGTTTACCATGATAGGTGCCTGGGCTAATACTCTGTGCACATGCAATCACCCGGTTTTTCTGGATCGTGCCAAAAGAAGTTTCTAGTTTCCAACCATGCTGCGATCGCGGTTCGCATGCATGCAACAAAAACTCTGTGATCCCTTGCTTCGTATCGGTTTGCGCGGACTGGTGCTCCGCATTGCTCTGAATTATACCAGCTTCACGTGCAACCTGCAACTGTTGTTGATCCGCAAATCCAGCACATATTCATCCTCTTTCCCAGTCTCTGCGGATCCAGAACTGGGGAGACGACTGAAATAGTATCATCACTGTGGCCGCTGGGCGACAGGATGATACAGCCAGTTTACCTAATGGTTGTGTTCACTGCGAGTGATCATTCCATGGAGCAAAAGCTTACGGCGTCTGTTCGACAATTCAGATCTCGGGAATCCCCTCACTCCAACCCATCACCTACCGGTATTCAATTAGTAATTCGGCTTCCCTCCATAGAGGGAATATCGCAGCACATATCACCAACCCCGCCGCCGCTGCACACCTGTGGGTGAGCGAGCGGAAGAGACCCTTTCCATGGCCTCGAGCAGATTTATCGTTCGCACGAGTGGAGCGAGTGGTACATACAAGTTCTCACTCGTCCCAACCACACCCCATACCGTCACCGACATTCCGCTCGGGATCATAGCATCACCGCATCAGATCTCGAACCCCACCTCTTCACTCATGCTTCATCATACGTCCTCCTAGTGCCCACCCACTGCCCACTGCCCACCCACTGCCCACCCACCGGCTAAAACTTTGTCCAAAGCCAACCAACCGTTCCCCTTTGAGTCTTCCCCTTCGATCCACAAATGATATCATTCATATCATTCATATCACAACCCACACCTCTTCAGACTTCCATCTTAGAAAAACCTGCTCCGCGACTCCAGCAACTGCCACGCCCCTCCAGAGTCCAGGATCGCCCAGCCTTTGTACGTACTTCAGAATAATGAACACTCTACTATGATAGTATAATAGGCAGTATATTCCGAGTGCACTCACCCCGGCTCCGCGTCCGCGTATCGGATCGGATGCCCACACTGTTCAATGTCCACTGTCCACTATCCGTCCCATCCGTCAGTAGATGGGGAGGGGGTACCCGCAGTTCTGGATAATTGAATTTGATTTTTTTTCCACGGAACTTCTAGACGTGGGGAGGAGAGGGGATCGTCATATCAGGCTTCAGCCGATGTCTCGGATTACGATAACTAGGCAGGTAGGTAGGTATCTTGGGGTTATCGAAGACGATGTGATACCGGTATATACGCTGGAGAAAAAAAGCGTCATCGGCGGAGTAGAGTACGGGGAGGGGAAGGCGAGATCAGGCTGTCCTTGGAATTTGGAACGCTCGATACCGGGCCGCGGTTGAGCCTGCCCTGCCCTGCCTACCTGCTTGCCGGGTCGGTGCCATGACACAAAAGCCCCCCCCCTCCAAAAAAGTCCATCTATGTACATACAAATTATGTAGAATACCGGAACGTTTTGTGTTGCCTCGCTTGCCCTCATCCCCCCGCGCGCGCAGTCAACGGCGCAGTTCGATTCCAGATCTGACAAATCCCCCACCCCCCACCCCTCGCCTCACCACGAGTGATCGATGCGCATTTATCCCGAGGCTAAAGCCCAGTCCTCTGGTACCTACTCTACTCTACATACTCTAGGCCCGGGGAGGATCTGAAGCACTAGCGGTCTCATCATCGCTCCTGGGGGGAAGCCGGAAGTTTTTTGCTTTTTTTTGCGTGGAAGGTAGGTGGTAGGTAGAAGGTGGAAGGTAGAAGGTGGAAGGTGCACGTGGAAGGTGGGAGATGCCTTCCTTCCGGACGGGACAGGATACACGCTGGCGATAACCAGCCTTAGACCTTGGTTACCTGGTAACTACGGCTCTTGCCTATGGTGTAGATTTTGTGTAGAGTAAAATTTGTTAGGCGCGACTCCGTCCGCCACGAGCGAGGAAGAGCACACATGATTCATGAAAGTTGAAAGGCGGTGGCGGGCCGTCCCAGTAAAACCCCACAATATCCGGGCCACCGACTATAGTATAGACTACCGGTCTACGGTAGTAGAGTACCCCGCTCCTTCCCAGCGGCGCCCTTTGCCGGAATTTGGAAACATTGAGTTTCTCGCCAGAACCTTTTGTGTTCTATGGGTGGATGAAGGCCTTCCCGTTTACCTGTTTACATGTTTACCTGTTTACCTACATCCTACACAGGTGCTATATACGGTAGTAGTTCCAAGGCATCCAACGAGCAACGAGGAACAAGCATCCATTTTGTCCCATCCAATCTCATCCCACCAAATCCCATCCTATTCTATCCCATCCCATCCCATCAGCCCAAGCGCGAGCCCCAGCGCTTCCACAACCTGCACAATCTCCATGCTCCATCCCTGAGAGAAGGAAGAAAAAAATGGTCCACCACGGTCCACGGATACCGGTATCCAGAGCCTGGGTGGGAAATTTTATATCGTGAGTCTTGGACTGGCTGGACACTGCAATCCTCCGCTTACACGGGGGACAAATCCAGTTCATGAGCGCTGTCGCCCCCCGGATCCCAGTCAAGGCTGTAATACCGTAATACCGCAATACTGTAATACCGTATGTACATACAACGGTCTGTGATGAAGGTGAAGGGTGCAGCGGTTCCCTCTCTCTCCCCGCTCGATACCTAGTCCATGGCGCCCGTATCGATATCGGCGGTTAGCGTTGGCCGAGTCGTGGCTGTCTGTTTTTCTGATTGTTTGTTAATCCAAGTAACGGTAACTCGATGAGATC